TCCCTGCACTTTTCCTTCTAAGAGAACTCCTTAAAAATGATAATAATAATGTTTCACTGGGATCACATGTGCCGGAAACTGGGACTTTGTAGGCCAGTTGAACAAATTGAGGACTCACCTTGCCCGCAAAGACCCAGCCTCTGACACACACACTTCATCATCATCATCATCATCATCCTCAGTCCCATCACCGGGGACGCTATCTGAAACGCGCTCCACACATTTACACCTATGGATGCCACACTTTTTTTTACCCCCCCCCCCCCCCCCAGACATGATGAGAAAAGGATTAAATCTGCGATCAGGCTGATACATACCCGCTGAGCTGCTGTCTGTCTGTCTGTCAGTGTGTGTGGATGAGAAGGTGATGCTGGCCGGCTGTTATTACCTGTGTTTCGAGCAGGTGTCAGCATCCCGCAGCCATGTGGGGACTTCTTGTGAAAAAAGAAAGAGGGAGAGAGAGAGAGAGAGAGCGCAGACTGTCTGGCTGCTCGTCTGGCTGCTCGTAGGAAATCGCGTCTGCAAGCGAAGTTCAACTTTAGCGTCCATCCAGCTGCACCGCCGCCCCAGTCACACTGATCATTTGGTGCTGCATGCACCCCAGATTTAACATTATCCTGTAGAGGGTGGGGGGGAACGAATTGTCTCTTAAGAAGTCTTGAGAAGAAGTCGTCCGGTGCCCCCGGCCTATCTATCCCCCTCTGTCCTAGGAGGGGGAAAAAAAGAAACATTACAGACGCAACAGTGTCGCGCCTTGTGCCAGCCAGTCTCCCCCCTCCCGCCCTCCTTCCTTTCACAAAAGCTTCTGCATTTCCCATCGAGAGAGCCCCCGTGCGCTCCCAGCACCCTGCCAGTCACACAGTATCCACTCTGGAAGGAGACAGCCGGGGAGACGGAGAGGAGAAGGAGCCTGCTGCTTCCACCATGCTGCAGTCTCGATATAATGAACAGGGTATTCCCAAACAGCTGGAAGGACCTGATATATGGTGCTGCGCCCTCGTGTTGGGCCCTCCCCAAAATGGACCGGTGCTAAGTGGTTAACTGGTTATTTTCAGCGCGTCACTGGCTCGTCTCCAATTATAGGTTTCCGTCGGGGGCGCAGCGCTTTGGCCCCGTATTTCCAATTAGTCTGAAAGAGGACTTTAAAAAACGGCCAAGAGCGCTGTTCAGAGTCATGTCCGAGCAATATGTGTGTTGCCTGTTACTGCTCACATTCCTGCGGTGTGCTGGCTCAATCTGTCCACATGCGCCACACGCGCCCCGCTCCGCACGCAGCTCCAGGGCGGCTCGTCTGCGGCTCTCTCAAGGTGTTCCCCTCTTTTTATCGATGCTGTTCAGGAGGCGAGATACAGCCCAGGTTCATCACACTTCGCATGTGACATGTTAGCGCGCTGCGACCCCTCGTGGCGGTGACGCACCACGACACTTCGTTTTTACAACCACGTGCCAAAACGAGCTTTTTTGTTTCCAAAAGATCGCTGTGTGAGGTCACGTGGAGCTGCACAGCAGAGGTGACAGGTGGACAGTTTTGATTTCTGGGTTTATTTGGTAAATATCAGCAAGGTTCGTGTTATGTCATGTAATGTAATTTTATGTTATGGGGTGCTACAGGGTTATGTGCATTTATACCCCATATCTATAACCATTTGTGTTGTCTGTCAACCTTAAAGGATATTCTTCTTTTCTTCTGTTTTGTCTTGGGACTTATTGGAAACAAATTCCTCGAAGTTAATGTACAGTTCCTGATCCTAACTAAGCCATATATACCACAATCATCAGAGTTAGGCTTGACAAAGTTGGACTTTCTTATAAATACTTATTTCATAAAGGGGAGAGTGGGGTAAGTTGAGCCAAAGGGTAAGTTGAGCCACCCCCTGTTGCTTGGAAATGGTAAAAGAAATTGATCATGTGACCAAATATTCAGGAGATGGACATCAATTCATGGAGTCTGGGAAGGTTTGAAGCACATGGGTGAAAAGGTTAGACATTTATTTAAAAAAATATATATTTTTTACTCCTGAAAGTAATTTTAGTCTGTCATAAGTTTTGTGAAAATTAGGTTCAGACCACAAAAGATCATTTTAAATTTGTTTTATACATCATTTGTGGTATCTATGAGCTACAACATGAGGTCAAAAACCAAGAATAAAAGTCCGCCATTTTAGTTTATTTACTAATAAAGTCATAATAGTAGTTCAGGGGTAAGTTGATCCAGTGGCTCAACTGAGAAAGTAAAGAAGTCTGATGAGAGGATCAGAGTTTCAGTTCAGATTGTTGAGATGTTTCACTTTTTCTTTTCAAAAATACAGCTGTGAATGTTCAGAATCACTTAAAGACAGTCTCGTATTTAAACGGCTTTTTACAAAACAGCTTTTTAGCAGTTATATGCAATAATAATAAAAAGAATTATTGTACCAGTTGAGTAGCGTGTAATAGATAAAACTACACATGAATGTAACCCCCAACTTATCCCACTCCTGCGGTCAACTTACCCCATACACGGGGTAAGTTGAGCATAGGAGACCATTTATTTTTATATTTCATGGAGCAAAATAAAAAAGTCAGTTTCAAAATTGAAATTATACTGCTGAATTTCAATTAAATGTAGAGTGTTAGTGATTGCAAACTATTAAACTCTCATTTGTTGTAATTTTGTTTTCTTTTGACATTTTACACTGCATTTAAAACTGTGTAAAGGTGGTTTTATTTCATTAAATATCTTCCATGATAACAGTAAAAAGTCTAATATTATATTACATCTCAATCCATGCAATAATTGTTGCATTTTGTTAGGCTACCTTATGTAACCCAAAATAATTCTATTTTATTCTATTCTGGAGGTCATGTTCCACTTTCAGACTCTGTGGGGACTCTCTCATATGGCTCCAGTCAGCTGTTAACAACGAAACCGGAAACCACATTAAGATTTCTTACCAAGTTAAAAAAACAGGCCTAATACATTGTTCTCTGAGGGATCCATTCTCCGGATAAATTCAGTTGTAATCTCCCTATACCCCTTTTCCTTTCGCTAATATAGTAATTATTTCCATCGTTTAATGCTATCCACTTTTGTTCCTCCTGTTTTTAAAACTCTTGTCGTCTGTTTACGTCTGAAGAAAATCGGTTTATTGTTGTGGTTTCGACCGGAAGCGACGCATTTAATGGAGCCCAACTTGACGCCAAGCTATGTTCGACTTTGACAGAAACAGTCCGGCTTCTCCAAAACAAGATTTTTTAACCCCCCGGCACCTACAGGACGGATGTTCAGCTTCATCCGTGTGGTCACATGAACATCTGACACCCGTGGGTGAGTTTTGAGTCCTTTCATAAAGATCTTGTTTATCATCCACAGCCTGTTCATGTTGATGTCAGTGCACACAGCCCGTACATGTTCCTCTCGAGTTCCTGTTGCACTGCAGATTTTGGAGTTTACCGATCTTAGTGGAAATAAATTGGAGGATCATGTTTGATCCAGTTGAGTTTATTAATACTGTGAGGACGTCAGTGTTGTGGGAGTAGAGAGAGGAGGGAGGAATGTGAAGAAACAAGAAAAACAGAGAGGAAACTTAGACTTTTGTTTGAAAGTTAGATTGTGGCTGTTTCTAAAACAGGCAGGTAACAAAAGCACTACCTCACTGTGAAAATACAGCTCTGTGTCATGCATTCACAGTTTCTTCTCAGTCAGCACAGCAGCAAGGCCAGGAGGAGCTTACTTTCCTACTTTGCATCATAGGGGGGTTTACTCCACAGCAGGGCAACATGTTTCTTTCCATGCAGAATGAACACTTTTAAACCTGCAGAGTGACAGAGGAGGTGAAAAATGATTAATGATTAAACCATAGTTATCGATTAAATTCTGTAAATAAGAATTAAATCTGAATTAGAGATGCACCGATCCATTTTTTCTGATCCAGTCTGATACAGATACCTGGGCTGAGCGTATCGGCCAATATCCAATACCAATCCAATACTAATGTTAAATGAATGAACTGTATACCTTATCCTGTGAGTGAAGGCATCAGACTTGACATTAGCCTTGTTTAAAAAAAAGCTAATAACAAATTGCACATTAGCACACAGCAAAAAGAAGTAAAACTAATGTGTAAACATTTAGTGCAAAAGGATAGACGGACATAGAATATAGAGCAAACTGCTGTGTTTGATGTTAATTAAAAGAAAAAAAAGACTGGATTGGCATCATTAATCAGATATCCAATCCAGTTAATTTGTCAATATCAAAGCCGATATACAATCCAAATATCAGATCGGTGCATCCCTAATCTGAATTGCAGGGGCATTAATTTGAGAAATTTATATTATTTAGTAAAATTTAATTACCTTACTTTATTCCTCATGCCAAGGTCAGTCATTTTGCAGCAACGTAGACATGAAAATAAGACAGTGACACTCAACATATAGGGGAGAGTGGGGTAAGATGAGCCCTTTTTCATATTTCAGATCACTACATCAAGGCAATCATAGTTTTGTCTCTAACTAGTGTATCTGCATATATTTCAAGATGTTGTTCATCTGCAAACCAACAGAATGAGTGTAAACATTACTGTCTTGATAATATAGCATGCCAAAAAAAAGTGGTCTCATATGGTCAACTTACCCCGTGTATGTGGTAAGTTGACTATAGGAGCGGGGTAAGTTGAGCCGTATCCCTGTTTACAGCTCCTACAGGACTATGAAACACTCTTAATTAGATATCTACCTTAGGTCATGACAGTCTCGATGTTTTCTCTGTATATTTGCCAACATACTAACTTTGCTCTGATTTGGAGTTTCGCTCTGATTGGTAGTTATTGTTATTTATATCAGAACTAGATGTTGTGTTCATGTTTTAAAAATGTGACTGTGCTGTTGGAACATGATGCCCACACAAAGCTTCCTTCTCACTCCATCACCCTCTCCTCCCTGCAGTGCAGAGGGCCCAGTAAGCAGCGGATGCGGCTGGTGCCCAGCTGCAGGCGGCCCTCTCAATGGTCTCTCCCACTATGAAAGCGTTGGTGGATGCTTTATGGGCTGTGTGGAGCATCGGGGCCTCTATCTATGACTACATCCACACCAACGCTATGGAGGAGCGCATCCACGCCCTGGAGAACGTCATCTCCATCCACCAGTGTGTGATAGGACTGCTGTCCACCGGCATTTTGGTGCTCTTCACCTACATCCTCTTCAAGAGGGTTTGAGGATGTGTGGAGGTGGAGACGGGGGGGGGGGGGGGGCATAGGGGAGGTGGACTAAGTGCAGTGAGACACTGGTGCCCATATGATCAAGTACACATTTGATATAACACATTTCTGTGGGAGGAGATGGGACCTAGAACATGCAGTGGCATACATTATGTAAAAATAAGACCAGAAATAACTGAGAAAGTGAAGTTATTAATTTATTATCTGATTTAAAAAACATTAAGATCTGTGTGGAGTAACTGGGTCTGGTAGTTTATGCCGTTTTAGATTATGTACTGATTCTGATCATTTTATTTGACATTGCTTAATATTTTAAAATTTGCACTCAGTTTTGGGGTGAAGGTAACTTAATAGCTTTACTACCAAGATAGTCGACTGATTCACCTAAAATTTGATTCCTTATAAAGTTAAAGTGTCTGAAGAATTTACAAGCCAAAGATGTTGACTACAGTATGTTCTTAACACACTTCTAAAATATCCAGTATTGGCATGAAAGTCCACCATATCAGCACTATTTGTCTACTGGCCAGTTTTGCTCTTTATGAATGGCCAAAAGTAACCTATTGCAATTTTCTCCTCCTGCTGACCCCACCAGAAACCACAAGTACACACCGAAGTAGTAACACTAATAAAACCAGCTCGAGTCAGTCTTCAGCTGGAAGAATTTGTATCTTTACCTTCATTCAACTATTTTCTAAAGGGATCATTATTGAACATCATTTTCGCCACAGTAACTTCTGCTTTTTTCCGTTTTCATATTTGCACTAATTTCCCTGGAGATATCTATTCAAAGGTCTTACAACAGATGAATACGTTGTGTATATTTCTCAAATTGACCATGATTTTCTTTTTATTTACCTTACTAAATAGGCCAGTATAGTTCCTAGATGAACACATGCCAAATAAGAGAAATCCTATCAAATGTGTAAATGTTAAAATTGTATGTGATCGTGGTTCATTTTTAGAGCTTCTTGCCTTTAGTGTTTTTGATACCTCATAACTGTTAGATTACTGTAGAAGCTGCTGCTTTAACAAAACACAACTTGAACAAAGTGTCCTTAAAATATGTGAATGTATATGTTTGAGTAGTTTTTTTTAGCCAGTCTGAAAGTTTTAGATGCAACTGTCATATAGTGCTCCTGCAGCTAATGCTAACGGTCATGATTTTGTTTTTCAAATAACAATTAGTGCCGTGGAGGGTGGGATTTTTAGAAATTGTTGGTACTGAAGAGGATTATAACATTTTGTAAAAGTAATTAACATGAGCTTCAAAGATAGAAAAACAGGAAGAGGTTGTGTGTTTGTGTACATTGTTTTCTGTCTCAGAGGGACCACAACTAAACAAATTTAGAGTTTAAGATAGTTTTTACTACTCTTTTAATAACAGTATTACTTTTTTCATATCAAATGAACATAGAATTCAGCTCAACTGCGAAGAGCGGTATCAAAATCAACTCCTACTGTTGTAAATGTAACTGGAAAATTGGTTCACATTGTAAATTACAGCAGTAAAATCATGAGGCTGCAATTGCGAATTTCCAAGAACTTGTTATTCAACGTTGCAGGAAAGCCAACATAAGGAAACTGGAACAGCTGGGACAGTTCATAGATAGTCCAAGCAGCAGCTTTCCGCAAGACTGAGAGGAACACCTGCTGTGAACCATGTGTGGGCTTCTTCAAGCTGATAAACTCTCGCACAGTTTTTGGATCTTTTACCATCATCAGACATGACAGACCGTCATCGGCCTTCTACGAGGATTCACATAAGTGTCCACTCTGAAGAAGGGTATATTTGGAAGTAAAACTCTCAACACTCTCCCCCTCCAGGAACTTCATGGCTCTCCAGTGGATCTTCCCACAGTTCTCTGGCTGTCCAAGGGGTCCCAGCTCTTCCTGGATGTACTGCAGCCACAGATCTACAGGGAAATTAACATTTTTTGAAATCTTCCCACACCCCATCTGACAGCCTCTTCTTTGAAACCAGACCAATAGTTTATGTGAGATCCAGGATTTGTCCAAGAACGTATTCTGAGTGTCTCCTTCAGAATTGATCCAAACAACATCTGGTCAAATAAATCACAGTATTTGGCTCTAATGTGTCTTTTGGTTAAAGCTGTTCTGTTACATTGAGTTTGGTCCTTTATACTTGAATAACAAAATAATATGAATAAATATTTTGGACTAACACTATTTTTTTATTCGATTCTTCTCTTTTTAATGTGTTTCTTTTACCGTCATCTGAAGTGCCAAACTCCTGAAGGGCTCTCTCGTAGTAATCTCTTAGATTGTTCATCTTTGGAGTCTCCTAAAAGAGCAAAACAATGCACTCATTCAACAGCTTATCAGTTATGCAAACACATCAAAGTCCACCATCTCTTTTTTTGTCCTTTTGTCAGTTAAGAGACTTAAAATATAGTCCTGAAAGTGGGGTTTTTTGTGTGCCGACAGTTTCTGTACTTACTTGCTCTTTCTCCAGCTGAATCATTTTGGTAAAAAAGGCCTTGGACAGGGGACGGTTTTCCTGTAAGCTAGCGAGCAAAAGAAGGCTTAAAATCCAGAGCTTCATACCAAGAGAATTACAGTCCTAGAGTTTCTATTTACCACACTGTTCTGGCTCTAATTAAATTTACATTGTTGTTTCTGCTATTTATCATTTCAATTAAAAGCAAACGGGTCAGACAGACACATTTGTTTTTACCTTATAAAAGTCTTCCTCGCTTTTTTGTAGCCTCCAGTGGAGAACGACCAATCAAGGTAGCTCTCTTTCATCTCCATGGAAACAGCAGCGACAGCAGACAGAAGACCTCTCTGGGAACAAACAGGGGAAAATATTGTCAGAGACACAGTCTCATTTCTGAGGAGGCAGAAACACTGAGCAGGCATGAGGGGAGACGGATCTTTTCATCTGCAAGGACAGCACCAGAACTTGGACACCGAAGCTTATCAGTACAGACGTTCATATTCTACTTTTATTTATGCTATTTACTCCTGTCCGATCATTCAGATATGGACAAGTCATATATTAAAGAAAGACATAAATGCAAATGCTATCCACAGATATGGGTTGCAGTGACGGCACACTTTGCTGTACTTTCAGAGGGTAAGTTCAGCTGGACTACCTTGAAGACAGCTTCTGTCTCCTCAGGACTCTGGTTGGCCACGCTCCACTGGACCTGCAGCTGCCACAGAGGTAGACTCTCCTATCAGAAACAGACAGAGAAGATTCGGCCATTAGTTGGCTTCTAACCGGTGTTTTGCTCAAGGGAAAATTGCTCTCCCGCTGCACCAAGCGGAGAAAAGTGCTGTTTATGGAGTCAAACATCTGAAGCAAACACACCAAAGCATGTAGGGTTTGTATGAGTGTCCTGGTGTTGTTCCTAAGAGACAAATCCCCTTATTACACTCTCAGCAGTTTACTGAACAGCTGCAAAAGCCTTAAGATAGTTAATTCAACATCAAACTAATTTAAGAGAGAACTTTTACATTTCCGTCATTATTTCAATCACACTTCTGAGCTGTGAAATAATGAAAACAACTTATTGTTCCGATGAAAACCCCTGAGGGTTTATACTATTTCCCCACACTGAGAGAGAGAGTTTATCTTAAGAGAAAAGACTTAACTAATGAGCAGCATGTAGTAATCCTCCTCACACAGCTCTCACAGCAGAGGCTGTTTAACCCCCACCACAATAACAACCAGCTATTCTTCCTGCTATTACAAAGGCCTGAGGCTGAAGTACAATAATACAACCTGTACTGGAATGTATTATTCTATACGTGTTGTTCAAAAAGTTGTACTGAGCACAATTTTATCAGAGAAAGTAACATAACTGGTCTTTAGGGCTGTAGAGTCCTGGTTGACTCATTGGTTGATACGTGCTGAGTTGACCAATCTTGATTTTTTCCTTGTCAATTCACAGTCTATGGTTAATTTCTTCAGAGGAACGTACCAAGTGCTAATGGGGGTATTTTCAGAGCACCCCCATTTCACAGGTAAAAGTCCGTCTCAGAACCCCTCCCTTGTTTTCACCATTTTGGATTCGCCCAACCCACCGGAGACCAGAAGATTTAAGAGCGTTAATCGACTTCCAGTGGGCGATATTTGTTTTGGTGGGGTAGGGGAAAGTCCCACCTCCTTTTCCTCTGATTGGCTAGAAAAGCTGGAAATGTCATCACATGCTCAAGCCAAACGTGAGCTGCCAACTCTGTACATCGTACAGAATATTATCGTACTTCTGAATCTCCTAACCCTAACCCTAATTCTAATCCTAACCCTAATTTTAACCTGACAGACAATGACGTTTTACAGCCATAAGGAATAACCAATCGGAGCCCATCATTTCTAGCCAATCAGAGGCGAAGGAGGCTGGAACCTTCCCTTACCATCCTACAAAAAAAAAATTGCGTCCGGTGGTTTGCTGAATATATATATTTTTCGCATTTCAACTTGTCTTTAGTGTTTAATTGCCTTCTTGTGCTTATATCTGTATATTTTCACCCCGATGAGCCGTGCCGCACCAAGCAGCGTCGTCCCCTGCCGCAGAAGGTTTTGCAGTCAGAGGTCAGAGTCGGAAACCCCTTTGATTAGTCGACTTTTTTGTAGAAAATTTCAGGGTTTTAGCTGACCGAGAATTTCTTTGGTTGATTACAGCCCCACTAGCCTTAAACGTATCACTTTGCTCCCCGTTTAAACTTGCAAACCTGGACTTGACAAGTTTTCACAGTAATTTTGTTCATTTAAGTTTCACTTCAACTTTAACTCAACTTAGAATACACAAGTCCTCCATGCACTTCTCCTCCAGTTTTCACCTGAAGGTCTAAAGGATTATTTTTTTTTATACATCTCCAGCCTCCCCTGGAACACAAGGAGGTGCAGAAAGCCATTTGAAGACCTTAATATGGAATAAAGAGTAATTGGACCAGGGAGGTGGCCCACTTATACATCAATGCTAGTGGCTGATATTAGTGTGTGTGTGTGTGTGTGTGTGTGTGTGTAAGGTGTAAGAGGGACAGGGAGACGGAGAGAGAGAGAGAAAGTGCGGTGTACCTTGGGATTAGCACACTACAGCTGTTGTTGCGCATGTGTTCATTCTTAACAGTGAAAACCATCAAACTCACAGCGATTGAGAACAAATTTTCTCTGCGTGTGTACCTTGGGAATAACATTTTCGAGAGCGTTCTGGAACAGCTTCCCCAGATCTCCACTTCCTAGATGTATAAGTGTCTGTAGACTCAGGCTCCACACCGTCACTGATTGGCTGTAGCGCTGTGTGGCTGCCATGGCAACACTAGTAGCTCCCTCAGCATCTCCAGATGAAAGAAGGATCTGCAACTTTAAACAAAAATCGAAGACAAACTTATTTAACGTAGATAAACTAAATTTAAAGGATTATTTGAGCCACTTCTTGTGATCATTGCTGAATTATTGCAACTACTCACTAAAATAAAAACTGCTCAAGAATATCAGTCAGATAAAGTCATAAATTACTTGTTTGCTCATTAAAGTTTTAATTCTTATTTTGGCATCAAGTGGGTGTCACAAAAGGCTGTTCAGATGGAGTAGATTATGAAAACGCCCCACCCCTGGATGGTCTCTCAATGAATGAAACATGATAAAGTGCCCTGTTTGTGATTTGAGCTGATTTATATACTTTATATACTTTCACTTCAGTGTAATCTAGACTCTACAAAGTCTCTTTTTTTTTAAATCAAGTATTAAATCAGTCAACAGGATTCTACTATTTCATTATCTGACTGTTCCATTACACTGTTCAGTTTTAAAATGACCATGTGGTAAATAACAAACTTAAATCTGAGCTTCGTGGAGGAAGTGGCTTTTTTGGTCGATTCTGTCTCGATAGTTTTGTGTTTTCCTTTCAAACAGTCAAATTTCCACCACTAAATGTTGCATAAATATTCATCAGAATGCCGGGAATAAGAGTAGGATATTCAAAAATGTCTGGGGCGGGACCCCAAGACCATGTGTCAACACTTCTGTCTCAATATGTCAACAGAACTCTCTTGGCCCGTGCAACTACTTAATGATGACAGAACGCCAAAGAGAGGCAGATACTGAAGAGCCAACTCAAAGTATCATTAGAGGGATGATCCTCATTGATGACAACTTTTGTGTGCTAGTGTCACTTTAGATTCTTTGCTACCCTGCCCCTTGATCTCACTGAGTATGCCACTGGGGCTGGGCTGCCTCAGTAGGACCCAGTGCCTTTATTCTTGAAAAAACACGGAAGAAAGAATTTACCCAGTTCTTATAGTACTCCTCTTTCAGCAGTGACAAGTCATGGGCGCGCTGAAGAACTCCCAGCAGCCTCTCCTGCCTCTGTTGCACACACACACACAAAAAAATGTCAGGATTTACTTTTTCAACATCCATCTTTGATGACACTGAAACTACCAATATTCAACAATGCAGTTTAAATCTACATCCCCCAATAAAAATGATACATCTACCTTTTCCTTCAGCTCTTGCACGTTGGTCTTCCTCTTCAGCTTTTCCAAACAGAAGGCAGCATAGTACGTCCACATGGACTCTGGAGCACAAAACCACAAGTACAGCAATGGTTTATAATCATGATTGATCAAATAGGCTGAGTACAGTTCATTAATATGTATATGCAGATTTTAGAGAGCCAAATGATTATATTCTTTAATGGACATCTATGACATATAAAGGCAAAACGAGGGGATGTAAGTATGACTTTGTATATGTGAATTACTTATTTCAAGAAAAAACAACTACTAATAAAATCCAAAAATTATGAAAACCAGACATAAAACTCATTGCCTGTTTGCTCTTTTTGAATATATGCATGAGGTCTTACCAGTATTAAGGCCCCTTACTCCCTCTTCATAGACCTGGCAGCAGCGCTCCTCTCTGCGGTTGATATCTGAGGCTCGGGCTTTAGCTGAATGCAGCTCCTCCCCGACTCCTGCAGCCTCCAGCTCCCTCTTTGCCATGAAATCCCACGTCATGCTGTCTTCTGTGAAGTTGGCCTGTAGACTGCAAACAAGAAAGTATGTATTTGCTCAAAGATAAAAGTCTTTCAATGAAACACAAAGTGTAGATGACGAAGAAACTCTGGTGCCTTACTCTTGGAGGATATGGTCCTGGAGTTCTTTGGTGAAGTCAAAGATGGCTGCGATGTTCAGGAGGGAGATGACAAAATCTGCTTCTGTTGGACAAAAACAGAAGTGACACAAAGTTAAAAGACCAGATTTCTGGACTCTTTCTGGATCTTTTTACATACAGTTTTAATTTCAAAAGAACTCTTTGTAGTTGTAGTTGTAATGGTTTTTGCCCACCTTTGATTTTGCTTGAAGCGTCTTTGTAAACAACCTCAGCCAGTCTGGCATTCAGAATCTCTGGAGAAAACTCATATTCGCCCTTGAAGAATTAGGAAAGAAAAATTTAGAAAAAGACAAACGGATGGAAAGTGCAAACTGCTTGAACATTTGTGAACTTTGTGAACATTTCCCTCAGTTTGAGTTAACATTGTGGCCACTCACCAGGTCCATCTCAGCCTTCTCAAGCTCTTCTTTCTGCTTCCTCAGTTTCTCACAATGAAGCAGCTCCATGCGGAAATACTACAGCAGAGTCGTTTAGGAATATTAGAAAAGACTTTTTGACAAATACACAAACACAATCATTTTTTTCGAGCAAATAGGTTTATCACAGTTTCATTATTTAAATGTATGTTCGAAATATAAATAAAAAACAACAATTTTGACGTCTTTTACCTCAAGATAGACTTTTTTGTTGTCTGGATGAAAGCGCAGGGCCCTCAGGAAAATATGTCTTGCACTTTCAGAGGAACTTCTGTCCTCTAGCTCACTTTTGGCTGCCATTATCCAAATGGCTGTAGAGAAAGAAGCATTAAGACACAAACGACTGCATTAGCAGGTGAGGTAATTGAATTTAAATGCAACAGCTGGCAGCATTTGTGTGAGTTGGATAAAAAAAGAAACAGCTTCTGTACCTGGCTTGTCAGGATGTATGGCAAGCATGGATGAGAACACCTTACTGATCTGGCTTTTGGTGGCCTGGTGAGGAGAACCAAGAGAATATTACTGGGAGCAAAGAGCAGAAATGTCTGTGCTTTTAAATAAGAGATGAGATCTATACATACCCATTTCTTACAGAAAGCTACATGCGAAAGCCAGAGCTGTATATCATCCTGCAGAAAAAAGGGGTTTTAATTAATTCCTACTAAATAATTAATTCATTTAAAGCTCTGCATAAATGATATCCCATCATATGTTGAGATTTTAAAGGAGGCAGTCTGAAATGGCATTTACATTACCATGCATTCAATTTGTAGACCTGTTTTATACGAATATTACCTTTTTTTGTCAAGAATGATGATTAGGTTGATGAAATAAATCAGGGAAAATCTCAGTCTGCATGTTCAATAAGTAAAATACAAATTTCAGTTTAAAAAAAAAAGGTTAATGTATGTTTACGATACCTTCCACTTCTTTGTAGCTCTCCTGAAGACACTGTTAATTCTGTGGATGATGGGATATTCAATCTCCTCTCTTTTGAACTGGTAATGGATGTGCTGCAAAAGCACAAGTCAGCCACAGTTAGGCGATGTGACATTTTCAGGCTACATTGAAAAAGATGCAGGTGTTGTTCAGAGCTGTCCAACTCTGTCCTTTCATGAACATACAGCAGTTGAGCATAAACAAAATTTTAAAGCAACAAATTGAAAGAACTATATAATATTTCCCTCAAAGTATGAATCACAATGTAACTTACTGCTCTTCTCTTCTTGATCAGCTCTAAAACATTGATTTCATACTGTAAAAAAACACAAATAAATGAATATGAATACATTTTGGTGATACATCATTCATTATTTCATTATCAAAAACACATTAACGGCCTTCACCTGAATGTATGCAATGAAGTCCTCTTTGTTAACCATCAACCTGTGAAGCTTGTACTCCAGGGCTGTTGCTCTCTTTATAATGGATCTAAAATTGTGATTAAAAAAACAACATATTACAAACATAATTAACTACTTACACCCATTTTATTACTTTTTTTCTTCGAGAGATTACTATTTTTTCTGTTAGAATTTGATTAAATTTAATAAGAATAGTTAAATTACATTGCTTTAAATGCATTGAAAATCCTTCAAGGCCTCCTTGGGTCAATGAGCCTTATTTTGACTGATGCAGTTGTTGTTCAGAGACACTCAGATATCACATAACAAACCTTTTTCTCATGAACAGTCTCGTCATTATTTCAATATTTTGTTATTGGGATAAATATTTAATCTTAAAATATTTTTTCAGCTGCAGTCGTGGGGACATGAAGAGGGAACTGAGACTAGAATGAAATTTGTTTAACTTTCCTCCAGTGTTAGCTTTTACTATGCAACCACCATGTTTAGGGTCGGTTTCGAAGCGTGTCTTAAATCAGCTGTAAATTACACTAAAAACAGTTCTCTATCATCCAATTTGGTACTCATCTCTAGGTTACCTTGTTAGGCTTCATTATCCATGAAAATATTGATTATAATATTTTTTGTAGCAGGCCTCTGAGCCCTTCTTTGTCAGCATACCCCTCATACAGACATCTATATTGAATTGATCTCATAAGTCTGGACACACCCGATGTTGTTTTGTGCTGGGAAAAACAGGCAAAATGAGACCTTCCTAAATCTCTCATGACTGGAAGAGGATCTGACTGTCAGTGTGGTGCCTGACAGTGCACTTATGATTTCAGTTTTTGCTCTGATTATTAGATATTGATCTAACTGGGTCAACAGCAAACCTAACACGAAAAGTCCCATAATCTTAGTAAGAGCATTTTATAATTTAGTCAGTTTGTATTTTTAATTTTTAATTTGTTGAAATGGAGGTTCCTGACAAAAAAAAGCAAAGTCTTTATTGTACGTACTTCTTATATTTAATTTTATTGCTGCTAACTCCTATCTATCTATTTACAATTAAACAGCCAACACTGAACATGTCTCTGCTGGATGACTACTCCTGTGACAAGATCTCATCATTGCACCGACACAGTAATAATGTTGATTGAAGAGTGTCAGTGTTGTCTTACTTGACTTCTTTCTTGGTAAACAGTCCCACTCTCTCCAGCTGCTCCAGTTCAGGGATCCTCTCCTCGATCCTGTGTTGAACGATCTCCGCCATCTCTCCTTCGCAGCTGCAACAAACTCAGATACAACCTCTAGATGCAATAATCCGGTTATCTACGAGCGGCTAAAATTACAAATATCAGTGGGTCTGCGAGCAAAACCCAACACATGTGTGAAATTTCAGATTCAGTGAGCTTCCGGTCCGGGATTCAAATAGCTCCGACGTGAAACACGACCGTGTTGGAAAGTTCCGCGCTATAAACATACTCATTTCTTCATAACGTTTGTTAAAGGATGATTTCAGCCCAAACTTGTGTCGTTAAGGCAGAGAAAAAACAAAACAACAACAACAAAAAAAACATTCAAACTTAAATCTAAATGACTTTAAATACACAAATCTTCTTTACATAGCCAAACAAGTGACGACTCAATCAAATCAAACTTTATTTTTAGAGCACTTTTCATGCATGGATATGAGACACAAAGTGCTTTACAAACAAAGAAAAATTATTACAAATAAAGTCCCATCCTCTATACTACACACTTGCACACTAGCGATGGGCACAACAGTTCTTTTAGATGTACTGAATCTCTAGAATCAGTTCACTCAAAAGATTCGTTCACCAAATCACTGAATCATGTAGGGCTTGGCGGGAGGAGCCTGCGACTCCGACCTCCTGAAATGATACACAGCTGAACGGTTCAGGATTCAGCTTCTGGGACCGGGAGACAAGAGAGTTTGGCTGTGTTGCTTTGGCAAACAGGTTTGTAAAAATGAACTTGTTTATAAGTCATGATGTTTTAAGTGTACTGTTGTATGCTATGCTATTTATCAGGTCTGCTCAGTAAATTTGGGCTCAGTGTGTGATTCGTTCACTGAATGTTTAGAAGAATGCACCCTTGCAAACCACTGCCATGATATGATGCTGCGGGTTAAATACACTACTTGTTACATACTGTGTCCTATTGTATGCAAGTTATTGTGGTGGCGATTTAGCAGTAAAAAAGGTAGTTTTGTCTGACAAAAATGATTCCAGGGAGTGTGGTTCAATGCGTGATTCGTTCACCAAGTGATTCAAGTGTCGGTGCATGCGGTCCCTCACTCGACGGCTGCTCAACTGGCAATTCTTTTTCTCACTTCAGCTCAACTGAAGCGAGAAATGAACAAATCACTCGAGGAAGAGATTCGGTTCAGTACGTTTACTTAAAAGATTCGGTTCTATTGAATGAATCGTTCGCGAACGACTCAACAGTATTGCACACTCTTACTACTGACCATAGGGAAACATGGCATTTAAAGGACATTGTAAAATAAAACTAATTAGATGAGCACATCCTAATTAAAATATAACATCTCTTCTTCTTACAGGTCACGTACCTTTTGTGCTTAGAGGTGATGAATCCTGTTTTTTCCCATAAAAGATATTTTGTTGGTCGGTTTGATGCTGTAAAATAATATTACTTCTGAGTTATTACAATTTTTTCAAACAAATGCGTATTGACCATTTGCAAAGCCATGAAAAAGTGTTTGAAATTATAAATACAACTATCTTCGCGCGAAATTCATAGTCACTCACAGATATAATGTCACTTCGCCTGGTTCCCCAACAGTAAAACTACATAATTTTAATATACGCGGATGGATTTCTTTATTGCCAACATGAAACAAATATCTGTATATATTTTCAGGTCATTTTTGTTCATTATTATGTCTGATCTGACGGAGAGAGTTGAAGCTGCAGTACCTTTTTGATGTGAATGAAGATAAACTCGATTTCCCGCAAAATCACAGAAAGCGAGAGCGGGTTGTATGTCATCTCCGGAGACCCGACAGCCAATCAGAGGGCTGGATTCTCTCAGCTCGTCTGCTATTGGCTGCCAACCGACTAATACTCTGTTGTTCAGTACAAATTGGAGGAAACCTCACCGAGAATAAATAACAGAGAAATCAATTATTTGACCTGAAATTGTTAACTTATCATCAACATCGTTTGTTTTTCGTGACTGTTGAATGCGGGGATACCTCGGATACACAGAAGTTTGTTTTCTTGGAAATCATGCTAGCATTGGGAGCTAACTAACTAGCCACCGTCTCGTCTCCTCCTCTTCATCTTCATGGGTTTCTGCTGTGGAGTCTGCCAGGCTTGTGCTGGAGGCAGCGGGGCAACAAATTAATGCCATCGGCCAGGGTGGGTTTCCTTTTGTCTATCTCCCTTTTCCGTCCAAATACCTATTTTCGACCTTTTCTTAACGAAAGTCTAAATATAAGAACGGATGCCACGCTGACACACTGAAGCTAACTAAGATGTTAGCATTGTGCTTTCAGCTGAGCTAGCATGTTAGCTCGGCTGCTAACGGTTAACGGCGAGTATTTGCCTCTCAGCTCTGCTAACATGTTGTATTCCTCCCTCTTTTTATTGACACGTACTTTGGTTTGACACACAGAACTCAGGTCATATTATGAGTGGGGCGAGTTGTAAGGCCAACGGTGCCGTGTACCCCGCCTCATCAGCGGTGATGAACTCTGTGAAGAAGCCGAAGATGGAGCAGATACAGGCCGACCATGAGCTCTTCCTACAGGCCTTTGAAAGTGAGACTTTACGGCCCCGTCTGTCTGTAACGCTGCTTTTCTGTTTAGCTTGTATAAGAAGAACTCCCCTTGCTCTAAATGAGCACTAATAGACGTGTTTAACTTTATTGTTGTTGTTTTTCTTGTCTTACTTTTAACTGACAGGCCTACATGATTTTACTGACAGTCTAAAGGGAGTCAAAGATGTAAATGTTGTGCCAAAAAGTGGCATATATTTTCACATGTAGCTGCTTTTCCAGCAATCTCCTAACTATACTCATAAAAAACCTCTAATATAGGCTGTTTGCTGTCAAACTAACCCCCACCTGTTCATGTCTCTTCTTTATATGCACTACTTTCCAGGATACTCAAACTGGAATTTCAGATGCAGCGAACTAATTGTGTCATAAATAGGGCTGGGCGATATGGGAAAAAGTTTATCACGATATATATTTTTTCCATATCAGTCGATATCAGTATGTATAACGACATAAAAAAATCACTTGTCAATCTTAAATGTTCCCTGTTACTCTTACATGAAATTTAAAATTTACTCAACATAATTTGCAGTGCGCATTACTCTGCTTTATGTCTGACTACAAAAAAACAAAATACCTCCACACCACTGACGTTTTTGTGCCAGTGTTGTCGACAATGTCATAGTCTGTTGAGCCTTCATCTGCATTTCTGCTGGGGGTAGCCCCCTTTTTCTTTTTTTCTCACCGACAGTGCTGTCGGCTTCACGTGTTGAAGTGCTATGGTTGCGTGTAGATTAGAACATGACATGGGAGCGGATTTTCACTCCTGTCCTGTCCTACTTTCAGAGAAAAAATCCTGTCCTGTCCCAACCGGAGGAAAAAAGTTAATCCTGTCCTGTCCCACTCCCGTAGAATGACTCCCACTCCTGTCCCTCTCCCATTTGACTTAAACCAAACATGTTGAAAAAAGCTGCATTTTTCATTTTAGTGCATATTATGCACTGCACTGCAAAAGTGGCAGCCGAGTCGGAACGGCAGTCGGTGTTGCCGGCAGCCACTCCGAGTCGCTTTTCACTTCCGGTGGTGACAGGAAGTCAAACCACTGTTGAAGTTCTTTTGTGTTGCTTGCGCGGTCAAGAGTGTTGGCTCTCGCTGAGAGATGACTACAAAAATGGACGCATCTGTTCATCTGGTTGTTTAACACGGCTGAAAATGATCATCTACTAATGTTCTTCCCACTCCTGTTGCTTTTTTTCCCGTCCCGTCCCGATCACGGGATTGATTAAAAAATGACTCCCATCCCGTGGGATTCCTGCGGGAATCCCTTGACCCATGGTAATTCCCGAAAAATGTCATCCTCTAGTCTAGATGCAGCCTGCTACTACACAGTTGTTTGCTACTTGTTTCTAATTCAGCACATGATTGGACTGGAGCAGCTCCCCTTTTCATTGGCTATTTGTATAGTAGGGGTGGGAATCTTTTTCTGTCTCTCGATTCGATTCTGATTTTTGGAGCCACGATTCGATTTAAAATCGATTTTTGATTCAAAACGATCTTTATTTTGGTACCTTCTGCGCACGTGTGCGTTCCAGAACCGGCTGTGTGATGACATCAGGATGTCCAGCGTAGTTCCAAAATGGAGGCGGACAGGCAGCGGATATTAAATCTTTTAAAATCGATTTTGGGACATTTTAAATAGATTCTGAATTGTAGTAAATCAGAATCACGATCCTTGTGTGAATCGATTTTTTTGGTGCACCCCTATTGTAAAGTCTGCCAAAACATGGCAGAATGCCAGCTATGGGAAAGCATATTGACTATGTGTTATATTAATATTGAGGGAAATTAATTTTGGAAATATATCACCATCGTTTTATCGCCCAGCCCTAGTCATAAAGCAAGACAACTGCTCATTTAAAACCCAGAAGATAGTCATAAAGATTGAACTTGTGTACTTGAATGAACTTTTACAAATGGCAGTGACATTTCTCCATCAGCATGTCAGAACATCACAGTAATAGTTTTGTTTGTCTCCAGAGCCGACTCAGATATACAGATTTCTTCGCACAAGAAACTTGATTGCAGTAAGTCGCTCATTGACCTTGTTTATCTTATGTTTGTTAAATTAACCATTCAGCCAAATGAACAATTAAATTTGTGTTTTGTAATGTTTTTGTTTTTTTTTCTATTTCAGCCCATTTTTTTGCACAGGACGCTCACCTTTATGTCACACAGAAACGGTCGAACAAATGCCAGAAGGTATGAGATCTTAGGTCATTTCTGAGTTATGATAAAGTTCCCAAAATGTAAACTGCACATTCATGATGAAAAACTTATTTCTGATCATTTACAAGATTGGTTATCTTTTTTTAAAAACCTCTAATTTTCAATCCTCTCTAACAGGAAAGCATTCAAAGTGGACGAGATGTTGCAAACAGTGGAGAAGATGAAGGGAGAGCAGGATTCTCCGAGGTAAATGAGCGGAACAAGAGTTGGAGAATAGTTTTCAGCAGATTACAAGCAAAGAATTGACGCAATTTCTCAGCATTTAAAAGGTAGAACATGTAATCATTTTAATCTGTTCTTGTCTGTTTGTTGCTTAGCTTGTCTTCACATCTACAGTTAACTTTCACTGGGTTCTTCCATAAGGATGGTAAGTAGATTTTGACCTTAAAGGTGTTTGTGTGAAGCTGTTTGCCTGTTCCATGTCAATAAAACACCACATCAAAAATAGGGCCACATCACACACAGTCTTGGGAGATCATGTGTTTCTTCTTCTGTAATCTATCTGGATTTTGTTTTGGAGCAAACATGTTCAAAAGGATTAACTGTAGCTTCTTTTTCTTATACAGAAAAGCCATCACAGAATTCAGAAAATGAACAAAATTCTGTGTCCTTAGAGGTGCTACTTGTTAAAGTCTGCCATAAAAAACGCAAGGTAAAGTAACCGATATCAAGATTGTCTCTCCCTTTTTAAAGACTTAAGTATCTCTGTTTCTTTTTCTTAATTTGACTTTTGTGTGTTTCAGGATGTCAGCTGCCCGATAAAGCAAGTGCCTACAGGTAAAAAGCAGGTGCCTTTGAACCCTGACAGTAACCAAACCAAGCCTGGCTCCTACCCTTCCTTAATGGTATCCAGCAATGAGTTTGAGCCCAGCAACAGCCACATGGTCAAGTCCTATTCACTCCTGTTCAGGGTGTCACGCACAGGGAGACGAGATACTAATGGTCTGGTTAATGGAGTGGCAAATGAAAACATCGGTAGGTGATCCGCGTTAAAGCCTTTTGTCTTCTATCTTTGTCCATGTGCTGTTTTTTTTGGGGTAGAAATAGGAGAAAATGGGACTCCTTGGCACAACTGAGATGGATGCTGGTTTGACATGAAATTTACTCACTCTATGTTTGTTTTTCCATAGATGTAACGGATACTCCCAGCAGAAAGAAGAGGAGTTCCTCTCACAGAGAGGAGGGAGAGGCCACAGAGACTTATGTTGCACAGATGACTGTTTTTGATAAGAATAGGTGAGGATTTGTGTCTGCGTTGTCCAGTCGCTTTCTCTGCTCCTTTTTAAACACCTTAATAATAACATATTTGGTTGTTCCAGGAGATTGCAGCTGCTGGATGGGGAGTACGAGGTGTCCATGCAGGGGATGGAAGACAGCCCTGTTAGCAAGAAAAGAGCAACATGGGAAACCATTCTTGATGGAAAGGTGAGGGGAGTGTTTTTTTTTTTTTATCAAGTGGCACTGAGATCTTTTCTCGGGCTCCCTTTCATCGTTAAGCTTGTTGTCTTTCTTTTTACACCATGTCGTCATTTATTATTCGTACCTCTTGCAGAGACTGCCACCATTTGAGACGTTTTCTCAGGGACCCACATTGCAGTTCATGCTGCGTTGGACAGGTGATGCCAGCGGAAAGTCCACTGCCCCGGTGGCGAAACCCCTCGCTACCCGCAACTCAGAGAGCTACACCCCAATGGAGACAAGGACGAGCAACCACCGAGCTGCCCTCATGAGTAAGTACAAAGACAGCAGAGGTTAATCCAAACTAATGTACCGTGATATCTGGAATTTCATCCGTAGTCTTGTCGTAAAAACCCTGCTTCTTGTAGTGTTGTGCATTACAGCTTTAACAACATTTAAAACTGATATATTCAAAGAGCAAAAGACAGAAAACATCAACACGTGAGGAAGCTGTGAGGGCTTGTAAGCAGCCATTGTCTTCTATATTTGATATTGTTAAAAGTTTTTCTTAAGGATACCCAACAAAGAACTTGAAAACCCTTTTGTATCATATCAGACTTTTTAAGCTGGAAGGTTTTGTAAATTTTGCCCACTGTGGTACTGTCGTGGGATGGTCTATTTGTGACTGAATGTGGGAAAAGGCATGCTGTGAGTTATTACTGCTGAGTGTGACTCAGCATTTATGAATGTGCTGGCAGCAGAAATTTCACTCCCTGATAAAAAAATTCACGTCACGTTTCTGTTGAAGGCACAGAAGTCTGTGACTTCAAGATAAAGAGATTTTTGTAATCACGAAGAAAAAGAAAACATGATTTTGTGATTTTTGAACCTTTTTTGGGCCACAGTTTTTTTTTTGTGTGTTATATCTTTTAAAGTGTCTCTACAGGGGGGCTTAAAGACTTGTATCCATGTTTCATAAAATCTTTGTACCTCGTTTATACTGTTGAGACCTCCAAAGTACTCATTCGATACCATCAACTTTTAGTGCCTTTTTTTTTCAGTGTGATGTGAAAATTTCTGCACCGCACTGCTTGCAAAAGTTAAAAATAGTTATAACCTATTATATTTTCTTGCACTGGTTTCTATGGTGTATTCAGTTGGAGTTTATGAATGGATATTATGGATATTGGAACCTGTGTTTTGTGCAGACTCATCATCAAGAAAGACTTGCCAAAAATGGAAGCCAACAGTCTCACATATTTCTTCTCTGTCAGAGGCTCTAGCGTGTGTGTGCGTGCGTGTGTGTGCGCGCGTGTGTGTGTGTGTGTGCGTGCTGCTTTTCTTTTGAAATCTTGAGATATTGAACATCGATCTGAATGAAAAGAATCTACTGCCATGTTTTGTCGATCAAGTCAACGCTATGATTTGGTGATTTTCCCAAGAATAACCTCTCCATCTGTTCCCGTCAGCAGTGAAAGAGTCAGTGAGCACAGACATTCAAACGAGGAAAGAGCAGGTCCCATGTGAGCCGCGGCAGAAGCTACGTATATTTTATCAGGTACACAACAACACAGTAAGAAATACAAGTGGGCCTGGAACATCAGTTTACAACACTGATTCAGTAAGGTGGCTGTAAAGCACAATTTCTCTGTGGTTTTTGTTGATAGACTTTTAAAGTTTGGACTTGCTGTCATATTTTGGCACCTAAAAATGATATCTGTGGGAAAATAATTGTTGACCGGGGGCGTGTGCAGTTAGTCGACTAAATGAAAGTTGTAACCCTGCCAGATGGCACCAAAATTCCTTGTAGCTTTGAGGAGTTAATAATTTATGTCATCACTGTGGTACAGATGTTACCTGCAGTGCTCCACCATTTAACTCTAAACAAGCACAAATGACATTCGGCATCTTGTAGCCCTGCACAGTTTGGCAGTATTTTGATGAGGCCATGAAGATAAAGTTGGATGTAAAGCTGGTGGAGTTAGCTCTGTAACTAAAGCAAAACAACAAATCATGTTCATTTTTTCCCCCTTATATTTAAACTCATCAGTTGTTCAAAATTTCGGTTTAAATGTTAAGTTAGAAAATCCCAAATTTAGACTCTAAAGTAGTCCAAACATCTAGAACAGTTTTAATCACTCGGGTTTGTGTATCAAAATGTGACAGCAACTCTGGTGTTTCATATCACTCTTAAAATCATCCGACTGTATCTGTCGAACTTTGATCCTCTCCAGCCTTCCTTGGCACTCACACGATCTTTCTTTGTTCAGTTCTTGTACAACAATAACACACGGCAGCAAACAGAGGCGAGAGACGATCTCCACTGCCCCTGGTGTACCTTGAACTGCAGCAAACTCTACAGCCTGCTGAAACACCTCAAACTCTCCCATTCCCGCTTCATCTTCAACTATGTGGTAAGATACCTGTGTCTTTTACTGGTCTAATTTGCTCATGGTAAAGAAAACACAACCTGATATTGTGAGCACCTTGGGGTCCACTAATGTCCAATTTACCAGAGATGATTTCCAAAGTTTGGCCTGACTCTGTAACAAATGTGGATTTAATAGTGGATTGCTGGTGGAAGCAAGAGACAACACTTACGGTTGGTGATTTGTTACACAGCATTGTGTCAGTCTCTCGAGAGCGAGTGTCTGTCAGAGAACAGGACTGCTTGCCTAGGATTCAGGCACTGGGGCTGGTTTTTGTCACATAGTGTCTGAGGAACACTGTTCAACATTTTGAAGTTGCTGTTAGGGCTGGGCGATAAACCGAAAAATTTACCAATATCAAAATTTACGACAATAACCAGTCATTCTGCCCATATCAGTATATTCAGTGTCAAAAAATAAATAAATAAAGTTGGTTTTGGATGTGTGTAGGTAGGCTATGGTCTCATGTCCCTTTTAAGACATTGTCGGAGACGTGACTCCACCACATCTAGTCCATAACAAAGAGGGAAAGACAGGTGAGGAGATGGAGGACAGTTCAAAAGTTTTAGCGGCTGAAGTAGACGAAGTTAATGTGGGAGGGGGTGAGCAGCTCGTGGAGTAGTTATCGTTCATTTGTCATTATCGAGGTGAGCTGCTCAATATATCGTGAGATTGATTTGAGGTCAAATCGCCCAGCCCTAGTTGCTGTGAGGGTCAGCTGTTCAAAAAAATACAGGCATCCAGAAAAAGTCATCCACCACTCACCCTTCGCTGGATTCAGTTTCTCTTTGATTTCACCTCCATGATTTTTATGAACCATCTCTGTTTTTTCATCCTCAGCCTCACCCCAAAGGAGCACGGATAGACGTGTCCATCAATGAGTGCTATGACGGCTCGTATGTCGGCAACCCTCAGGACATTCACAGCCAGCCAGGCTTTGCTTTCAGCCGCAATGGGCCTGTCAAGAGGACTGCTGTAACTCACATACTTGTTTGCAGGTAAACTGTTGTCTGTGTCGAGTAATATGAACGAACCAGGAAATTGCTAAATAGTTGAATTACCTCAAATACACCCCTCAGATTGAAGAACAAAAGACCATTTTCCTAAGACTCGGTCCTCCCTTTAACACCCCTTACAAGACAAGTGGAGATTCGTCCCACACAAATGACCTCTGCGTCAGTTCAGAACTACATGCAGCGCACGCTTAAGAATTTTTACCTTCCCTTTTTTACAGACCCAAGAGGACCAAACCAAGTCTTTCAGAGTTTCTGGAGTCTGAAGATGGAGAGCTAGAGCAGCAGAGGACCTACGTCAGCGGGCACAACCGACTGTACTTCCACAGTGACAGCTGCATGCCCCTCAGGCCTCAGGAGATGGATGTAGACAGTGAGGATGAGCGAGATCCAGAGTGGCTCAGAGAGAAGACAGCCACGGTGAGAAACCATTACTTAGTGTCCTTTTTGCTAAATGAAGATGTCCACATCATGTCACTTGTGTCAATTATATAGTTATCCTTGTGGAGCGAGGTGAATAATCTAAATTACAATTATTGCTCCTAAAATAAAGCAATCAAGACTGACTGTGCAAGTACTTGTTTCGTCCTTTAAAGTGGATAAAGCCCATCCTCACTGCCTTTACAGCAAAGTGTGCGCCCTGCCATTCCCCTCAAACAGATTCTTGTCAATACAGTGTACTTAATTATTATTATTGTTTTTTATCAATGATGTTAACTTTTCATGAATTTCTTGCAGCAATTGGACGAGTTCACGGATGTAAATGAGGGAGAAAAGGAGGTGATGAAGCTGTGGAACCTGCACGTCATGAAGAACGGGTATGTCAGAACAACAGTGCTGTAAATTAAATGTTGAAACAAATGTAAACCAAGTGCACTCTGGGAGTAGGAGAAAACTCTGTACATATCGGAAAAGACAAAGCTCCCGTAAAATTTCCTTAAACATATTCCATTCCATTTCATATTCATATTCATATTCATATTTCCATTTCACATATCACGCCTAACCTGCGTGAACCAGTCATACAACACTAAAACACCAACCCAACAAATCGGCTACATTTTTTAATGAATTCCTTTAGTTATTAACATGATCACTCACTATGAGGCTGCAACGACCTGCTCAACTAAACAGACAATGACACAACAGTGAGGGGAAACAGGAATAAAGTAAATAAGATACAAAGTCAATTAAAACACATGGACATGTAATTGAGGGAACAGTGGTTTTAATCTTTCCCCCACTCCCTTAATTTGACAAGAAAGTAGGGCTGGGCGATAAACCGAAAATTTACAGATACCGCAATTTACGACAATGACCAACGTTATTTTGCCCATTCAGTATATTCAGTGTCAAAATAAAAAAAGTTTGTTTTAGATGTGTGTAGGTAGGCTATGGTCTCATGTCCCTTTAAGATGCTGTCCTAACGTCGAGGGAAAGACAGGTGAGGAGATGGAGGACGGTTCAAAAGTTGGAGCGGTGGCTGAAGTAGACAAAGTTAATGTGGGAGGGGTTGAGCAGCTTGTGGAGTAGTTATCATCCATTTATCGTTATCAAGGTGATGTGCTCAATATATTGTGATATTGATTTGAGGACATATCGCCCAGCCCTATAAGAAAGGGTTCACACTGTGAGGGAACTTGTGAGCCAGTGAGTCAGGTAAATTTCAGGAGCAGAGCTGATAAAATCCTCGAAGTTTTTCAGAGTGCATTTATGAAAGCGGCTTTTGAGATACAAAAGTTGTTATTACAGCACCACACTGGTTGTGTAGTGCTGCTGAAAAGTTCCTGAACTCGGAGGAAAACTTTTTAATTTCACAGCTATGGAAAAAAATTACAAAAGAATTTGAATAGGAGGCTGAGCAGATAAAAAGCACATAAACTGGAGCTGTGGTATCATTGTATCCCCATACAATAGTTGTTTAGTTTGTTCTTGTTCGTGCTTGCTTTACAAACTCTCCTCTCTTTTTTTTCTCTGCAGTTTCATAGCAGATAACCAGATGAATCAGGCCATCATGCTTTTCACCGAGAACAGTGGTACTCACATTATCCGCCGCAACCTCTGCCGCAACTTCCTCCTGCACCTGGTCAGCATGCACGACTTTAACCTGGTGAGCACGGCCACCATTGACCGCGCCATGGCCCGGCTGCGACAGATCCAGGAGGAGCTGCCGGACACAGAAGAGGAGCAGCAGGATCCGATTCTGGCCTCGGCTGGCGCCTGTAATGGAAACGCTGTCACTTCCTCCGGAGGCAAACAGGGCAAGAGGACAAAAAGCGCGCTAACGGACTGATGCAGGCTGAACGGGTGGAACAATGATCGTCATGGGTTTCTATTTTTGGTTGTTTTATTTCTACCTTGTTTATTTTTCGTTATTGGACATTACTGACCCTTTGGTGCTTAGATAGGTGAGGGAACTAGTCTCTGGAGGATCTGACCTGGAGCAGACTAGTATACAAGGTAAACAAGTTTTCACAACTTGATAATTGAACCAAATATGAACAATGTCAAAGTGAATCACCCACATCAATACAAACCAGGAATTTGAGGACTGGATGATGCAAGCTCAACCTGCTTGGTATGCATTTGTAGGTACCACTGAAGTATCTGTGTTTGGGTGTGAGTGTGAACAGAGTCCTCTGAAGTGGCACAACTGTCTCCAGTATGTCCTTGTTATAGACAACTGTACAGAGACTACAGTTAAGGTTGGACTGGCAACATTGTCACTGTTGATTATTTGTACACATACACAATAACCTTGTTGAAAACATCCTTTTAGCTGATTATTTTAGCACTTGGTGTATTTAGAAAGCTTACCTTAAATTTGTCGTTTTTTTTTTTTTTTAATTGTCATGCTGCGCCAAATGTTAAATGCAGCTTTTCCACTGTCGTCAACAGAGAGACTTCAGTGGGTTTGAATTCACTGTTGTGAATGACGTTTAATTTGAAGGACGTTCTCGTAAAAATCTACATTTTCATAGATGTGTGGAGTATATAAAGCCTTCAAAGCTTATGTGGGAAGTCTAAATAGTAGGGGTGGGAGAAAAAAATCGATGCGGCGTAGTATCGCGATATTTTGTGATATATATCGTATCGTCACATTTATCAAGTATCGATTTTTTTTTTCAAATGAATTGCCAATGTCAAGTCAAATCTACGGTCCTGGAAAAATAAAATCAACTGTTTGTCCAGACATTAGGAATGACACATCAGGTTTGCAAGATGAATGACATAAAAATAAAATACTGTGTAAATAAGGCACAAATAAAGGAAAGACAAATGCTAAATTAGGTAAACAGTTGGAAAAAAAATTATAAATCGCAATATATTGTATGGCAATACTCACTGTATTGCAAAATGTTAAAAATTGCAATGGGGCCAAGTATTGTGATATCATATCATGTGATTCCCACCCCTACTAAATGGACTGATGGTTTTCCTGGTAGGTTGCCATGAATATAGTGTTATACTGTAAGCCTTGGACTAAAATAACTCATGAACTCCTACTTCTTCACCCCTAAGCCTTTTGGCCTGCATCGAAAATAGCTCAAGGACAGCCAGGGAACTCTTCTGGATGACTTTCTTTTTTTTCCTAAGATTTTCCGAAACAACCAGCAGAACATCACCCCATGTTCCATGTAGTGTTCATAGTGAGCGAGATATTCGAGCCGACAGCTCTCTGACGCTGCCGGCATCTGTAGTTTCTTTTTATGTCGAGGTTTGAGCATATTGGAGTGTCAACATAACTTCCAGTAGCTGTTTGACCGAAATGTGTATACATGTAATTATATCAAATGTTTAGCTGTGCCCCGTTCTGACTCCACTCCTTTTACAGATTGCAGTTCCACTCTCAAAGCAATATGCTGTGTATTGGGTGTTTGGTTTTCAGGTCTCAGTTCATTTTCTGTCCTTTTAGGTGCGGTTAATGCCAAAGGGTTCTATTTTCATCAGTCTCATAGTTCTGTATATCTTATCAGAGTCCTTTCTTTTGTTCATTTTATGAGAAGTTATTAAAAAAAATGACACTAGTAGTGTTTTTGTTGTGTGCACATAATTTGGGTGATCTTCAAGGTTGATTGTTTTCATCAGATTTCTCTCGTTGAAAACCAAATTACCGATATAATTTCCTCTCCAGCTTTTATGGAAGGTTTTCTGTATTCATCTAAAAAAAACAAAAAAAAGGGAGACATTTTCACCATTACTGTCAAACACCCCATTTCAGATCTGTGAACTGTACACTCTGGTTAAGGGGATTTTTATATTTAAAGAAATAAATTACAGTTAATCTTATTTGTGTCTGTAATATTTTTAGCAGTTTTGGTAATGAGTTGTTACCTAAAAGTGACCCAAGCAAACAAATGAATAACCCCATTTCCTCCAGGCTAAAATTCCTTATGACAAAATAAAAACATGAAAAATTTATTTGTATTTCTCATAGTTTGACTTTATGTAGGTAAGAGAAAATTCCATAGGCTTCAATGTATTTGTTGTGACGTCTAGTCTGTCAACCCTCCAAAGCCATGTTCCTCAACTGATGAGAAAGGAAAGATGTGCTCTATCTGACTAAATGAAGACGCTGTTGTCTAAACAAACACTATTAGGAATTGCATTTTAGAAATAATTGAGCCTTTTGCCTGATTATAGTTATACTAGGAATAATTGAACTTATTCTATATTACAAAATATCAAAATCTGAATTAATCCCAATCAAAATTCAATTTTGGTAAGATATTGTAAGATCTTTACCTAGTGCAAGTGACCATTTTAACATTTAGTGTCCCCACTGGATATATATGAAATGTGTTTTATTCTGAAATCATTAATCATTTTTGTTGTAGATAACTAACAAAATGTGTTTTAAGTTTTAAATTTCAGATAACAAAAAAAATGAATAAAAAATACTCATCAACAAAAACCACAACACATTGTGGAAGAAGTCTGCAACTGAATTGTTTCTAGCCATTATATCTATTATACGGGTCATTCCACCAGAATAGTCCAAAATGGGGCTGGCAATATCTTAAAATTTAGTATGTTTTAATCCTCCAAATTTCCCCCTATATATTGTAGCATATCTAAAGGTCACATATCTAGTAAAATAACTGTCAATTTTTATATTGTATTTTCAGAAGGTTTTGCAGTGTGTTACCAGTCCCAAAATTTGTCACAACCAAAACATATATTAAATTATACAAAAAAATATATATCAACCTTTCAAGATTTTTTTCTATCTAAAACTTTACATTTTTACAAAATTTTCAGGATAGTTTTCACAACTAAATCAATAAAAATGAATACTTTGACAAATTTCAAAATTTGGTCAACTTACCCCGGGTATGGGGTAAGTTGACCATAGGAGCGGGGTAGTATCCCTTTCACCCCCCACCCTCACCCTCTCCCCCCCTAAATAACAGTCACTTCTTCACATTCATGTGTATTTTTATCTACTATTCACAATTCAACTGGTACAATTATTATTATTATTATTATTATTATTATTATTATTATTATTATTATTATTATTGCATATAACTGCGATGCCCATCTTCTAAATATTTGGTCACATGATCAATTTCTTTTACTATTTCCAAGCAACAGAGGGTGGCTCAACTTACCCCATTGTCCCCTACTGTATGGATCTAGAAAAATGGTGCGGAGGCTGCTGGTTTGTTCATAGACGATCTTTGGCGAGTGTTTGAATCGTCTCGCGCTTCATTTAAACGTCACTCACGGTGATTTGGACGCTGCTGTCGACGCCACTCGTCTCGGTTTTTAGGTGTTTTTCTGTATTTAACTTTAGTGTTTAAGTTTTTATATATTTATCTACTTCAACCATGGAGTGGTCCTGTTTTCTCTAAAAAAAAAAACGAAAAAACTGAAGCTTTCGCGTAAGTTTGTGTCGCACAAACTGCCGTCGCCAGAGCCGGGGCAGCGTTTGAACTTTTTACGATGCGAAATAAAACCAAAAATGTCAATAAACGCGAAAACACGACAGTCTTACACAGAGGCCAGCCGCGGAGAGATAATGTGATAGTGTTATCAGAGTCGAGCTGCTCGGAGGAGGACTCAGCATCTCTGTCAGAAAAAGGCACATATGGCTCCAACTTTACATCAGCTGGCTGCTCCACCTCAAACAACAAAACACCCCTAAAGCAAAGGGAGACTTTGACCACAAGAGACATTAAAATTGCGCCAATTTTCTTGCATATAGCACGGCGCAGCAGGAGCAGACGGAGCGGGGATGAGAAGCAAGAAAAGTCTGCAGAAAGGCTGAAAAAATCAGTGCCTCCTATTCTGGATGAAGGTGTGCAACAGGAGGAAAAACAGTCAACAACATCCAGCCTGACATGGTCAAAGTTGTTCTGTAGAGAAAAGCTGTCAGCCTCAGTTCTGCAAAGCTGTCTGGAAGAAATCCAAAGATCTAACCCTGCATTTCCAGCCAGAGCAGTGTTCAACACTTTGAAGAAGAAAGCCAGTGAAGGGCTGCAGGCCTCAGAGTCCACAGGTGAGGTTAGGGCTGCAAAGGGGTGGAAAACTTTCCATGGGAAGTTAAGCCCATGTTATTCTTTACTAACCATTGTTTAGTCTATCATAATAATCTGTGTTGTTCATGCCCTTCTGTCTCTTATCAGCAGAAAACTCATCGAATCTCAGCTCTCTTCAAAGTCAACATAAGGAGAAGAGAAAACGGGGGTTTGAAAGTTCAGAGAGGGTCCCCAAGCGCCTGAAGTCAAGCCTTACTGCAGAGAGTCCTGCTGGTTTGGGTCACTGTCACACACCAGTACAAAGTCTCCTGGGAAATTCGGCTTTTATGGGCAAGAAGTCGCCCAGGAGGCGCAAGCTCAGTCGCACCCACAGACTGAGGCAGCACAGTGGGAGTCCAGCCGGCCTGGTGAAGAGCTGTGAACTGAACTCTGGTCTCAGGAGTCACACAGAAACTGATAGCCAGTCACACAGCCCCCCCGACAGCACCCAAATAGGTAAGCTCTTGCATATATGAGATGTTTGATTCATGTTTGGAAAGCAAGAATTTAATGCTTTCTCTTCCTTTGTCAAGATTTAATTTATGAGGATGTCCTCTGGACGGACAAATACAGCCCTCGGCATTCAAGTGAAGTCATTGGCAACTCAGAGTCTGTGGATAAACTGCAAAGGTGAGTCTGATATGATTACCTTGGCTTTCCACTTATAATAAATCACTAAATGAAAGACCTTTTTTTGCCACTTTTCTGGTTAAGTTGGTTGAAAAAATGGAAACTCAGGGCCGACTGTGAGGAAAGGAGAAGAATGATGGAGGACAGAAGACGAGAGGAAAGCAGCAATGGTACGAACTAAAATTTAATATATCATCTTCAGGTTCAACCCTTTTTTTAAAGCCATGTCCATAAATTTGTGCAGAGTTTCTGTTTTTAAAAGCAGTGACTGTTCTCTTCAGACTCGTGGGACTGTGGAGACTTCCTGGGTGAGGACGGGGCAGAGGAAGAGCCTTTGTGTAACACAATGCTGATTACAGGACCTCCTGGTGTGGGCAAGACGGCCTCTGTGTACGCCTGCTCTCAGGAGCTCGGATTCAAGGTCTGAGTCTGACAGGGACGGTTACCAAAAGTTGATCATCCATTTGTCTTTAAATATGGACTCACAGTTAAGTATAAGCTCAGTGATGAAAAACAGATAAAAAAAGTGAAATATAATCCAGATTGAGCTTCAAAATTTCCATTCCAAAATCAGAGAGTAATGAAGGAGATTTCCACATATAATCTAGGGCTGGGCGATAAACCGAAAATGTAACGATACCAAAATTTACGACAATAACTGACGTCATTTTGCCCATGTCAATATATTTGGTGTCAAAAAATAAATATTAAAAATTGGAGTTTGGATGTGTGTGAGAGATGTGACTCCGTAGCTAAGAGGGAAAGACAGGTGAGGAGATGGAGGACGGTTCAAAAGTTGTTGCGGCTGGAGTGGCGACTGAAGTAGACAAAGTAAATATGGGAGTAGTGGTGGAGTAGTTATCTAATTTATTGTTATTGAGGTGAACTGTTCAATATGTCATGATACTAATTCGAGGCCATATCGCCCAGCCCTATTATTACTGTTTTAAAGGACAACATAAACTCTCATCAGTATCTTCAGTTGTGAGTTGTCAACTGTCTTGTAATGCAAACTCAAATAAAAAAAAAGGAAACTGATTTCTCCATATGCAGAGCTGCATTAGATTACAGACAAGAAATTGTATCATGTTGACACAAATTTCACATTGACTTCACTCCTCAACAAAAAGACTCCTCTTTTTATCAAAGGTATTTGAAGTGAACTGCTCATCACAGCGGAGTGGACACCGCGTTCTGTCCCAGTTGAAGGAGGCTACTCAGTCCCATCTAGTGGAGACATCAGGGAAGGACCCACTCAAGCCAGCCTACTTTAACAGCTACAGCAGCACCACAAAATCTGAAACCTTACCTGGTAGGAACCAGATGACAAAAACACTGTCCTCTCTCAAATCTAAATGTCCTTCCTTTCTGAAAATTTCAGCAAAGCATTTTATGAGGAAACTGACCGTGTCAAGCTTGTGTATGTCTGTGGAGGAAAATAGGTGCCTCAGTGATATAATGAGATAATTTTTATGTTTTCCTACTTCATGTTTTTTTAACAGGGAAAACAGTGACTCCAAAAAACATAACTTTTACCTCAAAGAAGAGAGCTGCACAGAGTCTCTGCCGCCCTGGTCGCAAAGCTAAATCAAATTCAGCAGCAGTCACTTTAGCCAACTACTTTAAGATGAAAAACAAAGCTGATCTCTTACACTCCGGTGGCCTATCATCATCTGAAAAACCAGGCAGTAAGAAGTCTGATCATCCATCGACAGGCTCCGGTCAAAGTGTGCCACAAAGCAAAAAAACAGCCACATCACTCATTCTGTTTGAAGAGGTAAAGCCCTCGCAGTGAGACGTATAATTTCTGGATACAGTGTGAGACTGCACATGAACTTTGTTTGGTCTGGGCTGAAAGGTTTACGGCTGTCTGCTCCCACAGGTTGATGTCATATTTGATGATGATGTCGGTTTCCTCGCAGCCATCAAGACTTTCATGACAACCACGAAAAGACCAGTAATTCTGACCACAAATGGTGAGCTCAAAGAACAACTGTGTGATTTTGAATGGAAAAAAAGATTTAAGGACAAAGTTTGAAGGCAGAAAAATGTCGTCCTCAGATCGCCTATTCAGAGAAAGATTCATCTGGAACATGGAGGAAATTATTTTCAAAGCCCCCTCAGAGGTAAAAGAAGTTCAGTTACATTACTGCAGAAGTAGCTAGCACTTTTCTCATGTGTTTGTTACTTTTAAAGGCCTCAAAAATGAAAGATAAGTGTTTTATAAATGCAAAAAAACAACCTTGTTAGTTGTAAACATCCTCCATCTTTTCCAAGGTGAATGTGTGCAGCTACCTGCAGCTGGTGGTTTTAACAGAGGATGTGCTCCTGCAGTTGGATGATGTTCGCAGTCTCCTCAGATTGTTTGGAGGTGATGTCAGACGTTGTCTTCTGCAGCTGCAGCTGTGGGTGCACAGTGGTGGAGGACGGGTATCTCACAGTGAAGGCTTGCCAAGAGAGCACATTCATGTACAGTGTAAGTTGCTTTAATAAAATCACATTTGAACTCTAGGGCTGGGCGATATGGGAAAAAGTTTATTACGATATATTTTTTTTCATATCAGTTGATATCGATATGTATCACGATATTAAAAAAATAAATCTTACATGTTGCCTGTTACTGTTAAATAAAATTTAACATGTACTTCGCATAATTTGCAGTGCAAACTTCTCTACTTCATGCCCGACCTCAAAAAAACAAAATACCTCCACACCACTAACGTTTTCTTCCAGTGTTGTCGACGATGTCATCATCTGTTGAGCCTTCATTTGCATTTCTGCTGGGAGTAGCACTCGTTTTCTTTTTTCCTCACCAACAGTGCTGTCAACTTCACATGTTAAAGTGCTATGGTTGCGTGTAACTGCCGCCTGCTACTACGCAGTTTTTTGCTACTTGGTTCTAATTCAGCACATGATTGGTTCAGCACGAAGCGACCCGGGGCAACTCCTCGTTTAGTTCTACCAAAATATTGACCATGTTTCATATCGACATCAAGGGAAATTAATTTTTGATATTTATCATTATCAGTTTATCGCCCAGCCCTAGTTAAACCTCTTAAAGACTTGATGTTTTGAGGATAAAGATGAACTCTTTTCTTTCAATATTCTCATCTGTAGCTGAAAGAGGGAACAATGCAGACTCCCAGCTTCCTCAGTGTGTCTCAAACTGCACTGCTAGTACACTGGGTCTCCACTCTGTGACCCCTAAAGCACTGCAAAGCTTCCTACAGGCAAGTTTTTATAACACCTTATCTGTAGGCACTCCAAAGATAGATGGAATTTTAACCTATTCTTGGTTCTTCACCTTCAGTCCTGGTCCACAACAGACATGAACAACATCCTGAGGCTGCTAGCTGAGAGCTGGAGAAGAGCTGTGCCCCTTCTGTACTCCAACCTAGAGCTCTTTCTACCCACTGGGGACAAAGGAACTTTAGTCCAGCCCCTGGATATGGAGAATTGGCAGCAGAGTGAGCTGACACTCTCTACAATCCATCCATGCATCCAGCAGCTGGAGGAAAATGTCCATCAAAAGAAGTCGGATACAGCGAGTAAATCACAGAGGACTGCTTCTCGGCTCAGCAGGAGAAAATACGTCACTCCTGTGTTTGACACCACGTCAACTTCCAATTTGATTCAGACTCAAAGAATTTCATCACCGTCAAAGAAAGCTCATCTTGAAGCCCACAGTTTGAGAGACAAAGCGGAAAAATATAAAGCCAAAGTGGTAACCAACAGTTTGGATGCCTTAACCGACTTCTTTGACCTCATGTCATACATCGATGCCACACTTCCTGCTGCTGTACCTGCTTTCTCAGGCTCATGTGAACCTGAGGCGTTTGTCTGGACAGGAGCTGAGATGAAGGATGGATTGTTGGATGAAATGAGGGAGGAAGGAGAGGGAGAAGGTGGCAGGAGTTGGAACCAGGAGAGGCTGTTGGATATTCAAGCCGCTGTAGAGGGCTTGGGGTGTCGCAGGTGTTGTTGGCGGGTGTCTGAAGGGTGGAGCAAAGCCCAGAAATACAGACATGACCTGGGAGGGATAGAGTCAGGAAGGCCGGTTGAAAAACGGACTCAACCTGTCTTATTTGCTCCACCTCTCTGTGAACCGAGGTGGGTCTGGTCTTTTTAATTTGATCTATGAACACTCAAAGTGATTCAGATCTGGATGTGTGATTTGAGTACATTCTTCCTCATGTTCCCTCTAGTGTCTCTCAAAGGAGATACAAGCTGAGCAAAAAGATCCTGTGCAGTAAACCGTTCAGCCTGCTGGGAAACAGAAGAGCTGTAAGTGTTGACTACATCCCGGCCCTCCGCTGCATCTGTCGTTATCAGAGAGCAGCGCACACAGAGGAGCCAGACAGGTGAGATAGACACAGTTTGTTCGAGCATATACTAATTTATAATCAATGGATGATTTAAAAAATAAACAAAAATACAGTTTTTTCTGTCATTGTGGTAAAGGCAGTTAGACAAGGAAAAGCTTCCCCAATGAGTTACCATCACTTTGTGTTAAAGCTGAGAGGTTAAAGTCTTGTCTGAGTTTTTCACATAATTTTGTCTAGGGCTGGGCGATATGGCCTCAAATCAATATAACAATATATTGAGCAGTTCACCTCAGTAACGATAGAAGGACTATAACTACTCCTAAAGCTGCTCACCCCCTCCCACAGTAACTTCGTCTACTCCAGCTGCTACAACTTTTAAATCGTCCTCCATCTCCTCACCTGTCTTTCCCTCTTTGTTATGGACTGGAGTCATGTCTCTGACGTAGGACAACATCTTAAGGGGACATGAGACCATGGCCTATGACTCTCATCCAAAACCAACTTTTATTTATTTGACACCAAATATACCGACATGGGCAAAAAGACATTGGTTATTGTTGTAAATTCCAGTATCGGTAAATTTTCGTTTAATCGCCCAGCCCTAATTTTGTCTATTCAAATCAAATTTAACATTTACAGATAAATTCTCATGATCTTTCCTCCACATTAGGTGTCGGAAGTACCTCAGCAGAAACCGCCTTAACCTCTCGAAGTCCATCCTTCATCTCCTGGCTGAAGATTTCTCCTAGAGTCTGTAAAAAGTCAGTACAGCCTCACTACCTCACCATTCACATATTAATCTAAACTGAAAGACTTTGCTGCTTAGATAGAGTACTGGGAATGATTTTACATGTTTGTACAACACTAAAAAGTCAAATAAAAGCTCTATTTTTTAAAATTGATTATTTTAAATTATGAAATAAACATGTTTTTATTAAGATGTTAATGACCAATATGTAAGGTTGTTTTGCACATATTTCATAGTTTATTTTGCATTTTCCAGGAGCCTTTAATTTAAGCCATCTTAAGAAAAAGGCATGTAGTTTGTGTAGTTGTAAAAAAAAAACAGCACTTTCTTTAAGCAGATACTTGTGTGTGGGGAGTGAAACAGTGCAGTGCAGGATTACAAATCCTCAAACAACAGTGAGACTGTTCACAGCTATTACTTTATGGATCATTTTACAGCAGATAAAACCCAAGAAACCCCACACTCAGTATCTGAAAATATAACAGGTGTGAGGAGTTTTGTAACAGGAAGAGCATTTGATATTGTAAACCACCACCAAATCTGTCCGAGGGAGTAAAACCCTGAATGGGCTCAGAGTTTTATTCTGGAGGTATGTTTGAGTCCATGGCTAAGGTGCAGGTCGGTCCATGCGAGGGCTAACTAGACGATTGACTGAGCAGCTCATAAAAAGCCACAGCCTGAAGCAGGGCATCACAGAGTTCCTCGCCTCCCCTCCTGGTGTTTAACTTAAAAGCGTCCCTGTACTTCAATAGCAGCTCAGGGGGGAAATTTATCCTGGGGAGCTTCTGTGTCACCGACTCCGTCATCAGCTGTCTCACCAACTGTGCCCCGCTGGTCCTCGACTCGCCCACCATGAGTCCAAAGTGACGTCCGACAGCGGTGCGCATCATGTTGAAAACTCTGTAAAGGATGGAAGCGGAATAAATTCAGCGCCCCTGCCTCTAAAAAATAAAAAACATCTAAGTCTGAGCACACTTCAAGATAATGTGTCTAGGTCCTACCTGGGAGGAATGTTGGAGTCTGGTGGTGTGTTTCGAGGCTCCAGCAGAGCGAACATCATCGCCTCTACGGTCCTCATGTGGGCCAAGATGGGGAATAAAGCTGTATTCTGGACTGAGATGGAGGATTTCTCTATTATATAGAAGTCTGCTGATGGGAGGAGGGTCACAACTGCGGAAACCTAGTATGAGAGAGGACATAATATGTAGTATGGGGATTAATATTCCATATCCAAACTTTAATCCCAGTGGCTGTTATTAAAACCTCTATGAAGTCAAGAAATTGCTGTTTTACAATTCAGATTTTGAGGTTGTACTCACATCATTCAAGTAAGCAGAGGCCATATATGTGCCCCGTAAGAAATTTGGACATTCCAGCTGCCGCCAGTCCAGTAGAGACATTCCCCGATCCACATGAGCCCAGGCAATTTTATTACTTCCACATACTATAGAGACGACATCATTGGCATCCTGAAGAAACAAAAACAATCATGGTGTTAGGAGATTGCTTCTCTGTCTTAAATGGGCAACATTTTAATAACATATAAATAGGGCTGGGCGATATGGAAAAAAGTTTATCACAATATACTGTATTTTTTCATATAAGTCCATATCAATATATATCATGAAATTTAACAGTGCTTATTGGTAGCATGTCTTTTTCAATACAATAAGCTACTGCATCTACGAGGTCTTTGTGTCTCTTCGACGTTTTGTCATAAGGCAAAATATAAGGCAAGCACCAAAATAACTTTCGTACATGTAGTCATCTTGTTTCAGGCCTCCAAATTTTGCTTTTTTCCGACTTGGTAACTGAAACGCTCGGAATTCGGGTGTGACGTCATTTTCAGCTCCAACGTTTGACTTCAGAGGTAACTTGAACGCAGCATAATTCAGCACATGATTGGAGCAACTCCCCTTTTCATTGGCTATTTGTAGAGTCTACCAAAACATAGCAGAACGTCGACTATTGAAAAGCATGTTGACTATGTTTTATATTGATATTGAGGGAAATTAATTTTCAATATATGTCGTTTTCATTTTATCGCCCAGCCCTACTTATAAGATGATTAAACCGCATGTCTGCCTCCAGGATGTGCAACAACGCAAAACCAGTTATATAGAAGAGGTCGTGGGTTTATAAGTTCCTGTACTTCTTTGTTTGATGTAGGTTTAGAAGTATCATGGAAGAAAACCTAAAACTGATTTATAAACAAGAATTTGCTGATGTTTTAGTTTATGCATGGACGAGGAATAGCAACCAATGCATTCATACAGCAAACAATGATGAGTGAAGGCTTCAGCATTGGTGATGGACCTCAGTGCTCTATCATACACAATGTCTAGTGCAGTGGTTTTCAACTGGTTGGATGGGTCACGAACAGCTGGTCAAAAAGTAAATATTTAAATGTTCCAGATGTCTTTTATTTAGAAAAATACCTTATTAAAGGCACATGTTATGCCGTGGTCCTCCTCGGTTTCTTTTGTGGTCTTTATTTTGTGCAATTTGATATTTAATGTTTTAATGTTTTCTGTATAAGCAACTTCAGTAGTTGTCGTCCTCAGTTCATGTGCTCTGAAATGCACTTTACTCATTAAAATGGGTGTATTTATGTTAAAGACTTTATTTTTTATAAACAATAAATTTGCTGGTTTGAATTTTATAAAAGTGGGTCGCGACTTAAGGACCATGGGAAAATGTGGGTCCCAGAGTGAGAAGAGTTGAGAACCACTGGTCTAGGGCACGCATAGTGATAGTGACTCTCACCTCCAGCCAGGACCTGTCAATTTCCGGCCTGATGAACTTGGCGAGCTGAATCCTCACTTTCTTCTCCTTCTTCTCTGGGTTGAGGATGGAGTTGAACACTGTGACTGCACTTTTGTGCTTCAGCAGAGGAACATTCACCACACTCTCCAGAGTTTTAAAGGGCCCGTTTTTAGTCCTGTACTCCACAATGTTGAGGGACTTCCTGCCCCTCAGCAGCTTGACTCCGGCCAGCTCTGCCAGGGTGCCGGTGTTGAGCCGGTGGAGGATGGTGTCTCGTTGCTCAGAGGTGTAGCAGGCATCCAGAGGTCTGGTGTCTTCTTTGCAGGCCTCAGAGCTGCTGGAGGAGAAGGTGGTGTCCAAGGTCTCGAAGCCTGCCACGGGGACCCTGCTCCGCCAGCAGCACGTGCACTGGAGATACTGGAGGTCCAGCTCGGGGAGGGAGGCCTGCTGAGGACGACGGAACAAACCAGAGCGTCCCACATAGTGACCTAAAGAAGTAAACAAACAGAGACAAGAGGAGTGAAGTGGATCTGTGAGGTTTGATCAGAAAACAACAACAAATGATGAAGAGTGGATCTAACTCTCTTTTTTAGACTCTCTATAAAAGGATTCGGTTAAAGTAAAATAATCTAAAAACATCCCAGTATTTGTGTTTTGGAAATGTCTAGTTCAAATCTAGTTTGAGTTTTGAATTAAACCTCATATCGACAGAAAGTCAACGACAAACTATTTCTCAACAAATGTGTACCTCTCTGTGGGACGGACGAAAGAAAGCGCCTGGCGACCCACATAATCATCGATTACAATAATTTAACAACCTTTTTCAACAATATCATTATAAAGCTACAACTACTTTGCCCTTCCGCTGCTGTCCCACAGTTTCAAATTGTCTGGTGTGAAACTGAAGCGCGGCTTCATCAGTTCCGGGCCGGCATTTTTCTTCTTCTTGGTTTTATTGGCGGTTTGTGACCAGCTGTAAGATACTTCGACGACACCTACTGGTACAAAATGAGCAAAAAAGGGAGAGATTCACATTCGAAGTCTCTCTGTTTGTTGGTTCCTTTGAAATCATCTTTTCATTTGCCATATCTTTTACCCAGGGGGCTTCTTTTCTCTTTTGTAGAAATACAGGCGTAGACTATCACTGCTCTCTAGAGGTACAGAGAAACTAAATCTATGTTTAGTCTAACAATCACTAAAATTTTGAATATAAACATGACATAAAAAAATACATATTTTTTGTGGTTAAATCATGTTTCTTTTATATATTTGCCAAGTATCACAACCATGTAAACACATAGGGCTTTTTCTTATCCTTTACATTTTCAGCACAAGTTTTACTTATGATAAACTACAGACAAAGGAGTTAATAATGGTTATTAAAACATTAAAACTTCTGTGTTTAGGAGAGGAAATAATGATGTCAGTCTTTAAATGTGTGAATATAGAGGCTGTGCTTAAATTCACTTCGAAATACATTAGAAAATATCATCTGGACTAAAATTTCCCAATTTTTCTCACTGTTATTCAGACTTATTTGAGGGTCTAAGTAACAGGAAAAGTACTGAGTTTTTAGCACATGATCAGAAAATACTTTTTCTGTTTTAATCTAAAAACAAAACTGCTGATCAGCACTCCCTTTATGGGAAGAGTAAAATGCCATCTCCACTTAATTCACAACATCAAAACAGAACAGCACTCCTTCAATCAAACTAAGGACTTTCTTCTTGATTTTTGTGAAACAAAACTGAAATGAAGGCCTGCTTCCTTTTTTCTTACAGACGGGTCACGAAAGAGCACCCCTCAAACCAAAACCAACATCTTTTTACCATATATAAAAAAATGAAATCAGAAGTGTTATCTGAGTATTCTTTTGTCTTCTTTGTAAAACAAAAGCACTGAGCCAGGATCCTCAACACTAAAATCATGAGCTTCGCTCTCTTTTTCTAACAAGTACACAGAGAAAAACTTCTTCAAATCAAATCTGAGGTCTTTCCATCTGGCTGTAAAACAAATATTTTGCAGCAGCACTCCTTTAACCCAGCACCAGGGTCTTCCCTTTTTGTTTTCTCTTAATAAAATCAAAGTGCAGCCCTCTTCAAAATTAAACATCAAGCTGTATAACACTAAGACTTAGCCAGGTTTCAAAACAAAGGTCCTCTCTTTTCTTTTTCTTTCATATTTTCTCATTTTATTACTTTTCCCCATATGAAAATAGGATGGTGAAAGGAAGAGCACTGGCGCCTCATGAAGTTGTTGGTTTTGAATCAAGGTGGAGAGGAGCGATGGGTCTGTTTGTGCTAGAAGTTACATGACAACTAACTTTAAGTAGTTGCCAAGTTTTTATAAATTAGTATTCAGCTAATCGACTGCGTATAATGTTTCTCATTAGATTCATAAACTCATGAACTCATGAAGAAAGATGCTTGAAGACAGGTTGTTGTGTACAGTGAACATTATAATCTGTAATGCAAACAGCTCAAGCATTTCCTGTCTGAATGAGTTACCAACTCAGTTAAAACCGGCTGGGTAATAAATGTCAGCATTATTAACCATTTCATGTTACATTGTTGGCGACTTTAAAGGTTATTGAGGGTTTTTCTTTTATATGTGATGAGTAATTTTATACTTTTTGTACCTGTTACTTTTTTAGCTGAGATTTTCTTCAAATTTGCAGAAAACAAAACTGAAAATCTCCACAGTGAATCTTATCATTTTAACTGCATATCTGGAGGGAACAATAACCCAAAATGTTTCCATCTAAACCAGTCTGCGCTGTAATCATCTCACAATATAAATAGTAATCATTAATCCGTCACTAGGATCATTTCTTGTCCAGTAACACCTTGTCCAAACTAGTCTCACTTTGAGTTTTCTAAGCATTTCATAAAAATCTATCAGCTTAAATTTGTAAGTCAATCAGCCTCTTTCACATTGACGCCTCTCTCACTTCCTTTCTCTGTTATTTCTGGACCGCTGCATTTGTGTGCAGAACAATATACTTCATGTTGCTGCGCGGTTGAGGGGAAATGCAGGGCCACTAGCTGTAGAGAGGAACTTGTTTTTCTCTGGCAATAGAGCTGAAATGCTTTGCATGAATCAATGTGTTGGATTAACATGGATTTAGTATTGTGTCGCTCTTTTATTTGGACTCCACTGTCAGTCTGACAGGAGTACATGAGCTCACCTATGGCAAATTTGGAAAGAAACAACAAGATCCTGCTTGAGTTGGTGCAACGGCCAGGTAACAACGTTTGTGCTGACTGTAGAGCTCCTGGTGAGTACACGGACAAAGGTTCATACTCGGTATTCATTTTCATGTAATTTCCCATTATCAGACAGCTTTAACGTGTATCTTTGATCTGAATTTACGTACATAAATGTTATAATTAAGTTTTAGGAATAGGAATGTGACCTGCATACGAGGCGTATATCTAAAATAGAATATAATTTGATTAATTAAATGAAAGTGATGCTACTACACTTCATAAAGGGAAGTGGCAGATACAGTGTTTTCTTTGGTATTACCTTACTGTTCCTCTTATACCACCGAACCACTGACAAAACAACACTCTAACAGATGAAGTGAAAACTGACAGTTCAGATGATTTGAAGAGCCTATTAGCTTTCAAAATAACTTTTATTATCACTGCTGTGATCCATATTTGTTCCTCAGAGAGTATGTAATGCATTTCCATCGGGTGGGAAACTTCTTTCATGATATTTCTGCTCACAGAGCCTGACTGGGCCTCCTGCACTCTTGGTGTCTTTGTGTGCCTGAACTGTTCAGGGTTGCACCGTAATTTGACGACAATCAGCAGAATCAAATCCATCCATCTGGATCTTTGGGAAGATTCACTTGTTGAGGTATTGGTTCCTAGTCTGTAATGATGTCGAATTGATAGTTACCATGGTTATTTGATCCACATTTTTAAACATGTAAATGTTTATGCTGGTCGCTTAATATTTGAGTCAACTTGCTTAAACTTTTACTGTCCTACATGCTGTGGTTCAGTTCATGAAGGAGAGGGGGAATTCTGCAGCCAAAGCCATCTACGAGAAGTGTGTTCCTGTCTTTTACTACCGGCCGCAGGAAAAGGACTGCATGTGAGTAGTTATTTGTCTGTTCACCATCTTTTCACAAACAGGAACAAAGTTATTGTCTATGGTAGAGCAAATGGCAGTATGTTGATGGTATTCACTTGACTTTGGAGGATAAGTGATAAGTGTGTTGTTCTGATTTTCAGTGTTCTTAAGGAACAGTGGATTCGAGCGAAGTATGACAGGAGAGAGTTCACAGGTGAAAACGTCCTCTATCAGCACGCCTACAGCTCCGGTAATCCTTCTGGACTTATAAATATGAATGAGTCTTTCCTCTTTTCTATTTTGTCGTCACGCTCTGCAGTTTTCTCGTCTTTTCTTTCACTATGTATCCAACTCAGAAATGTTCGAGGCAACACTGTGGAAGAAGGGCAAAGACAATAAGCAGTTTCTGAAAAGGATCTTCCAGCTGTCCCCAAAAGATTTCACCCTGAAATATTTCATCAAAGAGGAGGTGAGAGCTCTTTTTTTTTTGCCACGTCCTTAATTTCATTTTTTGCCTAATTATTTTTCTAATCATTTTAAGTCCTCACATCTCAACCTTTACATCAAATTGAAGTCCAAGGTTCCTAAAGCGGTCATTTCCATGAAAGATCTGAACGCAGTTTTCCAGCCGGAGAAAATTGCTCACAATCACGGGCTGCAGATCTCTTACCAGCAGGGGGAACACACAAGAAATCTGTTTGTGTATCATGAGAGAGGACAGGTGAGATCAAGTGTTGCTGAATTTTCTCTTTTTAGCTTGAATGCAGTTGTAGAGATACAAAATCCCATATCTAATTTCTTACAGGTGATTGTGTCCTTGTTCAACGCAATCCGTGCAACACGCTTTGCATACCTGCGGAGGAAACATCCCACACTTCGAACCAGTGAAGTGAGTAAATATCTGAAAACTCATAGTTACAGAGAGATTATTTCAGTTTCAGTCATTTAATTGTGCTTTTTTTTTGCTTTTCTTTGCACAGTTATTACCTAAAATAACAAGATACTGTCTGAAAGAGGGCTACATGGAAAAAACGGGCCCAACGGTCTGTAACCTTTAAGAAATATGACAGAAAATGATCGGGTCTAGTCGCACTTGCACATACACTTAATTAAAATGATGTATCTGTCTTTCTGTTTCAGCACCGAGAGCCGTTCAAGAAGAGATGGTTCACACTCTGCTTGATGGCCCGAAAGCTTCTTTATTACAAAACTCCACTGGTAATAACAGATCATTAAAGCGACTGATAATGTTGTCATGACTGTCAATCAACATCTCTGTTCTGTTTCTGTCAGGATGCTATAGAGTTGGGCGCTGTCTTCATCGGCTCGGAGAACCACAGTTACTCTGTCTCGGAGAACAGCTGCCGCAGCTCGAAGAGAAGCCGGTGGAACTGCGGCATCACGCTCCACACCCCGGGCAGACAGTTTGTGTTCATGTGTGAGCAGGAGCAGGAACAGAGGGAATGGCTGGAGGCCTTCACGAAGGTCATCTCTCAGCCCATGACCCCAGAGGACTATGCCAGTAAGACACTGATGAAAAAGAGTTTAAATTAGATTCATCTTTATGTGAATAACCACTCTAACTCTTTTTTATCTTTGCTATAGATGAAGCCAACATGAAGAGGGGGAGATGACTTTGACACCTCTACCTTGACGCATACTAGAAACTGTCTCTTGAACTTTATGCAAGGTGGTTACCACAGTGATGCAGCAAATATTTATTCCTTGCATTTCTTTGTATTTAAAATGACAAGCTCCAGTGTTTTTGTGGGTTTATTTGTGTTTTTTTTTACATATATATATATATATATTTAATGTTTTTTAACCTGTTTTGGCATGAACCTAAGAGCACTACGATCATGCCTAGTCCTCCGTACACTGAGTCAAATTGGCATCTCTAGTTTGCACATTTTAAAAGCTTTGATTTTGTCTTTCTCACACACTTGGCTGTCAACATGAATTTATAACAGTGAAAGTTGTACATAATTTCAATAAATTTGATACACAACCAGTACAGTCTTAAAACACGTACATAAAAATTCTGGAGGAGTAGTGTGTCTGTTTTTGAGCATAGTGTGTGAAATAGATTAACTGTTTATGATGGCACAAAGAGCTGAGATACACACAAGAGCGTAGGGGTTAGGGTCTGGAGGGGTCAGGAGAACAAGTTTAAGGTGTGGACTTGATCTCAAAAGTCCTAATCCAATCAGCAAATGTGGGATGAGCTGGATTACTAAATCTGCTCCATGGAGGCCCCACCTTCATTTCTAGGACATAAAGGATCTGCAGCTGATGTCTTAGTGCCAGGTACCTCAGAGCACCCTCAGGGGTCTTGTGGAGTCCAAATGTGTTATCAGGTTCTGACGGTTCTGACCTGAGAAAGGGCCCCAACAACCCAAGAGGGGCCTCCACAACATGAAGCAGGTGTTCATAATGTTATGACTGATTGGTATGAGTAATCTTGAAATACTTCAATAGAAAAGGTAAAACAAGATTAATAGAGGGATTTTACTGAAGAAATGACATTATAAAACAGAAGGTGAAAAACAGAAAAACAAAAAAACACCTAGGCTATCTTAAATCATTCCTCCACATTGATGTAATTCCTTCCCTGAAAATGAATGAAAATGCATTTCTACTCTTGTTTTGACATTCACTTTTACATTATTCTGCAGATTTAATACTTTTTATAATGGGTTATGCTGCTATTTTGACTGACAAGCGCTGTGGAGCTCATCCCAATTCTTCCACCACTCTTAGTATGATCATGTTATCCAGTAAGAAATACATATGAAAAATTACAAAGATGTAATCTGCATTTTAAAGGGATATTCCGTCTTAAAATGATTTAGGGTCAAACACACCATAACACAGAGTTAGACACCTTCTCGAGAGATGAATGTTGCTGACCGCTTGCTTCTCTAGTTATACCAACTTTAGTAACGACCGCAAGATAACAGTACACAGCGGTCTGAGGAGCCAGAAACAAACCTCAACCAGAAAGTCACTCTATAGACATAAATAATTCTCAGAACAGCACCTAACTTCATCAACAGAACATACAGAGTCCCAGCCACAGTACTAGCCATCGAACATCTTTTTAACTTTGCCTAATTTCTATAGCAAAGAGACTCAACACAACTCACCTACTCTCTTCCAGCAGCCGCTTGTTTGTTGCAAGACGTCGGGCCAGTCCATTATGGACTGCAGCAGGGCAGCGCAGCTCAAGGAAGAATATTTACGATCATGTTTCCATGAAAATGAAGTCAGCGCTATGGCTGGGACTCTATATGTACTGTTGATGAAGTTAGGTGCTGTTCTGAGCATTATTTGTGTCTATAGAGTGGCATTTTGTTTGAGGTTTGCTTATGGCTCCTCAGTGTATTGCTATCGTGCGGTCGTTACTAAAGTTGGTATAACTAGAGAGGAAAGCTACCAAGAAAGCAATATTCATCTCTCGAGGGGGTGTCTAACTCGGTGTTACGGTGTGTTTGACCCTGTGTTTACGTCGGAATATCCCTTTAAGTACGCAAGACAAATCTCATCCATGTGAATCTATGACTATCTTCAACGCTGTGGCCCACAGGCACACTCATCTTCGTTCAATATGCGATCTTTGCTGTTCTCACAGTCAGCTGAGCCTGAAGGGGCGTGGCGGAGACATGCTTGCTAGCGCATAGGCCGATAATTCTGTTAACTGTTGAGTTGATGTGCAGATGAGCCGATTGACACATCATCGGAACCGCTCACTGACAGACTGACCGAGCCTTTGCAGACGGGGATGTACTGAAAACAGCGTGTTGATCTCCTCTAAGTAACAGTTTGGCAGTGTCCCTCTCACAGTGCAGTGTCTCTGTTTTCTAACCACTGTGAACTGAAGCTGAAATGCGAACGTAGCTGTTAGCAAGCGAGCCAGGCCGTGGAGAGCTGGCTGGCTGTATCCTTCACACAGACGGGAGCATAAATGTTTCACACAGCCCTGTCTGACGAGTCTGTCGAAGCCGGAGAAGATGCGCAAAGACGTGAGGATACTACTGGTGGGAGAGCGTAAGTAAAGCTTGGGATGGTCTGAGGGGTCGTCTGCAGGTTTGAGTGTTCACGGATGCTACCAGCTTCAGCATGTGATGCTGCTGACAGACAGACCAGGGTCTCATAGTGATGGTTTTGGTTCAACTCTGAAGTTGAAGCAGGATTTCTGTGATTCTGTTTGAAGGATGACTTATTGTTGTGCAGCAAGAAATCCTATTAAAGTCAGACAAGTGCAATTAAATAGATTAGTTATTTTATGCTCTATATAAGATATTATTCACACTGGCCATTTACTGTACTGTTTCTTACGGTGGCCGAGAACTGCCACTGCTACAAATAAAAAAGAATGCAAAAAAAAAAAAAAAGAAGTCACAGCAGAAGTTACTGGTGCAGAAAAATAAAAAAGCCCACTGTAAATAATAATAAAAAAAAATAGTGCAGATAAAAAAAAATTTTTTTAAGCCACAACGGAAGTAAACAACACAAAAAAAGTGGTGGTGGAAAAAAAAGTTACTTACTGCGAAAATGAAAGGATACAATTAAAAAAAGCCATAACGGCTGCAAATTAAAAAAAAAAAAGCGTGCAGATTAAAAAAAAGCCACAACGGAAGTTAACAACTCAAAAAAAAGTGGCATGGAAAAAAAAAGTTACTAACTCCAGAAATAAAATGATGCAAATAAAAAAAAGCCACAATGGAAGTTACTGACACAAGAAAAAAGAGACCTAAGCCCACTGCTAAAAAAACAGAACAAAAAAAAAACTGTGCAGATAAAAAAAAAGCCACAATAGAAGGTAACAACGCAAAAAAAAAGTGGTGATGGGGAAAAAAAAGTTACTTACATGTTTTTTTTTTTTTTTTTGCATTGTCACTTTTTTTTTGCTTTGGTTACCTCCATTGTGACTTCTTTTTTTTAATTGCATTCTTTTTTTATCTGCAGCAGTGGCAGTTCTCAGCCATCGTTGTTTCTCAATATTTCGTCATTAAATTTTCTGTAATATTGAAATCAAGTAGGTAAATTCCCAACAGATTCCCCTGAATTTACCTCCGTGACACAGGGTCCTATTTTTGTAGGTTTCTGGCTTATTAAACTGCAAGTTAAAAATACTCTGCGATGTCCATTATGCAGAATCTGTGTCACTGTCATGTGGCCTGAACAGCTCCACCACAACATGAGTCTAACCATGTTAAAATGTTCCTTAAATGTTATTATGGACTGTAATGAGGCTGTGCAGATTCATCCACAGGAGGATCCGTTTCTGTACTCACTTCTCTTGTCTGTCTCTCTTAACAGCCAAAGTGGGCAAGACGTCTCTCATCATGTCCCTGGTCAGCGAGGAATTCCCAGAAGTGGTATGGATATATTTTAAAAAGTATAAATTTGATGCTCTTTTTTTGACCAATGAGAATCAAGTATTTAACACAGCCAGGTAACACAGCTCTCCATCAGCTGTAAACATATCTCACAGTTCTGTTATTCTGCTCCTAGGTTCCCTACCGAGCTGAGGAAATCACCATACCTGCAGATGTGACACCAGAGAGAGTTCCCACACACATTGTGGATTATTCAGGTACTTCTTTGTTTGAAAACTTCCTCCAATTGTTTTATATTTTACTCAAACCAGTGCTGTAAACTTGATAAACAAGTATCAAACTTGTCTTTAAATTGAGAAAAGTAAATCTTTTTTTGTTTTAATTGTTGTACTCTTGTCATTCTTGCACAGAGGCGGAGCAGACAGATGAGCAGCTGTTTCAGGAGATCTCTAAGGTCAGTCAGAGTTTGAAGCTTTTCTGTTAACATTCAAAGATGTGCTGAGTTAAGGGAAAAAGCCTAATGGACTGTCTGTGACGCTCTCTCACATAGGCAAATGTGATTTGCATTGTCTACTCAGTCAACAGCAAAAAGTCAATCGAGAAGGTGAGCCACCTCCGCTGGTATCATTTCCATATTTTGTTTGTTTAACATGTTAACACTATCACTTGTGTAAATAAAGAGCTGTCTCTCGAAACGTGGATGTTATTAAATGATTCATCTTTGCACCGTCTGTTTTCACTCAGGTTACCAGCCACTGGATTCCCCTCATTATTGAGAACACAGACAAGGACAGCAGGTATGAACCTGTGTGGAAGGAAAAAAAAGACTGTTTGTTTGAGTTTGTCTACCTGCAAAAAGAGGTTTTCTTTTTTAGTAACAAAAAGTCATTCATGGAAGTCTGTAACTTGGAAAAGATGAGTTATCCTCACAGGGTGGAAAAGTGAACTCAGCCTTCAGGAGAGCAGGATTTTAAATGTAAAAGAAGTCCTTGCAAGTAACATCTGCTAAATTCTGTGTTATATCTATTCGTATGAATAATTTCCAGGGTTCCTCTGATCCTGGTGGGGAACAAATCTGATCTGGTGGAGCACAGCAGCATGGAGACCATTCTGCCCATCATGAACCAGTACAGTGAGATAGAGACTTGTGTTGAGGTGAGAGAAACGGACTTTTCTATGAAGCATTGAATGGTTTTGGTTTGGTCCCCTAGACAGCGTCATTGATTATTACAGCAGACAACAGACAGCACAGGTATGTTGCTTAAGCTCTATAGGGGAAGTAAACGTAAATGGAAATCAATAACTTCTCCTCGTGCCACTGTTTGAACAGATAAGGAAGATTCATGACCTGTTCTCAAATAATCCAGAGTGTATATTGTAGAGGAAAAAACGATCAAAACCAAACAAGCGAATGAATACAGGTCTGAGTTTTAATATTCTCCTTCTGCAGCTTTACAAAAGTTGATTTGTTCGTCAATAAGGGGGAAAGCTAACTGCAAAATATTCTTGATTTTGATCAGTTTAAGTTATTTTTAAGAGAATATGTGAGTTATTTCCAGTTTCTTGAACCTTGGGATTAGCTGCCTTTCTGTATTATTTATGACAGACTCTAGTTTCTGGTTTATAAAGTGGACTAAAATATGAAGATGTTCCTCTGAACTCTAAAATGACAGTGTGCATTTTTCTACTATTTTTGTTTGACACTAAAAGACCTAATTACTAATCCTTAAAAGAATCAGAGGATTAATCCATAATAGCATTAACTGTCACTTGGCGACCTGGCTCACTGATAGCATGTTGAAGCCTTGTTGTATGTTTATGATCCTCTCCATCAACCAAAGCTGAAGACTTGTTTCTTATTACTAAAGCTTTCAAAGTTCACACTGTGAGGGACGTGTGGATAAGCAGGCTGTGCCGACATTTTCTACAAGTTCTCACTAATGCATATTAGAAAAGGGGACTTAGGTGTAATCCTCAGTTGAACGCAGTGAGATGTTGAACTAGTGAACTCTTGAGGTCTGCAGCTTATAGATAATCTATATCTCCTTACAGGGCTGTACCTGTGATTTTTCAGACCGGTTAATGAGATGGGCTTGTTGCTCAGACAGATCCTGTGTGTTAATACCCTGTCTGGCCATGACTTAACTAACACACACTCACACACCTGTACACAGTATATAAAGACATATACACACAGAAACTCACGTAGATGAACTCAGACAGGTAGGTAAACAAAGATTGGCCCGACTTTGCATCACGTCTCGGCTTGTGCCAGTGTTGTAAAGGTGTAAAGGTTTCTGTTTGGATCAAGATAGAAGTTACACTTAGGGCTGGGTGATATGGGGAAAAAGTTTATCATGATATATTTTTTTTCATATCAGTCGATATTTATGTATAATAATAATAATAAATGTATTTGTATAGCACTTTTAAAAACAGAAGTTTACAAAGTGCTTTGACATGTAGTCACATGTAGAAAAAAGACATAAAAACAAAACGCTCAGTTAAAACGAATTGAAGGTTATTTTCCTGTCATAAGGAACCCAGACAATACAAGAACCATGCAACATAAAATGAGACCATGTGGACCAAAATAAAAACATAAAGTAGTTAAGAAAAAAGAAAATGCAATTAAAAGGGGGGTCAAAAGCAGAAACAGAATAGTAAATATAAAGGGCAATATCAACAATGATAATAAAATAATAACAGGTAGCACTGATAATAATAGTAATGATAAAATAGAGCAACAGAAATGAGCAAGAGATAAAACAATAAAAGGCCTAAAAGGTTAGTTAAGAAAAGAGTACAAGTATAACAAAAGCTAAAAAGACAGTAAAGCCGAAATAAGATAGAGGTAAAAGAGATAAAAGATAAAAGACGATATGAAAAAATCACTCATAAATGTTAAATGTTTCCTGTTACTCTTATATGAAATTTAAGTGCTTATTGGTCGCATGTCTTTTGCAATAAAATAAGTTACTGCATCTGTGAGGTCTTTGTGTCTCTTTAATGTTTTGTCAGAAGGCGTTGCACTAGAGAAAGTGGAGTGAATGGTCAGTTCAGCAAACTGGAGCAACTCCCCTTTTCATTGGTTATTCTTATAGTCTACCAAAACATTGGAGAATGCCGGCTATCAAAAATCATATTGACCGTGTTTCATATCGATATCGAGGGAAATTAATTTTTGATATACTGTATATCATTATTGTTTTATCGCCCAGCCCTAGTCGCACTACATGTTTGGGTGAATTAACCCCTTTTCCCCTTTTTTCTTCTCTTGTTCTTTTTCAAGTGTTCAGCAAAAAACCTGAAGAACATCTCAGAGCTGTTCTACTATGCTCAAAAAGCAGTTCTGCACCCCACAGGACCTCTCTATTGCCCCGAGAAGAAAAATGTAAGAGTGAAAATCTTACCATGTTTACTTACATCTGGAGTGTCTGGTATCTTTATTGCTTTAGTTATATTTTGGAGAACTGTCATTCTACATCTACAATCTTCTATGTGTGGTTTTTCATTTCCCGCTGTGATTTCCAGATGAAGTTACTTTGTGTAAAAGCTCTGACCCGGATCTTCAAAATTTCTGACCTGGACAATGACGGGATTCTGAACGATCATGAACTTAACTTCTTCCAGGTGAGTCAAATCACGCCTAATAACCCCGCATAGTTGGATTAAAAGTTTTAGAGCTTTTCTTTGAATGCCAGGTTTGGCTTTCTCATCAAAGGCTTCTGTGTCTGATTTCTCACAGCGGACGTGCTTCAACACCCCACTTGAGCCTCAGGCGTTGGAGGATGTAAAAAATGTGGTGCGGAAGAACATGAGTGATGGTGTTTGTGACAACGGACTCACTCTGAAAGGTGGGAGTGGATTGATGGGCCTTCTCCACCCCTGTGTATACAATCATCACTTCTTCACTTGACTGATGTTTTAATGATATTTCTCCTCAGGCTTCTTGTTCCTCCACACCCTTTTTATCCAGCGAGGACGCCATGAAACAACGTGGACAGTGCTAAGGAGGTTTGGATACGACGACGACCTGGAGTTAAATCAGGACTACCTCTTCCCTTCGTAAGTCTCGACCTCCTCCTTCTATAAACCGGTTTCGGTGTTTACAGATCAAGCTCACACATGTTTGCTTTGCGCTCCACACGAGTGCCTTGACATTAATATTAACCTTGCGATGTTTTTCTTAGGTTAAAAATTCCTCCAGACTGCACCACGGAGCTCAACCACAATGCCTACCTCTTCCTCCAGAGCGTCTTTGACAAACATGACAAGGTATAATCTGTGCGCCTGCTTCTGTTTTAACTTGAGCCTCTGACCCGCCGAGGCCTTTACAAAAAGCTAATCAGTTACAAAACCAGAATACATTGGCACAGTTAGGGCCGACTGCCCGCTGAGACCTGATTTAACTCCTTGTCTGTGAGGAGGGATTGTCAGGAGAATTAGCTACGAGGTTAGAGTGAAAGCCAAAGTGGCAGCTAGGGCCAGGATCTGCTTTCTGTCCGAGTGATTAGAGTCCGACGGTGAATGTATGCTTCAGAGTATCCTGTTAACCTCCTCAGCTAGAAATGACCGGAAGCAGTTTCACTCACAACTAATCTTTAAAACCCGGTCGGAAATAATTCCTGCCCTTAATACCAAATGTGAGAAAAACAGCAGAACGGCGCTGCGAAGGACAAGAAACTTCAGGTTTCATTACACATCTAAAGACATATCTATTTCATTCAACAACCCTCTCTTCGCCACTTGGTCTCTTAGCTCTGACTCAATTTGTGGCTCGGACAGGAAGCCGCTGTCATAAATCCTCTATTGCCCAGTATGAAGGCCCTGAAAAGAGGGCTGTTGCTTCCAGACGCCGTATTGTTGTCAGATGAAAATGATTGAATTTTTCTTCCCTCCTGTTTCGTCACCCTCAGGACCGTGACTGTGCCTTGTCACCAGAGGAGCTGAGAGACCTGTTTGATGTTTTTCCCTACATGCCCTGGGGTCCAGATGTCAATAACACAGTTTGCACTAATGAACAAGGATGGATCACATACCAGGGATATCTGTCCCAGTGGACGTAAGTAACTGTTAATTGTATTAAACAAAACAACAACAATATTAATAGGGTGGTCCCAATATGATACTGATATCGGATTATATCAGCCTGGATCTAAAACTCTGATACCAGTACTCCGATACAAGCGGCCCATTCCAGACTCCGCTCCAGCACCTCTATCCAGCAGCGCCCGGTTCCAGCATGTAGAGCCCATGTAATCACAACAACAGTGTGTACTTAGGTACTAACACAGTAGCAAGGAGTAGGAGTGATGTCGGCAGTATTTTTTGTTAAAGCCCGAAAAAGACATTGCAGCTAAGTGCAAAACTTGTCATGCACAAGTTTGTCCCAATATCGGATCAATATCGGTATCAACCGATACTGAAGGCTACAATATCGGTATCATATCAGAAGTTAGGGACACCCCTAAATAACAACACTAGCATAAATAAAATCATTATTTTCCTCTTAGTAGCTAAATATCAATAGAACTGGTTTTGACCACCAAAAGTACATCTAGCCATATAATTTAGAAAAGAGGCCACACTCACGGTCATGTTTTTCAATAACAATCGCTGATTGAAAATTAACAATAGAACTATAATTAATTGAAAGAGTATTTTAGGATTTATTGTAAGTTGTTTGCAGAGACCAGGGTCTCTGTTTGCAGATCCTGCTGAAGACCCCAGGCCTTTATTTGAAGCAGGCTTGTATCAGGGGCAGGCCTTTGTATTAAATTCTCGGTCTGAAGAGTGTAATTATTCACACATGTTAGTACAAAAGGATCGAGTGTGTGTAAATGTACAAACAAAACAAAACATAGTCTGATTCACAAAGCATGTGCAAAGTGTACAACTGCACTGCCGAACAAACAGTGTTTCTATGTGCCAGTGTTGTTTACATACATTTAAATGAGCCGTTATGGATTCATTTAGAGAAAGTAGACCCCTCTCTATTCAATGAGACTGACTGCAAAGAGAGACATTTTTCCATCTGTTATTAGCAGATCATTAAAAGTTTTGTCACGCTTAAAATCTTCAGTGATGATGACAAAGATTCACCTCCCGATGACATAGAAATACTATATCTGTACATGAAGTCTGTTGATACAAATCTGTACATGAAGTCTGTTGATACAACTCAGACACGACTATATTGATATTAAGGTGCCAGCGCACACAACAAACTGTTTTTTTTTAACGAGCTGTTTTTGGACAAAATTTGTGTCACATTGCTCATGAATCTACCTTTGAATGAAATGGTTAAGACTTTCCTTTCCATTCAGGTCATTGTGGACCGAATTTAGCACCATTAGGATGAGCTTGCCTTGCACAGCCTGGCCAGTACTTGGCAACTGGTCTTTATTCACTCACGTGAAATTAAGGACATGATCCTGGCTTTGATTAAGGGCCCATTTGCTGATTAAATACTGGTCTTTATTTGTGAGTTTTAAAAAATCCACAAAAAAAAACTTTTAACCATGTACTGCTTTATACATTTTTTTGTTTCAGGTTAACAACATATCTGGATGTCCAGAGATGTTTGGAGTATTTGGGTTACCTTGGTTACTCGATAGTTGCTGAGCAGGAGTCCCAAGCAGCAGGAGTTACAGGTGATTCAGAGCACATGATCTTTTCCAGGCTGATATTTAGATAAACTTGAGCTCTAGGCACAGTCAAACTTAATTTTGTTGTTGCCTACGAGGGAAAATGGCTTAATTTTAAGTGTGATGAAGTTTTCATACAGATTTATGAGTCATAATGTCACTGTTATACTCAGCGGTGGTGCTATCTGTAATTACACCAGTAAATCAATCCTCTCATTACACTGGTGATGCAACAGTTCAGGAAGAACGTTGTTGTTTACTGACAGCAGCAGCCGTGTGTTGTGCACGCTGAACCTCACAAGTATGTTTCGCTCCCTGCAGTGACCAGAGCTAAGAAGATTGACCTGCAGAAGAAACAGACCCAGCGCAGCGTTTTCCGTTGCAACGTCTTTGGAGATATTGGCAGCGGCAAGAGCGGCTTCCTTCAAGCCTTTCTTGGAAGCAACCTCATGGTATTTAACATATGATCATGCATATTGAACACGTGCAATACGTTTAAATGCAAAGGCTGCCCACATAGATATTTAACGGTGTCCTGGATATAAGAGGAAAATGTAAACTTTAAATCAAACAGCTTTATTTATATAGCAGCAAATCATTACAAAATGAGTCTGAACACATTCTACTCTGAGAACAGGTCTAGACTCTACGACACAAATACAATGTGAGGAGGAGCACTTGGCATTACAAGAAAAAATCCTTTTAAAGAGACAGAAACCTCAAACAGAGCCAGGCTCATGGCAAACGGCCACCTGGCACTAAATGGACCAAGTTAGATTAATACATGGAGGGGTAAAAAGACAGTGATGAAAACAGACTCCAATAATCAATTTATGGTTACAGTGCCAATAATAAAAGCAGAAACACACCAAATATTATCAATAACAACGAGAATAATGACAATAGTTGAGTGGATGACACTTAATGCTGCAATTATTACTATTAAAACGGGTTATAGGAACTGTAAGTCTGCAACAACTATCCAATAATCTACATTTAGAAATAGGGTTTTATATTCTTTTCTATGTTGTTTTGTCGTATTATTATCTATTTTATATTCTATATTACAATCAACAAGGAATCCGTGCAGAGAAGATATTATAGGAGATGTAGGATCTCTTCTTTTTAGTCCTTTCCTTTACACATGCTGCAGAACCTTGGACCAGCTGAAGAGTTAATGAGACTTATTAGAGCAGCCTAATAGTAGGGCATTGGAATAATGTAATTTGGACTTAACAAATGCATGGCCTTGATTTTCTGTTGTGGGACAGGATGTCGAGGGACATATCCTGGTCCAACAGAGCTTCAGCAATGCCAGGCTGATGTCATCCTGCACAGTTAGTCATTGGGAACACATTTCATGGATGTTTCGGCACAAGAACTTCATGTTAGTCTGCTTGAAGTGGCAGAAAATCGTTGGCCATGTAGCTGTGAGGTCCTCATCATATGGCTTATTGCAAATTATAACTGAGTGTCACCTGCACAACAATAAACATTTATGGAATTTAATATATGTATGTGAGGCATATATAAAAGGAAATAACTGGTATGAAGAGGACTTCTTTGTTTATATGGCCAAATTGATTGAGGCACATTTTCTTGGATATATGGGATTAACATATATACATATATACATATAAACTATGGACCAGTTTACATAGACATGTTCTCCTAAGCCTCATGTCATGATCTGTTTTGTTATTTGTCATTTCGTCTTTCTCCGTAGCGCCAAAAAACGATTAAAGAAGAGCACAGATCCTACTACGCTATCAGCACAACATATGTTTATGGCCAGGAGAAATACCTTCTTGTAAGTATCAGAACTTTTGTTATTATTTGGATATACTTGAATATGCCGTTTCCATATTCATAGTAATTGATTATTATTGCTATTATTTTAGATGATTATTTTTTTTATTTATGTATTTATTATCTATTGTTCAGTAATTTGTTGGTTCAATTTATGTTTTAATTTTTTTTAATTTTATTTATTTATTAGAACATTTTCTTTATTTACCTCTTCTGCATTATTCATATTTTCATTATTATTTTCATTACTGCCATATGTTTAAATTGTTGGATGTTGTTGTGTGAATACAAATAAAGATGTGTTTTAAAAAGATATATAAATGTTGTTTCGAAGGCAAGCTTCACGGGGGCTCAGACCATTATATTTAGCACCGCATTGTTAGTGAAGTTGTCGGCTGTGAGGTCGGCCCAGCCTCAGGTTGGCTGCACTTACCTGGCTGTTGAAATAAGCTTCTTATCATGTTCACCTTACTGCTATTGTTGAGGAAGCATTTCCACTTACTTTACAATAGGATTAGAAATCACTGCCTGGGAAACGAAAGCGTGGCTTGTTGTGTGTGGTTGAGGAGTCTATATGCTGTCTGATGGACGTAGATGTAGCAGCGTGTGTTTTGTGTCATTGCATTCACAGAAAATCCTTAAAAAAGGCTACTTTTAGACAGCCACGTTTAGTAAATAAACAACTGATTAATTTCCATCCATGTTTAAATATTGTGTTTTTGGCTCCAACACACGGCGCTTTGATTGCTCCCTATTTTGCTGAAATTCTCTCTTTTCTCCTTGAATCCACTTTGAAACAGTCGCCAGCACCACAGCTCTGTTTCTGTCAGCGCTCATAGAAAGATAACTGGACAGAAATTCTGCTCTGATGCCTCGGTTTTGTTCGCTCTTTATAACCACTGGGACTCATCTGGCTTCTAAACAAGCGAAACAGCAGCTATGCTCAGAAACGGTTAAACCCTTTTGGTGAATCTCCTCTCCTCTCCCTCCATTTATCTCTTCAGCTTCATGAAGTGTTCCCGGACTTTGACTACCTGTCTGATGCTGATCTGGCCTGTGACATTGTCTGCCTGGTCTATGATGTCAGCAACCCCTACTCCTTCGAATATTGCGCCAAAGTTTTCAAGGTAAATCCGTCAAACAATCAAAGGAAATGTAATTTGAGAAGGATTATCACTCACCACCCTGTCTTTACCTCATCAGCAATACTTCATGGACAGCAAGACTCCATGTATGATGATAGCAGCAAAGTCTGACCTGCAGGAGGCCAAACAGATGTACAGCTGCACTCCACTGGAGTTCTGCAGGAGGCACAAAATGCCACCCCCTCAATACTTCACCTGTAACACTACAGCAGCACCCAGCAGAGACATCTACACCAAGCTCACCACAATGGCCATGTACCCGTAAGTACTGAGACACCTAGTTCCTGATTTACCAAGGTTAATGAATGACATGTACATCCCATCAAATGTTGGCGTGCATTTCGCATAAATGACAAAGAGTGGGGAGAAGGCAGTGGCTTTCAAATGAAGGTTTGACTGGATTACGCCATAGACTGTATATACTATGGACAACTTGGTTCCGCCTTCCGCTCGTATACGGATTTGAAGCCTAAAAGCTCTCAGTACTTACGTTTTTTTCTCTACTTCCTGAAACCACATTGTGCAGTAGCATTGTACGCATTCGGCGGGAGAGTCGCCGTGAGTCGCTGTGATGACTCTTCGTGCGCCCATTGGCGGTATCAAGTGTCAGTCATAGAAAACATGAACCCCTTAAAAAAAGAGGACTTGAGCCAGTCTTAAACAAAACAGTCTTGCAGTATCTACATGTCAACATCGCAAGCAAGGGGAAAAAAATATATATTCTGTGGAATAAATTTCTAAAGTTTGTCCACAGCTCCATAGGGATTGCTGGAGGAGGCGGGATTTATGATCTATACTGCAGCCCGTCACCAGAGGGTGCTGTTCTTGGGGTGGATTCACTCAGTGAGGAGGCAGACGGCATCCATTACCTCATGTAGGGTTTGGACAGAAAGCAGACTGACAGCAAATGCAAAATGGAATTCGGCGAAAATGGAAAAATATCTGAATATTACTAAAGTGAGCTTGATATAGAAGAATGTGAGTGAGAAAGTAAACTCCAATAAAACAAGGAGAACAAAAGATGAAATCAAGAAAAAAACCCCACCTCAGATCAACAGACTCCCTGCTGGGCTAAAGTTTGGTGCACAAACTACAAACAGTCTGCAGCTTTTAAAGATGGATTGGAGCAAACAAGGGGGTACTCAGCCTGCTGTTAAGCACACTGGGCAGCTGGGAGGCAATGTACTTGGTCTGAAAAGTGCCACAAATGCTTGGCAAAGATGAGGAACAAAGAGAGGTGAGGTCTCCCCGTCCAACAGCAGAGTGGTGGGAAACTGTTAAGGAAGAAGAAGAGAGAGCCGGAGGAGACGAGTGTACTCGAAGGAGGGACGCACATCCTGAAAAAGTAAAACTACTGTGAACAGAAAGTAGAAGGCATAAATTGTCTTTACACTACAGTGGCTGTTTCTAAATTTAAAGATTATAGAATGGAAATTAGAAAAATATTCATCTCATGAGAAATGACTTTGATTTGGACTGATGTGTCTCTTAAGTCTGTCTCGTTCTCGTCGCTTTAACAGCAGCCATCTGTCCTCTACAGATTGAGTAATCTTGTTTAGACCACAGCTTGCTGTACTGTTGAGTTTTATTGTTGCACACAAACTTGTATCGAGTACTTGGACAATCCAGACATGAATAAAACCCGTGTCAACAAAAACTGACCCTTTACGCCTTCAGAGTCAGGATTTCTTGTTAGACATCTGTATTAGACCTAATTAGTTAAAGCTAGGAGCGCCTACAGGTACACAGCTGACATCCTCTAATTTGTCTTTTTGTGAACGATCAAAATGATGATAGCAAGATGTGGTCGATGTAATTCTAAATTGCCACCCACTAGATTAAATTTGTGCTTTCAAAAGTGTTAAAAAGGATATGAAGTTGGGTTAATGCCTCAGTCTGGTTTACTCCTAGTTGTGTTCACTCACTTTGTCCTTTTTGATTATTTGACATAAAATTTCAATTTGCATTCCCTCCAAGGATTTTCTTTTCACTTAGCGCCTCACTGCAGAAATTAAACTGTCAGAAACAGGTGGAGTTTATAAGATTTTATTTTCTCTTTGCATTAATTCTTCCCTTTTAGTTTGCAGTTGAATTTCAAAGCTGTGCCACAGACTGTGTGATTGCTGTTACTCTCTCTCCTCCTTGCCTGAGGATAAACTCTCTCCCGGTGGGGATGTTCCCACTCTCCACCAGTGCCAGTCTCAGACATGATGCACTTCAGTCTACATTAATGCACTCCACTACCCGCAGGAATTGATGCACTCTGATACCACACTGTTTTGCATTGTGGGTAAAAGGGTCCCCTGCTGAGCTGTAACATCGATCTCTCCCCTGTGCTCACACTCCAGCTGTGTGTTAGTTTAAAGTGCTCTGTCAACACACAGTCTCTCTGCACACATTTAGATCATTTCACACAGCACACCAGCCTTTATTTAATCCACAGCTTGGGTCCTGTCTCAGCTGATGACCTTTAACTCCTCACGTTATGGTGGTGACATCTTTTAACTCTTATCTCACTCTTCTTTTTCTTGTGTGTTCAATATGTGAATTGTGTGTCGGTGTTTGTCTTCCCCATATCTCTTTTCAGCCACGCCCGGCTGCGCTGCATGTGCACTTGTAACCGGTGCACCTTCTGCTTGTGTCAGAACTTCCTCAACTCTGAGCTGCTGCAGACGGTCAGGGCCAAACTCTACGCTGTTGTGCTCAGAAGGTCCTTTTTTCCAAACCTTTTACAACCATCACTGTACCTTTTGATCATCGTTTGAGATTTATTTTCATCATTACCTCATGCTTGCTCGCCTTTCATTCCTTCTCATTTTACCCCCTCTTTTATCTTCTACAAAGTCGTGTTATTTTTAGGCGTCAATTTTTAAAAATAGAGAAGATACTAAAAAAGAAGAAGAGACCCTCCTTTTGTTGTATTTTATGGCAGCATGTAAAAGTGCTTAGTTAGACACCAGCCAACAATATTTCCACAATGTGACACCATTTAAGAAAAATGTCTTTTTTTCTGTTCTTCATAGTTTCCTGCCACATTTTCCTTTTCTTTTTCCATGTTGTTTAAGTCCTTTCTTTATATTTAGTTGTAAGATCTCTGCTTTTTTCACTTTTAATCTCAGTCCTGTTTTAAATCTGTGTTGTCAGCTTGTTCTTGTCGTCCATGTCACTATGTGTTGGTTATTTCATCTTACAGAGCAGTCCCACCTTGTTGTTTTTTGTGTTATGGTATAACTTAGGGCTGGGCGATGAACCGAAAATTTACCACTACCGAAATTTATTTCAATAACCGACGTCTATATAAATAAAAGTTGGTTTTGGGTGTGTGTAGGTAGGCTATGGTCTCATGTCCCTTTAAGACGCTGTCCTACGTCAGAGACATGACTCCACCACATTCAGTCCGTAACAAAGAGGGAAAGACAGTCGGAAAGATGGAGGACGGTTCAAAGGTTGTAGCGACTGGTGCGGCGGCTGAAGTAGACAAAGTTAATGTGGGAGGGGTTGAGCAGCTTGTGGAGTAGTTATCGTCCATTTATCGTTATCAAGGTGAACTGCTCAATATACTGTGATATTTATTTAAGGCCACATCGCTCAGCCCTAGTATAACTGTATTCCGCTCGATCCTTTCCAGTTTTACTTTCTTTGCTTTGACATCTCCTTTTTTTTTACGTCTCTATAACTGATCTGCTGTCAGTTAATCCATAATTTTGACATGTTGATATTTATTTGCTCATCACCCATGCTTTCATATTTGCTTAAAACTTTTACAGTCATACATAAAATTTGTTTCTGGTTCAGACCTTACACTCCATTATTCCTCACCTCAGGCAGAATGATGAGTTACTGAGCTGTGGATCAGTCCACACAGACCCAGTTCTAAGGGGTCTGATATCTGTCTCTGTGTGTTTCACAGACATGTGAGCCAAGCTGACCTAAGGAGCTCCACCTTCTGGCTGAAAGCGAGCGTCGGGGCCACGGTATTTGCAGTTCTGGGTTTTGCCATGTACAGAGTGCTGCTCAAACCACGATGATCCTCTGGCAACAGCCGTAACTTTTCCTTTCAGAAAATGAAAAAATGTGTTAAGAATCTATCATGGTTTGTGGTTTAAGCCCCGCCCCCCACCTTTTTTTTCTTCATATGTTTTTATTTTGCATTTTCGTGCATTTCATCCTGTAGATTTCTCTTCTTGGGAATACAAGAGAAATATATTTAATTTTCTACCAAAATTGCTAATTTGCTCGATGTGTTTGCAAGTATTTGCAAAAATATGTCTATATTTATACATTAAAAAGAGTAAGCTGCTAACAAGCTGTGGTGCATAACGTAAAATATAACATATTGTCTATTAAAGTTATTTTTTCTTTGCTTGCTGGTAGAAAAGAACTATGTGCTGTTACATATACTGGGAAATTAATCTGCGCTTTAATGCTATTATTAGCCTAAATATGTAAATAGTGTATATAACATAGATACTTTAGATTTATTTGTCTTTGTCCCAAATGGCCATGCCTGATACACACTCAAAACGTTAAACGCGGAGCTATTGCTTCAGAATCTGCTCAATGATTGGCACAAATCTTAGTATTGATTACTTGCTCTGACAGCATCTGGTTTGCCTTCTAAGGACAAATGTTTGGACGCACACTTTTTGTGAATATGCAGAAGGGTCTGCTGCTCCCTACCATGTCTTCCTGTGTCTGTATCAGATCCTCTGTGCGTACGTTGGTGTATATCTGTGTAACTCAGATCTTTAAATTCTACATTTTTTTTCAGCTATTTTGCACATTTTGTGTTTGCATGCTTTAGACCCTGACCACTTTCTAGTGCTTCAATAATGACTGTACATATAGTAAAAAAAAAAAGCCTCTCCACGCTGCTGTCCAGTTCCAAGTGATTCAGGGATATCATAAAGTTAAGAAGCGCTGACAAAAAGATTACTGGGTCTTGAGTAATGGAGAAGCTAGATCGATTTGTGGTTGTGATCCTCTGTCAGCTCTCCTGATTCCAGAAGATGCAATAATGTGGCCCAAGGTATTAATTTCAGTACTATTGCCACTGCTTGCCACAAGGTTAAGTTTTATGTAACCATTTATCCCTGCCTTTCCAAACGTTTACAATAAAAACTGTCTAAAAAAACTGCAATGACTGATTTGTTTCAATGTTTACAGAGCTGGGAAACAGAATGGTTTGAGTGGACTCTGAGGTGCTTGAGGAGCTTAATGATAAAGTAGGTGGAATCTACTTTATAGTTTTAGAGCACATGATAAAACTTCAATTCAGTTTTTTCATTGTTTGGAGGAAAAGTGCCATGACATGTGAGAGGCTTTACTGAACCACAAGGGGTCACCATTGCTTTATAATGACATGAAAAAAGGAGACCTGTCTGAACTGAGTGCTGTGTTTCTAAATACAGTTTTAAACTGACACTAGTTTGTCCAGGTGTTTGGATAAGTACATCATCTTAAATATCCCTTTAATGCCTTTTGTATCATTTTTGACACATACTTTCATGATGATTCAATCAAATCAATATAATCAAGAAATTACTACAAAAATCCACCTGAACACAGTCCGATAAATGATAAAAATGTCCTCTTTTGGAGTTTATTAGTTTCCAAAAACATCTTATGTATCAAACAAGATAAATAAAAATTTTAAGGACTTTTTTTTGGTTTTCAGTAGTAAGTGAAACAAACATTTCAGCTCTGAAGAATTTTACATTTTCTGGCCATAATTTGTTTTTTCAGGCATCAAAGGGATATGAGCAAGTCTGAGAGGTGAGATGATTCTTTTAATGTGGTGATTTACATTGTTTAGTGGGAGGCTCTCTGGTATGACAGTGCAGAATAATTCTGCTCTCATCAGCAAGTAAAATAAAACACATTTTAAGCTGCGCCTTTCAGATTCATCCCTCTGTAATTTTAGGCACTTAAACTTTTATTAAAGGTCCGCACAAGTGTATTTGGAGCAGCTTTGTTTCTCCAAATCGATACTTGAAAATCAATAGAAAGGAAGTCATCACTGAGGAGCTTTGTGCTGATATCATAGAGCATATTTAGCACCTGTGAATAGCTGTCAGAGAGCATCGTATCAAAAGTTCACAGTGTTGTTAATTTACACATGAGGATATTCTCCCACTGAGTGCATTTTTCTTGCTCTAAATCTTTTCTTACTCTCTCTCCCCTCCTCTTTTCACACACTTTTCCCCGATTCCTCCCTCTTTCACGTTACAGCTGCTCTGCTGGTGTTCGCACACACCTAGCAAGAGCTCATCACGGCTGCCTTTGCCCAGTAAGTAGCACCTAATGGAAATTCCCATTGGTGCTTGTAACTGAGCTGGAGATCATATCTTTTATTCTTTTGTAATATAACTGATCAGCATGAGGGATATTATGAGCAGAATAACATTCACAGCCATGTGTTAATTTCTCGTTTTCTATCCCTTTTCATTCTGGGACATTTTACCACTAGAGCATCTTTGTAGTACTCTTTTTCCTCCTTCATACACACCTGTTTCATACACCCACATATTTTGTGTACTTGAGAAAAATCGCATTTCTCTGCTCTTCTTAGTCTAGTTGTAAAGTTCATTTGTAGTGGGCGCAAAAACGAGGCTCTGGTATAGGCAGAGAATGAAGTATATGATATATTACATTATGCAAATGCCAGCAGCTGTACAGCCTGAAGTCTTTATATTCTATTAATGAGTGCGCCACTCATCAGCAATTCAGTTCCTGAAGCTTTAACCGGGTACTGGCTGTGCAGAGAAGAAGTTCAGTTTTTGAATAGATAATAGACGCATGTGTGAGTTAAACATAAGTACTTGTAAGGCTGGTATTATTTGTATGGCTCCATTAGGCTTGTTTCCCCAGACACATAAACATGCAGAATATTGATAACTGGTCAAGGTTTACTAATCTCTGACTGTTGGGTCCTATCCTTGGCAACATTATAGACTACAACTTTAACCTGCCACTGCTGCGTAGGTGTCAGAAAAAGACCCCAAGGGTTAAAAATATCAACTGGCCGTATTGTTTCCATGGCAATGCTACCACATAATGTACCTAGGGGAGTTTCTCTATGGATACTGATCAACCTCCACACTGCAGACCACACCAACACCATCATATCATTCCTTACATGGTTCACACCTATTTATTAGTGCCGTTAGAAGTCTCTTTGTGTAATAGAGGGGTGTTTGTCTGAAATGGGGCCCCGTCATTTGGTGGATTGTTGCAGCAGACCTGGAGGGGACAGTTTATATTCTCTGACACAACCAGGAATTTACCACCATGGACACACCTTCCTATACGAACCTTTACAGCAGGCAGTTGCAGGGTTTTTGAATGCTGTTCGGGGTACATGAGGAGTTAGTATTTATGACACAGGATGAGATTTAATATGCGTGAAGCACTCTGAGGAATTGACTCATAGACAGCAAATATTGACAGGATACACAGAGAGACATTTGCACAAACACTTAGAAAAAAAGAGGGCAAATTAAAAAAAATCAAGGTGGCAGCATACGAGACAAAACTACTTTATTTACAACATTAAGAAGATAAATGAATAAAAAAAAATCCATCAAAATTTATTGAATTGGTATCTGGATGCATCTAAATTTTAACTTTTAAGTTTCAAAGTCGTCTGATAACAAGCCCATCCTCAAATGTTGTTATGACTGAACTAAGCACTCTTCAACAGTGTAATGCTGCGTGGTTTTCACATGAAAAAAAACAGCATGTTGTAATTCATTCCTGAGTACCACAGCCACACTTACAGGAGGAATATTATTGATTTTTAATTTTGACACAGCAGCTATCTAAATGAATTGCAGCAGTGGAATAACTCTATCAATGCCTGACCTGCAACCCTGTAAGAATCTCTACCCAAGATTCATTTACTGTCTGTATTACTGTCCGCACCATACTGCACATATATGCATATTCTTCAACAAGACAAAATGGCCGTCTTAAGTTACCTTTCTGTCCAACTTCTTGTCATCAGTCTAATATCACTTTTAGAGGACTGAAACTATGGAATGATCTGGATGTATCTCTAAAATCAATATTAGCCTTTAAATCCTTTAAAATATCATTGAAATCTCATCTAATCATGTCTTGAACATGTCCTTATCTGTTATGTTCATGTTTCTTTCCTTTTAATGTTTACTTATATTGTCTCTATCTCTGGTTGATGATTAGTCTATTTCTATTTATGACGATTTGTGTATTTTTTTTTACCTTTCCCTACTCATTGTAGATTTATAACCTGTCTTTGTCCTAATTACTTTGTTGTTTGCCCTGATGGGGGTGGAGCTATTGCACTGTTTTTAGTCTGTGCCAAAAAAATAAATAGAAATAGAGATAGAAATGGCTCATTTGGATATGGTTAGTTTGATTTTCACAACCACTTAGGAGAACAACACCTTTTGATTTACAATTAAGTAACTATTTTTACAGGTGTTTAGGCCAGTTAGCTGTTTCAAGGATGGTTAGATAACGACTTCTGGTTTAAAGTTTATTAAGGCACATCCAAAAAGGTGTGTGGTTCAATTGTATGGAGGCCGAGAAACGCCACTGCTGCAAATAAAAAAAAAAAATAAAAAATAAAAAATGCAAAAAAAAAAAAAAAAAAAAAAAAGAAGTCACAACAGAAGTTACCGATGCAAAAAAAAGAAACCAAAGCCTGCTGCAAATAATAAAAAAAAGAAACGGTGCAGATTAAAAAAAAAAAAAATAGCCGCAACAGAGGTTAATGAAAAAAAAAAGTGGCAAAGTAAACAAAATAAGTTACTTACTGTGAAAATTAAAGGATTTAAATAAAAAACGGAAGTGAGCTGCCGGGGACCAATAATGATGATGTTTTACGATCCAGGCACAGAAGACGACGGCGAGAAGACGAATAAAGAAGTTAGTGGAAAGGTTATTGTTTAATTTCCCTTCGTGTGCTTTTCAATCTGTCATTTGTTTAGGTCATGTAGCGTCCGAGTTGATATGAAGTTCAACTAAAGCTAACATGACACTGTTGTTTAATCCTCCAATTAAACAATAACCTTTCCACTCTTCTTCGTCTTCTGTGCCTAGATCGGAAAACACTGGCGCATCATCGTCATTGGTCCCCGGCAGCTCACTTCATTTGTTGCTTTTTTTGTTTGTTTGTTTCTTGCATCCTTTTATTTTCACAGTAAGGAACTTCTTTTTTTTTGCGTTGTTAACTTTCGTTGTGTCTTTTTTAAATTCGGCTTTGGTTTCTTGTTTTTTGCATCGGTAACTTCGGTTCCGCTTCTTTTTTTGGCATTTTTTTTATTTGCAGCAGTGGCGGTTCTCGGCCTCCATACATTAGCTATTAAATGTAACATTACAGGGCAGCATTAATCTACATAACTTTGGTGTATTGTCAGAAAACTTCTACATTTCTGCTTCCAAACCACCTCCAGCGTTTGCGCCGGTGAGACGGTTCCAACCAGCTGTTCAGTGTCGGAGTTCCTCGAAGCCCCCCGAGTGGGAGTGTCTGATGATCCCTCCTCACTGCCGGCCAAATCTCTCCCCTTTTACCTCTCCTCCTCTCTCTCTCTCTCTCACTCTCTTCGCCCCCGCCTGCTCTCTCCATCTCTTTCCCTTTTCCTCTCCGGTGTCTGTGAAGACGCATGCGGTGGTGGATTAGAGTCTCGACCGGCGTGTCCTGGAACTGAACCAGCCATCCCGGAGGAGGCGGTCGGTGTGTCCCCTCCCTCCCCTCTGAAGCTTCCTCTCAGAGCAGACGGCTGGCTGTCCCCACTCTCACGCCGCCGGCAAGGGAGCTGCGTGCCAGGTATCATGACGCACCAAAAATTGGGCACTTGCCTTGACTTTTTCCTCAGTGAGACCGCCGTGTGACTGTTCCTACGCTGTTTTAGTCGAGTTTTTTGACCGGCTGCCCCCCTAGGACAGAGCAGGCGTGTGTGACTTTTGCGGTTTGCCATCTCCGTCCCGCATTTATGTTGTTGTCAGTGTTTGATGATGTCATTATTTCGTTCAGATGGACCCGCATCTCGAAGTGAGAGGAGTCCCTCTGCCAATGCGTGTCCCCTGCCTCTCCAACTTGGACTGCTGCTGCTTTCTTTCATGGCGAGAAACATCCAGGCTTCTTTCCAGCTCAATGAGGCTCTTCCTCTGTTGACTAACAAGCCCTGGTTACAAGATTTTACTGCCCATAAATAATAGTACCGAACTATTACAAAATCAACTTTTTTTGTTTTCTGCGAATGAAGATTTGTTTGCATTGCTGTCTACGTGGAAGTAGCCTAGGTGCACTGAGATTGACTGGAGTGGGCTGAACACTTTGGTGTAATTTCACCTGGAGTTGGAAAAAAAACTGACTTGTAGTCCAAAAGAGAGGCGAGCATGATGATCGGCGTCCTCACCTTCTGTCGGGGCTGACGCACACGACGAGCGAAAAAAGGACTGTGAACCATGTGGAGGCGATCCTGAGACACTTCTCCCACGCGGGTGTATGGAGCAGAGCAGCCCCAGGATGACGACTGGAACCCGGGAGACACCACTGAACTCCTCCCCGGCGGTGGCCGCCAACGCGGAGGGAGAGGAAATCGAGGTTTTGGAGAGCACTGACGTCCTACCCATGGCGCCAGAGGACGTAAGTCTTAACGTACACTTAGGGCTGGGAAAAAGTTTATCACGATATCGATATATATCACGATATAAAAATGAAATTTAACAGTGCTTATTGATAGCATGTCTTTAACAATAGACGGGTTTCTGTGCAGCGTCGTCGCAGGTTAGGGCGCGCAGCAAGAAAGCAGGACATTTCCGATTACTAGCGTAGTCAACAGAGAAAGAAAATGACTTGTGCTGTAAACTGCACGAATCAGCAAAACAAACAATCGGCAAACATTACAACCCTGCTCCTGATATTAGAAACATCTAAAGCAACGTCACAACCTGGTAAATTGAGTAAAATTCATGGACATTTCAGCAAGTGTTTTTCTAATTTTGATGCAATGAAAGACAAAGCGATTTTTATTGCAATTGTGTCGGGGAGAACTTGCTAACAATACGGCTTCTTCATCGATATCAGTTCACTTTGAAGCTGGCTTTTGCCCCCTGGTTGTGCACGCACGGTTGTTTGTACACAAGAAACCCATTTGTACAATAAGCTACTGTCGTAAGGCGTTGCACTAGAAAAGCAGTCTGAATGGTTGGCCATTTTGGCTGCACAAGCGCCATGGGCTCCTTGCTCCGCTCAGGGTTTGCAACCTTTTGCATTGTGCGTGCTCTGCCGTGTGGCACTGCATCAGGTGGTGAAAAAGATTTGAGATATTCCCCGACTTTGCAAGAACCTGTACTTGACATAATTTGCAGTGCACATTACTCTGCTTCATGTCCGACCTCAAAAAACTAAAATACCTCCACACCACCGACGTTTTCTTGACAGTGTTGTCGACAATGTCATCATCTGTTGAGCCTTCATCTGTATTTCTGCCGGGGGTAGCACTCATTTTCTATTTTTCATACTGACAGTGCTGTCAGCTTTACATGTTGAAGTGCTATGGTTGCGTGTAGCTGCAGTTGTTTGCTGCTTGGTTCTAATTCAGCACATGATTGGTTCAGCGCGAAGCAGACCCGGAGCAACTCCCCTTTTCATTAGCTATTCGTATAGTCTACCAAAACATGGCAGAATGCCGACTATTGAAAAGGATATTGACCATGTTTCATATCGTTATTGAGGGAAATTAATTTTCTATATATCTTCCTTTTATCGCCCAGCCCTACATACACTCGTATGTGCCTCAAAAGACCCTCAAATGTGACTTCCATCTTTAATTTTTTTGTACAATTACACACCTGCACTTGCTCTTTCCATTGCACTGAAATTTAAGTCTTGTACTGAATGCCATAGCCTAAAGTTACTTTCAAATGGTTAGATATAAAAGTCATGAAATACCTCATTAACTTTAGTTTTTCAGGCTAGGGAGGGTAAAAAGACACAACACATCCTTTCCAGGAGAAGGGTAAGCTTTGGCTAAGCTTCACATACATAAACACTATTCTTGCTCCATCAGGTGTCCTAGCCTACAATAAAGTGACCTCTCACACACAATGATCCACGCTCTGGAACCTTGTTATCTTCTCCTGCGGCTCATTAGACACAGTTACAAGATAATAGCAGTGTGTGATTGCAAGACTACAATTATGGCAAATGCACATAGAGAGGAGGAGAGTCCATTTTACCAAGATTCATCATTTCTAAACAGATGCTCCTCTCTGCAGGCACCTGTTTCTGTTCATCTCTTGCTCTCACGCCACTTCTGCTCTTTTTTCTCTCTTTTTTCATTTTCTCAGCAATGGAAGTCTCTGTTTGACAAGGTATGTAGTACCAGCGAGAGTGGCTTGAATATCTCACCATCCGCATGTTTCACTCATGTGGAGCAGTGTTGTCTGTCAAGGTGCTCATATGTGTGTGTGTGTGACATAATCTTTGTCATGAGCCAGAGCAGCTGATTCACCGAGCTGTCCTGCTGGAAGATCATGAAACATGGGAGACATTTTTTTGGAAATATGAAATCCATTTATGCCATTCGAGCAGTAACTGTAAAACAAGAAAGAATTAATTTTTGTACATTAAAGAAAAGCCTCATCATACTCACTGAAAGTTGTTGATAGACGTTTTCCATGTTTCATGACCCTCACATTTTAACACAGGCACTATCACTACTGAAATTGACTTGAAGCTGCATTAAAAAGCTTTGCATGCTGGGAAAAAAAGTTAAAAAAGTCCCAAAAATCATTTTCCATGTTTATTTTACTTGTCAGCGCTCATTCATTAGTGATCGTTCCTGTTTAAAGAATCTGAAAAGATCTCCTGCTTGTGACTACATCTTTTTTTGTCGTACTATTTCACTTTTGTTCGGTCTTTGTGCAACTATGACTGGTTTTAAACAAATGTGGCTGCAGAGTTTCACTTTGCTGAAAAAGGTGAAACGGCCAGTCCTCAGCTGGAGATGGCAAAGTCTTCTCATCTTCAGCCTTAGTTTGTGATTTAGGCTGAGTAAACAAATGTATTTTTAGATCAAAATCTTGCCGAGTGCAGCTTTAAATCCTTTGCCCGCTGGGTACCAAACAGAACAGAATATGCAGCCAGGACCTCCTGCAGAGACAAGAGCATCAGGGGTGGCAGGCTGTGTGTGTGTGTGTATGTGTGTGTGTGTGCGTCAGCGACTATATTGACCTTGATCATACATTTAACATGATACATAATCCTAGATGTCATTGATGTATTTGGTCAAGCAGATGTTGTACCACTCACACGCAAGGAAACACACATACATACACTTGCAGATGAACACATTGTTGCGGCCAAAAAAAACCCAGGAGAAGAGAGAAACAGTCTGGCTCATCATGCAGGCAGTGTGTTCGACTGACAGACGGCGAACGAACGGGCCTCTTACCATCACACACCCAACACACATGCATATACATCCACACTAATACATACAGAAGAAACTGAGGGACTGCCGCTGCACCTGCCCACCCTAGGGGCCCCTATACTTTTGCTGAGGGATTGTTTGTTTTGTGCGTGTGAGTGTGTGTATGTGTGTGCGCATAAGGGGTGACTGAGGATGGCGGGGTTGTGTCAGAGGCTCGTGTCAGGCTCACTCATTCAGAAGGAAGCTGAGGTCCCATGGGATGATTGGAAATGCTAGCTTGTGTGTGTGTGATTGAGCATATTCTTTGGACGGGCATTAAGTAGGCCCCCTCAATCCTGCTGTCTCCATGCGTGCGGCTCAGCTTTGAATTTCCTCAAGTGGATGTCAGTCTTAAAACGTTGCTTTTTTTTTTCCTCAAAAGGCGGGGTTGCTGCCCAGTCTGGCAGCTACAAATGCCCTTTCACTCTTTTATTCTCTTTTTCCTTCTTCCTCCTCACAATGAGTTGCTCCATTTGTCAAGGGAGTGACCTCTGAGACCCCTAGCTTTTGTGATGTGTCTAAGAAAGAGAAATGATGGGCCACTAAAGACAAGGAAAAGGGGGGTTTTAAACCTGTCTGGCAACCTGTGTTATTGCAAGAGAGGTAGAAAATAAAGTCTGCTCGCGAAACGGAACAAGGTCTGGGCTTTTTCTTTGTCTATTTCACACAAGTATGAGTAGGGAAGTGCATCTGAGTAGGTACAGTGTATGAAAAATAATCTTAGGAGGTTTTCACCATCTCAGACTTATAGTTAAATCTTTTCATGTGGCACCTGGTCAAGGAAGTTGACCTCTTGCACCACCCTCAACATGTTTGAGAAGAGACTAGGGCTGAGCGATATGGCCTCAAATCAATATCACGGTATTTTGAGCAGTTCACCTTGACAACGATAAATGGACGATAACTTCTCCACAAGCTGCTAACCGTCCTCCATCTCCTCACCTGTCTGTCCCTCTTTGTTACGGACTGGATGGGGTGGAGTCACGTCTCTGATGTAGGACAGCGTTTTAAAGGGTCATGAGACCATAGCCTGCCTACACACATCCAAAACCAACTTTTATTGATTTATTTTTTTGACACTGAATATATTGATATGGGCAAAATGACGTCGGTTACTGTCGTAAATTTTGGTATCAGTAAATTTTCGGTTTGTCGCCCAGCTCTAGAGAGATTATTCAAAAGTATGTACATATCTGAAGTAAAACAATGTAAAGTATATATGCATTAATGCACCTTATAATGACAAACTTTTCACTTTCCCTTTGGTTTATTTCTGCAGCCTTCAGACACAGTCAGTCAACTCTTTGTGCGAAACCATTTGGCATGCCAAGGCTCCTGTCTTACCCTGCCACTCAGTTTCCAAAGCACCTGGCCCCCATGCTTGCCCTGCTGCCCTCCAAATCATTTTTTTGGGGTTGAGCCCAACTAGGTCCCATGGATGCAAGCTCTGCCACCAGATGCCAACCAACAAGCATCCCTGAGGTCTGGCTGGTTGCCCTGATCTCCCTATGTTGGATAATTCCACTCTGAAATCTCAGATTCAATAAGGTTTTTGATGTTGCGACTAGTCCGGTCCCTCTACTCTGTGCTAACTTCTTTTATTCCAAATACTCACCATGTAAATACCTTCTCCAAAGCTGTGACTTGTCCTCCAAGCCAGAGAAAGATGTTAAAGGTGAAACAATTATACATGTCTAGTAGGGGTGTCACAATACAACTTTTTGACTTCCAATACGATACCGGTATTGTAGCCTGCAGTGTTGTCCGATACCGATAATGCTCCGTTATTAGCACAAACTTTTGCGCGATAGGTTTTGCACTCGGTTGCAATGTCTTTTGGGACTTTAATGAAAAATACTGCCACAGGGCCGACATCACACCTACTTCTTGGTACTTTGTTAGTACCTTAGTACACACTGTTGTTGTTGTTGATTACATGGGCTCTACTTGCTGGATCCAGGTGCTGCTCGATAGAGGTGCCAGAGCGGAGTCTGGAATGGACTGCCTGTATTGAAGTGCTGATATCGGAGATATAGATGCAGGCCGATATCATCCAATATTCAAATTTTTTGGGATGTATACCAATATCTGATATCAATATCGTATTGGGACACCCCTAATGTCTAGTATTTGTCCCAGCAGCGGCATATACTCAGCAAAGAAAGACAGGGTCATCATCTTGTCTTAGGTCGTCCTTCTCTATGTGACTCTCTCTTTCGTACACAAAACCTTCCCTCTCATATCATTTCAGCTGGCTCCCCCGTGAACTCTGCACATACAGCTATCAATTTCTGGGTCTCAGAGCGAAGGGGGCAGGAATCAAACTGCTGTGTCGCTCTGTTCGCATCTCCCTTCACTCCTCTCTCATGTCCCTGGAGGGAGTTTTGTTGCTGTATAAGTGCTTTCCTCCTCTTCGTGCAGGAAGAGACCTCAGTATGCTTCGATTCATGTTGTCCGGTGCCTGGAACAACCATGAGGTCAGATTTGACATCTAATGAAGCAGAAGAGATGCTTTTAAGAGGAGGACAGCTGCACTGCCTGCTCCCTACCTCATAATCAAAGAGTCCCAGCGTCTGTTAGTCCTCACATACACACACACACATACACACAGGCATGCACACACACATCTATCTGGACTGACTGATTACAGAGAAATGTCTAACGCCCGAAAGAAAAAAGTGTCCTGATTTGGAGTCTGTATCCTGTGCAGACTGATATGCTCACCAACTTTAGAGGCCCTGAATGTTGTTTTGAAGGTTTTCTGGGGATTTGAGGATAGGCTACAGTTTACGTTGTAGATTTATCTGATAAACCGCATTAAGCGTTTTTAGATTGTGCCACAAATGTACTTGTTTTGAACCTGTGATATATGGCCAGTGCTCGACACTGCGACCGTTCCACTCGCATTTGCGACTAAAATAGATATATACGAATTGTAAAATGTATTTAGGGGCACATAAAAAAAACAGCTGAGGCAACAAATGTTTTTTCATGTAAATACCGTGCCAAAGTTAGTTGTAGGTTGTATATCCAATGGACATTCACTGCGGTGTCTTTGCATAAATCTACTCGCCACCCTCGCTGTCAACGTCGGGTGTTAAATAAGGGACCATCAATAAATTACCGGTTAATGTTCTCAGTAAAGGCTGTTTTCCTTCAATAGCTTCCATGTCATGTGATCAATTGACCTAAAATTGTTTTCAAATAGTAGTACTAAGGTCGGACGATAAGACACACGTCTTTATTTCCCTAATTTATCCTAAATTTTTGTGTTAAATTTAAAGTCAAATTTTAAACATTTTCTTCAATAGCTTCCATGTCATGTGACCAAAAGACCTAAAATTGATTTGAAATAAAAGTACTTTTGTTGACCAATAAGACTCACAATATTTGATCAATTTTCATTGTGCCCCTAAAGTTCTTTGTGTGCTCCTTACTTTTTCAACTTAGGAGCACATGAAAATTTACTGATACCTAAATTTATGACAATAACCAACGGCATTTTGCCCATGTCAATAAATTCGTTGTCACAAAAATAAATAAATTAAAGTTGGTGTTGGATGTGTGTAGGTAGGCTACACCCCATCCAGTCTGTAACAAAGAGGGAAAGACAGGTGAGGAGATGGAGGACGGTTCAAAAGTTGTAGTGCCTGAAGTAGACAAAGTTTATGTGGGAGGGGGTGAACAGCTTGTGGAGTTGTTATCGTCCATTTATCGTAATCAAGGTGAACTGCTAAATATATCGTGATATTGATTTGAGGCCATATCGCCCAGCCCTACTGTGACAACATATCTGGATTTTAGTTTGGCCTATAATAACAATGTTTACTGGAATAATTTTCTTTTCATCACTTTCTCTTCCATGTTTATCTGTAAACTACTAGAATCTAGGAAACCGTCTGCCTTAAATTTAGGATACTTCTCACACTTTGTAATCCAAGAAAATTGGGGATCCCCCCTTAGATCACAACTACATGTAATGCCTGAGAATGGAAGTCCCCAGGAGCGCAGATTGAAACCCAGCCGAACTAAAGTAGATGGCAGACTTGTACAGACAAGATGTACGAGACATAGACTGTCTGTGTGTAGTTTTTCTGAAACGACCTTTTATTTTCCTAAGATTGCTGGTCACTGCAGAAGTTTCGTCTCATGAAAACTCCAGTAGACAGAGTGGTCTCTTTAAATCTGTGTTTATTCATGTGTCTGTGTGTTTTGGAGAACTGTGTATATGTGCCTACATTTGCCTTTGTGTTGACAGCCTGCTCCTAACGGCATGTTGAAAAGCTCCAAGCGCACGCCTGCAGAGGCTTAGAGATTAAATACTTTCACATGGTTGCATACTTTCCATGAAAGTGTTTCCCCCCTTTATTTCTTCTTGCTCGGTGGCTGAGGAAAGCCCCTGAATGCAAGGTATGATCCCCTGCCTCCCGCTGTAACCACACATATAGAAGTCTTTCTGATCTCTTGGGAGTGTTTTATTGCCAGCGGGACTTAGTCAGTGTACTACTGTATAGAGTATTTCCGTTTTAGCCGTGCTGCACATGTTATGTAACCAAACTATCTTAAAATATAGATTTGATTTAGAAATTATTAAAAAAATATTTCTCACATCTGATTCATAGTTTGTATTTTGCATACGCAAGCATCACTGGCTAGGATGCCTGTATTTTTATAAAGCTGTGACTGCAATCCTAAATTAGAGCTTTCGCAGCTTCTGCTCGCCCTATTTCGTTACAGAACTTAACTCGCCTCCTGTCGCCTGACACCTGCCAACAATAAGAGATCATTTAAGACCTGAACTGAAATCAGTAGACACCCTGAATACACTACTACAATACCGCAGCTATAAATGAAAACTGATCTTGATTTATTCATCAGTTTTGACAGTTCTGTTTATAAACCAAAGTTTGAATTACGTTCACAATAATAGTGTTTTCTGCTGTTGGAAAGTCTGGCGACTGTCAGTAATTAAACCAAGCATAAATTAAATCCTACGGTAGCCACCTGCTCCCAATGGGGCTTGTGTTTCCCTCAGTCTCTGTGTCGTGTTTCAATGAGCTTGTTAGTTAGACACTCAGTGACCATGCCTGGGAGTAAAGGGGGGTCATTATTTAAAGTCTCTCTGTCTGGCAGAGCCGCCTCACATCATCGCAAGCCACAGCTGGCACCGTCTTTTCTTCCTCCCTGTATTTTAAGTCCTCTTCAAATGAATGGTCCACCACCCAGGTAACTGGCACTTAATGGATGGGCCAACAGGGAACCCCTCAGCTGTGTTTACTGGCGCATGGTAGGGATAGCATCAACATGGTCTGCCACACTCTGTCAGTTTTGCTGCATTAGAAGCAGCAGGAGGTTTAGACAATAAGATCATAACAGTCTCTGAAATTACCGAGATGATGACACGCAGCTGTTTAGTCTTTTTTGAGTAGGTGACAATGAGCTCTGAGTGTCTCTGTTCAAAGACTCAGAAGAGAGGAAACCATTAAAAGGAGACTTGAAGATAAATGGCATAATTTCAAGAGAAGTGAGAAACTTTTAATTAGGGATAATTTATATAAAACACAGTTCTTATGATGATTCTGCCGCTAAAGAGGTTCGTGAGATTCACGAATTGTGAAATGCAAGATTAAGGCTGGGTGATATGGTCTAAAAAATTAATCACGATAAGATTTTCCATTCTTGCGATAACGATAAAAGTCCCGATAAAAAATATTATAATTCCGATCTATATTTTAAACTCATTTTGTCTTGAGAACACCAGTTGGAGTAGTCAAATAAGATACTTAACCACAAGTTTGAGTGGTGGAGAAAACTAATGACATCAAACAAGTTTCAAATGTGAAGACATTTTCAACATTTATTAAAAACTCTTGCAGATGTATTGTCCGATGTCAGGCATACCTGATTGCACTCGTGTAAGCCCCAATCTTGAAGGAAATCCCTCATGTGGAGCCTCGTTCAGTAATGACCTGCTCAGAAACGTTTTCTTCATTACCTTCAGCCATGTTTGTTTGTTATTCTGCTCTATGTGGGCTATGGCTGCGAGTCCGTCACTCGCACTTATGGCATCAACTTGCATTTATCGTTTTTATCATGAGATGGCAAATATTTATCATGGAGGATATATCGTGAATGAGAATTTATCACCCATGCCTATGTAAGATTGATATTACTCTTCAACCAGCTGTTCTAATAACACTGTAAGTATTTTGCATATTGCAGACTAATGAATCAGTCTTTCTTTCATTACAATTAAAAACCAGAGTGTAAAAAATTTCAGCACACGCGTGCATCTTTATATTTGATCTCCCTAAAGGAAGTGATATTCATGCATCGTTGGCCTCTGTGGTTTCCTTTTCTTTTAAGTGTGCAGAAACCTCACTCTCCTCTCCTTTATCCGCACACTGATGTGCTCATCAGCCTAATTGCCATTGACACATCCACAGATGGTGGGGTCACAGTCTGCTGACCTGCTCATCTAACTACAGCAGTGATTGACACCAGCTGAGTCATGGAGATAGCTCACCCATGAACCGTTTGTGCAGATATTAAACCACTCTGTCTTGATTCGAGCGGTACCCGCCCCACCAAAAAGTGTCCCAGGTTTTTTTGGTGATGAAATGACAGACTGAGCCTCAAACAATTTTCATTGAAAGATATAATCGGAGCTCATCTTTCTCCGCTCCTCTGCCCCCGCCCCCCTGCTCAGCTGTAAATAGATTTCCTTAATGAAAGGCACAGTTCCAGTTGGCAGAGTGTGAAAACAGTTGCCACTTTTATACAGAGGTAAAAATAGCTGCCGTGCCTGTCGATCTGTAAATGGAAGAAAAGGCGTGCCAGTCGAGCCGTAATTGGCTGCAATGTGAAAACTTACAGCAGCAGTGTCATTAAATCAGAAAATGCTCATTTTAATGGTCAGACGGACCCAACAACCTCTTCCATGAGTGCATACTGTATGTTTGGCCTAAAATTGTGAATCCATCACTGAAGGTCAGTGGAAGTGACAGTACACAACCTCCTGCTGAGCCAGCGTGTGTGTGTCTGCGTGTGTGTGTGATGAAGCCTGCTGCCTTTAGGACTAGTGTCGTTGTGAATATTGATGGAATGCTAACACACATTAGACCTGATATTTTTGCTGCCTAGCTTCTCTTTTGTTTCCTGTCTCTTATTTTCTGTCTGTGTCTCATTATTTTTGTTCTGAAGTCTGATTTCCCATCAGAGTAAATGGATGATCGTGCAGATGTGAGGATTCAGTCTCTGACTGCTCATCAATGCTTTCATCTTATTCCTTTCATTGGCTTTTTCGCCGTCACTACAAACTTTTCATCTGTTTTATGTCACTGTCTCTTAAAGTGAAGGGCTTAAGGAAAATCGTTAAATCAGAATTTTATGAAGAAGCTGAAATTTTGAGTCGTTAAATCTACATCATTAGCATGTCTGAAACAGGCATACTTCTCGTTTTGACCTTCATGATTTACACCAAACTTCCTATTGGTTGTTAAACTGCCTGGAAGCAATACTGATGCCTTTATATGACCTACAAAAGCAAACAAAATCGTCAATGGAAAAACTGATCTTGTCTTAATAGTTATCTGTGATGTTTGAAATCTGTCTGACAGGGTAGCCACCAGGAAAGGCCATTTACAGCACAACTGCTGCTGATAACAGTGAGAGTTATTTGTTCAGTGTTAAAGGAAGTACAGTACTCTGGTGTGCTGAAGAAAAGATCAGCAAAGACGTATTTGTGAAATCCTTACAACAGAAAGTTCCTTACATGAGCCCTAAAGTCATGAAGTGATGTCAGCCAAAACCAGTGTCCAAACCAGGGATGCCCAATCCAGATTTTTTCAAGCAATGGCCAATAATAACCATTAAAGGGATAAATATATATATATATATATATATAAAAACTTCATCAACAGTACATATAGGGTATCTTTTTAGCTTTGCCTGATTTCTTTAGCAAAGAGACTAAACACAACTCACCCACTCTCCTCCTGCAGCCGCTTGTTTGTGGGGGACCCTGATGAGTCGATCGGTGAGTGCAGCGGAGTTTCGCAGCTCAAGGAAGAACATTTATGATCATTACTTCATGGAAATACAATCAGAGTTCTTGTGTATCTTGCATGAGCACTGCAGACGTGGTTCTTCTGCCTTAGCGTCTTGGTCTGATTGCATTTCTATGAAGTAATAATCATAAAATTTCCGCTGCACTCACCGATCGACTCATCAGGGCTCCCCCCACAAACAAGCGGCTGCTGGAGGAGAGTAGGCGAGTTGTGTTTGGTCTCTGTTAAAGAATCAGGCAAAGTTAAAAAGATATTTGGTGGCTAGTGCTACGGCTGGGACCCTATATGTACTGCTGATGAAGTTAGGTGCTGTTCTGAGCATTATTTGTGACTATAGAGTGGTGTTTTGGTTGAGGTTTGTTTATTGCTCCTCAAACCGCTATGTATTGCTAGCGTGCGGTCATTACTAAAGTTGGTTTTACTAGAGAAGCAAATGGTCGGCAACTTTCATCTCTTGAGGGGGTTTCTAACTCAGTTTTACGGTGTGTTTGATCCTAACTTAATTCAATGCTGGGATATCCCTTTCAGATTTCTGTGTCCCTTTAGTTCAGGTCCATTTAACCTCCCTGCAGTTTACAGTACAGAGCTGTTGACAGAGTGACGTGTTGTAGTGACCCAACCTCAGGGGGCTCTGTTGATGTAAATGTGAGTGTGTGAATTGTTGTTCAGCTTTCATGGTGAAACACAGAATCGAGTTTCAAGTGCCACAGGGATAAACACACAAGTACATATTTTAGCACACAGTCCTGTGCTATGGGCCAAATAAGCCCACAGTGACGCCTGGCAGGTGTACATCTGACTCAAGTACAACAGCCTTGATGATGCTGTGAACACCTGTTAACGTGTACTGATTTCTGCTGTTTTTTTTTAAAAGTGTTCCCAAGTTTAAAACTCATCTGACTATCTTTTTGGGTGAAAAGTTTAGTCTTCGCCCAGAGACAGATGGTGGTGTGGATGATTCTGTGCTGGATTCTCTTGGATCTGAACTCTTAAATTGTTTTCTTGCTCATAGATCACTGTGTCTTGTTCCGTGCCCAGCTCTGCATGAAGCACTGTTCAATCAAACTGCTTTACCAGCTTTTTTTTTTAATGCTTTTTCCTCCCTTGCTCCCATGAGAGTGTGAACGGAAGACTGTGGTGTTGACAAGACGATGTTAGACTTTTATAATTCAAAGGCAAAGGTTTTTTTTTGCTGCTCTTTACATGCCCACGCCACACCTGAAGATAAAGACTTAAGTTGGCATTTCTGTTATTCTCTGGATTCAACATTTTTCTTTCTGTTTAGAAGTTTTTTTTTTCTTTTCGTACAATTTAATGGAAGATTACCGTCTTAAAATATCAGAACAACCCTGCGTTTTTCCTCTCATTTTCTCTCGTCTGTGTTGCATCCTCTGGCTTTCTGGCTTATGTTATTATGACAATTCTCCAGAAGCCTTGAGTTTCCTTTCGATTCGCAAAAAGCAGTGTGTCATCACTTGACATTTCAATTCGTTTATAGCATATGGAACAATTTTCATCCTGAAAATGTACCTCTTTATCGCAGTTGTTCTCTCTCTCTGCAACCCTGTAGGTTTTTTGTCTGGGTGACGATTGCTGTAAGCACACATTTCCTTACCCCAGACTTTCTGGAGTGTCCCATTTATGAGATCAGGGTGCCTGAAAAGACTGTAGGAAAATATTGTTTGCATTTAGGGTGGAAACAGCTCAGAATGATTCACGTCTTAAAGAAACATATTCTTTTTCCTGCCAAGGTTTAAATGTGTTTATTTCAGTTTGTTTATTCAGGGAAATACATGTTGCAGTGATACACACACTGACCTATTTTTACCTTATACTTAAACCAGTCAGTAATCTTTAGAAAAAAAACTGTAGCACATTGAGAAAAAAAAAAACGGTGAGAATCAGGGAAAGCAAAGACATTTTCAAGCAATATTACACAACAGGAAAACGGATTTCAAGAGTGAGTATGCTCGCCTGTCTGCAAATTTGAGGATTAAGTTCAAAGATATCAACATAATAGTTTAAACTTTGACATACAGGACTTATCAGGTTAACAAAATACGACTGTCTGACAAGTCTGTGTGCTTTAAACATCATTTTCAACAAGACCTGCTGAATTTTAAAACGTACGGCTATGTCAAACGTCCTCGCTGGTTTGCTATCGTCATGGCAACATAACTTGGCCTGGCCCAGCAGGTTCAGTAGATGCCCAAGGTGAGGGACAGTGCTTAGCTTTCACGTAGATCTCCGGTCCCGTCCTGTCCCCTCCGTGTCGTCTTACAGGGCACGGCTGCCAAAGCCTGCCAGCGGGGCAAAAAGTGCTGCGGAGGAAAACTGTGACAAGGAAAAACCACATGACAGGACAAAAAAAGACCCACAGAAACTACCACCATGTCTGACCCTGTTAATGCTGTTGGTTTTAAAGCAGAGCTAAAGCGCTCAGATGCCACACGATGGAAAATTTCAGTGGGTGAAATGTTTAAAATATGAATCACTGATGAAGGTTAATGCCAAAGTGGGTAGTTAGAATCAAAGCCGTTTGTTCTACTGATAATAAAACATAAATTCATAAACAGAAATATATGATGAGGGTTTATTATTCAGGGATCTCTGACTGTGGCCTGACCCCAGGCATCAGGCATGACTTGAATTCTGTCTTGAAATGAGATTCAACACTATAGGCTTATTTTCCACAGTACAGACTTTGTTTTAGTCGGGTGAGAAGATAAAAATTCACTATGCAGTAAATTTTCTTTGGCCTTTGGACTGTATCTCAAATATCCTGTGACACTTGTTCATTTCATGGTTGAGCAGAAATCTTGGAAATGAATACTGATGGAGAGAAATCTCACCTTGGAAGTAAAGAGGCTCGGAACCAACTTTTTTCACCCCAATTACAAGGAGATGGAAGAAGACATCGATACAGCATAGTATTACAATATTTTGTCTGGTGATATATCGTATCGTCTCATTTACCAAGTATCGATTTTTCAAATTAATTGCTAATATGAAGTCGAGTCTATGATAATGGAAAAATAAAATCAACTGTTTGTCCAGTGAGGTTGGCAGAGGTGACTTCCTAGAGCAGGAGAAAGTTAGTACATCAAATATATATTAGGTTTGCAAGATGTGCTACATGAAAAAAAAGTACAGCGTAAATAACTGTCTCTGCACACCAAGGGCTTGTAAACTCATTTGCACGAATTAATTACATGTTAAGTCAATGCAAAGACACAGTTAGACGCTCGTACTACTTTGGCGGCGCAAATTGGGTAGAAGCTGAAAATGTCTCAACTTGTGACATGATAACTAATCAGCACGAAGGTTGCCGTAAGGGTAACAAATGAAAATGGACGGTTGTTTACTGGTATCTAAAACGGAGGACAAACTGATCGTGTCTGTGTGGGTTCCCTGAGTTCGTTGATACCTTTTCTTTCAATTTCTGAAACCGGAATACAAACAAGCTCGCCTGGAAGCAAGTGAGTGGGGTGGTCGGATTACCTGGTAACTTGTAAAAAACCTTTGTCTATCACTTGATCCCGCCGGTTGGAAGGGATTACCACCCCATTAGACAAACATAAAGGAAAGCCAATTGCTAAATTAGCTAAACAGTTGAAAAAATTATATAAATCATGATATATTGTATCGTAATACTCACTGTATTACAAAGTGTTAAAAATCGCAATAATATCATAACGTGGCCCAAGTATCGTGATAATATCGTATGGTGGGGCCACTGGTGATTCCCACTCCTACCAATTACCACTCTGATATCCCAAATTTGTTTTCATTCATGAGAAAAACAAAGCTAAGTACAGCAGCTGTGCTTGAAACTTAACAGGCTTTTTTACAGTGCAATCAGAAAGTTACAAGCGAATTAGTAAAGACACTGTTAGAAAAAGAGTGGGTCTCAATGTGGTCTGCACTCATCAGATTAAGTCAGTGTCACAGGGGTTTAAATCTTGAGTTTCATCACAATACAATCAGGGGTATCCTGATACAATATTGTTATTGGATATTGGTCTGATATCAGCAAAAAAAAACTGAATATCGTATTTTATCGGCCTGAATCTAAAATCTGTAATATCAGCACACCGATACAAGCAGACCATTCCAGACTCCGCTCCGGCACCTCTAGCTAGCAGCGCCCAGATCCTGCATGCAGAGTCTACAAAATCACAACAACAGTGTGTACTAAAGTACTAACAAAGTAGCAAGGAGTATCTGGAGTCAAAAAGTTGTATTGGGACACCCCTAAATACAATATTATGCCAACACCAAAAAGTCTTCCTCAGTAAGCTTTGATTCAAATCAGGGCTCTTCGATCAGCTGCGGGCATTATTATGTACCTATTTTATACATTAGTCCTGCAAGTCCACCATAAAGCTTTTTCAGACAGAGGTTTTATGTTTTTATGACCTCTGTGTTTGTGTTACATCCAAATGAGATTTAAGTGATTGAATACCAGCGTATCCTTGATGCAGTCAAGTGCTATGACACTTAAATGAACAGATGTCAGCTCTGGTTCAGGTTATTCAAACTGCATGTAAGTGGAAATTGTGAAAACAGGACCAAAGTCTTTTGACAGTCCTGTTGACAACATTATCACCCTTATTAGAAATCTCTTCAGCGTTTCAGAAGTAGACCACCAGAGTAATTGTTATCTTTGTAGCTGGGTTTACAGACAGGGTGCCTGTCAGGGTCTGTCACTGAGGGTGTCATTATGATGAGAATTATTTCCTTCAGGGGGAAACAGCTGCTCAGCTCCTGATAGCTTTTCGGCCCATCACGGGTGGCGTAAACATACATTTTCATTTGTCACTTTCATGCAAGAGCTTCCCCAAAGTAACTGAGCCTTTTTAATGGCGTTTATGGAGCTGTGTTAATGCAGGTGCACTTGATATGCTTGTTTATTTGACAGTGTGATATTTAGTACAAGTGGTGTGTATATTTCTGTGTGTGTGCTCTAATGAAACAGCACCATGATAGTTTTGGTATTTTCTGTCTAAATGTCATTGGAGTCACTTCATTATTTCCACCGTCACCACAGCGCTCATTATTGTGAGTCTCTCTATTGTTGCAAAGAAATTGACTTTGAGTATTTGGTCCCTATCAATTAAAAGAGGGGGGAAAGACGGAAAAAGCCAAAAAGCCTTCTCTGTTTTCAAAGTGTGTTATTGTATTTCTATGTTTCGGATGAAGAAATATAAGGAGTAATTTCCTTTTAGGAATGATTTTGTCATGATCCGGGTTGAAACAAAAAGGAAAGGATCCAAAATGCAGAATGACAAAAATGATTTATTCAGAAAGAACTAAAAGAAAAGCAACAAAAACTTTCTTGCAATGTCCAACTCAAAAATACAAGAAACACAGATGACACTGGAGACATCGACATACACAGACGTACAATGAATCGATCAAGAAACAGGGGAAGACAAGGATTATATATACACACAGGGAAACGAGCAACGAGAGGCAGGTGAGACACAGAGACACAGGTGCAGACAATCACTATGGAGGGAAACTGAGGAAGAAAAACGCCTGGAAACACAGGGAATAAACTACTTCAAAATAAAACAGGAAACACTGATAAGGAATAAAACACTGAGAGCATGAGGGAATCGGGGTCAGACAAAAACAGAAAACTCAAGACAGGACTACAGGGGAACAGGAGCAGTAGGGAACAGAAACACCAGGGAAAAACTAAAAACCAGAACATATCATGACAGGTTTTATGGAGATGTGGTTTCTGTCACAGCTGTATGAAGATGCTGGTCGTATCTGCTTCTCTTCACAAACACCCTGAACTGCTTTTGATCATATTTGTCCCCCTTCTTTACAAAAGAACTCTCGCCTTAAAAGGAAAAGAGGGAGCAGGGACTTTTTCTTACTCGCTGACCTCTGAGGATTATAAAAATTGGATTATAAAGTAGAGGGTGCAGGAATAACGTTCTCCAGCAGAGTCAGAGACAGCTGACCGGCTGACCGCCTTATTGTCAGCATGTATCAGAATGATCCCTTCTTCTTTAACGTTGACAGATAACCTGAAGGGTCCCACCCGACCCTCAGAAACCTTGAAAATGTTTCTGACAGGCTGGCTGTTGCTCTCCCATCCTCATTCCCAGTCTCCCCCTGCTCCTCCCCTTTTTTTCATCCCTTTTCTTCTTAAGATTTGGAGAAAATAAGTCTGGTACGGCCTCCCATGGGGGCAGCCCCAGCCTCAGGTCCATTTGCCAGCTATTAGAGATCATAAATCTCTATAGTGAATGGAGCGGCTGCCACCGCTGGTGCAGGGTTTTGATGGTGAACTGGAGGGGGTTGACCTGCAGGGCAGGCCTGCAGCAGGAGAAGGGGCTGAATGAGACAGAGAGACAGCCAGGGGCAGGGGACAGCTCGTTAAACAAATGTTTCTCACTCCTTTTTGTTCCCTTTCTCTTTGCTGTGAAGAGCTGCTGAATATGTGGAGCTGGGATGGATGTTTGATAGAGGGTTTGGCTCTGCTTTAATGGGGTCCTCATCTCGATGTAAATGTGAAGTTTGGGGGGAAAGGGTCACAAATCTCCATCTTTGTCACAGTGCTGACCTGCCAGTGCCCTATGTTCGAGGGACACAGATACTCCATCACAGCTTTGTGTGTCCGTGGGTGTGTTTGACAAGGATTTTGACTTATTACGTCTCTTAGAAAAAGAAGGTTCGTGTTTGTGTCTCAGTGAGGGTGACAGTTAAAGATGCCACGCTCTGGTAGCTGTTTGTACGACTTAAATCTGAGTCTTGTTTGTGTGTTTGAATTTGTATGTCTTTATTGTGTCTTTATCTGTTTGTCTCCAGAGTGAAAGCTTTCACAACCAGCGACAGGGGGTAAAGTGTTTATTTGAACACATGTTTAGACAGCCTGCTGAGGGCCATTTGGCTGTCTGCTGCAATCCCCTCTGTTTCTAGAGACACCCTGGGGCAGTTCAGCTCCTTCTCTCTCTCTCTCTCTCTCTCTCTCTCTCTCTCATCAGTGAGTCTGTCTCTCTTTACTCTTTTAACCCTCAGCCAGTCTGTCTTGTTCTATCTCGCCTTCTGTCACTTAAAATCAAGCCATGTCCATGCTACTGCTGACAATCTCAAACCATTTATTTCTCCTTGTTTTGTCCCTTTAATCCACTTCTATATATTTTTTTCCCAAATCATTATATGATTGAAAATTTGAACCAGCCACCAGGAAATGCTGAAAACTTTTAGAAAATTTGGACAACTGATTTGTCTGTTTCAGTAAACTGTGTCTTATCAGTTTACAGAGTGTGGCCTATGCTAACAGAGCATGCATTTAGTCTTCTTTGCAGCTTATGTCCATATGTCTTTGGTGTGTTTGTCTGTAATTGTTTTCTAAACCAGAATACTGCCAAAGTACGCACTGCCACAAGTCGCCATTTGTCCCAGTGCTTGTTTACATCCTGATAATAGAGCATTATAGAATTGTGACAGTAGTATTGACGGGAGCTGCAGCCCCAGTCAGTGGCTATACTCTAGCTTGGACTTGGACTTGACATCAGGACAGTTATAATAAATATCATAGATGGGACTCTTGGGTGGTGATTTAAGTCTAGGGCATCATCTTTTTGAGCCCATAAAGACTTCAGTCAGCCTTTATTAATATCCAGTTAAACAAATTTCTAACGAACTTCATATGAAAATATAACATGATGCAGTGTAAGAGTACTGTTTTCTCAATTGATGCAGCCCCCATTTAAAGAATATAAGTTTTTTTATTTTGTTGTTATTTATGTGGAGTCTTTAAAATAATTGTAAGAACTATGAGAGCCTGGACTTGACCTTGCAGCTGCCCCTTTCGACCTGACTAGACTCGCACTTTCAGAAAAGACCTTGTGCCGATCTCTGTATTTAGTCGAGGTGGGAACCACTAGTGGCCCCGAGATACCATATTATTACGTAACTTGGGCCACAATACGAAACAATATTATAGCGATTTTTAACATTTTGCAATACAGTAAGTATTGCGATACAATATATTGCGATTCATATAATTTCTTTAAACTGTTTAGCCAATTTAGCATTTGTCTTTCTTCTGTTTGTCTTATTTACGCAGTATTTTATTTTCATGTAGCACATCTTGCAAACCTTATATACATTTGTTGAACTAACTTTCTCCTGTTCTATAATGTCACCTCTGTCAACCTCACTGGACAAATAGTTGATTTTATTTTTCCATTATCATAGATTTGACTTCACATTAGCAATTAATTTGAAAAATCGATACTTGGTAAATGAGACGATATGATATATCACCAGACAAAATATTGCAATACAATGCTGTATCAGTTGTTTCTCCCACCCCTAGTATTTAGTGGTTTGATTTAAACAGATTTATGGTGTTTTGGCTCTGTTTCATGTGAAAGTTTAAGAAATGATTAAGAGTTTTGAATCCTGCTACATAACAATTGTCTTTGTGTATTTAAAGATCTGATATCCCACACAGAACAAAGTATGAATCATGTGTTTGTGCTTTGATTTGTCATTTGGTTTTAGTCAGAGTTTATTTTAGTTAGGGCTAATCATATTGCAGAAAAAATGTGCTCCTGTTTCAGCATGATAATCCACTCCAGTCACCTTTTGTACTAAAACAAAGCAGTTTTTGACCCAAAGGGCAGATAGATGACAACACTAGATCGACATAGTCAGGCTTTCTTTGAGTAAGCTGGCTCAACAAAGCCCAAAGCTCTAAGTTGATAAATTAGGAGCACAAAGCTGGTAACAAACCTGTAACCTCAACCTGTACTTGAGAACATAACCTGGTCTTGATCAGGTTTAACAGAGCCAGATTACCCTGTAATCTTACTTTGTGGTACACCCCGTTGTCAAAGTTACATGTGCTGTCACAAACACTGTCCACACTAGTTTAAGTCACTGCAACAGTCCTCTATCCCTTCATGGAGCAACTTTCAGCAAAAAAATTTCAACTTTTTTTGTTTGCAGCAGCCAGAGCCTGCAGGACAAACAATTTTGTAGTGTCTGTATTGCATCATCTGTCAAATAAAAGCCCTGATGATATTCTGATTGCATCTTTTCTGGCAGAGACCTGGGAGCCTCCCCTGCTGGGATCAGATTAAACCTGCTGGGGAAAGTGGTTTTAAAGTTTGGAGTCCAAATTTGTACAGAAGAAAAAAGACGCTGTGTAATAACAGATCACTAAGATTTGTGAGACTGTGTGTCTGGTGGTGCTGCTGGTGATAAATCTCCGTGCTCTGTGGAAAGAGATGCTGTGATATGTTATGGATATGTACAGATATTGAGGGTGAAAGGGAAAAAGTGCGATGGTCGATCAGGGGATTGATATTGCATTTCCCTCAGATTAAGACTAAGGAGATATTACTTTTAGATCAAGCTGAAGTCCTCAGAGAAGAGTTTGTGATGCTCTTCTCTGAGGTAAAATCTACTTTAGAAGAAGAGCTAATGAGTTGAGATCAAACCTTTTAACAGTTGGCACATTGGGTACATCTGCAGCAGAAACTAATGTTACACAAATTATAGGAAAAAAAACCAATTAAACCACAGATTGAATGCACACCAGCTCTACATACACCATTGAAACTGTGGGAAGTGATCATATCAAAGATAAAACAAAGTTAAAAAGTCAAAGTATAGAGACCGTGCTCACACAGTCAGATCGCAGCTTTGAGAGAAAAAAAGGACTTGATCACTATCACCACAGATGTAGAGTGGGGATTACCTTGAGTCTGAGATATAATTTTCTGATGTCTAGCTAATCCAATGTTTCATTTATATTTCTAAAGTAGACTTTGGCTCTGATACCATTGTACATTGAAGGATTATTATTGCTTGAAGCGCTGTATTCAGCAAGGATTTCTTTCTTTGGTCTCAAGAAGTTGAAGGATGGATAATAGTCAAGGATGGATGCTTTTAAAATCTACCTAAGTGATGACTATACAGCTAAAACAGCTCCTTTGATTTGGATGTAATGAATTATGTTTGCAAATGAAATTGTAAAGCTGCCAGTGTTGTGGTAGGATGTGTTTGTGTCCTTGTGTGTGTGTGTGTGTGTGTGTATATGCTTGCTCACATGGTTTGTGTCACAGAATAGGATCAGACGCCTGGAGATTCAAACAAATGCCCTGTCTGACACCGAACCACATATCAAACCCCATCCTGTGTGTATGTGCACTCGCATATACGCGCTGAAGACTTCTTCACACCGACCAACGTTGCCTGGTTACAGGCCAGTTGGCAAGGAAACGGTGACGGCCCGTACTAATTTGTGATGGCCTCAGATGACTGTGTGTGTATGTGTTTGTGTATAGGCATATATGTTATTCTGTGTGTGCAAAATGAATGGTTCTTTCTAATCTGTCAAGTAAGACAGGTGATCCAGCAATCTGCAGATTGGCTTAGACGGACACAGCGTCAGTCATCTCTGCAGTCGCTGTGAAACACACTTTTGTGTGGAAGAAAAACCAATTCAGGCCTGTCTGAAATCTGTGTCAGTTTTACTCTCTGTTTGGAACATTAGCAGGAGCGATATGGGAAAAGATGTTTGTCTGCCTGGTTTAAAGCAAGAAATTGACTTATTTCCAGATGTGGGTAGACATCCAACTTTAATCCAGGATCTTATCAATGATCCCAGATCAGATGTGTCCACAGGGGTCCATTTAGGCACACAAACGGCAGTGAGCACAGGGGTCTTTGCTCAACCTGTTACTGGTCTTGGGTGGCCCTGTTTCTATAGATCTTTTTCAATTTACTAAAAGGAATATTCCGGCGTGAAATGGAGTTAGGGTCAAACACACCCTAACACTGAGTTAGACACCCCCTCGAGAGATGAATGTTGCTGACTGCTTGCGTCTCTAGTTATACCAACTTCAGTAACAACCACACAATACATCTCCACATGCAAATTTCAACTAAAAAGCCACTCTATAGCCACAAATAATGCTCAGGACAGCACCTAACTACATCAACAGTACATATAGGGTCCCAGCCGTAGTACTAGTCATCAAACATCTTTTTCACTTAATTTCTTTAGCAAAGAGACGAAACACGACTCACCCACTCTCCTCCAGCAGCTGCTTGTTTGTGAGGGAGCCTTTACGAGACGATCACCGAGTGCAGCAGATCATTTCCTTGAAGTACTAATCATCATATTAATCATTTTGATTGCTTTCCCTGAAGTTATAATCATAAATCTTCTTCCTTGAGCTGCGAAACTGCAGGAATATCCCTTCAAGGCATCAGAATCAGTAACCTTGGAATCCAGTCTTCTGCAAGGTGTAACGTCCTTTTTTAATGGAATAGCAAGTTCTTTTATTACCTACAAACAACCCCCCATTCAAACAGTGAAGATGAGTCGAGTAATTCAAAAACAATGGTACAGTACACCGATTTTAAAAGATGTTGAAGGTTTCATTAATGGGCTTGTTTGCTTATGCTATTCTGCAGAAATAACTGGCTTTTCTTGCTGTTTCTTTCTGTGATTTTATGCACTACAAAACTAAACTGAAAGTAAGTTTGTTTTGCATATAGATAAGCACAACAGTTCAGATCTAAAGACTGATTTCGGTCTCTGAATGTGGGCTGCACGTAGTCATAATGAAGTGCTTTATGAGAGAGAAGATGAGGGCGAAAAAATGACAACAAAGACAGAATATTATGCTGCATGTAGGAGAAAGCAATGACCTGTGGCGCACTGTGTGCACACAGGACAGGAGAGCAGCAGAGTCAAAAATAGGAAGAGGGGTGAAAAGGAGGATGAGGAAAAGAGAGTTAAAAAGAGAGGAGATACTGTAGCCAGCTGTGCCTGTCAGTCAGCTCTCTGTACCTGCTGATAAGACTAAGCTGAAAGAATACAGCCCCCAATGTAATGTCATGCACTTGAAAATTCCATTTTTGGTCTGATATTTCACACTCTGACTTGGTGTCACTCGCAAGTGAGGTAGGAGCTCAGACCTCATCCTTACTACAGGAGGAAGGTGATTTTCCACTCAGATATCAGGGAGTTTTCTTATTTCAGCAAACTTTTCTTTTTTTTGTAAGAAAATGATTAAAACTTCAACTTACCCAAAATATATAAACACAAGTTCAAATCTCTGCAAATCTCTTTGGGGCATTATTCAAATTTAAGTCTGCGGGGTGTTTATTTTTTAGAAATACCCCAAACAGACAGTTAATTCATTGTTTGCATTAAAAATAAGACAGCCAGATAAATTTACATACCACACTGTGATATTAACACAAACAGAGCAGCAAGAGAGCAGTAGAGGGCTTGTGCTGCCCAAGTCTAGTGTTAGTTGTTGATTATCTGGCTCTTAATTGCCTGGCTGTGTAGATACTTGATTCTAATTGGTCAAAACCCCTTGACATTGCTTATTTAATCTAAGTAGAAATAGGGATGTCAGGGACAAACTGATCATGCATATCTTATCGAATATAAAAGGAAGATTCAACAACTTTTCTTGTTGGCAATGGAGCAAAAAAAAAGAAAAAAAAATTCCAACAGCCTTTGTAATAAAAAATGGTGGATTTTAGGGCTGGGCGATATGGCCTCAAATCAATATCACGATATATTGAGCAGTTCACCTCGATGATGATAAATGGATGATAACTACTCCACAAGCTGCTCACCCCCTCCCACATTAAACTTCATCTACTTCAGCCACTACAACTTTTGAACCTCTATCTCCTCACCTGTCTTTCCCACTTTGTTACAGACTGAATGGGGTGGGGTCACGTCTCTGACATAGGACAACGTCTTAAAGGGACATGAAACCATAGCCTGCCTACACACACCCAAAACCAACTTTGATTTACAAATTTTTTTGACACCGAATATACTGATATGGGCAAAAATGACATTGGTTATCGTCGTAAATTTCTGTATGGTAAATTTTTGGTTTATCGCCCAGCCCTAGTGGGTGTTTCGCTATTTCTCTAAATTTATTTAGAGTGCACAAAACTTTAGAAAAGAAGACATGAGGAGGAAACCTATAAAAACTGGTGAGGTAAATTTAACCCCAAAAGGAGCCGAATAGAATATCAATTAACTGAACACAACAGTTGCAAAAAAAACACAAACTGTAACACCATATAGGACTGTAAGAGTGAAAGAGAAAGGTGACCGAAAAAAAGTACAGGGAAGAGGATCTTATGAAGTAGCTCTTTATTGTATTTTTCTGCAAGTTCTTCACTATGCTAATTTCCCTGGGCTTGAACAGCAGCTGGCAAAAGCTCAATGGCTATTGTGTTAGAGAGCCTTTAGCTAATTAGAGGCAATTTTTATAATTATGCAATTTCTTTGGTCTGTTGCATTGTCGTATTATAAGGATCACCTTTAATTTTTCCACATCCTCTTTTTTCATTTCAACCTTTCTTTCTTGAAATGACACTTTAAAGTTATCACCTGTTAGTGCTCAGTTTCAGCCTTTTGTCTCCGACCCTCTTCCTGTGTCTCTCGTACTTCAAAGCAGAGATCCGGTCGGCCGTCTGTCCTATAGTAATCATCTTCTTTCACAATAAGCCAGGGAAATAACAAGTTCAAGTGTGCAGTCTTCACAACACTTGCCCCCTCGGTCGTTCAGCAGTTTCCCCCAGAGGAAAACACAGCTTCTATTCAAACATGAGTAACGGTGGAGAGAGCAGAGAGAGGGTGAGAAACTGTGAAGGAGCTGCTGTTTTAATGGAAGTGGGTTATAATAGAGTGCTGCGCTAGGAAAAGTGAGGTCCTCTCCCTGCTTGTTGATCTAGCTGATTTGTGCTGTGTCAGTTTCTGCACTTTGTGCTCAGCTGAAGGTTATCCATCAAAGGCAGTAATTCCTGATGCTACTGACCGCCAACTTCCCAGCAAGCTTTGTTGTTTTTTTTCTTCTTTTTGATAGCAAGTGTAGTCTGAGTATTTATGCACTGCAGCCACCTATCTATTGGGTTAGTACAAAGCATTATCAAACTAGAACTGTGATTATTTATCTTTATCTTTGCTGCTGTCTGTGACCTCATTCTGATGACCAAACCACAACCGTGCTGGTATTAAGTCCAGCAGCTTAACCCTAGGAATAATATAGCTTTTACACAACATATCTACAAGAAGCCTCATAGGACACAGTATTTGGAGGCAACAGATTAACCCAGATTAAATTTTTACATATTTCAGCTTCTTTGAATAATGTACGTTTATTGTTAATGGAGTAAGAGTTTGTTGAAGTTGAAGCCAGGCTGTTTGATTTCAGAGCACCTTCAAAATAATGGGACATTTTGTCAATTCACCAGTGCTGTTATTAGGGCTGGGCGATAAACCGAAAATTTGCCGATACTGAAATTTATGACACCAACTGACATCATTTTGCCCATCAAAAAAAAAGAATTTAAAAAGTTGGCTTTGGATGTGTGTAGGTAGGCTATGGTCTCATGTCCCTTTAGGACGCTGTCCTACGTCAGAGGCGTGACTCCACCCCATCCAGTCTGTAAGTCTGTAAAAAAGAGGGAAAGACAGGTGAGGAGATGGAGGACGGTTCAAATGTTGTAGCAGCTGAAGCAGACGAAGTTAATGTGGGAGGGGTTGAGCAGCTTGTGGAGTAGTTATCGTCCATTTATTGTTATCGAGGTGAACTGCTCAATATATCATGATATTGATTTGAGGCCATATCACACAGCCCTACAGGTTACACTTAATGACAATACTCACTGACTGATCTGACCAGGAAATCAGATTGATGAGGTGGCAAAGTGTTGTATCATTTAGTATAGGGGTAAAAAACATTAATACAGCTTTTAGAAAGCCAAGTTTGAGTAGCAGCCTCCAGTCCCAAAAAGTAAAGCTGGTGTATTGTTTTGTTAAATGTATCGTCTTATTCTTACATGAATTTTCAGATGCCATACAATATTGAACAGTCCAATCTGCATCCTGCATACTGATTCATACACAGTTTCATCTATTTATAACTCGTCCTCTTCTTGATTATTATTTTGAATGCTGCTTTCTTTTCTTCTGGGTGTTTGTATTTGTTTTTTTTTTTTCATCAGCTGATTCCACATCACTTTCCGTTTCACTGTTTACCTCCATGACTTTGCTCTTTTTCTTACATGTATAGCTGCAGCTTTATCCTCAGAGTGTAGGTGTTGTTTATAGTCACATTAACAGGCTCTGCTGTGGCATTTTAAAGGCTATTAGAAGTCTCGTTGAGACATTAGTCATGTCTCCCAAAGTGTGACGTGGGCAGAGCACAGGCTGGGCCGGTGGAGGCTGTGACATGCACGGTGAGCTTTATCATCAGAATCAGAATCAGAATACCTGATTTATCCCGAGGGGGAAATTTGGTCATTACAGCATTACACTTAATCTTGAAAATATAAATATTAATAGAAGGAGAATAGAAATAGGAATAAAAAAAGAATAAATAAGACATAGCAACAGTTTGTAAAAAGTGCAGAATCTTAGAAATAAGCTTTTTACAAAGTGCAAAGTGTTGGAGAGTATGAAGCCAGTTTGCAGCGTAGGATATTGCAGAGTATTGCACAGTGTAGCTTAATAAACTACGTTATCAGTATTGCACTCTTAGATTATTGATGTTTTGATCTGTTTCCAAAGAGACTGCACAGTTGAATGTAATTGTATGCAGTGTAGAAGCTTAGAGTTGTAAAGTTTGATGGCCACAGAAAAGGATGACTTCCTTTGACGCTCTGTGGAGCATTTAGAGGGAATGAGATCGGTGCCAAATGTGCTCCTGTGTTTAACCAGCAGGTTATGGTGGATGCTGTCAAAGTTACAACCTCATCTCTGTCACCATTAAGTCCAGTAGGGCTGTCCCGATATGATATTGATATTGGATGTCAGTCCGATATAAGCCAAAAGGCAAATATCTGATTATATCGGCCTGCATCTAAAATCAGCACTCGGATACAAGCAGTCCATTCCAGACTCCGCTCCAGCACCTCTATCTAGCAGCGCCCGGTTCAAGCATGCAGAGCCCACGTGATCACAACAACAGTGTGTACTAAGGTACTAACAAAGTAGCACGGAGTAGAAGTGATGTTGGAGGTGAGGCAGTATTTTTTGTTAAGGTCCAAAAAAGACATTGCAGCTGAGTGCAAAACTTTTCATGCACAAGTTTGTGCCAATATCGGGTCAATATTGGTATCGGCTGACACTGAAGGCTACAAAATCAGTATCGTATCAGAAGTAAAAAAGTTGTATTGGGACACCCCTACAGTCCAGCTCTACCTCCGCAATGCCACTAGCCTTGCAGACGAGTTTGTTGAGTCTATTGGTGTCTGTCAGGATTGCACTGGCTACCACAGACTCATAGAACATCCTCAGCATGGTCCTGCAGACGTTAAAGGACCTCAGCCTCCTCAGGAAGCCCTTCTTGGAGACAGCTTCAGAGTTCTTAGACCAGTCCAGTTTGTTAACCAAGTACACGCCCAGGTACTTGTAGTCCTCCTTAATGTTCACACTGACACCCTTCCTGATGCATCCAACTGCAGCAGAGCCATCGGAGAACTTCTAAAGGTGTTAGGACTCTGTGTTGTAGTTGAAGTCCTTGGTGTAGAGGGTGAAAAGGAAAGGAGACAGGACAGTCCCTGCAGGACCGCAGTGTTGCTGACCACTCTGTCTGACACACAGTATTGTAAGCACACTAGAGTCAGATAGTCTACAATCCAGGACATGAGCGGAGCCTCCACCTGCATTGCCGTCGGCTTCTCACCCAGTAGAGCCGGCCTGATGGTGTCAAAGTCAAAAAACATGACCCTCACAGTGCTCTCTGGTTTGTCCAGGTGAGCGTAGACTCGGTTGAGCAGGAAGGTGATGCCGTCCTCCACTCCCAGGTGAGACTAATACCAGCCAGACAGCTGACCTTTTCCTTTAGGATCCCCCATGATAGGGCTGTTTGGATAATTAATACTGTGAACTTTTACAACTATTCACATCTCTCTCTCCTCTGTCTAGACACCCTCTGCTGTCACCGTGTCACTCAGCTGTCAAGTGACACCAGCAGAGGGGGTTTGAATTGGGTTGGGAGGTAAAGGATTGGATCTGCCTGTCTGTGTTTGTTCCAGGTGGAATTGGGTACCAGCTGAGTTGGAGGCAAAGTTCAATTGAAGCACTTTGATGATAATGAAATTGAAAAGAGGAGCACGAATCTGAGTGACAGCCAGACTTAAGTGAGTCATCAAGTGTCGGTGTTACACAAGTTAACATTTGGCTCATGGTTTCCTGTCACTGCAGAGAAAAAAGGTGTTATCCTTTGAGATTAAAATGGAGACTTACATACAGGCATGTAGCGTGCAGTCTTAAGAACAATCTCTCTCTTTAGATTGTATTAATAGATGCTAGCATCTGCATTCCTGAGTCCTCTCTCTGTCATCCTCTGAACAGTGCTGCTTTTGTCCATGTAACTCTGAATTCTCCCTCTGTCAGAGAACAATGAAACGACCCACTGGCTGCTGACTGCTACCCTGTAGGCATCAGTGCCTGCCTGAGCTGGGAGCTGTCAGGTCAGACCCAGGCTGTGGTACAGATTAGACCTGCTCATGTCAAGTCGACCTCCGTGAGAGTGCTGCTTTATTCTTACAAACTGAGCTGACTGCTGTATTGGCTTTTGTGTGTATTTGTGTGTGTGTGTGTGTTCATGGGCACACTAATCTTTTCTTCAATGAAACTAGCTTTTCACAAAAATAATAATGTGTATTATTAATAGGATGTCCACTAGAGTGGTAAGCATGAACATTCTGGTTAAGATTCAGCTTTTTTTTAGCATCTGTCAAAGGGAAAAACTACAGACTGTAGAATGTATGCAGAATGAACGCCGTCTGCCTCCTCGCAGGGTGAAGCCACCGCGAGAACAGCATCCTCTGGTGACGGGCTGCAGTTTAGGTCATAAATCCTGCCTCCTCTAGCCATCCCTATAAAGCTGTGGACAAACTTTAGAAATTAAACACACAAAATACAAATTTTTCTGCCTCCTGGTTGTGATGTTGACATGTAGTTACTGTAAGACTGGTTTGTGCTAAAGTCCTCTTTTCTTCTGTGCAGCTCCGATTTTAAAAGTTATCAGAGGGTTCATGTTTTCTATGATTGACACTTGATACAGCCTATGGGCGTACGAAGATTGCTTAGCTCACCTGTGTACAACACTACTGCGCAAGTGATGTTTCCAGGAAGTGGAGAAAATCCCAGAAATACCGAGAGCAATTCGGCTTCAAATTCGTGTAATGATAGAAGGTGGAACAAAGTTGTCCATAGTATATACAGTCCATGGAAAAAACATGCAAAGTTCATGTCTTTGCTTATCTCTCAGTCAGAAGTATATTTACTGTAATTCTTATTAATGTTTTTTCTTGTAAAAGCTAGAAAATTCTTTGAGTCTGCTTTATTAATGCTATTCCACCAGTAGCAGCTATTGGATCTGTCGACTGTCAACTACAAAGCATCTTGAAATAAACTTTCGAGGGTTAATTAGACTGCTCTCTGCCATTTCAGCAGCTCTGTGAGGCCATCTGGAGACGAGTGGCAGACTTCCAAGTTCTGTTAAAAAATAAATTTCAACTTTGTAGCTGATTCGAACTTTAGAAAACTCTCAGGAAACAGTCAATGTGAAGCATCCAGCATTACCGACATAATTTAACACTGGATCTCCAAACCTGCAGGTATATGATGTTAAATTACTATTTACCTAAAGGCTCTTATAGTGAATAATATCAAAAGTGGCAAACAGAAGCAGAGCTGGCACCACCAACCCTCTTTGCAGATTAGCGTCCACATGCATTTGCTTGTTCTACACATTGCTCTGGCTAAGAGGTTCAGTGACAGTTTAACCAGACAGAGTGCAAATACAACTCCATCTCAGTTTTCTTTATCAAAATACAGCTAAACTGCTGTGCACTATTAGAAATCATATGTCATCTTGATATATGATTAGACAATTAGGAAACATGTTCGATTAAAATACTGGCTTCTCTCATAATAACCCTGCAACAGCCAGCATTTCCTCCCCCAGGATGGAGTGGTCTGTTTTTGTTTTGGTGGACAGTTTCAAGGCACCCCACATGGCTGTTTTGAACACTCCCCAGGCTGCCAGATATGAGACCAATTATGGACGAGCAAACTTGATAACTGATTCTTCCCAACCCAACCTGCATATTACTTTAAGTGTTTTGGAGGTTGAGTGTCTACCGCTAGCCAAATTTGTACTGGCACTAAAGGAAGAAAGTAAAGATAGCAACTCAGTTCATGATAAATCAATTGAATTTTCAGTCAAATCTAAACCAATGATACTAAATAAACATTTAGAGGAATAAAACCATATTATCAAATGAATTGGGGCCCAGAATTTAATCTACCTTTAAATTTCATTTTATAATTTGCCTTATTTTTTGTACCTATTTTGCAATTTCTCAAAAGACAATTTGCTGGAAAGTGAAGTGGATAGTAGTCAAGACAAACAAACACATGTATGTATTTTCAAAGGCAGTCTAATAAGCATGCTAATAGCCACTCTTTCTCTCATCTTTGCTCCAACAAACACCAACAATGAAAAAACTAATCACTGGCACAAGGATTTTCTTGTCTGCCTGTCCCTCAGTTTGACTGCTGTCCTCTGGGGTTGTCAGCTGTCGGTCTGAGTGTTTGACTTTTCACCTCCCTCTCAATTCCCCGCCCCTCCCATTCTCAGCTACCACACACTGACAAGCTGTCGGCTCCGCTCAACCTGAACTAGTCTCTTGAATGAGACCAAGTCTGAGCCCTGCCTCTGGGACCAGTGATAAACCTTGAAACCACAGAGCATCTCTCAGCTTATGGTGGCCAATGGCACAGCTAAAGTACTCTTTCAGCTGCATCAGATAATGAAACAAAGGGAGTGCGTGTGTGTGAGGTTGAGAGGAGGAAGATCGCACAGGTAAAGAAGCCCTTGGTGTCAGTAGCATGGTCCAAGAAGCACGATAAACATGGGAGCACCTGTGTTTTTCACTCTATCTGCTATGTCAGAGTGTGTGTGAGTGTGTGTGCTTGTTGGCATGTGTTAGTCTTGCCTACTGTCCCTGGGCTTCAGAGTAATTATATGAGAGACTATCAACCTTCTCCCACTCTAAGGATGCTGGCTTTAAATTACACCTGCTAATTGCTTGGCATCAAGGGAATACCGAAGCACTGGGAAATACAAATCCTGTGTACTGGTGTGTGAATCAATGTCTACAGTCGGGGCTTTTCATATACCATATTGATATTGGATATTGGTCCGATATCAGCAAAAAAATGAATATCAGATTATATCGGCATGCATCTAAAATCTTCAATACAAGCAGTCCATTCCAGACTCCGCTCTGACACTTCTATCTAGCAGCGCCCGGATCCAGCATGTAGAGCCCACGTGATCACAGCAACAGTGTGTACTAAGGCAGAGGTCCCCAACCACGGGCCCCGGACCGGTACCGGTCTGTGGATCAATTAGTACCGGGCTGCTTTCGCGCTTGACTCTTCGGCACGTCATTTTCCTGCTTCAGCGACACAAGCTAGTCCTTGCAAAAATGAGCCAGAAACAGAGTTCACTGGAGAGAGAAAGGGTTGATTCTGCATCATGGTGAGTTGATGTCGAAGTGTAATGAAAAGTGCCTAATCTAAATCGTGATTGTTGTATCCAGTTTGCATGCTTCGTACATACTATGTACTGATTAAGGTTTTTGTTATTGGAACCTCCACGCTCCTACCCGGTCCTTGGAAAAAGTTTCCTGCATGAAACTGGTCCATCGTACAAAAAAGGTTGGGGTCCACTGTACTAAGGTACTAACAAAGTAGCAAGGATTTAGAGTGATGTTGGCTTTATGGCAGTATTTTTCATTAAAGTCTAAAAAAGATGTTGCAGCTGAGTGCAAAACTATTCATGTACATTTTGTGCCACTATTGGATCAATATCGGAATCTGTCGATATTGAAGGCTACAATATCGGTATCGTGTCAGAAGTCAAAAAGTTGTATCGGGACACCCCTTAAAACTGTATGTAAAAGAGATACATACATAAAGTTGGGTTCACATGAACAGTAATGTACTACAATTAATCAAGAACCTAAGTGGAAATGCCTGTGGCTGCACACGTAAGTGCAGAAGTCCTTGTTCCAATTCAGTAAATGCTTGAATTTGAGTCGAAGTCTGAGTAATCAGAGTTTGGGTCTTATTGAGTCTTTAGTAATACATCTGTACCACCTGAGGGTTTTATGAAGAGATTTTTCAGCTTCTTTGACTCTTTTATGTTATTTGGAAATCCTCAAATTCTTTTCATTTTTGGGCTGAGCAGCATTGTTCTGAAATTGTTGAACTATTTGCGCGTGATGTTTCACACAGAGATGTTTTGTTGTCCCTGTTCAAACTTTTTTTAAGTTATTGGTATCAAATGTGAGCTGTGTATATGTTTCATAAATCTCCACATATGTAAACTTTGTGCTATGTTCAGTTAAGTAAAGGGTTGCAATGATTTCCAACATCAAAATCTGTTTTTATTCAACTTTTTAAACAGCATGTGGAATTAGAGCTGTACTTTTTTGAAATAAAAAATTGAGTCTTTTCTGCTTTGACTTTGTGATGAATAAGGTGTTCTTGAACTTTTAGAACATAGTGTGCAGTCCAGCTTGAAAACCTTTATAACCAAGAGAGGAAAAAAAGAAATCCATTGGGTGAGTAATACCCTGCCAGCTCATTTAACGGGCTATTATAATGTCAGATGCTGGTAATTACTTTGGCAGGGCATGTCTGCTTTCATGCTATATAACAGATTTAATGTAGTGCAATACGCTAGCTCTCCAAACAGTTGAAACCCCTGGATAAAAGGCTTGAACGGGTCGAGTTGAGCCTTAATGACTGGATGATTTAACTGCTTGTTTTATCTGTGGATCAGCAGATTGATCAGGTAGAAGCAGTTTCTTCTTTTAGCAAATATCAACAACTCGGTAATGACCCACTGTTGCACTCTGTGGAGGGACTGTAAGTAATTACACTACCAGACAGGCTGACTGGTTATCGTCAAACCAGTTATTCATCTTGACAGATACGCTTAGCCCTTAAATGCTGGTTATTCATGGTCATGGCTGCTGAAACCTTGAGGATATTGTAACAATAAGACATAACAGTCAGAAGTTTTTACTGGCAGTCGTGTCTGACTATAATGCAGCAGGTTTACTGATTTCTGTCCTTTTAAAACCAACGTTGTTTTCTGTTGTTTTTCAAGGTATTGTACCCAATGAAGTAGATTCACATCCTGCAGAGACTGATACTGACAGCAGGAAATAGATCCCCACCCACTGATGTCCTGAGTGTATTTGTTTCCAAATGCTCCTAAAGCTGCATTCATGTATTCACAAAACTCCTGACAATTCCTGAAAATTTCAGGGTGGGCTGCATGTATGTATGCATGCATGCAAACAGACATAGTTTTAATTAGGGCTGGGTGATAAACCGAAAATTTACCGATACCGGAATTTACGACAATAACTAACGTCCTTTTGCCCATGTTGGTATATTCGGTGTCAAAAAAAAATTAAAAAATAAAAGTTGGTTTTGGATGTGTGTAGGTAGGCTATGGTCTCATGTCCCTTTAAGACGCTGTCCTACCACGTAGACGTGACTCCACCCCATCCAGTCCATAACAAAGAGGGAAAGACAGGTGAGGAGATGGAGGATGGTTTAAAAGTTGTAGCGGCTGGAGTAGATGAAGTTAATGTGGGAGGGTGTGAACAGCTTGTGGAGTATTTATCGCCCATTTATCGTTATTGAAGTGAACTGCTCAATATATAGTGATATTGATTTGAGGCCATATCGCCCAGCCCTAATCATCTCTAAACCCAAAATTGTTCCTGCCAAAGATGCATGTGGAAATACAGTGAAAAGCTAACTGTGAGTGAGTGAACTGATAATGCTCACATCATACACTGGCTGATAACGGTACATAACAGAGATAGATGAAAACCTCCAGTGTTGAAGTAGGACAAAATTTTCAAGATGAGGTTGGGGACGATATCTGCACATCAATCTGATTGGAATTGTTATGAATGCCATAGGGCTGTGCGATATGGCCTCAAATCAATATCACAATATATTGAGCAGTTCACCTCGATAATGAGAAATGGACGATAACTACTCCACAAGCTGCTCACCTCCTCCCACATTAACTTCATCTACTTAGCCGACGCTCCAGCCGCTACAACTTTTGAACTGTCCTCCATCTCCTCACCTGTCTTTCCCTCTTTATTACGGACTGGATGGGGTGGAGTCACGTCTCAGACATAGGACAGAGTCTTAAAGGGACATGAGACCATAGCCTACCTACACACATCTAAACCAACTTTTATTTATTTATTTTTGACACCAAATATATTGACATGGGCAAAATAATGTCGTTATTGTCGCAAATTTCGGTATCAGTAAATTTTCGGTTTATCGCCCAGCCCTAGATTGCCGTCATAGTGTAGGTCTTTGTTGGTTAACTCTTTTGTTGTTGACAGTACACGACTCAATCGCTATTGATGAACAGGTAAGAAAACCAACTTTTGAAAAACCATGGAGACAAAGTGTAAATGGCTGCTTCATGCCTGTAAATACACAAACCCACATAAATATTGTGTAAAACAATTCCAGAGTGAAAAAAATGACTCAGTAAATCTCTTGGGACAAACTCAAAGCCAACATTTTGTGGCGGGGTGTTAACGTGTGGGTGGGATGTTTCCTGCAGAGCTCTCGGGGTGCATCCTGTCTGAAATGTTGATGATGTTGTTATCAAAGGTTTTCACTTTGTTGTATTCCTTTTCTGCTTATGCAGCATGAATTAGTCAGCTATGCAGCCTCTGATCTTTTTTTTTTTTGGCTCGCTCCTTTGTTTCTATAAAAAGATTACTCTGAAGCTAAACTCGTTTTTGAGATGGACAGAAACAAAAGAGGGAAGACTGAAAAAATCATTTATTAGATAGAAACTTTTTCATATCAGAATAAATTGTTCATCATCAGCACATTACTGAACACGATCTCAGTGTGTTAGCTGTAAGAGGATTTGAAGGTAGTAGACCAGGATAGGATTGAGTTACTCACTGTCCCCCCTAATTAACTCTTCATTTACGCCTCGTGCTTGGCTCATTTACTTCACCTTGTGTTTACTGTTCCAGACAGCAGCTCCGAGCTAAGGAACAATGACCCATACCAGTCGGGGTCAAAGATCAGAGGTCAGAGAGAGTGCTGGAGGTCAGCCAGGACTGAGAGTGAGAGGTGAAGTTGTTCAAGTAGTTGTTAATGGCTTCCTGAGCTTTTGTCTCTTTTTAAATAAGAGGTCAAAGTGTCAGGTTTATCTTTTTGAATATAACAGCCTTTGATAAATACTCAGAAAGCAAAGCAAAAGACTAATCTTTTTTTTTTTTTAGTCTTTTTCCACATCCCTTTTGATACCATTTCACCTGATTTTTGTAAAACTCCCGATGGCTCGGTGTTTCTCAGAATGATATCAAATTTAAGCTGTATGAAAAAGGCTTATCTTTTGTACTGTACTTTCTGTGAAACCTTGGACAAAAATCCCTGACCTTACACACAGCCTCTCCTCTACTTCTTTAATATTCAGCTTTATGAAAATGAGTCTGAAGACAAAAAGCCCTGCATTGTGTTCTTCCTTCCCCCCTCCTCTCCGCAGCCCCAAATCAACTTGCCTTTGCTCCCTGCACCCCTCAACCCACCTTCTCCCCCTCCCTCCCTCCCTCCCTTGTTGTTTTTCTCCTCTTCACTGTCACCAGGCTGCTAAGAAACCCTCAAATCTCATTGGCTGTGAATGTTTTGTGGTATTATGTCTGCACACAGATTTTTGCATTTGGGGGCTTGTGTGTGTGTGTGTGTGTGTAGTTGCACGTGTGCGTGCATGTGTGTTTATGTATGCCTATTTTAATCCGAGGGATTTGCATCATGCTGCCTTTGCTGTTTGCAAAACAGGCCTAATAGTGCACAAGCAGAGGAACATGCAGGAGTTCTGAAAATTAAAAATGTGCAGCAGCGAGGGTTAGAAGTTCTGCCAAATGCTAAATCTTACATGCACAAGTGTAATACATGCAAAAGTGTAAGCACTGCATTACCCATAATCCTTTTCTCGTCCATATGTCTACTCAGTATTCGTCAATCTGCAGAAAATAAGTCTTTAATCAGCTGCAAATTACACTAAAAACAATTCTCAATCATCCAGTTTGGTTCTCATCTCTAGGTTACCTTGTTAGGCTTCATTATCCATGAAAATATTGCATATGATATCTATTGTTGTGGGCCCTCCGCACCTTTCTTTGTCAGCATACCCCTCATACAGACATCTATACAGAATTTATCTCACGTCTGGACATGCCTGACGTTTCTTGTGAAGGGTAAAACATGGCAAAATGAGAATTTCCTAAATCTCACATGATTGGAAGAGGATCTGACTGTTGGTGTGGTGCCTGACAGTGCACTTATGATTTCAGTTTTTTCTCTGATTATTAGATATTGATCTAACCTTGTCAACAGCGACCCTAACACGAAAAGTGCCATAATCTTAGTAGGAGCATTTTATAATTTAGTCAATTTAATTTTTAATTTGTTGAAATAGAGATTCCTGACAAAGTGAAAAATTTATGTCATTCTTTTAAGCATTGAAAGACAAAACAGGTTGGTGCAGACCCTAACACAGGAGGAGGGTTAATGCTAAGCAAGGCTAATGTAAAACATCTAAAAATAGGTCAGAGAAAAATTTGGTTGAAAAATCAGTTTTGCAAAAGTTTTGTCATCTATCTCATTTTGGGAAGAAAAATACACTACATTACTTCCTCTTAGCTTTTTTCTTGATTTTCCATTTGCAGACAGAGCAACTGTATATCAAGAGAAACTCTCAGATTGATAGATAGTGTATATCATTTAGATTTTTACTAGTATATGAACAGTGTCAATTTTCATAATGAGACTACAGGAGTCATGAGTGTACACCCCTTTTTGGATCATGTCATGTCCTCCTCTGTGTGGACACTTGAATGCATCAAAAAGAAATGATGTCTAATTGATCAAACCTAGCATGAAATTACAAACACGGGCCCACTGTTGAGTGTGTGTCCTCCTCTCTGCTGCACCACCCGGCAGACAGCCTGTTGACTTCAGCTATAGCTCACTCAACTTAAAACCCGCAGTGTCAAAAAAAAAAAAAAAGAGGAGCGAGTGAGATCTTTCGAGCGTGTGTGGAAGTAATTTATGGCAGTCTGTGTCTGGGAGTGACAGTGAAAGAGATAACAGGCAAATTTATCGATTTGTTTATTTTCTCTTCAGAGGGAGCGGGCCTGTGTGTGTGTATGAGGGAGGTGGTGACGGGAGGGAGAGAAGTGGGTTTGAAAGTAGGATGAGGGGGTGTTATGAGTGAGTGTGGAACTGGGTGGGAGGAGGCTGACTGGGGTTTAAGTGTGTGTGTGAGTGTGTGTGTGTGTATTTGAGAGGGAAAGAAGGGGGAGGCGTGTATTGAGGGTCTTGGATTGGACCGTAATCCTTTAGTCCTGGTTAGAAATACCCCTGTGCAGTCTAGGACAAACAATATAACACACACACATGCACACACACGCTCACACAAACAATCACCAGTTTGCTTGGCTCTCCTTCTGAGTGGTGAGACAGGGTTTGGCTGACGTAACTTCATCATGACAAAATGTCCTCGGTGGAAACTCGCTGATTCACTTTATGAGAAGGTTGGTTCTTTCTGTCACGTAGAAGTTACATTTACATACATGAAGTATGTTTGGTTTTGTGTGTTTGTATGTGTGTTTGAGAGGGAGGGGCAGAGAGAAATGCGTAGATGTTTTGGTAGAGGTAATGTTGTCTGCTCAGCATTGCTAGTTTCATCATATTCACCCTTTACTTTGCTTTGTTTGCATTTGAATGACCAAAAACACATAAAACTGCTCTGTAGTTTGTAAGGAAAACAGAAAAAGGCTTCTGCAGCACCTCTATCCTCCTCCTCCTCTTCTTCTGTTGGGTGCCATGTGACAGCTGACACATTCAGACTGGTTGTCATAACTGAATAACTCACTCCTGCTTTTCATTCCCAACCAAACTCAAAAAAGCACAACATGCTGCACCTCTATGCACCAGAATAGGATTAAACTCACAGTCATAGCAGAATTTTACTCATCAATAAGTGTTCACATGGTAATGTTTATTGTACATTTGCTATAGGTAAGATTGCGTTGAGTTCATGCAAAGTTCAAAAAGTATAGTAGACAACTATCATATTATTTAAATGCACTTATTACTGTCTCGCTAATAAACCGGGCAAGTTAAATGCTTGATTCTGATTGGCCAAAATCCCCATCAATCGTAATGAGTTCTCAATGGCAAAGGTGATGCCTGGGGCAACCTAATCACTCTTATCATATCAAATCAATCTGCCTAAAGGCGTCCGGCGCATTTCACCTCCACCTGTTGAAACTCTGGGGGGAATGTTAGCTTCATATCGCTACAGTTTGGCAGACACATTAGCTTCCATTAGGACTTTAAATACTCAGTAATATTGGGAACGAAAGAAGGGGAGGCATGTATTGAGGGTCTTGGATTGGATCAACTTTGAATCCCTTAGGAAGCTAATGTTTTTTACCATGGACTGTATACACTATTGACAACTTGGCTCCACCTTCCGTCATGATATGAATTTGAAGCCGATTTGCTCTCGGTATTTCCGGGATTTTCTCCACTTCCTGGAACCACCACTGGCGCAGTAGCATTGTGTGCATTTGGCGGGAGAGTCGCTGTGACACTCAACTCAAACAGCGTATCCCCCGGGTGAGCTATGCAATCTTTGTACCCCCATTGGCTGTATCAAGTGTCAATCATAGAAAACTTGAACCCCTAATAACTTTTAAAAATGGAGCTGCACAGAAAAAATAGGACTTGAGCACAAACTAGTCTTACAGTAACTACATGTCAACTTCGCAAGCAGGGGGAGAAAAATTTATATTCTGTGTGTTTAATTTCTAAAGTTTGTCCACAGCTCCATATGGATTGCTGTAGGAGGCGGGGTTTATGACCTATACTGCAGCCCATCACCAGAGGGTGCTGTTCTCACGGTGGCTTCACCCAGCGAGGAGGCAGACGGCTTTCATTCAGTCTATGGTTTTTACTCAAACATGAAGTGAAATGTTCAGCTCATTGTTTATTGAGCCCACAAGTATGTGCACAAGAGCCTGTTAGCATAAAAGTGTATTGTGGCACACTGCCATGGCTAAATAAAAGCCCCCACACCTTAAAAATGATTTTTTTTTTCTTACAAGGCTCTACTTCGGACTCAAATGTATCGGTGTATGCGGTGTGCACGAGCGCTGCACCGTGGAGCACACGCGCCATTAGCATTAACGAGTTATCACACAGCTGTTTAACTACATCCCCCTTTTTTACACTCTTCCCTTTCTAAACCCTTATTCAACGCCATATATGTAACTTTGCTTAAATTTAAACCATGATAGCACCAGTCAGAGCTTCACATGATACACAAAGACGACCTTTCCTCACATATTGGAAAAGACTGCCAGTGAGCGAGATGTCATATATGTTTATAATGGAGCAGCATGAAAGGAATGAATAAGCAAGACTATTACATCCACATTAGAAAGACGACATTGAAGGGAAAAAGTAGCAGAATCTTCAGATTTAACGGCGCCCCCCCCCCCTTTTATTGTCAGCTATATGAAAAAAAACACGAGGGCGAGCCAAAATCTTTTCTCCCTGTCATCATTTGGTTTAGTACAGACCTGCTGCCAACTTCACTTTACTCAGCCTCTGCCAACACCAGCATATGGCAAACACACACACACACACACACACACACACACACACACACACACACACACACACACACACACACACACACACACACACACACACACACTCACTCACTCACACAGACGCATGCATGTATTGTACACTCTGTTTTTCTGGCTCTGGGTCGTTGGAAACTGGCAGGCGCCTCATAACGTTTGAATGCAACATCTATATGCATGAATGTGCTGTACTAACACTCACAAACATAGTTACACTCACACACACAAAAAAGACACACAAAAACTGCTTGTATGACATTCAAAGCTCAGAAAAAGTCCCGGATCATCACAATGCAGGTTAGTTTTCCCTGTGTTGTATAGAAGATACTCTTGCAATGCTGCAGATCTTGTTTTAAGGGAAATGTGCAGTTTGGTTTTTTAGAGTTTGGGCAGGACCTAAAGTTTTTTTTTTCCCCATTAGGAACAAAGAAGGCTAAAATTATTATCTTTACTTCTTCTCAGCCATCATTTAGCCTCATCCTTTGTTTCTGCTTCTCTGGTAAATCTCTCACAACACAAAACAGTCAATAAAAATGACACATAATTGCTTTATGTGTATTCTTGAGTGTCAGTTTACCCCTTAAGAATTTTAATAGTTTATCAAAAAAATACTTAAAAAATGACAAAGAGTGTGAAGAGTGTGGAGCTTTTATCATATCCAAGTATTTGTCTTTATTTTTCACATTATTTTGGATGCCTCCTCTGTTCAGACTGTGAATAATAATAAGAAAACAGCCTCCAGTTAAATTCTGCATTCAGTGTCATCTTGCAGGGGAATCCAAAGCTGTTAAAAGTTACTGCTGCGTTTTACTAGTCGGGCCTTTTTGGAGCAATTAGGGTTTTTTATGAGATGTGAAAACTCCCACTGATTGGTTTTGTGGCTGTAATGTTGGGCTGCACAAGTCACAGGGGGGATTTTGACCCTCCCCTACTTGTTAATTTAACTTTTTCTAGTGTTTGGGTGTATTCTGTTCACACATCTGCACCCCCCTCATTGTTTTGCTTTGTCTTTGTGTTTTTATCTGCAGTACGACCCAGACAACTCAGGCTTTATCAGCACAGAGAGGTTCAGGGATCTGCTGGCAACACACGGCTCTGAGCTCGACCCACACAAACTGGAGGTCCTGTTAGCCCTAGCTGATGGAAACGCTGATGGAAAGATCTGCTACCAAGACTTTGTCAACCTGGTAAGATGTTGTTACTCGATGACTCCATACTTTGTGTCCTCAATCTCTCTACACTTCTTCCAATATCAGTATATCTAAGAAATAATCAAACAATCTTGTGAGGAGTCCCAGTGGAGTCCCAGAGTCCCAGTCCTGAATCGAACTGTAACCCCTTTATCCAAAAGTGTGACTGTCCGTTTGCCCGGTCAAAGGCAGAAGCAACTTTATGTTGTAATGTTGCAACAAGGGGCGGCACAGTGGTGTAGTGGTTAGCTTTGTCGCCTCACAGCAAGAAGGTCCTGGGTTTGAATCAGGATCAGGGCGTTTCTGTGTGGAGTTTGCATGTTCTCCCTGTGTCTGCGTGCGTTTACTCCGGGTACTCGGGTTTCCTCCCACATCCCAAATACATGCCTAATAGGGGTTAGGTTAATTGGCCACTTTCAAATTGCCCGCAGGTGTGAATGTGTGCGTGGATGGTTGTTCGTCTCTATATGTCAGCCCTGCGATGAACTGGTGACTTGTCCAGGGTGTCCCCTGCCTTCGCCCGAAGATGCTGGGATAGGCTCCAGCCCCCCCGCGTCCCCGATAACGGGAATAAGCGGTAGAAAATGGATGGATGGATGGATGTTGCAACAGGCTGCTAGTTGCATTTGTTGCATCGAGTTTTATTCGATTGATTTGAATTTAGTTTAATTTAAGCAACTGTATTAAAACCCTCAGGGGAGCAGTTTGTAAATGTAATGGGGCACTCACATCAAGCACGAGTAAAATCATCCACTCACTTATTTCACGCAAATCTAGACGCGTGAAATAAATAGTATTTACTCGCTTCATTCAAATAGATAATTTAAATGAAGCATTATCAACGGTAATTTCAACAGTAATCCCAGGTGTTTTACAATTTACCAGGTAATATGACCTCCTCCCAAACTTACCTCCATGCAAGCTTTTTCAGCTCCTGCCCATTTTGCATCATTGGCGCCGCTAGAGTAGTACGAGCGTCTGATCTCGTCTTTGCGTTGACTTAACATGTAATTCAGTTGCGCAAATGATTTTCCTCGCGCCTGGTGTGTGGAGGCAGTAAGACTAAGCATTAGTTTGGACTTGAGTTTAGTTGAAAATAACCCCCTGAATTACAAAAGCGATACAATAAAATGCGTGCTTTCAATCGGCTTATTATATTTGTGGGAAAGCTTATAGTTTGAGTTGGACTTTCTGTAGATATTAAAGTTTGACAAGCAGGATTGTGAAGTGGACAAAGGTTGCAAAAACCCAGCTCAGATTCCAAAAACAAAGGTCACACGAAAAGAAAATCCCACATTTGATTGTTGAAATTTATTTGCTGTTTATATTTTTGTGCATTTTTGTCTTGAATGGATGGACCAGCAAAAGAGGAACAGGAAATGTGGGGAGTAGAGAGTGGGGGGAAGACATGCAGCAAAGGATCATGGCCAGGAAATGAACCAGAGACCACTGTGATGCAGACTATAGTAGGGCTGTCCCAATACGATATTGATATTGGTCCGATCCAGCATGCAGAGCCCATGTGATCACAACAACAGCATGTACTAAAGTACTAACAAATTAGCAAGGAGTAGGAGAGATGTCGCTTGTGTGGCAGTATTTTTCGTTAAAGTTCGTAAAAGTCATTGCAGCTGAGCGCAAAACTTGTCAAGCCCAAGTTTGTGCCAATATCGGATCAATATCGGTATCGGCCGACACTGAAGGCTTCAATGTCGGTATCGTATCAGAAGTGAAAACGTTGAATCGGGACACCCCTAGACTATCGCCTCTATATAGGGGTGTCTAGATAACTCGGCCTTTGGGTTCCTGATTGTTGACGTGTTATCAAATGATATTTAATTTTGTACAGATATCCCTCAGAGCGTTTTTTTTGGACCTGGTCTTTGAATTAAGGCTTCAAAAAAACTAACGTCTAACTTTTGTAATAATTTTGCCTGGTCTCCAGTCACGCACCGTTTATTTTTCACATCGTCTCCCAGAGCCACATTGGAGGTCATCCTGATAGAAAACAACTCTCAGATTGATGATAAATTTCCCTCTTAACACTCACCTTCCTCCACTTTCACTCTCACCTTCAGACTGCAGCTTCTGCCGCTGATTGTCCAAGGCCTCATTCGAGCATCTCCAGCTGCGCTCACAGCCACATAACCCTCTCATTTTCTGTATTCCTCTGTGTCACTGCTTTTCCTCTTGGGAGGCTGAAATGCTGACCCCAGACAGTGTGAAGGGGTCCCTGGTGAACAATAACTGGGTGGCTGAGGGACGGATCAGGGTGTGTGTGTGTGTGTGTGTGTGGGTGTGTCTGTAAGAAATTCATTGTTGTCTGTGAGTGTGAACATGTCCATCTCTCCCCTCCACTCTTGTTCTTCAGAGCTGTTCATTGTCTGGTACCGTGGGCGAGGAATGAGGTCTGTGGGGAGCTTAGAAAAATGTCAAAAGGGCTTTTTGCACATTAACTTTGCTATTGGTGCATTTAGGTCAGGTGACAGGCTGTGGCGTGCAACTGGAAGTGGGACAAAGAGGACTGGGGTAGCTGGCATGTGTGTGTACTCTTATTTTCTTTTACATTGGGGCTATTGTGCCCACCCCCCTTGGTGTTTTATAGATTCATAGAGGCAGTAAAGGAAACAACAGAGGCTGAACACTGACAGCAGTGGGGGGTACATGCATGTATGAATATAGTAATTTGCCATTTACTGAATGAATAAGACCTACAATTGGTTAAATGTTGATTACTTTAATAGATGGGTGAATTATTATTCAGCTACAATGGGAAGATTTTCCACTTTTCTTTGTCTTCCTGTGGAGTAGACTGAATTATTTTGAATTCTAGGAATTATTTGGTCAAAACAAACAATTTTCAATACTTTGTCCCTGACTTTCAACCAAAGGGAAGTTTTTTTGTTGTTGTTATTGTTGCTTTTTTCATGAATCTTGTAATCCTGAACTTGGAATATAAGAAGATAAATGGTGAAAATGTGCTCAAAAGACAAGTCAATAAACAATTAACTTTATGTGCACAATTCACATTTACTTTTACTTGTTTTTTTCAACAGGAGATTAGAAGAAATAATGAACATAAATGTAGTAATGAAATATTTTCTTCAAAAGGAAGTCGGAAGAAGCAGCAATTTAAAGATATAATCTTAAGATATTTTTTTTACAGTGTTGTTTTTTTCCCTTTTTGTACCTCTGTACTTCACAGATAAATATTGTGATGTAAGAAAATCCTCATCATTGTTTTTTGTGGACTAAAAGGAATACTCAAACTAATCAAAAGTTGTAATTCACTAATAAAAGAGGTTATTTAAGTTTAGGAAGTACCTCTGTTTCAGCAAACAGGAGTCTGCTATTCAAGACTTGATTAAGACTTATGTGGAGACTTTAGTGCTCTGTGAAAGACTTTCTCAGAAAGCTAATATTATTAAATGCACAACAAACTTTCTTGTCCCAGTGCAATTTAAACTTATAAAAACACACATTTGGAATTGACCCACAGCCCTACAAATGTGGTTTACATTTAACATGATGACCAACATGGGGTGACTGACTCTGTGGTAGAGGTGGTCTCTCTAAATTAAAGAGTTAATGTAGGGTTAGATCCCAGGTCCCACTGTCCACATGCTCAAAGAGTCTATAGACAGGACACTTGACCATAGACTGTATATAGAATGGATAGAGTCTGCCTCCTTGCTGGGTGAAGCCACTTCGAGAACAGCACCCTCTGTTGACAGGCTGCAGTATAGGTCATAAATCCCGCCTCCGCCAGCAAAGCTTATGGGGCTGTGGACAAACTTTAGAAATGTATTACACAGAACATACATTTTTCTCCCCCCTGCTTGTGATGTTGACATGTAGTAACAGTAAGACTGGTTTGTGCAGCACTGGTTTCAGGAAATGAAGTAAAATCCCGTAAATACCGAGAGATTTTTGGCTTCAAATCCGAATACAGGCGGTAGGCGGAACCAAGTTATCCTTAGTGTATACATTCTATGCTCTTGACCCACAACCTGATCCTGCTGGTCCCATCATGTCCTTTGAGTTTTGACATGAAGAATTAACTAGTTATTTTATTCTGATGCACAGTCAGAACAAACCCTGAATTTGTAGTTGCAATGCTGTGCTGCAGCTTCATCTCTGCAAACTGATAACCAACTTGACTTAAATTCTTTAGATTCATATCTAGGTGATGCCTCGTTAAATGCTTTAATGGATTTGTAGTGTTTGAAACATTATTTTACCTCCACGCAGCACGTCTTGCAAATGTCTTTTCTTTAGCTATTCTCTGTCTTGAGAGTTTGTGCTTTAAGGTTTGTCAGCGCCTTCAGTGAAGCAGCTCTACACTCACCGGCCACTTTATTAGATACACCTGTCCAACTGCTCGTTAACACTTAATTTCTAATCAGCCAATCACATGGTGGCAACTTAGTGCATTTAGGCATGTAGACATGGTCAAGACAATCTCCTGCAGTTCAAACCGAGCATCAGTATGGGGAAGAAAGGTGATTTGAGTGACTTTGAACGTGGCATGGTTGTTGGTGCCAGAAGGGCTGGTCTGAGTATTTCAGAAACTGCTGATCTACTGGGATTTTCACGCACAACCATCTCTAGGGTTTACAGAGAATGGTCCGAAAAAGAAAAAATATCCAGTGAGCGGCAGTTCTGTGGGCGGAAATGCCTTGTTGATGCCAGAGGTCAGAGGAGAATGGCCAGACTGGTTCGAGCTGATAGAAAGGCAACAGTGACTCAAATAACCACCCGTTACAACCAAGGTAGGCAGAAGAGCATCTCTGAACGCACAGTACGTCGAACTTTGAGGCAGATGGGCTACAGCAGCAGAAGACCACACCGGGTGCCACTCCTTTCAGCTAAGAACAGGAAACTGAGGCTACAATTTGCACAAGCTCATCGAAATTGGACAATAGAAGATTGGAAAAACGTTGCCTGGTCTGATGAGTCTCGATTTCTGCTGCGACATTCGGATGGTAGGGTCAGAATTTGGCGTCAACAACATGAAAGCATGGATCCATCCTGCCTTGTATCAACGGTTCAGGCTGGTGGTGGTGGTGTCATGGTGTGGGGAATATTTTCTTGGCACTCTTTGGGCCCCTTGGTACCAATTGAGCATCGTTGCAACGCCACAGCCTACCTGAGTATTGTTGCTGACCATGTCCATCCCTTTATGACCACAATGTACCCAACTTCTGATGGCTACTTTCAGCAGGATAATGCGCCATGTCATAAAGCTGGAATCATCTCAGACTGGTTTCTTGAACATGACAATGAGTTCACTGTACTCAAATGGCCTCCACAGTCACCAGATCTCAATCCAATAGAGCATCTTTGGGATGTGGTGGAACGGGAGATTCGCATCATGGATGTGCAGCCGACAAATCTGCGGCAACTGTGTGATGCCATCATGTCAATATGGACCAAGCTCTCTGAGGAATGCTTCCAGCACCTTGTTGAATCTATGCCACGAAGAATTGAGGCAGTTCTGAAGGCAAAAGGGGGTCCAACCCGTTACTAGCATGGTGTACCTAATAAAGTGGCCAGTGAGTGTATATCCTGCCATGTTTGGCCTCACACATAGCAGAATCTCACTAGAGCCAAAGGTCGATTCAAATTGGTTTAATTCTATCATGATGTTTAAATAATTGATTCTTTTTTACCTATCCTTAGTACCTTAATGTTAGCCAAGAGTTATAATTCTTCCAACAAGTTCATGAGCAGAACCCAGCATTTTTTTTTTGTGTGTGTTTTTTTCTCTCCGGCCCGTCTGCCCTCGGAAGCAGAGAAAAGAAGAAAAAGGAGGAATAGAAGGAGAGAAGAGGGCCAGGACAGACAGAGACAAACTGCAAGGGCTTTATTTGTCACACCATCTTTCCTTTGCACCGCAGCTCTTCCATCAGTGTGATTGTCAGTAATTGCCTTCTCACAGCTCTGTCACATTAGACGTTCAAATCACTGCTCATTTCCTCTCTTAACCTCCTCCCTTCTCCGTCCTCTGTCCTTCTCTACCTCCTCTCTCTTTCCTTTATGTAAGCTCCTAACTTTTTTTCCAACATTGTTCTTTCCTTATCTGTCCCTTTCCTCTTTTTTTCTTCATGGCCATCCATCTCCCTCTGTCTGAATTTCTCACATAGATCAAACATCCTGGGTAGAGAATGGCTCTGAAATCAGATTAAAGTTCCCAAAATATCCACAGACAGGTTGAGATGATCTGTTTTTGTCCCTTATGGGACAGAACTGGGGAAAGATCACGATGCATTCATCTCAGCACTTACAGGTGCGCTGTCATTTGTCCTGTTTTGGGGTTCTGTATGATCTGCTTTGGCTTGAAAGTTGGGCTGGGCATTAAACCGAAAATTTACCGATACCGAAATATACGACAATAACCAACGTCTTTTTGCCCATATCGATATATTCGGTGTCAAAAAATAAATAAAGAAAAGTTGGTTTTGGATGTGTGTAGGTAGGCTATGGTCTCATGTCCTTTTAAGACGCTGTCTTCCGTCAGAGACGTGACTCCACCCCATCCAGTCCATAACAAAGAGGGAAAGACAGGTGAGGAGATGGAGGACGGTTCAAAAGTTGTAGCAGCTGGAGCGGCGGCTGAAGTAGACGAAGTTAATGTGGGAGGGGGTGAGCAGCATGTGGATTTCCATTTATCGTTATTGAGGTGAACTGCTCAATATATCATGATATTGATTTGAGGCCATATCGCCCAGCACCACTTAAAATGAAAAGTATTTAAACGTTTCTTGTATTTTGCATGGTTTAGACTGCGCTTCTGCAGTTTATACAGATAAAATGGATAATATTTTGTGTCAAACTGACTCATTCATTCATCCATTCATATATTTATTCATTCATTAAGCTTTTGTGCCTGTGTTCAGAGAGGACAAGTAAGTGACCAGAACAGGAAACCACGGAGAGAGTGTGCCATGCAGAAAAGGACCTGTAGGTCAAAATTAGGAGTGTCCCCATACGACTTTTTAACTTCTGATACGATACCGATTTTGTAGCCTTCAGTATTGACCAATATTGATTGGCACACAATTGTGCATGACAAGTTTTTCTCTCAGCTGTAATGTCTTTTTTGGACTTAAACAAAAAATACTGCCACAATGCCAACATCACTCCTCCTCCTTGGTACTTTGTTAGAATCTTAGTACACACTGTTGTTGTGATTTTGTGGGTTCAGCATGCTGGATCAGGGCGCTGCTAGATAGAGGTGTTGGTGTGGAGAATGGAATGGACTGCTTGTATCGGAGTGCTGATATCTGAGATTTTAGATGCAGGTCGATATAATCCGATTTTCGTTTTTTTGCTGATATCAGACCGATATCTGATATCAATATCATATTGGGACAGCCCTTGTCAAAATCAAACCTGTGCTATCTCCCTGAGAACCATAGCACTGCACATAGGTTCATATCTCAACCGCCAGGCCTCCTGGTTTTGTTACCCCCCCCCAGTCTTACTCAGAGTGCAGCTCACAGCCGTGCTATTTGTGTTCTGAATGAATGCTTATGCTGTGATGGCCAAATAGAACAAAACTCTGCAGCTTTGTTACAAAACCAAAGCCTATACTTTGGCAAATGGTTGTATTACTCAAGTGCCCACAGGTTAATGGTGTAGTGAATGTCTGTGATAAAGCCAGTTTAGTCCGGTATGCTTCTTTTCTTTTCTTCTGCATTCCCTCGTCTGTTTCTTTTTGTAGGTTTCCACCTCTCTTTCTGTCTTTAGGTCGGTCTTTTCATTGATCAAACTGTGAAATTGTCTCTCGCTGGATAAACACCCATTTGTCCCCTTCACCTCCTCAGTTCTCTCTCTCTCCTTTTTTTGCCAGTGGGTAAACAGACACAGTGTCACTCTGTCTTTTGTGTTGTACAAAGAGCAGAGGAATTGCAGTCACTTCACACGAAGAATTGACTGTCTTTATGGAGCACAGCTGCCCAGGGGAGGTCTGTGCGTTTGTGTGTCTGTGTGTGACTGTGTCGGTGTTTTCACTCTTCCTGGTGTGCAGTCTGGAAGTGGCCATGGTAACCCGCAATCACTTTCCCACAGCCCTGACATAAAGGCTGAAATAATTGGCTCCTTCTGAAGTTTATCTCCAAACAGTGATACATGCAGAGTCACCAGAAGTCTCACTAAACAGAGCCGGAGGAAAAATCCGCCCGCTGTTCAAAGGCAGATTTTATTGATATTCTCTTTCACATCTGTCGTCTCATACTTTTTTCTCCTTCTTGAATTTCTTGCTTTGACTTCCGAAATCAGTCAGAGAGAAAAACCCATTTGTTCTGAGATGTGTGATGGTTTTTGAAAAACAACTTCTATACTTCCCTGATTGGTCTGTGCTTGTTAGTTTGCATGCAACTGTTAGTTCAGACTTGGCAAATGAGATTCAACAACCACCAGCCACATTTACATGGGCAAAATGTCTTTATCCAATAAAAAAAATTGAGGGATTGGATAATCTGAATCTGAATTATTCAGATTAGAAGCATTTGGACATGCGCAGAGTTCTCTGATTTTGCTAAAACAACCGCAGAAGAAGAAGAGTTGTGTTTATGCCTGAGCTGTCAACAAACCAACAAATGCGGTAGAGGCTCACTCCATCCAATTCAAGAGTTTTCCCCCTGTTAAATGTTGTCACTAGGTGGCACCCTTGCGTACTTATTTTGCTGTTCTGTCAAAGGTTGCACGGTGTGTGTGCAAATGTGACATGAGCATGCTTAGAGATGCACCGATCCGTTTTTTCCCGATCCAATCCGATACCGATACCTGGGCTGAGCATATCTGCCGATATCCGATATCGATCCAGTTCTACTGTTGAATGAATGAACTGTATACCTTACACTGTGAGTGGAGGCCTCGGGCTTGACATTAGCCTTTTTAAAAAAAGGTAACAAATTAACACAGGTATACATTGACTTAATATTATTTATTAACAAATAACAAATTGCACATTAGCACACACCAAAAAGAAGGAAGAATTCTATGTATTAAAAGAAAAATTAAAAGAAAAAAAGACTGGATTGGAACGCTGGATCGGCATCATTCATCAGATATCTGATCCAGTTTATTTGTCAATATCGGAGTCTATATCTGATCCAAATATCGGATCGGCGCATCCCTAATTGCGCTGTATGTACGTCTTGTTCTGTTACCAGCGGAGCAGACACCTTCGGTTGAATGTTAATGATGAAACCTCCTGTACTGACCTCAATAAATAAGCCAAAAACTAAAGAGTGAAGATCGAGTCAGGTAATAAAGTCACAATCGGAATAAGTGTTTACATGGACACGTTTCGGAATAACGATCGGCATAAACCACCCCTCTTGATCGGAATACAATTTCTTTCCGAATGAGCCGAATTGGATCAGGACCTCCTGATCAACGTCTACATGACGCATTTTTATTCCTATAGTTTGTGCTCATGTAAACGCAGCTAGTGAAACATCTTAAATTAGCGTAACTCTGCCTCAGTCAACCGTTCTGACTACTTGGAGTTTATATCCCAGCAAATTAGTTTGTGTAGATCAGGAAGTCACAAAGGCAACTACTGTACTCCATTTACAGATGATTAGCATGACATGATAAGAAGCATCTGGAGTAGGGGGGGGGGGTGGCCTTGTGGTCTGAAGGTCGCACTCGCTGGTTTGACTATTTCACTTCTTCCTTCACTCTTGGCTCCCCTAATTTCTGGTCTGTTTTTTTACTGTCCTCATTATCCGGTTTAACAACCAAAATGATCAACATCTGTCGAGATCCTCCGTCACCACTCAAATAGACTTCCAAATGTCCGAAGAAACTCCTCATAGAGGGATGTAAAGAAGGATTTGTAGGTTGCTAGGTGATGATAAATGGCATTCTGTTACCATGAACAAGTTGGGAGGGGCCTAAACCGGAGGAATGGTATGTGTTTGTGATTGCGAATGGTGTTTACCAAGAGTACCCATGAGAAGAGGCTGCAGCTGTACATGGAGAAGTTCATGAATATAAATTAAGAAATGAGACATCTTGGATTGTTCTGTAAGAGGAATCTGCAGAATAACAAGATGGACAATAATGTTCAAACGTGCAGACTAGATAGAAAAAGTCTAAATTCTCTTTTGTCCTTTCTATTTCTTTACTCTTGCTTCTCTTTCTCCATTCCCTTACATAATCACCTTCATTCCTTTCCTCTCCTCCTTTCTCTATTCCCTAGATGAGTAACAAGCGCTCGAACAGTTTTCGAAGGGCCATCCTGCAGGGTAGCAGGCAGCTGAAAGGCTGCAGTCTCAGAGATGAAGTGGGCTTGGGGCTGCCCCAGCGACTCGTCCGGCATGTGGCCTATGAGACGCTGCCCCGCGAGGTCGACCGCAAGTGGTACTTCGACAGCTACACCTACTGCCCACCTCCCTGGCTCATCCTGGTTATCACTATAGCTGAGGTAATTATGTAGGACTGGAAAGCCAATGTGGTTTATACTTCATCGCCTCTTATACCACACATTTTTTACCACTTGTATGTAATGCAAGACGTACCACAAAGAAAAGAAAGAATATTAAACTTACCATGTTTAATTTGTCTTTGTTTTTGTCTATCTGTGCTGCCGCAGGTTGCTGTGTTCATGTATTACGGGTTCCAGCTGGACCGCCTAGTCCTGCAGGTGTCCAGCCCGTCTTTCTTAAAGAGCCCCTTACCTTACCACCCCCAGTTGCGAGCCCAGGCCTGGAGGTACTTCAGCTACATTTTCATGCACACGGGGTGAGTTCACATCACATCACTGGTTTCTAATTATGTGCGTTAAGCTGTGCTGCACTTTCCAGGGACACAGTTTGGCGTTTTTTTTTTCTCTCCCTGTCAGCAGCACCCACATTTTGGATGCAGGAAACATCTCAATGACTCTTTTTTTTGCATGACCTGAATTCTTCCTCTGCAGTTTGGTAACTTTAGCCTTGTGACTCAGGCAGTAATTTATAGTCATTCTGTGTAATGATGACAACAAACTACAGGTGCTACATATCTGTGATGTCTCAGCAGGTTTGAGTTTATGGCATCGGAAAACTTCAATGAGTCAGCGCCTGTTGCATAAGGTTTTAATCAACAAAAATACACTGCTTAATTAATTTTCAGTGGAACACACTAGCTGAAGGGGATTATACTCTTTTAGTCATGAAGGGAAAATGCAGATAAGCCAGAGGAGTAATGGGATTTTGCAGAAACGAGGGACTGAACGCTGCTAATGAGTCTTTGGATGCAGTTCATAATTCTTAGTTAATTCACTTTACCTAAAGTTACAAAACAAATAAGCTAGTTACGAATAATCAGACGAGCTCCCTGGAAGAAAAAGGTTTAAACAAGCAATAATTATAGGATTATTGGTGTCGTTTGTAAAAACTGCAGTCATATTTTTTATCTATTTATTTTTATTTTTATTTTCATTTTTATTTAATTTTATTTTATTTTACTTTTCTTCTCCCTTTTTCCTTTTTATAATTTTTTTCTTAATTATTACATTTATTTAAGTTCTTAATATTAGGATCTTTATTTTTATAACTGCATTTTTGCACTCTTTGTCTGTGATGCTGCTGTGACAAAAAAAATTTCCCCCATGGGGGATCAATAAAGGAATATTCTATTCTGTTCTATTCTATATCTAAGTCCAGGGCATCTTTTTCTTTTTAACTGCTCAAAACCTCCAAAATATTGATCGTAGATAATTCTGTGAAACCTAAAGGCTTCTTCAACACTTCTTTTTCTCCTCTCTGTCAGACCCTTTTATTATCAGCTCAGGCCAGGTCACCCGGGTTTAATTATCCTTCTGGGTAAATGTAGTCTCAGGCAATAGTGAGAGGTAATAAAATGGTAATTTAATTAGGAGAACCTGGAGTTGCAGAGCTGTCAGAGGAGAAGGGGATGACAGTGTCTGGAGAAAAGATGAAGTAGGAGGAACATATGAAAAGACAAGAGGACATGGAGTGTCATGTTTAACATGCACTGATTACACAAGGACAAAATGAGTGATTTCAGTAGGGATGGGCGTTTCAAACAAGAGCGCCATTCAATATCCGCTGGTAACTATTCAAAAAATATTTGAAGATCATTATTTGCACTGCGCGTTGATCATCAAACTTACTTCTTCAGGTGATGAAGTTTGACATCGACTGTTGATCTGTGCACAGCGCCATACTTTCAGCTCTCAAATGGCTGTGCATACATGTTGATTTGTGATATGCTAGTTTAACCTCGCAGAGTTTGCGAAAAGTGTAAAAAATGGATGGCTGGCTCATAATGGAACCTTTGGTGTGATGGTGCAGATTAACAACAGTCATTACACCCTGACTTGCCTAACTGGTTCAGTTCATTTACTAATGGTGACATCTTAAAGTCCCAATCTGATCATTTTGTTTTTACTTCTTAAAGTGTTATCTGTGCTCTTTAAATTGTGATTATGAAGTTTTAAGCCAAAATCATGTTACTTGTGTTACTTGTGTATTCGCCTCTGAGTCGTGGGCGGAGATGACTCTGCACACTCCTCTTCGTGTTAGCTTGTGGCCTAACATTGCCAGTGTAGTAGAGGAAGCAGGTAACATAGGATCTATTCAGCTCTTGGATACTAATGTCTTTGGGGACATGATGTAAATTTATATCATGATTAGCTTTCTTGCGAGCATTGCAATCCGCTAACGCACACTCCTGTTCTGTGATTGTCCTCTCTACTTTTCCAATTGTGGCCTGCATAGCAGAGCTTGGATTTGCTACGTAGAAAATCTCACTCTGTCTGAACCTGCCGTTTTGGTCTGCCAAAGATTCACAGCGATTTGAATGCAGAAATACTCAGAAATTGAATTTTGTACTTACTTTCTCAAGATATGTCCTGTAGCATCAGAAAAATGCCAAATGAACATGTAGACAACAAGAAAAACCTGATTTCCACCAGAGTGGGTCTTTAAAGACCGTTATGGTGAGGTCTTTTTTAGAAGATAAATTAGGGCACTTTTGATATGTTTAAAATCCCTTGGGGAGTTTAAAGGGGTGAGTATGCCGGCTTATATAGGCCATACAACAAGTGTAATTAAAACGTCTTTAATCTTATCCCTAACATATTCTCCTGACTGAGTGAGTTCATGTTTGGTGACTTAAGGGAAAGAGAGTCAGACACCATGAGTCACTAACAGAAACATTAAAGGTCAAAGAACTGACATGGAGAGCAGTGCTGTGTGTGCACTGATCCACTACAGGCGAAACTTTCACTCTGTCACACCAACACACAAACAGATTCTCTCATGCATATCTATAAACCACATAATCCCATCAAAAGCTCAGTTAAACTGAGCCCTCCCAATTCTCAACACCAGAACAGAGTGTAAATATTGTCTCCGAAACATTTCTCAGTAGAGCATTTACACAGACGCACTTTAGCACTCTCTCTTTCTCTCCCTCTTTCTCTTTCTCTTTCTCTTTCTCTTTAGCACACTGAGTCACACACAAAATCACTGTGTCTGCAGCAGCTGTAAAAACTTCAGGGAGATTAGCTTCCTGCAACATTAAACCCTGATCCTAATGACTCTGATGGGAAAAATTTCCTTCTCAGTTGCATTATTTTGTCTTGCCTTTTTTCTCTGTATCTCATAAACATTAGTAGTTTATCCCAAAATGATGCATTGCACTGTCAACATAAAACCATCACAGACTTTCCCACCACCACAGACTTCAGATAGTGCACTGTGCGGCAAACTGGGCTAATTGTTACGTTCAGCTGCAGTTTGACAAACCACTGATGAAAAAAAAGCCCGAGATTAAACAGAGCTTTTGTTGATCTCTCTGGAGGATCATGGTCATCTGGACACAAAAGGACCTCTTGTGGGTATCGGCACATCTGCCTGACAGTGCAGACCGACTCTCATGGCCTCATTAGCAGCACTGAAATAGATAGCCGTTGTTATCTGGTGTGGAGTTGTCCTTCTGCGTTACGACGGGCCTCTTGCAGCTAATCAATATCCCGTTATTGTCTCTCTGATCACTGGAACGAACCTCTTTGTCTGCATTGTGGTTGAGGTGGCTGGGCTGTTTCAAACTAAATAGATTGTCGGCCTCGTCTCGTTTTTCATGTCAGTGGTAGGAAAATGATGTGTGTTTGTTTGTTTGGTTATGGAAGCTTTGTTTGCATTTCCAAGATGCAGAAGCTGAAAAATCAGATCCGTTGCCTTTCTTGCCGTCAGCCAATCTTAACCAGACAATGACGAGAAAACAGGAAATGAGGAGTGATTGGAGCGAGAGAGTCGGTGATGAGGACTACAATGAGAGAGAAAGGCTGGATTATGCTAGTCTCTGTCCTTTTGGATTATACTGTGACACAAGATTCAATATGTGCCAATGTGTGTGTCTGTGTGTTTTTATTCTGCTTGTTGGGCTTTGACTGATCATGAAGGGACAGTGCATGTGCGTTTATGTGTGTGTGAACTCCTTTTATGTGTTCATCACACTTAAACACACTATCCCATGTGTGAAATGGGGTTATGTTCCCGTCTTCTTCCTCCTTTTGTACCCGTGATTATGTGCGATTTTGTCAAATTGTGTGTGAGTGTGTGTCTCTGTCTGTGTTCATATGTAACATTCAAGTGCACTGGAGTGTGCTAATGATAATCTGTTGATACCCGTGACTGTGTGTTTTGATGAAGGAGCAGATGTTCTGTGTGTGAGTGTGTTTATGATAAGGCGTAATAATACTGTCTTAAAGAAACAGGTGATTTTGAGTTTTGTTGGTTGATGATTTTACCGTTACGACTTTTTAAGACATTGACACATAATGATTTCGTTTAGGAGTATGAAGTGTTTACTCAACCTGATCCAAACAGACTATTTGTTGTCATATCTCTGCTGTTGTTGCTCAAAGGAGAGCGTCTTTCTCTTACTTTTTGTGTGTATTTATGGTCCTGTCTGTGTGCCATCATTATAGTCTGAGGTATCTTGTTTTCCTCCCTGCTGAAAAAGACATTACCCATCAGTCACTCTTGCACAGTGGGAAAAAAAAGACTGCCATCCCACTTAACAGAAACCACAGAATCTGATTTTGTCACAGTTTCTGTTTTATCATTGTACGGTGCCAGCTCCGAGTATGTTTCCTGTCAATCATCCACATTTTACCCAGGGGAGAAAATGTTATCTGTTCAGTTTTTTTTTCCAATTATATATTAATGTTGGGCGCATTTTCATTATTTTCAAGCTGCTTCTTGTCTTAAGTTTGCATAAAAGTCTAATAAAGTGTCCCTTAGCTTCAAAAAACATTGTGGAAATGTCATGTTTCTGTTACATATGCAGTGCTGATGTGCAAAAAATTCGAAATAAATGTCTAGACGGATTTTTTTAAGCAATTAAGTTGTAACTTTTACAACTCAAACATGCAGATTTTTCTTCCAACAGCCATTAATTACAGTCCTTTCATTTGCTCCAAATCAGAACAAATTCTGCATTAATGGTGCTGACATATTGTGCTGCAGTAAAGGAGCAATCTGGCTGCTGTCAAAACCTAAGCACATGTTTAACTAACTGAAAAACTGACTAAGCAGACACCTGTGCTTCTGGAAAGTTCCTTGTGATATTTTTTTCTCTCTCTTTCCCCTCCTATACAATCTAATCTGGTAGAGAGATGAGAGCCCACATTTGTTGAAAACGATCAGGATGTGCATACCCTCTTTTTTCCATCAAATAACTAAAATTAGATTTAAAAAACGAACACTAACACATTAATCAACCAACTAACAAGATAGAGACTATGACAGATGAGTAAGCTAACCAGTCAGGAAGGAAAACTCTGTAAGTTATCACCAATTGAGCCAATTGAGCGAACTGTTGTGCTGTCCGTGTTTCTACACAGTACATGTGCCTGATAGGGTTTATTCACACTAATTAAAAAACAATTACCCATCTTCTAAACTACATTCACAGGATTTTGGTTATGGCTAGGGCTGGGCGATAGCTGAAAATTTGGCAGAAAATTTACCGATACCTAAATTTACGACAATAACCAATGTCATTTTGCCTATATCAGTATATTCGGTGTCAAAAAATAAATAAATAAAAGTTGGTTTTGGATGTGTGTAGGTAGGCTATGGTCTCATGTCCCTTTAAGACGCTGTCCTACGTCAGAGACATGACTCCACGCCATCCAGACTGTAACAAAGAGGGAAAGACAGGTGAGGAAATGGAGGACGGTTCAAAAGTTTTAGCGTCTGAAGTAGTTAATGTGGGAGGGGGTGAGCAGCTTGTGGAGTAGTTATTGCCCATTTATCATAATCGAGGTGAACTCCTCAATATATCGTGATATTGATTCGTGGCCATATCGCCCAGCCCTAGTTATTGCTGACAAATTTGTAAAATTAATTCTTTGTTTTTTGTGAAATCAAGTTTGGAGGGAACATATCCATTTGGTTTCAGCATTCGAACAAAATTTCCAGCCAACAGAACTTGTGATAACTTTGTAACTCTTCTACGTTATCTGAAGAATAAGTCATATAAAAACTATCAATAATGAAAAACAAGTAGGGACAGCCCCAAAGTGTTTTCTGTAATCATTCACCAAGTTAATACAGTGTTGGAGCTTGCCTTGAGTAAACTGAATTGCGATAATAAAAAACAAATAAATAATAAATAAATTTAAGTTTCCAAATTACTTAAATATAGTCCACAGATTTCCGATTGTATTTCCTTTGTGATTAATAGGTGTATTTAAAAAAGTTTCCTGCATGTTCTGAAGATTATTAAAGAGAAAAAGGGACAATGCGGCTGGAAAAACAAACAATTGATTTATTTCATAATTGCAGCTTTTTTGTGCTTGTTATTAACAATCTTTGCTTTGAGTATGAAAAGATTTGTTGAAGCACGGAGGCCTGTGGTGTTTACTGAATGTAATTTTATTTCACTCCATTTACAAAATGTTGTAAAAAGCAGCAAAGGCAAACTGAGAATCTATTTTACGAACAATCACATCATCACACAGACTGTAACAGATTATTCTGACAGTAGAATAGGAGACAATACAATAGCTTCCAACTTTCTAACCACACATGACTGACAAGATTTATGTAAGCCTACCCATCACAGCATGACACAATGCCATCACACTTCAAATTAGGGCTGGGCGATATGGGAAAAAGTTTATCACAATATATTTTTTTCATACTCGTGGATATTGATGTATATCACAGTATGAAAAAATCACTTGTCAATCTTGCATGTTCCCTGTTATTCTTAAATGAAATTTAACATGTACTTGACATAATTTGCAGTGCACATACTCTGCTTCACGTACAACCTTAAAAAAAACAAAAAACCTCTGCACCACCAATGTTTTTATGCCAGTGTTGCCAACGATGTTGTCATCACATGTTACGGTGCTATGGTTGCATGTTGCTGCAGTTGTTTGCTACTTGTAACTAATTCAGCACATGATTGGTTCAGCACGGTGCAACTCCCCTTTTCATTGGCTAGTTATATATTCTACCAAAACATGGCAGAATGCCGGTTATCGAAAAACATATTGACCGTGTTTCATATTGATATCGGGGAAATTAATTTTTGATATATATCATTATCGTTTTATCGCCCAGCCCTACTTCAAACAGAGTAAAAAGTCATGGCCTTCTTGAATCCAGCAGTAGTTTTGTTGGTTATGAATGATATTATTTGACCCTTTTAAACATGAGTTGTGTGTCATAGTTGAACAGCCATTACACAAAGCTACTATAGTAATGTAGCTAACCCTTGATTTTACATTATCACTCTTTGTATCTCATCTAAATGACCTCCTAACCTTGAGTGAGTGACATTTTTTATAATCAAATTGTCAAACTATGAATTGATGAAATAAAGTTAAACCTGAAGACTAAATTGGTCTGGTCTTTAAAGGTCTATATGGACTTGACAGCTCACCTTTTGGCAGACTCTTACATGTTGCTGCTGCTGCTGCTGCTGATGATGATGATGATGATGATGATATGTGTGTGTTTCTCAGGATTGAACACCTAAGCCTGAACATGGCGATGCAGCTGCTGGTGGGAGTCCCTCTAGAGATGGTCCACGGAGCCCTGAGGATTGGACTCGTCTATGTGTGTGGTGTACTGGCAGGTGGGTAGGTGGTCTCACCCACACACATGCAGCATTTACATCTTCCCGATTCACTGTATATTTTACCCTTCATATCTACACACTCACTCTATTTTAGGGACAAACACATACACATACCCAGTGCTGTACTGTTGTGTCATACTTCTTTTTTGTTTTTCATGCATTTTATTTGGCGTGTTGAGGGAAGCTGGTCAATGAGAAAGTTTAGCATATGTCCAGGACAGATGGTCTTGCCTCTCTGTCTTCCTACTAGAAGTGGCGGGATGCTGGGGGTTGTCAGCGCCCCTTCAAAGCCCCCTTATCCCCCTGTGGTCACGTACAAAAGGGCAGGGCAGAGAGAGTCATCTCAAATAGAGCTCAATCAGACAACCACACACACAGTATAATGAGATAGGCAGGGGGGAATGTACGAAGTGGGGGTGAGAGGAAGGAAGGATCAATTCATAAGTGTTAATAAGGCTGAGAGTGTTTCAAGAGGGGGGAGCAGGGGTATTAGAAACCAGGAGTTGGAAATGTAGAGGGGTGGGTATGTAGGAGCAAGCGACTACAAATGGGAAAGAAAAATCCGACACGCACAGCTTTGAATGTCACTGCTCTTGTCCTACTTCCTCATCAACCTCAGGCTCTGGGGCAATTTCACTGTTGAGTCCTGCTCAGCTGAGACAGGAAGCCTGGATTATTTCTCCGAGTGTTTGTATGTGTTTGCCTTTACCAAATGAGCACGCAGATTACACAACCTCTCCCGCTGCCAGGATTGGTTTGACTTCTCGAAAACAAAACATTTGAGCGCTGACACTTGAAGACACGAAGACACTGGAGTAGAATTGTTTTGCTGCTTTTTCAGATGAAGGTTAGAAATTTGGGGGAGATGGAAACTGTGTGTGGCAGGGAGTGTGTTGCATTTGTGTGTGGGTTGTGCATCTTTTGCTGATGGAAGGAAAAGCAGACAGGACTAGGGTATGAATTGCAGTTTGCACTATTTATTTAGGTACACACGGAAATTGTGCGTATAAAAGTGTGTGTGTGGGTGTGTTCAGAGGTCAGAGACACACACACCCTGGGGATACCAGCTGTGGTGGCCTGTAGCATTAACCTTCCAGCGACATGAGAGGGAAATACGCTATAAATCACACACTTATGTAGACACACACGTAGAAACGCACACACGTCTGCCGTTTTAATTAGATATCGACCAGCAGCTGAAGAGGGGAAGCCTGATCTGGTTGTGTTGGCTTTGGTGTTTGTGTTTTGTGCCTGACTTGGCTTGTTTGCTATAATTAGGCTTTGGAAAGACTGTAGCTCAAGTCTGAATTCTTGCAGTCGTCAACATTTAATCACAAGTGGGTTTATGTGAAAAGCTGATATTTTCATTATAGTATTTTTTTTTCATGAAGAGATTAGAGACTTTTTTATTTGTCATTGCACAGAATGAAACACAGCAGTGATTTCTCTCTGCAACGTAATGTCATGATGGTGTTTAATTTAATATACAGAAAAAATAAAAACTAAGGGTAAAATAGCAGCATGGTGAATATATTGCACTTTCTGGAGGTAAAGTGGTAGTGGAATAAAAACCAAATAAATAAAAAGATAAATAAAAAGATATATGTTCTTATTTACACATAACAAATAGTAAAAACAAGGGCTGAGTGAAGTTTTATGAGTTTTCATTTTCATTGCAGTTTTGAATAGTTTGTAATTAATCAACATAGACAGATAGTAAATTGTGACTACATCCGGTTCAGTTTGGGTTTTTCCAGCATTTTTTATTTTGATGGTAAAGATTTTTCAGCCTTGATAATGAAGTTTCTTTCACCTTTTTTAAAGATAAATAATTACATGTGATTTCTCTCAAATATTATGATCTATGATTACTTACCATGGTACTTCAAGAGAGTCTAAAATGCTCAGGACTACTTAGAAAAAAGTTTAATCCTTGCTTTGAGGTTCTGGTAGGAAGTATAATGGGTCCTTACTGTTACAGCCATTTGCTATATTTTCTTTGGGTTTGTGTTTGAAACATATTTCAGTTGTAATTGTTCTGGTGCCACACCAGGTGGCGTGAAGTCTTGGGTTTTGTTTGCTATAAATAGAAGAAGACGCAATTAGTGGCAAGTGTGTTGGTTGCTAGAGGAGCAAACAGTTTTTTGACCATCATCTACATCTATATCATTATCATTATCATCCTGTTTTCGCCGTTTGTTGGCATTTGCTTTTGTCTGTATTTTGCATGAACAAGGAAAACATGACTTGGACTAACAGTTTCATTTACATGTGGGAAACAAGTAGACATGGAAGATGCGGCAACTGTATACCTGGCTATCGTACACCTCGGTGGCTTTTGGGATAATTTTGGCAGGCGAGATTAAGTCACTACACTTACAAAAAAGCTATACATTTATTTGTATGTGTGTCTGTGTGGTTGAGGCATTTTTAACTCAAAAATTAAATACTGATAGGAACAAGTATTCTGTTAGAGGATACGTATACAGGTGTTTTGGCGGTAGGAAATACAGTTAGTCAATCTGAAGCTTTGGATCCATTTAAAATTTAGCATTTTTGCGTCATTCATGTTTGAGTTTGTCAATGAGAATCCATAATAAAAGAATATGTAATAAACTATGTTCTCAAGATAGCATAACCATTGATAACAAACCATTTCTGATGTGTTAACTCTAACCCAGCCCTTTACTCTCACTTCTCAGTTTCCATCCATCATCTTATGTCTCAATGAAGGATTAAAAGTCAGAATTAGAATAAATACAACAGAGTTCTTGAGCATTTTTTTTTTTTTGCAAAAAATACAAAGATGTTAAATCTGCACCAGTAAGACACTGTTAGATTGTGTCGAACACAAAAAGCAGAGTCAGACAGAGAGGGGCTCAGCTGGCACACACAAGGGTCAAAGCAGAGGTCAGAGGTCAAGTAATGACTCAGAGAAAGGTTGATGATCCTCAGGGGTCAAAACACACACACACACACACACACACACACACTCCAGCACTTGAACACAATTGACTCGAATGTAAACACAATAGTGCCCGTCTGTGGACAGCTGACGTTTAAAAGGGGGTCTAACTGCACAGAGAGGACAGGGGGGCAGGTGCAGCAACAGACAGGAACAAGTGTACAACAACAATAAACTCAGATGCGACGACAATTAAACAATAAAGAAAACTAAACACAGTTTTTGACCCACATTAAACTCTAACGTTAATCCAGTTCATCTGAAGATGCAGACTAACTCTTGACTTTCTTCATCTGCAGTGCTGATGAGTTGTATCGTCCCCCTCATGTCCTTACTTCCTTCTCTGCAGTTTAAAAGAGGGCCAAAGATAAATGTGATGCCACTCGCAACCCTAAAAAAACTACAAGCCTCCTGTGGGACTGTGAGAGGTGGTGTCCTTGTGTTTCCGTGTGTTTATATGTGTTTACATATGTGTGTGTTTCCAAACTAAAATAATGTTATTGAATCAAGTTAAGTACAGGGATGGGGGTCATCCTGCCTAGACAGTATTCCTTAAACCTCATAGACAGGGGTGTCCTGGTCCAGGTGTACCAGAGTGTGACTGTGTGAGCATGTGTGTGTCTGTGTGTGTGTGTGTGTTAGAGGAGAAAGGAAGTTCAAAAAGGTGCAGCAAAGAAGTGGAAGTCTTTTTATTTTGATTATATATTGTTACGATATCTATTTTAAATATATCAAAGCTTCTTTTGTTATATTTTTAGTTATTTGCAATACAGGCCTTTAAACGTGTGTGTGTGTGTGTGTGTGTGTGTGTGTGTGTGTGTGTGTGTGTGTGTGTGTGTGTGTGTGTGTGTTTGCTACCACCTGGTTAAGTTTAATGATCTGTAAAGTTGGATGCTGTTATCACAACACCCCACTCTGCTGTGTGTTCATGTTTGACAGTGAAGAAGGCCAAACATCAGGTAACAAAGAAACTCGTATTTATTGCCAACTGCTGCCTCTGGCTTTCTAAAAGTCCTTTCAATTAACTTAGAGTCACAAATTCAGTCTTTAGATACAAAAACTGATAAAAAAAAAAAAGTACATAGATTTTTTTTAGTTCAGTGAAAAGAAAATTGGAGTAGGATTTGTTGTGATTTGAATGACAATTACAATCAAATACAAACATCCATTTATTGCAAATTTCTTATATTTCTTTATATTTATCGGCACTTGTTCCCTCAGGGTCATCAGGTACATATACAGCTCTTCTCTTCCTCAGTTTCCATATTTTTTCTCTACAGTGAATCCACAGTAATATCAGTTAATGTGTAATATAAACGCAAATACCGGCAGAGAGGGGCTGCTGTAGGACGCAGGCATCAGGGAAGTTGTGTTTATCCTAACCTACATATTTTTGGTTTTTGTTTGTGCATCAGTATCTGGTCTCACATGTGTGCTTACATATTTGTTATGCTTGTATCAGTGGACCGGCCTATTTTTTTTTTCCACCCCATGCTGTGCTTACTCCCTTTAACAGCACAGTGTGCTGAAGATGCCATGACCTATCCTATTATCCCTCTTGAATGGCTGCAGTGTCGCACCATCTGTGGTCGTGTGTGAGTATAAATGTAAATGTAGCTCTGTAGAGTTAAGCCAAATGTCAAGTAAGCATTATACAAAACACACAAAATTAACCAAAAAAGTTACACAGTCTGATAAACCAGTCACTTGATTTAACTGTATTTTGAGCACGCATGCTTAAACGTCTGCATAGGGTTTAATCCCAATAAGTTGATTTATTTTGTTTGTGCTGTTTTTTTATTTACTGTGCAGTAGAAACTCCTTGTCCTGGCACCAGAAATACTGTAGTGAGTTAAAATTTTTATACTCCACCAACTACACCCACTCTCACTTGACTGTGGAAGTTTGTCTTGGCCCTACTGAAAAGCATATGTACGATGGAACCTAAATCACTTTTTTTAATGCTCAGTTATAATTTAGTAAACAGTTTCAGAATATCTTTACCTCCTTTTGCTGCATTTTGCTCTTGTTCAAACACCGCATGGACGAAACATTTTCTATAGTGCCCTCACATTTAGATGCTCTGATTGAAATATGTAGAGAGGCTTTGTTGGATCTTTTATTGCCAGCAGTGAATGAGAACCAAAGTGCAAAGGAAAGCAAGTCTCTATTTGCAGCTACGTAGATTGGCGTTTTATGAACAAAAAAAAACCAGAAATGCATACACACAGAGAATAATTGAGAGCAAGCCTCTTTTCATGAAAGCCTTTTGATAATACTCTCACATTAAACAACAAGTAGAGAAGCTGCATTTATTTCTATACAGCCCCTGTGTTCACAGAAAACTGTTCAAATTAACCAGTGTGTCACAGTATCTGTGACACCGTTTTCTTTCTGCTCTTTAGCAAAAGTTCAAACTTTATAATTTGGCTGCAAAAAAGTTTTCATCTCCAGAGTAGCTTCTTTAGAGGTTTTAACCTCTTCCCATAATCATCATTAAGAAATTAACTTTTGTAGTTAACACTGATAAAGACATTCTCAGTGCATTATAGGGGAGTACAAAGATCTGGATTTATCATGCATCACTTTAGCAGCTGATTGTGTCGATGAACTCGGAGAGGGTTTCACCAAACTTCTGTTTTTATTGTCTTTTTTTGTTTTTTATGTTGTTGTTTGTCTTATCTTTATAAAGCATGCAGCTGTTTTTCAAGATTTTATAAATTTACTGTACATTTCTTCTGTGCATCTACTTCTTCATTAGCAGACTGCTGATGAAGAAGCTGCTGCACAGCTGGTTAGTGTAGAGGGAGGATAAGTTGTAAATGGTCAGGTATTCCCTCAAGATTTCATGACAAGCAATTAGAGCTGGCGGATGAAGCATAGTAAATGACATCTCACTTACTAAAACACACATTTCACTCACCGATAAAACAACAAAGATCCACAGGTTTAACACAGTAAGTGGAGACTTAATGAACAGGCCAACGACTCTTGTGATTGTGGAATAGCTCGACTCAGTTACCTCATTATTGATATGAAGGAGAGGAGGAAGATGGTATCTTAAACTGCAACATTTTTTAAAGCTCAGTCAAGGAGAATTGACACGTCCAACAGCAAAGTGATTCTCTGCACACAGTTATCTCAGCGCTGAACATCCTCCTCTCATGCTTGCTTTTTTAACCTGGACTCTGTGATACCTGCAAAAGTTACCTTGGGACAGAAAGTGCATCCATTTTATTTTTGTCAACAGCGCTCTCTCTCTCTCTCTCTCTCTCTCTCTCTCTCTCTATGGTGTCGCGGGCACCTCTCTGACTTTGGCTGGAACAGGAGAAACCATTTGCAATAGTTTAGTTTTAAGGGGGCTTTGTTGTCTGTTCTGCAGCCAGCCAGTAGAGGGAGCTCCAGATTTTTTTAAAATTTGGCATGTGGTGTATCTTTGAGTCACGTCAACTTAAAGTATCATATGTTAGTTTTGTAAGGACAGTATTTGGGCTTTTTCTTTTCCATTGTTATAACTCTGGGTCAGAGATATTAATTGTGTGTGTGTTTTATTTGACGTTCGTTCTGCCTCCCTGCCTGGTGTAGTGCTGTTTTCTTTTACTGTGGGCTCCCCTCTTCCACTCCTCTGCAGGTGTCATGTGTTGTCGAGTTGTATGTTGTTGTGTGTAGTCCTGTGATGCCCATCAGAGCAACTATTTCATTAACAGTGTCATATTTCTAGTTTTTCCAAAACAATCCTGGTAGTTTTCTAACAATCTGCATCAGTTTTCTCCTGTTTTATGTTAAGATGTAAGACATGTCCTCGGGTTAGGGTCACTTTAAAGTCACACTCCCCCTAGGTTGAGCGTTACACCATAACATTGTTTCTTATCTAAAATGTGTCATTTATACTCTGTTACCTTAACTGTCCTAATAATGTTATGTGCACATGCTGGGCTTTTTGCACATTTCCCACATCATTTAAATTAGTGCTGATCACTATATGTATATATCATATACATGTTTTGTACTTCTACAAACTAAACAAAACATAAAAAAAACTGTGCAGGTTTGAGTAGGATCACTTAAGACTGGATGCAATTGTGTATTTCTATCTGAGGTAAATGTTAATTTTCAATGACCAAATCTCCAATGATTGATCCTCTTACTGGGAAACTCTTTGTTTTCTCTGACATGCAAACAATTCAGAAATCTTTCTCTTTATATACTCACGCTTGTTTCTTCATCCTCACACAGGGTCACTGGCCGTGTCTGTCACTGATATGACGGCCCCAGTGGTCGGGTCATCTGGCGGAGTGTATGCTCTAGTTTCTGCACATTTGGCTAATGTCGTAATGGTGAGTATTGTGTGTTCAGTGTGTGTATGCGTGTGTGTGAGTGTGCATAGATGGTTATCATATTGGTCTGTCGTCACATCACTACAGAGCGTTGCCTCATCATCAAAGCAGCCTGTTTAGGGGCCCAGCAGGTGCAGGTTATCTACACATGCCATACATTCCTCACATCTCCATCAGTTTCTCCTTTTCCCAAAGATCACAACGTGTGTGAGCACATCTGAAATACCACCTTGTGCACTCTGACAAATGTGTCTGCTCTGTTCAATCTCCTGGCCTGTGGGTCATCAGACAGAACAAGCACTCAGGTGGACTATTCAGTCTAATGCAAGGTCTACTGCAACATTGGTAGGGTCAGGTGGAAGAGTGTCCTCCTCCTCCTCCTCCTTCTCTCGGCTGAAATCTTATTATCTAACACAGCAAGAACAGATTTGGGGTCAGAGTATCTCTGGGGATTTTAAAATTGACATAAATTGAGACAGAGGGTAAGATCTCATGTTATTTTTTTTGTCTGCAAGGAGAACCTGACCTTCCAACACAGCTTCTTCTGTCTTCATTACAGGAACTTGAAAATGTTTTTATAAATTCTCGATCTTTTCTCCCTTTCTCTTTCTGTAGAATTGGTCGGGAATGAAGTGTCAGTTCAAGTTATTTCGGATGGCCATGGCTCTGGTTTGCAGTGAGTCTGAATAAAGATCGCACATTCTTACGCCTGTGTTTATTATTATTGACAGAAAACTTGTACTTTAAGCCAACTTTAGGTTGCATGTTCATCCATCAACAAATTACTCTTGCGGCTGAGACTCCTTTTGGGAGAAAAGTGATTTTACCCAAAACATAACAACAATGGTATTTTGGCCGTACAGTTTTAGTGTATGATTAAAAGTCATGCAATGATGTGTCAGCAGAAAGTTGAGTAAATACAGTAGGTATCCATAAAAGAGAAATTTGTGGTTTCTCAGATGCCATTTTTACATAGAAGAAGAAATAAAGCGAGTACACGTCTTCCATCTTTGATATCTGGAATTTTTTCTTCGAGCTCCTGCAGTTTGGCATAGACAGAAGACAAAGAATAAGACACTGTAGAGGGAATGCTGTGCCACTTGTCCATTTTCAATGGGTCTCCACTCTAATAAAGTTTTTAAAACAGGGTCAAAATGTCTGCTAGTAAACTTATACGTTTTGGTTCATTTCAAAACACCCATATTGTTCAGTTAGGAATTTCAGCTGTTTAAAGAAAAGCAAGTTTAAGAACAAAGAAGCTTATATCAGCAGAAAAGTCCTCTCCCATGCATGGATTGGAAAGTTACTGAGTTTCTGTGAAAGATGACTTCAAAGTTTAACTCTGTTTCCGTTGGATTAGAGCAAATGATCATGATTTTTCAAGTCTTTCCAGTCCAATACTCAGTCTCAACTCGGGGTTAGAATCACTTTCAATACAACATACAATACATACAATATGATTCAATCCAGTCCATTACAACAACCATACAATCTATTAAAGATGACTGACACTCTCTGTAGACTGGGGTTCATTTTCTACATTTCCTCCTCCTCTCAGTAAAAAAACTTTAACAGAATTTTGTCCTTATTCCATTTTAAAAGGTTATGAAAGTGGCTTGCACATCTTTTAGCTCCTTGTACCGCTGTCTGACATCCCTCTGTCTTCTTCTATTGTTATCCTTATGCAAACTTCTTCTTTAGTTAATTAACTCCCGTCCGTGTTCCCCTTAATCATGTCATTGGCGCCACCATGAGGAGTCATCAAGTAGTGCTGCAGTGAGTCAATTTGGCAGGGAAAACTATTCAGAGTGCTTTATTTTTTCATTGAGCTCAATAATATTCTGCTCCTGTGTATCACATGAGTCAGGAGGGTGATATATTCTCTTGGTTAGCAGTCAAGTACTTCATTTTTTTTACATGACATACATTTTGTTGTCAAGTACTTCATGCATACGTACATCTTTAATTTTTTGTGTTATTTTCTCTCTCTGTTTGCAGTGAGTGTGGAGTTTGGACGAGCAGTGTGGCTGCGATTCTACCCACCGGCCTTTCCTCCATGCCCTAACCCGAGCTTTGTAGCTCACCTTGGAGGGGTGGTTGTCGGTCTGACTCTTGGTGTGGTGGTTCTTCAGAACTATGAGCAACGACTCCAGGAACGGTCCCTGTTCTGGATCTTTTTCTGCGTCTACACCTTGTTCGTGCTCTGTGCTGTCTTCTGGAACATATTTGCCTATAGCTTACTTGACGTACGGCTGCCTCCGCCACCGTGACTCTGTTTTATTCCTCGGTCCTTGGTCGGACAATGACCCTTCACCGTGGGGAATTAGAGCAGTCTAACTGGCTCTAGATGTGCAGCAGCCTCTGTGGTTCTGCGGTTGGTCTCATCCTAACTTTCTCAGCCCACGAGCTAACCTCTGCCTGCTCTTTGCCTGTATCGCTGTTGGATGTTTGTCTCACGAGTATCAGCCAGCTGGACATTTGTTGTCATCACTGCTTTGTCAAATGAAAGCCCCTCGCTCTACTCGACATGGTTTAACCTCCTGCCTCTTTCTCCTCAATCCAACGGTGCCTTCATGTGGAGATATCAGCTTGATGAAAGTATTTCTGCACAGTTGCCTCTTTCTCTGACTGACAGCAGTGAAACCCTGCAGTATCAACCATTTTAAGCCACAGAAGTTCCTGAAAATCCTGTATTCTACCTGCATCTCCGTAATCAGCGAATGAAATTTCGGGTCACGGCTTACTAAGTGTTTTTTGTCATCATTACAAGCAGCTCATAAGCATAAGAAGGCGGATTAAAAAGACAGAAGGCTAGTTAAACCTCTCTAGGGTCCACAGCACACAGTAGCGACAATGGAGTATAAGCTACAGCAGCCGAAAAAGGCAATTAAGAAGTTACCTTTGAGGGAAAGCGTGGGTTACGTATTCAGTGTTGCCTTCAGGGTTTTGCACTTCCCTAGAGAAGGATTAATCTGAACGATAAACTTGTGTCTTTATCTTTTTTGTCTTTAGTGCAAGGAGTGAGGTAATTGTACAGAAAAGAAGCAGAAGTGCCATTCAGTCTTTAAGCTTTGAAAATGATGCCAAAACACCAGGGAAAGTGCACATCCCTTGAAAAGAACTGCGGTTGTGTAAGAAAAAAGCAATCTACTTTTCACTGTAAGGAATGGTTTGAATTTGACAAAAGTTGTGCATGATCTCTAAAGAACTTTTTACTGATGGCCTTGAGTGAGCCAGTAAATACAGAGAAACTCTTGTCATTTTGTGACCACTTTGGGCCTTTTGGGCAATTTTTACTATGGTTGAAAATCTCGATGAGTGTCGGTTTATTTATTGGTTGATAAGGCGATGTATTAACGAGGGTGGGATTAAACTAATGAAACGTAAAGTATGTGAGCATCTGTGCATTTTGAATAAGTATTTTTCTCATTACCAAAAGCAGAAGAGCACACACATGACTGACCTCAACTACATCCGGGCTGGGGTCATTTAATTCTCATGTCAGTCAGCAACAGAGCAGAGAAGTAAATCAATGCTCTCTTGTTAGCTTTGATTACGAATCGATTGAACCTGAATACAGAAGAACGACCCCAGCCCGAAGCTGTGAGTCTCTAACTGTACCGTACTTTAACCTCATGTTACACCGGTAACTGCTTCGCACAAACATTACTGTAAAGTAGTTATATAAAGATTAATATTTTGACATGCATTTGCTGGGTTTTTGGCTCAGTGATACCAGTATGTTGTGTGAATTGATTTGTCTGTCTGCTTTGTGATTTGTAAGCTTAATTCTGTATGTATTGTATTTATAAACTGCTAAAAGATGGTCTGGGATTGTATATAAAAAGGGCTATGTCACAAAACAGAATGAGGGGTAAATGGCTGATTATATTTTAACATTGTGCATATTTTGTAGATTTGATATGTAAATACTGGAGTACAGTAAATACTTTATACAGAAAACAAAAATGATATCTTTGAATTTATTCTGTTTGCATGTACGGTTTTTGGAAGAAGAAATTAGCAGAAAAACCAGAGGTATGCTCATTTCTGTGTATGTGTATTATCCGGTTCAAGCAGATTGACCCAATTGTTGTGTATGAAACCACACAGTAACGTTTCAAATGTCACAGCACACCCACACAGGAGTTTAATTTGATGTTCAGGACTAGAATTTACCCCCATCCTGTAAAGAGAAGTACTTCAACCAGGCAAATCTGCAGCCTTGAAAGTACATTAGTTTTAAACTCCGAACCAAAAGCACACGTCAAAATGATCAATGAAATGTGCGAGCTTACAAGAACTAGCCATAATTCATTTAGAGAAAGGACCCCTTAAGCTGTCACTAAATGTCTTCTCTGTCTAGCCGGCACAACCCTATGGAGGGTAGCGGCTTTGAAGGCGTACAATGAAAAATTCATTAGGCAGCCAAGGAAAGCCGTCTCAGTTGTGTCTCCCCTTCATAAATCTCCAATTTCAGAGGTAATCATTCACCTTGGTGAGAAAGGGAAGACAAGTGGCTGCAAGGAGGGGAAATCTGTCTGAATGTATTTGTGGTGTCTCTGCTTTTATATGCTGCCTGTTGAGAGCAGAGCTTGTTACAATCATGCCCCGTTTTAATATGCATTTCACATCTTTCAGGTGCATGCAAGGAATAGGGATATGTTATGACATTCAACTAGGTGTGACAGACAAATTAGTGGTGAAGTCACCTACTTATCCGTATTGTCATCCTACTTTGTCATAGTATTTGAGTGTTAGCCAATATATGAGGTGTATTCCATGTCTCTAGGTATGTATACACAGGAATCACAGTTTTTGGAACAAATATAAAGTAATTAAAATAAGTAATTTCAATTTTCGATCAAAACTACTGGACAAGGACAGCAGACAGTGCAAAGATTAATTGAACGGCCCCATGGGGTTAAAATTATGTGGGAAACCACATGACACCAGTGGGCTGCATGGAAACCTTATGGAGCGCAAGTGCTGATTTTAAAACCACTGTTTCATTGCCTGTCTGTAATGCCATATGGCTTTAAATTTTAAAGTGTCCTTAAAACAGAAATTTAGTTTAAATTGGGTAATAAAAAAGACTTATCTTGAATTAAATAGTATTTAAAATATCTCTAATAGAATATATGATGGTCACTTTCCATCAATGAGGCCAAATAAGGGCCAATGTCTCTCTGTGGAAGTCTCCATCAAGCGGACACAGACGGCATTACAAGTTGCACACGTTTTTTTTTTTTTTTTTTTATGTGTAAAGTCATGTTACAGGTGTCTGGGTCACAATATAAAAAATTACGGAGAATTACTGCGATCATCCTGCTGGTGCCTTGACCATTTTCAGGAGAACTACGGCATAATACTGTTTGTACTATAATTGTCTGGAAAAAAATACATAATTTTGTTGATTTATTCCACGAATGTATTGTTATGTTTTAATCGTAGTCTTGGAGAACAGCAAAACAGACCAATTTTGATCTTTTTGATCTCTTTTTTTACAGGATGCACTTTAAATCATTTTTAGGAAACTTTGCAAATAAGCTGCTAACATGCTTCTCGCTTTAAAGTCATTAAGTGTTGATTTTTTTATTTTATTTTATTTTTTTTTTTGCAAATACTTAACGACAGCCCTGTAAATAAACAGGAAAGTAATAATTTACACCTGACCCAATGACTCCCACAAGGACGCGGTGTTGTGCTATAGAATGGACCCTTGCCGTAGAATGCACCCCTGACGGGAGCGCGGTTGAAAGTACATAACAAGGCGAAATAATCCAAGTTTTCCTAACCGTTGAATGGATTCAAATGCGTGTGTTTGTAATGATTTCATTCAGGCTATTCAGATAAACCGAAAACAGTAGCCCTTTGATTCGGAATATTTTCTGTCCCGAAAATTTATAGTTTTCTAGCTTGACAGCTTACTGTACAGTTTATATACCCAAGTAAGCCTCTATATGTGCATTTTTGTGACACATAAAAACAGAACGAAAGTTTGCTGCTCCATTTGGCATGTTGTCATGATCCAATACTCCTGTTTTTACTAGATATGAGCTCGTTTTCTTCCACTTTAAGAAGCTAATGAGTAAACGGGATGCAGGGGTGCATTCTACGGCATAACACCTGTTAGTTCGATTTGAAACGGTCGTTTTTTATCTTGTGACGCATTCTTTCGTTCTCGCGAGACCTCGACATCCTTCTCAACTTCCTGCCTTAATAAGCGCCATTTTCGGCGTTGTCACGGGACCACAGCATGCCGTTGACAAACAGATAATTGGACCAGTATTTAACGTTTAAGACCTCTTTTCCAGTATTGTTAAAAAATGGGAAGGAAAAAGAAGAAGCAGATGAAGCCATGGTGCTGGTATCCTTTTGTGTGTGTCGCGCTGTGTTTACCTGGGAATGCTACATGCTAAGTGTTAGCTCAACACAAGGAAGGCCTGTGTCTATCCTCTTCGTGGATTCTTAGTTTTTAGGCGTTGGTAGACGCTCATATCTGTCATTGGAGGATAGTAAAAAGCCTTACCGCTTAATTTAAAGTAGTCTTGACGTAAATAATACAACATATTTTGCGTTCAGAGAAGATGGAGTTGGGACTGACCGTATTGTTACCTCCCTTCCTACGTTAGCTCCTTCTGTTAGCTACATTCATACGCTGACTGTTCAAGCTGATTGCGAGCTTTAATGCACCTTATTTGCTTTTATATCGTTTTATAATGTTACAATGTGTTTGTCAGGAGTTAATCTTGTAGCTGGTTGATTATCACGGTGAGGTAATTGTCTTCGGTGAGCTTTGTATAGCATGGTGCTGAAAACACAATATGTACTGTTCCATGTGTGTTGAAGTTTTCCGAACAATCCTTGACTCCTCACTCCAGGTACTGCAATCGAGATTTTGATGATGAAAAGATCCTCATTCAACACCAGAAGGCAAAGCATTTTAAATGCCATATTTGTCATAAGAAGTTGTACACGGGCCCTGGTTTGGCGATCCATTGCATGCAGGTGGGTGCCTATTAAATACACAATTAACAAACGCCACAACATTATTAATTCTACGTTGCTTCTGGTTTTATAGTTTCTGTTGACATGATCACACGTGCTTTATATTTAGTATTGAAGTCAGCAGTGGGTGGTGGTGGCATACTAGAGTGTGTCATATTGAGTGGTGATCCCTTATATTTAGTCCCCTCATGTCCAATAATTATGAGCAAAATAAAAAGAACGAGTATTCCACCAACACCCAGTACAACTTCAGCAATTAATGTAAGAGCAGTTATCAACTGACTCCTTATGCAGCTACTTAAAAATTGAAAGTTAAGTTTGTGATAGGATTGTTGTATTGAATTGGCCAGGGTTTCCTAATAATGTGATTGATTGGTATACTTTAATCCAGGTTAGTTCATGAGTTGTTGTATCCATGTTTCTCATTGATTGACAAAGGGCAGTTGTGTCTTAACATGTTCTCAATAGAAGACTTTGTTATGGCATGGCTCTTGATGTGTTTTTTCAGGTTCACAAAGAGACGATCGACAGTGTGCCAAATGCGATTCCTGGAAGAACAGACATTGAGCTGGAGATCTATGGTATGGAAGGCATTCCAGAGAAAGACATGCAAGAAAGAAGACGAACGTTAGAACAAAAATCTCAAGGTTTGTACGCAAATACATTCTCCTTGTCTTATGAATGTATCTTTGCTGATGGATATGTTTTGACATGGTGTGGTGTATTGCTTTAAGGGAGATTCATGGTATTCGGCACAATCATCTCAGAGTTAACATGAGAAGTAGAACATTTGCCACTTCAAGTACAGAGGAAAGTGAAGAGTTTTGGTTGACCGTAATATATAACCACTGGTTTCTTTATCTTCTAAAAGACTATAGAGGAAGTTGTGTACAGTGTTTCTGAGTAAGGGAAGTAGTTCTGAAAATATGGAAAGTCTGTGACTGATAAATGGATGAATTTTGAAGTTGCCTCATGTAAATGGTTTAATCATTTTCATCTTAAGGATTGTTTGGGCTGGGTTCAAATGCATACTTAATGATACACTGAAGCCCCCATAACACAAAACTAATCTTTAGGATATAGGGGTATTAAAGGCAGAGCCTGCACTAGCAATGGTTATTCACCTGTTCAGTTTCCATTTTCTATCCCACCACCAGTCCTCCAAACATGAGCTTTCATCCTGCAAGTTAATGTCGTTCTTCGTGAATTAAGCCTCAGATAGCTTTCTCCAAACTGCTGAGCTACTATAACTAGCTCTAACTGATGCGTTTAGGTCTCTCTGACAAAATGCACAGACCTGCTGGTGCTGATGACCATAGCATGCATACATGGCTGTTGCACACACAGAGGAGCAGAGACCTGAGCTGACTAGACCTGCTTCAAGGATCAGCACTTTAATACCGATGCCGATCTAGCTTTTTGTGTCAGTATCTGGCTGATACTTGGTACCAGGATCAGGATCGTTGCATCTCTACTTGAAGTCTTTACTCTACAGCAAACCTTAGGGGTTGGATTTTGGTGGTTGTAATTTCTGTTGAAGCCTTCAAAGTAAACTGTACCGTTTCTTTTGCTTTCAGAGAGTCAAAAGAAAAAGTCCAACAACCAGGATGACTCTGACGAAGATGACGATGACGATGATGAGGCAGGACCATCAGGACAGCAGGTTCCTGCTATCCAGCCCCAGGCGGGCTACACTGCTCCAATGGCTCAGCTTGGGATGCCGCCTGTGGCTGGTGCACCTGGGATGCACCCTGGAGGATACCAAGGCAAGCATTTCATAGTTTATAAGCAGAATATTATTTCACATATATTATTATCATTATGTATATTATGTGAAATTTATTGTGATGATTTCAGATGAATATGTAACTCACTATTCTGTGCACTAATGAAATAACTTAAACCAACCCTTTGTATATCAGTCTAGGTTTGATGGTCAAAGTTGTATAAGTCGTAAATAAACATTAAAATACAAATGCTCTGAAACTCAGAGATTCTGAGTCTTACCTGGTAGGGAAATGATCACATTGAATATAATGTAAACAGAGATGCCCTCTGACTCACTGTTACAGGTATGCCTCCTGTTATGCCCGGTGTTCCTCCCATGATGCATGGTATGCCTCCTGCAATGCATGGAATGCCACCAGGGTAAGAGTTCCCTCGTACAGGTTTTCATGTCATGATGAAAAGGCAGTTTGATTCTGTTTTAATCCAGCCTGAATAGTACTCCGAGCAGAGGTACAGTGTGTAGAAATGGGAATGTTTTTTTCTAGAAACTAACAGTATGTCAATACAGACCTTTTGTGCACAACTTTTTTCCCCCCTTGTTTTTGACTTTATGCAGTGTATTTGAATACAGTAAAATCACAAATGTGTATGCTAAGTGTACAACTGATCGCCACTAAATTCTTCACATTGTAACATAAAATCATGTCAGTTTTGGTGTTAATTTTGGATGGAATTGTTATTCTTTTGCAGCTGTATTAGCCTTAATGTCTTACTCCTTTTGCAGCATGATGCCAATGGGTGGAATGATGCCCCCCATGATGCCAGGGATGCCTGGAATCCCCCCAGGTGAGTTGTGCTGTTTGTAGCTTCCTATTAACAACACATTGGTTTTTGATGAAATGTACAAATATAAAGGACTTTGATCTACGATTTAAATAAATGATATCAGATAAGGAGCGTAGAGTGTTTTAATTTTGCTCTTCATGTCCTCATTATGATATTTTCGGGTGGTTGTTTAGGAATGCCACCACACATGGCACCAAGGCCGGGGATGCCCCACATGGCTCCAACCCCTGCAGCAGGAGAGATACCCAGTCGACCGGTAGCCCCAGCAGCCCAGCCTGCTGTCACCAAACCTCTCTTTCCCAGTGCAGCACAGGTGAGCACAGTGTTATCATTCTCTTAAAGATACACCCTTCAACTCAAACTGTGTTTTTTTTTTTTTGTACCATTCAAATTTCTAATGGCGTCTTTAAACACAGCATCAAGGGATAATATACACATTATATTCCCCAGCATTCCTCTCTTTCCGTATTTGTTTCCCTCACCCCTACTTGGTGTTTCTAAAACAGAGCTACGATAATGTAGTATATTGTGTTCGATTATGTGGACATGTTCAATGCCAACGCTATGATCTCCTTTCCACCATGCTGCAGATGGGCTCTGGTATTCATAGCAGCACAGCAGCTGTTTCCTCTCCACCTGCAGACCTACAGTCTGTCTCCTCCCAGCCTCCCTTTCCTAACACGCCACAAGTACGCTCACAGACAGGACTTTGACTCGGGCTTGGGCAGCTGCATGTTGCTTACCTTTAACCTCTGCCTCTAAATTCCTATGCGGGCTTATTACTAACTCTTTATTGCCTTGTTAGCCTTGCTGTGCATCAAACCGAGCACAGCGAACTTAAATGTCAGAGTCAGAGGATGTTATTCCTGATGATTACTGACATGTTGTTTGTGTGAGCTCTCAGGCTGTGCATGTGCTTCAATCAACACAAAATGAGACATACAAATGGGCTAACGTGATTATGATTTTGCATTATTCAAACCTCTGAAGCATGAAGTCTGCGACGTCTGCTCATCAAGCTTTGAAATGACTTTGATCATTGCATCATTACATAATACATATTGCACCTCTGAGGATTTTTTTTTCATGGTGAATTGATCTTTTATTCTGAGTATAAAGAATTGAAGTCATTTCAAGCCCAAAAGCACTCCAGTTGTAAGTGTATAAATGTTTTGTTTGTTCGATGTAAAAGACGTGCCTTTTTGTATACAATAGAAATGTCTATAAATATGAAATATAATCCTCAATATTTTCCTCTACATTAATCATTATAATCTTACAGAAAAAATTCAACATTGACATGAAAAGCAATACTTGATGTTGAGAAGACCTATTCTTAAAAATAACTGCACATCTAAATGCGATGTCTAGAATATCAAGGACTTTGCACTTGCCAACAGTGCCAAAACCATAGACTGTATATACTTTGGACAACTTCGCTCCGCCTCCCGCCCGTATACAGATTTGAAGCCAAAAAGTTCTTACTATCTCTGGGATGTTTCTTCATTTCCTGAAACCAGCGCTGTGCAGTAGCATTGTGCGCTTTCGGCGGGAGAGTCGCTGTGATGACGCTCGGCTCAAACAGCGTATCCCCCGGGTGAGCTACGCAATCCCTGAACGCCAATAGGCTGTATCAAGTGTCAATCATTGAAAACATGAACCCCCTAATAACTTTTAAAAACGGAGCTTCACAGAAAACAGAGGACTTGAGCACAAACCAGTCTTACTGTAACTACATGTCAACATCGCAAGCAGGAGGGAGAAAAGTTGCTTTACCCAGCGAGGAGGCAGACGCTGTCCATTCTTTATACAGTCTATGGCCAAAACTTTAACCAAATGACATGAAATGGGCGGTCAGAAGAGCTCAAGTTTGCTATGAAAACAACCCCTCAACAGAACCACATGCTGTTTGCCTCCTTGCCATGCCACCCCATATGGATGCAGTAATTAGTGGTAAAGGTGCTCCCACCTTTTATTGAGTGCTTCATTCTTTCAGAATTTGGACATTTCTGTATTTTACATCTTTCTATAATAATCAGATTTTCTTTGAGTACCAGGGAAAGTCAAGGAAGCAGCTGTTTTGACTCTATCCATAAGTTACCTGTATCATGTTTTTTTTTTTTTTTTGCACAGGCCCAGCAGAGCACTTCAGGAGCTGCAGCTTCAAACTCCCACAGTACATCTGTGTCCATCGAGCCTCCCAAAGCAACATTCCCCGCCTACACCCAACCCTCTGTCTCTTCTTCCTCTTCCACTTTTTCCTCTTCTAACCCCTCCAGCAGCACTGTGGCCAAACCCCCCGCCACAGTGGCCACAAAGCCCGCTACCCTCACCACCACGAGTGCAACTAGTAAGTTGATCCACCCTGATGAGGATATCTCGCTGGTAAGTTGCTTGAGCTTTCCGTGTTGCCCTTCTCACAGTAAGTAATGGCTGATATATACATTAGCGCATGATAAGATAAATGGATATTAGCAATATTTGATTTTACTCTGGATCTGAGAATCAGTGTTAAGCACATTATGAGATAAAGAGAATATCTACATAGTGTAAGAGAAGCATTAAGGGATCATATCCTTCCTCTTTCTTAGTTTTTTTTTGTGGTTATGATGAAGTGTGATTCTGGATTTGAATTCTCTCAGTGTGAAGTCAGGGTACGCCAACATTCGTTCCTAATTCCTCATCATGTTTTGTGAGTGTCTGGGGGGCACAACAGTGTTTCTTTAGCCTGAACGTTTGCCTTTTGTGTTGTCCCTGCCAACAGGAGGAGATGAAGGCCCAGTTGCCTCGTTACCAGCGTCTCTTACCTCGGCCGGGTCAGGCCCATGTGGCTGCTCCCCCTGTGGCAGCTGTAGGCAGCATAATGCCGCCACAGCAAGGCATGCCACCACAGCAGCCTGGCATGAGGCATCCCATGCATGGTGAGTGAACGCTTGTTAGTCCATGTTAAATTTGCTTTTTTTTCTAAACAAAGTAGAAAGTTGTTTTTAAAAATCATCTATATCGTGTTGCAGATAGCCTAACTGTTAAAGGGATATTCTGGCGTTAAATTAATTTAGAGTCAAACACATCGAGTAACGAGAGCAGGATAACAATACACAGTGGTCTGAGGAGCCATACACAAACCTCAATGAAAACGCCACTCTATAGCCACAAATAATGCTCAGAACAGCACCTAACTTCATCAACAGTACATATAGGGTCCCAGCCATAGTACTAACCACCAAACATCTTTTTAGCTTTGCCTGATTTCTTTCGCAAAGAGACTTAACACAACTCACCTACTCTCTTCCAGCAGCCGCTTGTTTGTAGCGAGACCTCAGGCCAGTCTATTACCGACTACAGCGGGGTGATGCAGCTCAAGGAAGAACATTTATGATCATTTTTTCATGTTAATGCAATCAGACTGAGACGCCAAGGCAGAAGAACTACGGCGTCCGCAGTGCAAAATGATTAATATGGTGATTATTGCTATAAGGAAATGAGAGAAATGATCATAAATGTTCTTCCTTGAGCTGCGGTTGAGGTTTGTTTATGGCTCCTCAGACCGCTGTGTATTGTTATCGTGCAGTTGTTACTAAAGTTGGTATAAGTAGAGAAGTAAGCGGTCGGCAACATTCATCTCTCGACGGGGTGTCTAACTCGGTGTTATGGTGTGTTTGACCCTGAATTAATTTAACGCCAGAATATCCCTTTTAAGACGCTCCGTATGTGCAGGCAGCCCAGGTTTGTATTTGTCAACAAGCTTTGACAAAAATGTTCCTCTCTTTGCTCTCTGCAGGTCAGTACGGTGCCCCTCCGCAGGGCATACCAAGCTACATGCCTGGAGGGATGCCTCCATACGGGCAGGGTCCTCCTATGGTGCCCCCATACCAGGGAGGCCCTCCCATGGGCATGAGACCACCCGTCATGTCTCCGGCTGGACGCTACTGAAGCAGCAAAGCAGCCACCACATTAGGTTTGAGGTTAAAACCTTTCTCTCATCCTTGTGCTTTTTCAAACCTAGCTGCAAGCAAAGAGCTTTGAAACCAGTGGTGGTGAAGACAAACATTATTTGTTAGAACTTGTGGACATTTAATGTAACAACTTTATTGGAAAACACCACACAAGTCCCTGAAAGCTATTCTGTCATGATTTGATTGCATTTGAGGATATATTCTTTTCCCCATAGGTTTCACTCAGGTTATAGAAGTGAAGTGTGTTAAAATCATTCATATTTCTTTTGAAGCTGCTGGAGTAACATGAACGTACCAACCCCTTACAAAGGCAAGTTTCTCTTGTGAACATTTGATTAATTTTATTTTGTTTATGTTCGTAGTTTGAGGCCCTCACAGCACGCTTAGGTGCTGTTGGACTTGCGTCCCCAACCTTGGTTGGTGAGGGTCTCAGTGATGAATATGATTCCATTGAAGTAGTGTTAAAACTTTTGCTTCAACAGTCTCTAGCTTTATTCTTATTTCAGGTTTGTTTTTAATATTTCTTGCTCAAGAAGGGTACCTGTATGCATCCTTTGTAATGTTTTATGAATCTGTTGTAATAAAATTCATCTTGAAATCCATTGCTGGTTTGTCCTGACGTACGTGGAGGTGAGTGATGAAGGTTTGTACTGATGTCATATTTCCAGAAATATTTTGGCTTTGTTTAACTACAAGATTATCTCATCAGGTATCAATAAAACAAGTTTGCCATCATCTAATATTGCAGTCCACTGAAAAATTGATAACCAAAAAAAAAAAAAAGTTTTACACCACTTCAAAATTATTATGTTGCGCGCTCAGTTAAAGTTTACTGTCAGCCCTGATCAAAGATGGTGGCTAACTTGTAGTCCCAGGCATTGCATGTTACCTCATAATAATGAAAGAATCATCTGCAGATGGAATAATACTTAACACGTGTTAAAACAGAATCTAAATTTTATCTATTTTTTTCTGAACACACTTATCAGCAGTGAAACATGCATGAATGTGATAATGTTATCCTGTTCACTGCAGGGGGACAAGCACAAAGAAAAGACCTCCAGCATTACATTTGCTCTGAGTCCATTCCCAGTCAAGTACAGCTTTTGTTTAGGGTCTAGATTGAAGAGTTTCCCTTTTTAAAGTGTGATACTGATCATCTTTTTGAGAACCGATCATTTAAACAATATGGTAGTGATTAGATTTGCAGGTGATTGTCACACGCTTACTAAATTATTTATTTTTATTGACACTTACCTAAATTTCGGGTCATTTTAAATGTACCTAATGCTAGAGTGAAATGCTGCTTTTTTCCTGACATTCAGTAAGTATGACAGAAATCTACATTGTTCAAGATTTAAATATACTGCTTGTCTCATTTGGTGTTAACTGGCTATGAGCTCTCCATCTTTTCTCTTAAATTCAGTCATCAGTCATCGTTATCAGATCCTGAGGTGGAGATTGCCAAACAGTGATCTCTGAGAAGACAAACCCGATTTATCATGCAAAAAAATAAGACAACCAGAACATTTAACTTGAGTCTTTTGTGCCTACATGAAATTTCTTTGAAGTTTGGCACAAGTTTTCCTATGATACATATCACTTACTGCTTTGTATTTGTTTTTGTTGTCTGTAGCCTCATCCATATCAGCCTTAAAACCCACTCAGCTGGCATGACAGGTCAGTTAAACCCTGTAAGTACCTGATGTTTATTTTAGTGTGGGTCTGTCCTGTACTACTGGATATTAGGCCTTGTATTACATGAATTGTTGTGCTATTGTGTTTTGAATTCAAGCAAGATTATTGTTGACTCTGGGGAAAAAGATGTTGATCATTTCTGTTTAAGTATTAAGGTTCAAATATTACAATTTATTGGAATCAGTTGGGTTGATTCAGTTGGGTCAGTCTACAAACAAGTCCAGAAGACTTGACACACAGTGTAAAATGTTACTAACAACTGATTTGGATGGACTTGAAATCATTTTAACTTATTAGTGTGGAAACAGTGTGAAGGCATCTTTTGAATATTGAAACTAAAAAAAATTGTTTTATGACAGATACAGTAAATGCTTATTTTTTGATGTGATGCCAGCAGCATGTTTCAAAAAAACATCAAAAAAATAACATGATAGGAGCATATTTACCATCATGTTTCATCACCTCATCGTGTTTTAACACTAAACTTCTGGGAGCCAAGGAGGACAGTTTCTAAAGAGACATGTCTCATTCTTCCCTGTCAGTCTATTTTGGATTTGTTCTGTTATATTTTTCTTGTCATGATGTGCTGAAGGATTTCAGTGGGTGACAGGTCAATGTTGAGGGTGGGCCGGTTTATCACCCAGACTCTTGTCATGTCTGCAGAACCTGGTTTCATCGGCTTGGGGAAAAAATAACACCTTTCTACATGTGCAGGCTTTTCATGCCATCACAGATGCCCTCATTTGTGCAGGGCACTGATCACAAGCGTTGTGTGTTGTCACAGTGTCCATGATTTCCAGAGTGCTAAATTTTGAATATTCAGATCTCAGGATTAGAAATTTGCTTCATTTTGTCTTAAAAAGGCTCGGGTCTCAAAGAAGTCACTGGCATTTCTAGATCACATATATTTAAAGTGTTTTTCTATTCGCGTGGCACAGTTGCATTGGTGGATGCAGTGATGAACAGTGTTAACAATCAATGATTTTGAACCTTTGCTGTGATTTCCACCTCAGAACTGTGTCTGCAGTTCTGCTTGAGGGTCAGACCATCACGACCATGTGGTAATGGTTTTGGTCTTGTCCTTTTCGCACAGTTGAATTATATTATGTACTGTAGATTAAGAAATCAAAGGACTCAGAGGATCAATATTTTGAAATGCAGAATTGTTTACTTAATCCCTCACAAAATAACAGTTTTTTCCATCATCACGTCTGATTGACTCAGGTTCCACTGTGATACCCATTTATACTTCTAATCCATGGCAAATAAATCCCATACTTGTTTTTATGTTTTCTGTCCCAACTTTTTGAAACCATGTTGCAGGCATCAAATTTAAAATAGGCATATGTATTCTTTATTTAAAACAATTGGTGCCTTTTACACTATTTATAATTCAAGAATTTCAATGATTGGGAAACCATCAGATTTTGATCTCATTTTTAGCAGCACACTAACTCTCTAGAAGTTGCGAAATAACTGTGTATATTTTCTTGTGGCATCTAGAGCAGTACTTCTACACTTTTGGGGCTGAAGGGGGAGCATAAAAGCAACATGTAGAGCTCCTTGAACATTATCCATTCAGTCTAAAATACTTTTTTCAGTTGAATCAAGGTGGGTGCTATTATAATGCTATTATAGCCAATAGCATTAATTTCAACACTCCTCTGTGACAGTCTTCATCAGGTGATATTTTATGTCTTTACCTCATCCTACATTTCATCAATTTTGAAAACAAGTACTGTACACACTTGCCAGTCTTGTATGTTTCAAAGTTTTTATTGAAATGGGATGCATTACATTGTCCGATTTTTTTTTGTATGTTCATAATAAAATGCATTTACTCTGCTGAGACCATGTGTTTTTCTTTTGTTCAGTGTAATGACCCATGAAATAAAGTCTATTATTGTGTGGTTATATGTATGTTCAGCATTCAAGAACTAGTACACCACCTAGTGTCTCATAAGAGTATTACAACGCCCTTTTCCAGTTCCCGTTAGAATCACTGTTCCCTGTGAAATAGTTGAATAAAACCCTTGAGCTAGTGTAACTGGTCAACTGTGTTTATATGAGAGTGTAACACCAGCGTAGAGAAAGAAATGAACCCAAAATATTTTCTATTCTGTTATTCTTGCGCTTCATTATAGAAGTCACCACAGCAGCCAATGATAAGAAAATATAGAGGCACCCATTTGAGGTGTTGACACTTAAATGATCGAGCGAGGATATGTTATTAAATGTAGGAATGACATGCAATAACTGCATTAAAATGTTAATTTCATAATTTAACCCTCTCTACACAAAGTTGAAGTCCTGTGTGAAATGTGGAATAGAATGTGATGATTTGCAAATCCTTTTGATAAATGTGAAGATTACTAATGCCATGTGTCCAACTTAATGCTTTTACCAAGTTAGTTAGTCTCTCTCTTTGGTCCACACACTGTTCACGAGTACAACACAGAATTTCACATTTTGAATCCTGACCTTAGGACAGTTTCTCACTTAACCATCCCCAAATGAGCTCCAGCCCAGAGAGGGAGGAGGCATTTCTGAATTTTTTTTTATCACAATTTGTTTATTGACTTTTTTCATCTTTATGAACATGCATTCACAGAAATATCAATACAGCACACAAAGAACAGGAACCCTTTCACCCCCTCCCCTCCCTCAATAAGATCTACGGTAGATGAAATGTTCACACAAGTATGAATATGTAGAATTCGGTCCTTGTCTTCATTTCCACACTACACAATACCAACGCTTCAGACATGGAACTGGTTGCAAGCCGTTGCAAGATTATAAAGTCAATGATAACCGTCCTTGTCCAGGACCAGGCACTTGCCCATTGAGGTTATTCATAAAGGATAAGAAAGAAGACCACATCCTGTTGAAGTCCTCAATTTTTCCTTTTGCCATGTAAGCCAGTTTTTCCACTGCTAGGTTAGATGCCATTTCTGTAATCCATTGGGTCCCTGGGTCTCCTTCCATGCTAAAGCAACCACACATTTGGCTTGTAATTAATTAGTTTGCCTTCCTTCTCAGTCACTGGAAAATCGTCAGGGTATATGTGTAACAAACATAATTTAGCCTCAGTCAGTATATATTTTTTAAGAGGAAGAATTTTCATTGTTGTTCATCAATAGTCTCTTTTTCTGACCTTGACCAGTCTTCTACAGAAGAAGCGCCCGAGCAGGCTCATATGGGCTCACTTGGTCGATCACTGCCACAAACTCTTGTGGGTTAACAACGGCACCTCACCTGAAGTCACGCTTTAGCCTGAACAGGCAACCAATGACGAGAGACCAGTAGAGTAATGGGCTCATATTGAAGGTCTGGTCCTCCAACTCAGTCAACTTATGTTGGAATACCAATACTGGCCCCTGGTGAACTGCTTCTATAAGAAGTTCTCTACATATGCAATGTTTTCACTCAGGATGGCATGGTTATATATAAATGTATATGGGTGATTTATATTCAGTGTTTATCTATTGCTGGGTCTCCAACTCCCCCCCACCTGCTTTAACACGATATGCCTCCTCTGCAGCTCACCACAAAACCACACCTGATTAACAGCTAGCTGCTCTCAGTTGTATGTTTTTCTAAAGGCGCTCAGTAAATAAACCAGAAACCTTACCTGAAGTTGTGGTAATTGTATTTATTTATTTATTTTTTAGATAACTGATTGAAGTTTAAATCATTGATTTTCATACTGAAAAACAGGTGGTGACTACAGACTTCCAGTTAAGGATGTGGCTTAATAGATACGTGACAAAATCTGGTTTTAACACAGGAAATCTAGCAAGAGCGTGTCGTCTCTGTTTCAGAGACCCACTTATCCTGGCGTTTTAGTTGAGAGTAGTATCCAGCTTTGAGAAAAACTCAATCCTACATTGTTTAATGAAAGAGTGAGTGTGTCAGGGAGGTTATACACACATCGCATAAATTCAGACCAATGAAGAAACAGGTGAAAGTGAAGAAAGTAAGTCTGAACACGTACTCGATGCTGCAGAGGTTTAAAAATCACAACATTTCACTGCAGTCGTCTTCAAGTTTTATTTTCAACTTTCTTGAGTCCATTTTTTGCTCATGATAGAAAAAAAAACAGGTTCTTGCCTTCAAATATTTATTTTCTTAGACTTAAGAAATCCTCTTTCTTGGCCCCAATTTTTGTGCTGGTCACAGTATTTAGCTTTTTTTTTTTTTTTTTTCCTGTTTCCAAAGAACAAAGTGCTTTCATTAAAAAAAAGGAAAAAATAATACTCCCATATGTTGTTGATGAAATGCCTACCTGTTAAGCTGACCTGTAATTTTTTTTTCGCAGTGTTGGAGGACAGAAACCGATATTTTAAAATCTGTAACCACATGTTCAATTCTGAGCACAGCTCCACCCTTCAGAGAAAAACACATTCAGTGTGTTTGTGTATGTGGGATGGTGGTGGTGGTGGCGGGGTTTCGGGGGTTTTACTTAAACAGCTCTTTATCACTAGTGTATTTAGAAAATGTCCATTCTTTCCTCAAATAAAATTTTTATATTATTGATGACCAAACACGATTAGATGTCAGTCTTTTTAATTTGTGTTTTGTATCTTTTCTTTTTTTCAGATTTTAACTGCTCATCTGAGCAGTATAATGGCATCTCAAATGAAGTTTATTAGTCCTGAATCCTTGAAGCAAGCATTGATATTAGACAAAAACTACAACAAGATCTCAGTGTGTTTTTATCAAGTATTACTCTCAGAGCCACCACAGCAGAAACTAAGATGACTGTCTTGAGACCCCTAAATTATGTTTTGGGTCTTTACAACAAAGTCGCTAGTTGTGTACAGATGATCCCACAACTGGATCTACTGCCCATATCGTAGCTTGAGGCCTGTCTGGCTGCTGTTTGGAGCTGGTTGTAAACGATGGTTATCAGACTCTTTTTGATTAAACCTAATGGAGGTGACAAGATTGGCCTCCCTCCATCTGAGGAACATCACTGAGAATAGATCTGTCCTGTCGGTAATGATGCCGACGTTCTGGTCAGACCTTAGTTCATCCAGAGTAGAGTCTTGGAACGCAATGAGTGAATGTTGTAAAATGAGCCCTTTACTCCAGTGCTGGCCTTATTTTCATTGGCTGTATGTTAAGAATAACTTTTGACTGCTGTTAAAATACTAAGCAGTGAATGGCAATGCAACTTTATACTTTACTGGCCTGATGAACTTGTTTGTGTCTGCTTTGGCACTTTACACCCAAGGGACTTGTCTTTTGAGTCTCGTTAAAGGCTGGTCCATGAGAAGCCTTTTTGTTCAATGTAACAATTTTATAGGAAAGTTTGAGCCTACCCTTTTAGAAATGTGGCCCTAGAAGAGTCAGCACTGTGCTATGTATGACTTGGTTGACTGATTATTTTTTCGTTAGTTAGTTGGCTGGCTGGTTTATTGGTTGGTTAGTTAAATGGTTGTTAGTTGTTTTGTTAGACGGTTTTTGGTTGTTTGGTTCATATGATAGTTGTTGGTTTGTTGGTAGGCTGTTTGTTTGTTGGTTGGTTGGTTGATTGGATATATAGTGGTCGGATGGTTGGTTGGTTGGTTGGTTGGCTGGTTTGCTAGATGGCTGTTGGTTGGTTAGATAGATGTTGGTTGTTTCGTTGGTTGTTTGTTGGTTGGTTCATTAGACAGTTGTTGGTTGTTTTATTGGTTGGTTGGTTGGTTGGTTGGTTGGTTAGATGTTGTTTCATTGGTTGTTTGTTGGTTGGTTGGTTGGTTGGTTGGTTGGTTGGTTGGTTGGTTGGTTGGTTGGTTGTTGGTTGGTTAGATAGATGTTGGTTGTTTCATTGGTTGTTTGTTGGTTGGTTCATTAGACAGTTGTTAGTTGTTTTATTGGTTGGTTGGTTGTTTTCGTTGTTTGTTTGTTGGTTGGTTGGCTGGTTGGTTGATTATTAGATAGTTGTTGGTTGTTTTGTTGGTTGTTGGCTGGTTCATTAGATGGTTGTTGGTTGTTTTGTTAGTTGGTTGGTTTGTTAGATGGTTGTAACATTGGTTGGATAGATAGTTGTTAGTTGGATTTTGGTTTGTTGATGGAGTTAAAATGTATAGGTGGGCACTTAGTCAGTGCTACAAATTTAGGACTCATCATGGAAATGTCAACAAGCAACCTACAGGATATGTGGTTAAGAACATCAGGTAGAGCAGACTTTATGAAACTGCAAAAACACTTGGACACTTCATAACAACTCTTTCTCTTCTGTGGATTCCTAACAGCTCAAGTAAATACATCAAAATAAAACCACTTTATGTGGTTTCATTTTGATGTGATGACTAAACGTACCAGACAACCCAATCCACTATGTGCAAACACTTCTAATTAGAGCTATTTGATATCTGTCTTGATCTTTAATCTCCATCTAACAATAACAAACCACCCGGCCAGCAATCCTTTCTACTGTCCACTCTTTTGGTATTTTTTACGTTTTTTTTCTGACCCCTCATCATCCAAATTTGAATCTTGGTTCTCAGATGGTCAAGTCTGGAGGTCCATCTTGTTTTCTGACTATTTCATACCAAAGTTTCAAGAGTACAGCTCTGTCTTTTGTGCCCAGTCAGCACACTTTGAAGAGTTCTTTGACCACTATCATTAAGATTCAGATGCATCCTGTCACAATGGAGCATAGGGTGTCATTTCCTCTTTGATATGCAAAAGAAATGTCTGGGGGTTTTTTGTTTCAGAATGTAACAGACATTTCATGCAAATGTGGTTAAAGAGGAACTTTCCATAAAGTCAGGGGGAAAAGGTGTTAGTAGACGTTCACCACACTGCTATCCCATTATGACTAATTCTCTGTCTGGTCTTTAACTTTCTATTCTGACTTTTTTAAGAATAACTACCAGCATTTCGTCTCTGGAGGAACCAATCTGTTTTACACTGCTGGTTAGTCTTTGCTTCCTCTTGTACATGTCTTGAGGTTTTAGAGGTGGAGCTTCATGGAGTTCCTCTCACTTCAATTTACTGACCACAAACTTGTAACCCACTTTTCAGAACTGGTGACTGTACTGTCATGGTGAACATCTCCAACTTCTCTCTGGATATGCATTAGTGTCCACTGGTGTAAAAAATGTCTGAGATCCAGTACTTGGCCGGTTTGTGGACTCTGCTCCTCTTGCAGACTGGATGTGGTGAGTTTAATTCTTGATTAATTTTTTTTTTTTAGTTTGTGGAAAAATATATTTTTCTAGGTGAAGGGTGAATTCAAGTTTTTTGGTAATTTTAGACTGCTGTTTGTGGAAGATTAAACTCTAAGGACTTTTCCCTGATCATGCTTGTTTGCTCTTACCATGACCAAACAAGATTTTGAAAAGAAGAATCCACATCTACCATTTTAAATATTTTTTATTTAATGCGTTTATTGTGTTAGAAATTTGGTCAAACATGAAGTTGCTGCTTTTAGCACAGTTTATGATTTTGCTCTCGTCTACCAAAATGAAATCAAAAGTTCAAAAACAGCGACTTTTACCTTTTTCAAATACTGTAATGAGTCAAAAATGCATATGAGCAGAAAAGTGTATATTCGAACACATTGTAGTTCTCTTTTTCTGGTTTGCTTGTTTCAAGTCTGCACTGAGATCGCGTTCTTGGAGAGGGATGAGGGAGGGTCAGTGGTTCTCCCCTGTGCTGTGGACAAGAAACACCCTTCACCTTACGGCGTCTACCTGAAACGCAGGTGGCTGCAGCAGAGTGAGGTGTTGTTCATGTACACTCAGAGTGATCCCAGCATGAGCGCGGATCACAAGAACCGCACCAGTGTGAATGGAGACCCAGACAGCCACACTGTGAATGTGACCATCTCTCAGCTGAGGGCCAGCGACACAGACCGTTACTACTGTGAGTTTGTTGTGGATAATCCGTCCTCCAAAGACCTGAGGCTGCAGGGAAACACTGAATTCTTCCTCCTGGTTAACTCTGGTGAGTTATGTTTTTTTTCTCTGTCTTCATCCAAATGTTTTTTAACCGTTCCTCACCTTAACTTTCCAAAACAACAACCCACGCTACCACAAAAAGAGGTTTAGAAACTCCCACATAAAAGCAACAGTGGAGGCGGTTGACATTTAGACAGTTTTTTTTTAAAATTTCTGTGCACTGCTGAAGCTGGACTCAAGAGGTTTTACATACATGATTTATCATCATCATTCTAAATTATGGAGGGTTTTTGTACAGGGTTGTCACTTTTAACCAAATTAACAATCACAGATTTAAAAGGTTTTCATGCTGGACCAGGATGGTGGATTTTTTCTGTTTTGCAAGCTTGCAACCCAAAGTTTCTTTATTGTGTTTTCCAAACATAAAAACATCAACATATCTATATATACAAAGAAAACTTGAAACCTTGACAGACAATATTTCGGATGATTTCCTAAAATACGTGTTGGTATCATGTGATGTCAAGCCTCATGTTTTTGCAGTTTCTTTAACAACATTAACAAGGACCAGAGCTCCAATCATCTAATCTTTAAATCTTTGCATGATATCTTCTCTTGATTTTAGACATGACTGTTCTCTGCTGGTTTGTTTTTACAATCGTGAGTTCATGTGTGTTAACCGTTTGTTGGCTGTTCATTTGTTTTGATTTGATACAGATTTCAAAATGCTATTTTACATCCTGAAAATAGCATTTAAGATAGCATCTCCATATTCTCAATGGGAACTGAGAATAGGTTATTTTTTAATCACATATTTACATTTCCACCCGTGCACTGCTCTATGAGGCAAATTCAGCTTAACCAGTTCACAGCAGCTGAAATAACTTCAGCAGAAAGAGGAAATGAGATTTGGAGATTCACCTTTAAAAATAACAGAGCTGATGAGAGTTAGACCATGTCCTGGACCAAACACAGGTGATGTTCTAAGTGTGGCTACCTTTTCCCTCTGGAGACTCTCCCAGGTCCATGGACATAGGTTTGGTAAATACCTGTGCAGGGGGATCTGCTGTAATACCCTGTCTCCCCCCTCGAGGGGAGACCCTGGCCATCGAGGCGGTGAGTCTTAAGCGGCAGAAGAGTCAGGGAGCACCTGTGGAGCTGTTGTACCACTCAAAGCATCAACCTGGAAACAACCCTTCAACCTCCTTCTCCTCCTCATCCTGGCTCCCTGAAAAGAGGGTCCAGCTGTCGTCGACCCTCCACCCTGAAGGCATCACCTACAACCTCACCCTGCTGCAGCTCCAACCTGAAGACAGCGCTCTTTACAGCTGCGTGCTGCTCCAGCGCGGCTCGCCTGATAAAAGCACCCACTTTGGCAGAAAGGTGTTCTATGTGTCAGTGCAAGGTGGGTCACTTCTCAGCGGTGCCCGAAGAAAAGGTCGCTCAGACAAACTCATATTTTCTTTTGATACTAACAGCTGTTCTGTTTCTGCTTTGATGCAGTCCTGGTTTGAGCATGACCTTTTTTTTAAATCTCTTATTTCTTGTGTGAAGCTCTTCTGTAATAATCATTGCGGTAACACTTTACAGTAACAATAATTTATAAATGGTAAATAGATAGTTTTTTTATTATTTAATCATCATTTAAAAACAGCATATAGACCAATTATGAATTACAATTAGATGGTTTATTAATGTAAGTTAATAGTAACTTTATCATTAACAAGCAATGAAATTATGATTAATAATTGTCATTAATTATTAATGGACTATTTATTAAAGGTTTAAATATTGGTTGTAAAACATCTAGATTAAAATGTGTGTCAGTAGCACTTTGTAAATGGTTAATATTTGGTTTTTAAAACATCTGTAAAAATTACTTAGATGGTTATTGTAAAGTTAGGGTTGGGGTTAGGTATTTAAAATAGTAAAATTTACAATTTATTAATAGATAGATAGATAGATAGATACTTTATTAATCCCAGAGGGAAATTAAAAAATGGTCTATATGCTATTTATAAATGATGATTAAACATTAATAAACTATCTGCTTAACATTTATAAGTGATGGTTATTGTAAAGTGTTACCACCATTACTAATACATCCTGAAAATAACATTTAAGATGGCGACGGTTCACATGCTCTTCATATTCTCAATGGGAACTGAGATTGTTTTTGTTTTTTTGAAGTTGGAAAATATAGATTGAAAAAATATATATCTTTAAGATACAGGTGCCAAAACTCATTTTACAGCCATAAAAGGATTATTGGTCATTTATTACTAATTTTCATTGTCTCATGTAATACAAGGAGGAAAAAAAAAGTTAAAATCAAACAATAAAATTCAAGAGTGAATGTTTCCTGATAACTGTCGCTTTTGGAGATTTTTGGAGCACAATTGTTCTTCAAAAAAACACCAAGAGATAAAATCAGTCAGAGGGAAAAAAAAAGAAATAATAGAAATCAGGCCCTAAGTGACGGATCATTAAATATGTTTTTTTTGTTTTTTTCCAGGCTGTCAGTTTGAACCGGTCGAACTCGAGAGGCTGACTAATGTCACATTTTATTTTCTCAACTCTAGCAGAGCTAATCGGACCAAACTAATATCAGACTTTTGAGTTTCCATTTGTGCATTCATGAAGACTCTTCTGACTGCATATCTGATGATCTCCAGGTTTTGAAGATTAGTCATCACACATTGGCTAATCCTTTCCTCTCAGTAATATCATGTTGGAACTAGGAAGGAAGTGCAGCTCAGCGATTTCTGCAATTCCTGTCACCGTTTCACACTACAGATGTGTTTAACCACATACTAACACATGTTGCTTTGGAGTTTTGCTTTTGTTTTTCATGCTGCACTTCTTTTAAATGACAAATTCTGAGCACCGTGGGAGCTAAATGCTGTCAGTGATATTATTCTCTGTTTCTCTACAGATCAGTGCGGCTGCTCGGGTTACTCCACCCTGCTGTACGCGCTCTCTGCGGCAGTGGCCATCCTCCTCCTCCTCCTCTTCATCAAATGTGTGCTGTCTTGTAAAGTGAGTATCTTCTCGCCTGATAACATGTTGCCTTGACTCCACTCAAGAAGGGGGGGAAACGAAACTATCATATCGCCACAGGCAGCACCTGTCTTTTCTTAGAGCGAGCGTGCTGGTGTGTCTTCTACAGCTCACCACAAACTAGTTTCACAACTTTTTTTGCTCGTAGCTGTCAGCATGTTTTTCTTGAAGCTCATTAAGGCAAAATGTGAAAACCTTTGTTCCACTTAAAATGACTTACAGAAGTTTATTCTACTGCTGAGATAAACAGAGTTGTTTGTCTGAGTGAGAGGTACAGATTCAATGAGGATCTGATACTAAGACTTGTTGTTCAGGATGTGACTCTGTAATGAAAGGAAAAGCTTTGATTTTAACACAGGAAATCAGGTCGTCTCTGTTTCCTTTACTGATTTAATTCTGCTTTTTTTTTTAAATTTCATTCTGACTGTCAGGGCAAAACCAACCGCAGAGACAAGTCACACCCTCAGATTCCCATCTATGAAGAGATGACCGGGGTGAAAAGCGAAAGTCGGAAGCTGGCTCCTCACCATCTGGAGGAAATGGATTCTTCTGAGTACAAAAACTGTGACTTGAAGAGATCTTGTCCTGAGAACTATTACGAGCACCCCACTGGAAGCCTTCACCCAAGGAAAGTATCCCCATGATCAAGATATTCGACATCAAAAACTAGACCAACCTATCAACTCAGATGGAGACGACTCAGAGGACTCCTGTCTGCAAACTCAGTTCTGATTCAAGAGCGCTCATACTGAACTGAGTCCCTGCAAACCCTCGACATTTGTGTCAGTCTGTTTTAAACAGTCCATCACTGTTTGACCTCATGGTTTAAGTCTGCACCCGTACACAGAAGCTGTGGTCCTCGGTTTCTGTTTAGATGTTTATCTTTTACTTTTTCCTGTACGCCACCTCTCACCCTCTACCACCCACACTTCCTGTCTGTCTTCAGCTGTTAAGGCGTCGCACTGCTGATATCAGGGGTGCAGAATTTGGTTCCTTTTGCCTCTAAACATCTATCTCTTCATCTATTTAACAAATTGTCATCATAGTTCTTGTATTGTAGCATGAAACAGGGACTCAGGCTTCCTTTGATAGTGATGTAGACCAAAAGTTTTTTTTTTTTTTTTTTTTAAATACTGTAAAAGTATTCAAAGAAAATTGATAAATAAGAGGATTTTTTCAGCAAACTCATGTTTCTATGAGCTGTTATAAATGCTGGTTTAAACATTTTCACATATCTGGACTGTCACTTACTGATATTCAGTGGAATAAAATCTCATTTAAAAGCATTTTTGTACAAAAGATTAAAAAACAAAAAACAGTGTACCACTCTATACGATGTCTTTAAACCCCCATCAATAAAACTTTTTTACTCAACTGGATCATGAAAAATGTCTTATTTGTATCAATGTTTTAATTTTTTAAAATTCTTATTCATGTTTTATAAAAGTCCCCTTGGTTTCAGGTTTTTGTGGTTGGATTCCTGTGTTGGCGGGGTATCACGGGCTCTTATGTCTTTGTTTTAATGATGTCTCTGCTCATGTGACACCCATCAAATGTTTTATATTTTCCACCAATTTTTATTTTTTTTATTTCTTTATTGCCAATAATAACACATTAGGACATGTAGTCTGAGTTTTAGTCTTGTCAAGGCTCTTTCCCCCCCAAAGTTTTCTCTTCTTGTTATTCTGTAGTTTTTATCTTATTTGTTTTCCTGAATGTTAAAACACTTTGTAAACGCTTGTTTTTAAAAGTGCTATATTACGACGGAGTATTAGGGCCACATTGAGAAAAAAAATAAATAAATTGAAGACTTAAAGATTAACGTCATTAATTACGTTGTATTAAAATCATTAATTACGAGAAAAAAGTCTTAATAAAATCATTAATTACGAGAATGAAGTTGTATTAATATCATTATTAAAATAATAAAGTTGTATTAACATTATTATTAAAAGAATAAAGTTGTAATAAAATCATTATTAAAATAATAAAGTTGTATGAATATCATTGGTTACGAGAATGAAATTGTAATAAATTCATAAGTTATGATGATAAAGTTGTAATAAAATCATTATTTAAGGAATAAAGTTGTAATAAAATCATTATTTAAGAAATTAAGTTGTAATAAAATCATTAGTTACGATAATAAAGTTGTAAAAAAGTCAGTTACAATAATAACGTCATAATAAAGTATTCAGTTACAAGAGTAAAGTTGTAATAAAGTCTTTATATTCTAACATGTTGTTTAAGATGAGAGTTGTTGAAATGAGAGCCGTGGAGCATTTTGTGAAAATGTACTTCTATATAGGTTTCTCAAACAAGGAGATACTTCATCTGTTGGCACATCAGCACCACATTATCATAAGTATCATAATGATTTTACTACAACTGTATTCTCGTTAGTAATTAATTTATTAAGACTTTATTCTCAAAAATGAACAATTTTACTCTTGAAGTCTAAATTATTTTTTTTCTAAATGAGATTGCTCAAACACTCCATCGTACTATATAATAAAGTTATTAATATTATTATAAATGCCAAGAAAATGATCTTATGATAATTAACTGTATAAACCACCAACCCTGACATACCCTATATTAAAAGTTTACTTTAAGGTTTTTATTGTTTTTATTTTGAGTGTTTTTGTTTTAGTAACCACAAAAAGAGAGACAGGACAGCGGGTAACAGCCAAGAAAATTTGTAATTTATTAATATAGTCCGAAAAGAAGCTCCATAATCAATGGAAACATTTTTTTCCGGTGCATGTCCTTAACAATCACATTCTATGAGGAGAAAAAAAGAACAACATTAAAAGCCACAACTTTGTATTTCAGTTACAGACATTTTTCCTTAATGTTTTTTTTTTAAAGTAAAGAGAAAGGCAAAGGCAAAGTACCCCCATCCCCCCCACCCTCCCTCCCTCCTCCCTTTCAAAAAACAGACAGCCGTAAAACTCGAGGGCTTTTTTTTTCAGTACAACCCACAGTGCTTTAGCAGAAGGATAAGCGCTCATTGGTTAAAGATTACACAGCATGGCGACGCGATGCAAAGTTTTGCTAAAACATTAGAAAGTGATGAGAACAGGGAGGGTCGGATGGGTGGGTGGGGGGAGGTAAAAGAGCGGAGGAAAGTGGAGCAAGGGACAAAAAGAACAACCCTACATCGAACCCTGAACCCCAGAGTGTGAGTCAGCAAACACCTGCAGTACAACAGCTGGGTTTGGACTCTTCCCTCCCACTTGTGCATAGATCATGATCCTTTTAAAAACCGGCTTTACTCCACTTCAATATGCCTCCTCTGAAAACCATCTGTAACATGTTAAGAAATCTCTCAACCTTTGAAAAAAACCTGTCCCGGGAACAGATGCGTTCACAGACAGGAGAGATGATTAAAAACAGACTTGTTGCACAATGCTCCTGGACTTCAGGATGGAAACTTAAAAGACACAAAAGTCAAACATACAAATGCATTTTCTGTCACTGTCTTCTCGACAATCAAAACCATTGATCATTGTTTAAATGTAAAGCAATTTCTACTTAGATTTCACATGTAAAGCACTCCACTTTTTTAAAAGTTGATTCTCAGTCTTATTTGGTAAATATATAACTTGCTACGAACATTTGTTGTAGTTGTTTAAAAGAAACAATGGTACTCTATATTCTGTTGAAATCAGAACCTTCAGTGCTTGCTGGGAGTTTCATTATTTTCAGCTTTTTTTTTTTTTTACTTATTCACAAAAACATTAAGTCTAGAAATGATGAAGTTGGTATCTGGAACCCTGGCCTTCCTGAGACAAAATCCACATCTTTTTATGAGTGTGCAAGATAGTGAGCAAACTGCTTTGCTTACAGAAAAACATATAATCACGACTAAAAACATACAGAGATAGTCTATCCACACTTGAAAGAGAAATTAAATTTTGAAATATGACAACACTGATCAATCCCAGAGTTCTTAAAGTAGCATAAATCTTCATTTTGCAGGATTTTCACATCCATTATCAGATGGAGGATGAAATTTGTCCTTTTTTTCTTGTTTTCTCACAACATTCCTGTTTGAAATTTCTATCCTAGTTTCTCGAACTTCAGACAAAGGAAATGCTTGTAAACGACGGGTGGCTTTTGCAAAAACAAAACAAAAAAACAAAAACAGAAAAAAGATAGGCACCTCTGAAATGAGTCTTGTAACAAACTCACATCCCACACTTTATCCCTTTCCATTTGTCCATGAAGTTAACATAGGGATTACTAGTCCTCCTACAGCTAGCTATGGCCACAGTTCTTTGTATGTTTTTTTTTTTTTAAACATTTTTATTTTTTATTGAATTTTTTTCTTTTTTTTTTCTCTTTTTAAATTTTTTTTTCCATATTTTTTTTAATCATTGGAACAAAATGGTGCAATACTCAATGATAATCCTTGTAATGGATTATTCCACAATAAAAGCCACTATAAGGTAGATAAACTTTTTACAGATAGAATGAAAAAAATCCATTAAGTCCTTGAGTAAACATGTACACATGAATTGTCACCATCTCCCCTCCGTACTTAGACTCGTTTCTCTACGATTAGCTGAGCGAGGGGTAGAAGACACTCAGTGCAACGTTAGAAGATAATAACAATGTCTATCAGAATACTTTTTGACAGAACAACAAAAATCATAGAAGATAAAAACAGACAAAAAAAAAAAAGAACATACTGAGTGGAACAGAACAGCAGGCCGTGTGCCTGATACACAAACAGTTTCTTGCGCACACATTCATACAAACATCTGACTTTCAAGCACACATCTAAGATGACTTTTGCATTTTTTTTCAAACATTTTGTATTTGTAACTTAATTCAATACATTTTTAATATTCTCTAAAAGCCCCTAAGTGTACCTGTCAGATGGATAGAACAAAAAATAAAGAAAAAAAATAAAGAATTTGACTTCACATTACGTTATTGGCGCTCCATGATTCAAGTATTTGTGTTCAATATTTTGTTTTGTTTTGATATGTTTGTGATTCTTTTTTATCGACTGCTTGGTATGGGCTTTTAGACAGGCTAATCAACAAACAAATACACATATGTACAGTACAAGCACTTCAAAGTACTGTAATATGTCGTCAAAACCAGAACGTGCGTATCCATCTCCGTGTAAGAAAGACGCAGCTTTCAGTCAATCAAGTATCAGTTTATACCCGACCCCAATTCTTTCCTTCCTACCACTTATTTGCAGGGGAAATACATATTGCTCATTATTCAGTTGTATGAAACTAAGACCTTTCAAACCAAAATGAAAAGTGTCAGAGGTTACGATCCAAGAAGTCTGAAGAGGTGATACCACACACCATACTCACAGTATATACATATGTAGTGTATACATATATACTGCTATCTAGAACAGAGCTGTAGAGAGGAGAGCCTCTCGATGCTGGTGCAGCATGGGAAACCCCCTTCACTGTCAGGGTTCTCCAGTTAGTACAGGATGCTGGGAGGTCCTCGGCTATTGGGTCTGTCTGAGCTTGGATCAAGGCAGTTACAGAAACAGGCAATAGTGATTTTTGCTTGTGTGCTGCAGGACTGTGAAGTCCTGAAAGGTAGCCTTTTCCCGTTTTCTTGTTCTTCTTCTTCTTTTTTTAAGAATTTTTAAAATCTTTTTGTAAAATGTTTTAAGACTTTGTACCTCTTTGAAATGTGTCCCTCCCTTCCCCGCTGATGCAGGGTGAGGATAGTGAGGCTGATACAGTGGGCCCAAGCCATCTGGGTCTGTGGAAATGTACAGTTCAGTGGGCCCGCTTTGAGCAGGGCACAAACAACATAAAGATAAATACAGCATCCACAAAAAGGCACCCCGGCCACCAGTCTACTCCTTTAGATGGTGGTAGTAGGAACTGATGACCAGAGACGTTTCAGCTAGAAGTGCAGAGCTTTAACATATTATAGACTTTTTTTTTTTTCATTTAGATTTTTTAAGCATTTTTAAGAATTTTATGTCAAACTTCATAAAAATGACGTTAAAATGCAATTTCATTTTTGGTTTTAAAAAAATATGTACCCGGGATTACCCATCATTAACTGTGCACTGTAGCAAACTGGAACCCCCAACTGAGTAAAGATTTTCTCCTTAGCGTGGGGTATTCCCCACAAAAGCATAAAAAAATCTCAGAGGTTTAAGGGTGTGACGCTGCTGCTGCCCATGTGTTTGATCCCTCCTGTCCCCCTGCTGCACCCTCTGCAAAGTTTATCAAACCTCCTCCGATCAGGTAAAAGAAGTGCTCTCTATACAGATACAGTATGACTCCATTAATTTACATTGGCACAATACCTTGGCATCTTTTTTACACATTAAGAAGTCTCCAATTAGGACAGGCCGCCTCTCAGAAAGTAATCGATTAAAGCCACCTCCTGTCCAAGTAGGATTCAGTTGGAGGCGTGAGGTCTGAACATATTGTCGCCTTAGAATTTAAGACTTTGCTCTCACAGTAAAAGGACAGATACAGAGAGCTGCATCTCCTACTTGGTATCACCAACTCTCCTACCCTGAGATCGAGCTGGACAGAAGTGTCTTCAGCACAGAGAAAAAAGGCCGATCTATGATAAAGTGTTCAACTTGAGTATATGACAGTGTTCTGGCGGCTTAGCCCAGTGAGACAAACGTGGCGGCCGTTCTGAAGTGCTGACAGAAAAGCACGGGGGGGACAAATGTTTAGGGGTTCGCCAAGCTCTGGGAGGAAGTGCTTGTTTCCAGGTCAGGCTTGGCGTGCTGTAAAGGGCCCCAGCCTCTAGTCTTTTGCATAGAAACAGATAGGAGGGCCTGTTGGTGCCTGGTTAGGGGAAGGGCTACTGGGTCTGGTTTTGAGGTGGAGAGAAGGAGGATGAGGAGGAGGAAGAGGAGGGGATGACATAGCGTAGCAGCTAGGCAAAAGGATAAGGGGGGGGACAGCCTGCGGGCAGGCGGAGCAGCTTGGACAGCAAACACCCACACCCCCCGTCTGAGACACCCTATTTTTACACATCTCAAGATACAACCTGGAAGTACTACAGAACACTGTCAAACACAAAAGCATGATCAGTTCAGAACAAATAGACAATCAATAACTCTCTGTAGTATTGATCCTCGTTTTGCATTCAATACACAGGATAAACATACAGAGGCACCTCGACCTAAAGTGTTTCTGCATATGAACAGTGAAGGGCTAGTTCAGCAGCCAGTATTTCATAGACCACTGCATGTCGACAAAAATAACAAAATAACACATTTCAAAAAAAAAAATAAAAGAAGTCAAAAAATAAAAAGTACACTGGCAAAAATTCCAGAAATATGACTATAACATCTTCCAGCTAAAGTGATCTTTGTGTCAAAGAACTGAGAGATGGGGAGGAGGTCGGGATCGACGGCAAAGTCGAGCGGTGGCGGCCCCCCTCTCCATTGGAGATGCTTCATGTGGCGGAGAGCCGTGATTGGCCAGTCTTTGTGGTGCCGCTTTTTTTTTTTTTTTTTTCCCCTTGTGAGACCGAAGGAGGGGGTCAAGTGGAGCCCCGAAGGAAGTGCTGCGTTGTAGGTGGGGGGGGCTACCACTCGACGCACAGAGGACCACAGCAGAGAGGCACTCAGTGGACGCTCCCTCTCCCTCGCCCCACTCCCACTGGCTGGCCAGTGATGTCAGAGACAGCTGACGTTGCATGTCTGGTGCCTCTGAGCAGAACAAGGCGAAACATTTGGAGTAACAGTGATATTCACTTTGATATTGTTCAAAAAGAAGAATCAGAGACTGCAGTTTTTTTTGTTTTTCCCCAAAGTCCAGCGGTACGTTTCAGTTTTCCTTTCCCTTCATCCTGCTACCAGAGGAACGACGTCAGACACATTTACAAGGAAAAGATATAGTACATAAGAGAGCAGTACTTTTTTTTTGTTTGTTTGTTTGTTTTCAAGGTTTCTGCTGCTCTCGTCTTGATTTATTGGATTGCAGTTGAAGCAGTTTGCTCTTCATAAGTGCTATGATAAAACCCTTAGAATTTATAAAAGTCTTAGTCTCTTCTGTTTGTACAGTACCAAACGCAAGGAACACTCGTAGGTCTACTGCATTAGGAGAAAACCCCTCTTATTTGGTATTGTGCCAGATGCCCAGAGCCGTCCGACCCCGCTGTGGATTCAGTCTCTGTTGGGTGTGGCTGCTGTGGCGTGCAGAGAGGAAGTGTGCATTATTGTGTACTCAACTCAGTGTCACTCTTCAGTCCAGTTTGTTGCATGCACAGTTCAACAGCTGCTGCTTCCTCTTTGCAGAGTTTTCCACAACAGCTTCAGGGGGGGAAGAGGGGAAGGGGACTGGCAGAACTGGGGGGGGGGAATCCAAGTTTTGAAAAAAAGGGGGTAGGGTGTTTTTTTTTTTTCTTTTTGAAGTTCCAAGGTCTTTTGCTGCATCCAGCAACAATCAACAAAAAACAAACAAAAGAGAAACCAGCGCCAGGGCACGGAGTATGGACGGGAGAAAAGTCTATGGTGTATATTGCACAATGTTACTGTCACATGATGATGAAATTGCGATCGGTTTTTATTTTCCTCTGAAAACTGGCTGCCCGTGCAGACTGCTGGGCTTCACGACAAAAAAATAAACGACAATAAAAAAATTCAACAAAGCACCAGTTATCGACTGGGTTCCAATTGAAGGTGACCATTATGATGCAGGCTTGCAGACGTCAATGATTAGGTGCCACTGAACATACACTGACGTGCGGAGACACGCCACGAGGTTATCAAATAATCTTCTCTCAGCTTATATGTTGCGATAGATATTTTTTTTTTTAAAAAGCGCTTGGTTCTAGACCTACAAAATAAGGACATTTGAGAGCTGTGTCGATCCCTTTGAGAAAAAAAAAACGAGATAAAGTAATCAAGCTGATGATTGGTGGGCCAAGTCAGGTGGCCAGGCCTTCTTACTGCCCAGTGACAGAGCGGGTCACCAGTCATGCCCTGTACCACTCACTGGCTCAGAGGTGAAACTGTGCAAGATTTCAGCTATTTCTTCAGTTACAAAACAAACCTAAAAAGGCGGCTTGGGAAGGACCTGGGCCAGAGAGCACTTAAGGCTAATATTAGTGCTAAGAAACAAACATTAAAATAACTAGTAAAGGTCTTTGAACCACGTCATTGGCCATGGACATGCTGGGAATGGTAGTTTTAAGTCTTATTTTGGGATGATTTTCTTTCTTCTTTTTTTTTGGAGGGAAAAGGAAAGTCTCAGATGGCAGCTTTGATTGCTTCTCTTGAAAACACTTCACACAGAATGTCATGTGTACTTACGGAAAAAAACTAAAAACTAAAAAACACTTAAAAGGTTTCTTTGCGTGGTGTCTCATTTCAGTTTCAGTTCTATATGATGCATTTTAAGAATACCAAAGAAAAAAAAAGAAGAAGCTTTTTTTTTTTTTCCCCTAAAAAGTAAACTAAACAAAAACGAGACAAAGGACAGAAGGAGTGGAGGTCTACAGTCTGTGTGGTTTGGACCCTGTCCTTCTGATTCTCGATTCACAGTTCAAAACAAGTTTAATTGATACTGATTATCGCCACATGATTTGCTTGGGTTTTGCTCCTGTTCATATTGAATTTTTTTTTTTTTTTCGTATTTTCTCCAACCGCCAACCTCCACCAATGGCTTACATGACATAGTGGTGGTGGTGGTCTGAATGGTTAGTGTATCGTGGCATCGCCCTACATCGACTCCCCACTCAGCAGGTCTCCAGGCAGCAGGGTGTTAATGGGGGTGGGGCTCCCGATCACGCGGGCGTCTTCTCCGTTGGGTGGCCCCCACAAGCTGGAGTACTGGGGTACGCCGCCCCACAGCAGGTCGCCGCCGCTGGCTTTGCCTCCGCCAACATTGCTGCTCCACTGGCCAATAGAGTGGGTCTGTGCCGTCCCACCCATCCGGTTCTGATTGGTTCCCTGGTTGGCCTGCCAGCTAGTGGTGTTCGCCCCTAGTGACTGGCCTTGTGCAAAGAAGCGGTTCACCTCCTCCTCGCCAGCAAACTCTGCCAAGATGGTGGTATTTCCAAGCACACACCTTTCAGAGGGACAAAAGACAAAATCAGACGTTTGGACAAAAAACTAATGAAGCAGAAACGAGGAACTGAAACTTGAGGATTTTTTAAAGACGATCGAAAACACAAGAGATCTTTAAACGCTCAGCCATACTAATTCCCCTATTTTCTGCTTTCCCGTTACCACAGTCTGTGGAAATGAAAAGTGGGTCACACATCATGCCTTTAGTTTCCATGACAACCAGCTGCAGGGGCTGCCACCATTAGTGAAGCAAGAATAAGGACAAATCTAAATGACTTAGAGATAAACACATCCGATGAGGCCCCAGGATGCTGTTTGTTTTTCTCTGATTGTGACAACAACTCAGAGATTTCAACGCGGATGACTTCAGCGTGACCCCCCCACCTCCTCTGCCATGTGACTTCCCAAATTCAAAAATAACGTCTCCTACGCTCAGACGAAAAGTTGAACTGATTTCAGCGTGGGAAAACACCAATTAGTGAGAAAACTTTACCCACATTCATTCAGCTTTATTCTAACACAGGAGACTGTTTTATTGCTGATGTTTCAGACTTACATGTGCAGAGACTTTTGGGCCTTCGCGGCCTCGTCCTTGGAACTGTAGCGCACCACGGCGTTCCCCTGGGTCAGGTTGAGGTGGAATGTGATTAGGGGGCCGTGCTGCATGCACAGGGTCCGCAGAGTCGAGCCATCAATCTAGAGCACATAGGAAAAAAAAACAAAAAACATTTAGCAATCTATTTTTGTATTCATAATATCTACAAACATCTATCGATCAGAAATGAGCAGTTTTGAGTACATACTTGTGGGGTCAGATTCCTCAGAACCAGCCAGCTGCTGGTCCTGTTGGAGTCGGTACTCCAGGTAGTTCCCTCTGAAACAGAAATGGAAATACGGTCGTATTAACTCTCAACTTTGAAAAATGAGAACAGAAATGTTGTAAAATTAAGAACTCTTCTGATGAAACACTCAAAGGGAAGCTTTTAACAACGCAGCTTTCTTTCAACACACTAAAAGGAAGCTCTGAGCTGAAGTTCCCAGAGTTCTTCTACAAAACAACAGTAGAAACGTGATGCTTTTCACTGACTTGAACCTGTTTTCTGTTCATACGGCTAAAAGTAGTCCTCTGTTTCTGAGAGGCTCAAACACAGTAAATGAGGTCACGTAAAGTGTTTAAATTGGGCTTCTTGCTGAGCCGGTAAACCTCAGGATGTCGGTTTAGCAGGTGGGGTGTTCACTCGCTCTACACATTCTGAGTGCTGTTTAGCACGCAGTGGTAGCTGTGAACTTCGCCACACCTACACATCTTCAGTCCGACTGGTGTGACAGTGTGAGGCAAAGGGAAATGTCAGATTTGAACAATCAGTTATGATATAAATAACACTTTTTCAAAACTTTTTTTAGGCAGCAACATTTCTTGTGTGAATTCTAGATGTGCTTTATCTGAGTTTTTCACAGAGTTCGATTCAGGTCAGGTTAGAAACTCCTGGTACCAAATAAAGGACTTCATTGTGGTTTCGAAGACAAACTCTCACCAGAGGAATAAGAGCCGCTCCAGCCTTGACCCAGGCCCAGTGAGTTTCCCCCCCAGGTTGATGCAGGCTTGTTGTTGGTGAGGCCTGGTGGGGGACGTGAAGGGGCTGTAGTGCTGCGAGGCCCCTGGGGGACTTTCCACAGCTCGTGCGACAGAGAGGCTTGGCTCTGGGAGATGGGCCCTGGGGACCAGGTGGACTTCATGTCAGAGAGTTTACCTTTACAAAGACAGAGGATTGGGGGGGTGAAAATGGAAACATTTCTAGGACATTGTATTGTTTTTTTTATCTAACCACAGCAGACTTTAAATGAGGAATTCATTCTAGTCCCCTTTAGGTAACTTTCAGGCATGAAAGTGACCTAAATGAGAATCCAAACAAATGTTAAAATAGATTAAAAATAGTAGAAATCATGAAAACTACGACAAAAAATCCTTTCTGTTTGAACATTTAAGTTTCTCTGTCATATTTCGCTATCCTGGACTTGTTATTGCTCCTTTTGAAACTTGCAAAAGCACAAAAACATCTCAAACTACATCTCTACAAAGCCGAGTTCACTAACTAAGACAGGGTGTGTACTGGTGTCATGAGCAGCCAGGGTGAGGCCCGCTTCTTTTTGTGGTTTGGTTTCAGGAGTCACAGAAGATTAAAAGTCACATTTACAAGAATTAGAGGTGTTGTCTAAAAGGTACTGAGGGCAGGTTTCAGTGCAGCTTTGTGAGGAGGGGTGATGAATACAGGTCAGGGGGTCAGGTAGGGTTTAGGAAAAGTAAAGAGTAAGGATAGTGTTTAATCAGGGCTCTTAATTGGATGAGGAGATGTTGAGGTCAGCACACGGAGGGGGGAGATCTCTGAATGTGTACCTGAGCTGTCTCCATCAGAGGATGACAGACTGAAAGAGCTACTGTAGCCCCTGACTGGCCAGTCCCTGCTGGTTGGAGGTAGAGACACATTCGGAAGTGGAGGAGCTGGGGAAGTGGCTAATGTGACGGTGTGTTGACCAGAGACAGGAAAAACAACAACAAAAAAAACATGTATGCATCAGTACAAGCACATGATATGAGGGGGTGTGTTGACGTCAAGACAGTCACATGTGGTTTTTGTAAGTCTAACTTCGAGCTTGATTCTGGTTTTAAGGTGCTGGTGGTGTTTCAATGAGTAGGACCTTGTCTCTGTTCCTACCTCCATTCCTGTCACGCAGCAGATAGCGGTTGACGTCATGGATGTTGGTGTTGATAGTGGGACCGCTGGGGACGCTGCCAGGGGTCATGTTGGGGTCATTCTCAGGGTCAATGTTCTGGAGGCCCTTCCATGGCACGCCCGGGCAGAACTCTGCGGGGTCACAAAAAGTTCTTCATGAAGAAATCTAAATACAAGATCAGAGCTAAAGGCACATGAAGCCTTTCACGACTCTGAAAAGCCTGTGTAGGGCTGGGTGATGAACCAAAAATTCACTGATACCAAAATTTATGACAATAACTGACATCATTTGTGTCAATATATTCGGTGTCAAAAAAATAAACTAAAGTTGGTTTTGGATGTGAAACCTTTTGTAGCGTTCTGCTAGTGGATATTGTTTCTAACACATTTCTCTCATACTGCTGTGAGATAAAACTAAACAGACTCTATGTTACACTCTTTTAAGAAACCCTGCAACCTTCTCAAAATGCAGAGTGCATTTTTGAATCTCACTGCTCAAACATGGGGCTACCTGGAATCATTTGAGTGCATTATTGATTCAGATTGGAAGCACATAGGGCTGGGCGATAAACTGAAAATTTACAGCTACTGAAATTTATGACAATAACCGACATCATTTTGCCCATATCGGTATATTCAGTGTCAAAAAAATAAACCAAAATAAGTTGGTTTTGGATTGTGTATAGGTAGGCTATGGTTTCACGTCCTTTTAAGACGCTGTCCTACATCAGAGACGTGACTCCACCCCATCCAGTCCCTAACAAAGAGGGAAAGACAGGTGAGGAGATGGAGGACTGTTTAAAAGTTGTGGCGGCTGAAGTAGACAAAGTTAATGTGGGAGGGGGTGATTAATCGTTATTGAGGTGAACTGCTCAATATATCGTGATATTGATTTGACGCCGTACTGCTCAGCCCTAAACCTGTGTGCCGCACATTTCCTCATCCTACAAATGATGCAACAGCTGCAGAAAAGTTAACAGTTCCTCTTTTCAGTGTAAACTTGTTCTTAATGTTATGTTCCCAGGTCATTTTTTCTCCTTACCTGGGGGCCAGTTAATGTTGGTCCCATTGGTCATCTTCTCACTGGGGCTCTTTCCCTGGCCCCAGCTGTCAGGGGGCACCAGAGGGCTAGTGGGGGACTCAGACGTGGACATTAGATTGTAAGGGCTGTATGAGTCCTCCAGCTGGGGGGGCTTCCCAGGTGGGCCCAGGGTAGAGGCAGCAGATATGGCACCTGGAGTCCACAAAGGAAAGAAGTCGATCTGTTAAATTTATGATGAGGGCACACGACGTTTGAAAACTACAGAGAAGAGTTTGTGACTAGTTTGATTATTCTCTTTGATAGAATGTGCAAAAGAAAGCCCCGAATGGTGATCAAATGGTGATATCTCAAGTGTCAAAACAAACAGTGTGTAAAAGGCAACATGTCTCAGAAAGCTGATTATAGTTCGTTTCTCTCAGTCAACAAGAGAGCGACAGACCGATCGACAAACCGACCGCTGTCAGATCTGTTACCCAGCGTGTTAGTTTTTCTCATCTTGGCTGTGAGATGTGTCTGTGTCAGAGGGTGTGAAAGAAGAAAAAAGAAACAAGAAACATTTACGCAGAAAAATGACTGATGACACCTCGAGTGTTGGGATATGAATTGCAACTGACAGTAAGCTGGTGTCAACAGAGTTTCACACAAGTTTAAAGGTGCGAGGGTGTGATCTCTTCTGCTGCTAAAGACGGTCGTGTGAGGAGGGTTAGAAATCAGGTTTATATGATTCTATGCGTGTGTGCTGTCTTCTTACACGCACCGTGCTTATTGAGGTTGTTCTCCATGTTTGAGGAGTTGCCGGAGAGGCTGTCCATGGAGTTGGAGTGTGTCCACTGGGACAGGCGGGATTGGGGCTGAGGGGGCTCCTTCAGGGACAGACCCCCAACCTCCATGCAGTTTACATTCATGTTTGGATTCAGTCCAGCTGCGCACAAACACACACATATACCTCATAAATACACTGGCAATATCTCTCACTTATAGAGTTAAATGATATTATTACACAGCCCACAAATCAGGATTACTACAAACATTTTAAATCAGAAAATGTCAATCTGTTGTTGATTTATTTATGAGTAATACATCATCTGACATCTTCATGAGGACAAGAGCTGAAGAAAATAAGTTTTGAAGTTTGGACATGGAAAAAAAAACATGTGAAATTCACAAATCACTCCAAGACTTCATGTCTGCACTCACAGAGAGGGTAGGTGCTGTAGGCGTTGGGCGAAGACGGTGGCTCTTTGGTGTGCAGAGTATCAGCGAGGCCCGGAGCCTGGTGTGGGCCTGTGAAGGGGTCCAGGGTTGATTTGCCGGAGCCAGGGCCTCCGGTTGGGCCACCGGGGGGATGTAGACCAGTGGAGGAGGAAGAGGAGGAGGAATGAGAGGGAAGTTGCTGCTGCTTCATCAGCAGCGCCTGGTACAGCTGACGCTGGTGCTGCTGGATCTGCTGCTGCATGTTGGTGATTGTACGTGCAACCTGGGAGAGAGGGGGAGCAGTTTCACAAGGGTTTGTCGTTAAAGTCTTTTAGTTTGGAAAACAGTAGACAGCAATAAGAGGTTTCATCAGATGATTTGCCAAAGTATGACGGATGTAGAAAATAAAAGCGGATAAGAGGATGATGAATGAAAATGAGAGCTCAAACGATTCTTTTTTAAGAGTCCCCTCTTTTAGCAAGACATTAATATCCTGCTACAGAAGGAACCAAATCTCTTCATAAAGCAGAACAAACTCCTTTCACAATATGTTGTCTCAAGAAGTAACCTGTTCCCATGCAGAAATATCAGGTTTTGAGAAACTCCTGTTGTGACAACGCATGTTCTTATCCACTGTGTCATCATGTGAGACATGATATCTGTCAGTGCTTTGAGTCAGGGCTCACAGGAAGTCACACGCTTTGAAAGGATGCCCCTGATGATCAGACTTATTGTGTGTTGTAACTTCACATCCATTGACTCACTTGCTGCTCTTGTTGTCTAAGGGGGCCAGAAACATTGCGTTGCGCCTGCATCATCTGCTGCTGGATTTGTAAACGCTGGTACGCCTGAAAGACAGATTAAAAAATACAACACGGTTATGAGAAATAAAAACATGCTGAGATTAAAAAGGTGAGACAGACAGATACGTCCTTGATAATAAATCCATTTTAGGGATAGGAACAAATTTCATCAATGCTATTTTATCAGTGTGAGCTTGGTTTCATTTTTCATTCCAGTAAAGATGCCGGAATCTTCTTACACACTTCGCCTTAAAGTCTACAATGCCCTAAAAATACAGTGAAAAAGAGGAACTCCAACTCACCATTTGCAGTTGCTGAAGTTGGTACAAGAGAGTCATTTGTTGAGGGTTTATTGGTGAGGTTAAAAGTGCAGGATTTAGACCAATGTTTTTTGCTGCAAACTGCAAGAGCTGTGCTTGGACCTTCGGGGGGTTAGGGGAGAATAGGAAGGCAGAGCAGAGAGACGAAGAGTTAGTCACTGCAAATCACAACAACTGTGCAAAGAGCAGCTCCTAGCAAGGTAGAACTAGTCACTATATATGAATCCAAGAAGGACAAGGGTCTGCCAGAGTAGTTAAGCTTTTCTCTGGGATCAATACTTTGTCTGTTACAGCTGATTTGTTTTGGAAGAATTCACAATAGATTTCTTCTTCCCCTCTAAAGTAAAGAGTTTTTTACAAAAGCGTACTAGGGCTACATGAAGAGAAAAAAAATAATTACAGGAAGGAGATTAAGGTCAAAATTTTGAGATTAGAGTCGAAATTTTGAGATAAAATCAAAATTATGTCAATAAAGTCGAAATTTCTAGATTAAAAAAAAGAAGTTTCAAGATTAATGTTGAAATTTTGAGATTAAAGTCGACATGAATAAAGTTGAGATTTGGACTTTTTAAAATTTCGACTTTAATCTCAAAATGTAAATTAAAAAATTCTCCCTCCTGTAGTTAGTATTTTCTCTTCCTATGGCCCTAATCCTCTTTCAAAATTTTCAGATTGTTTGTAGTTACAATTGTGGTTTAATTTTAAGGGAATATGATCAGCATCATTACATGATGAAGAAAAAAATCCCTGCCTCATTCAGTTTAGTTGGACTTAAGTACTTATAAAATTGGAGGTGGCATCAGAAGAGAAATCTAAACCTTTACAAATATTTTTGCGAAAAAAAGGCACCCTGGTAAATGCAAAATCAATTCAAAAGGTTTTACTTTATTATTTTATCTCAAATCAGTGTCATTCATGTGAGTGTGTCTACCTGAGGGGAGAGAAACTGAGGCACTTGAGCACGTAGACTAGGCTGGGAGGAGCTGAGAGGTGGCACTGGTGGCTGAGGAGGCTGCTGCTGCATGGCCCGGGTTTGTGCTACTCCACTACTGCCAAACATTCCACTGGGTATCTAAAACGAGGAGTCAGAAGAAGCCATTTCAGAAAATTTGAACACTCAAGAGTTGAGCCAATGAACCGCAAAAAGCAGTCATTTATTTCAAATTCAAGGCAAAGAGGCTCCAAATGTGAAGTCCTCAAATGATGAGCTAAATCGATATCTGAAGGAGTGCACCAGAACTGGATAAAGTGCTTTTAAAGCTTTATAAGTGCACACAATATTTCCCTCCTGACAAACAAAAACATTTCTAATTTTTAAAAAATATTTACTCTCAAGGATGAATTTTATTTTAAACCCTGTGCATTTATAAAACATCAGCTCAAAGGAGCAAGCTGTCAAACTGAGAAACTTTGAGTATTCTGATTTACTAAACGTTTCAATAGTTGTACAGAGGCTTTTTTATTCAGTGCAAAAAAAAAAAAAAAAAAAAAAAAGAAAAGCCTTTGTTTGGAAATTCAAGGACATACTGCAGGATTTTTGAGGCCTGAAGGAGGGAGGGGGTCGATATTTGATCAAGCATAACTATCTGATCTCAATGGACACTTGAGGCAAGGTCACACATGCAATCATGGAGATATGAGACAGGATGCATGCAGAACAAATTGAGTTTATCTACTGTTCTCATCATGTCACACACTTGAACACCATTTGAACCGGTTCAATTTTTAAATTGTGGTTATGAGGCCGTTGATCAAAATATAATTCCCTCCGACTGAGGTTTGTTTGAAAACCTAAAACGCTTTTGTGTTGTTTATAAGGCAGATCAAATCTCTATAGCTAAGCAGCACAAAAGTACCCAAGTCTGGAGTTCAACTAAAACTGATATAGGAATAGTAGATATGTGAAAGGCTGTAAAAAGTATTGTTTGAATGTGTGTGCTACATAAATGCGTGATACCTGTCTGTTGTTCAAGTTTTGCATGGCCAGCCCCGGGTTGCCCTGTCCCAGGCCCTGCCCAGGAAGGCTACTGTTGGCCAGGGGGAGCTTCAGGCTGGGGGAAGGCAGAAATGGTGATGGAGGGGCATCATCTGACAGAACACCATCCTGGAACGGAGACAAAAAAATGGTTTACAATGAATAGAGAACAGCAAAAGCATCAAGCATTATTTATAACAGAAATAGGACATATCCACAAAATAACAAACATCATTGTCTTACCTTGTCAAGAAAGGTGTTGCGGTCGGAGGGGTCTTTGGAGAGTGCTGAGGGCCGGCACAACAGGGGCTTGTTCATACCATTGCTGTAATCATTCATGCCCATGCCCCGCTTGTCCAGGTCTGTCTTTTTCTCTAACAGTGCACCTTTGAGCAAACATGTGTAAGGTTAATGTCTTAGACATTTAACATGCTCTTATCTCACTTAGATTAACACAAGGACCTGCTCTGGACACACATGTGAGTAGTTACTTACTCATGGCCTGGTCCAGATTCATGTTGTTGCTCTTTAAGGCCTCCTCAGCAGGGTCTCTCTGCAGCACATAGGTAACATAACAGGACACTGAGCATTATTACAGTTAGGAGAGCAAGAAAACCCCAGAGTCTTCTCTTTTAAAGCGTTTAATATGGCTGTACACATTTTGGTTATGGTTCATGTCTGAAATGATCATGCATATTCTCCTGTGTAGGACTAGGGGTGTTAAAATACAACTTTATTTACTTCCGATACCATACCAATATTGTGGCCTTCAGTATCGGCTGATACTGATATTGATCTGATATTGATACAAACTTTTGCATGACAAGTTTTGCACTCAGTTGCAATGTCTTTTTTGGACTTTAATGAAAAATACTGCCACACAGCCGACATCACACATTTAAAGGTGCATTTAAAGTCTGGTGGCCTAAATTCTAGTCGAAAAAATCAGCTAGAGAGAAAATTTGTTTAAGTTTTGTGTCATTATCACAACTTTTTTCTACGTGTAATGCCTCCATACCGGAAAGCCCATGTCGGTGAGCTGTTTGATGAGTCTATTCATGATCCACATCTCATCTGGCTTGTTAACAATTTTCCCCTGAGGAAACCAAAGCAAAAGACAAAACATTTGATTGTGGATGAGTTCATAATAATCCCTCCATTAACATCTGCAAATATGAAAGTTGACTTCATCCGCTGACCTTGATTGGGGCTTTCTTGGGTCCATTGCCCCAAGAGTTGCAAGAAGAGCTGCTCTCCTGGGAGGTGGGGCTGTTCCACATGTCCCCATCCTCAGTGTCCCACTGGCCAGTAGACATTCCCATCTCCTCTCCTCCATTTCCCCAGCTATCTTGCATAGGTTTGGGGCCTGAGAAAGAAAGAAGTAAAGCAAAATTAGAAATGAAATGAAAGCAATACAATATTTGGTGGTATTCTGTCTCTGTATTCTGGCATCTATGCGCTTTTTTACATGCACATCAACTATACACTGGCCATTTCAGAAGATGAACACTGGGCAATTCTCAACCTGACCACTTGGTGTCACTGTTGGCATTTTCTGAATATCCCCTTCACCTCCCTCCCTCCCTCATTTCTGATATTTCAAACCAAGTCCAAATAACCGAGAGGTACTGAGGCGTGGAATTGCTTTAATCCCAGCAATACTCCAACGGCACAAAACACTCTTCAGAAATCACAAAGAAACTTCCTTTTCTGTTTTCCCGACTTAAGTGAGGTTGTGCAAATATAGAGGGAGTTGTCACCAATCAGTGTTTTAGAGGATGGGCAGTCATTCCGGACAATCTTATTCTCAAATGCTTCAAGTGTCAAGATGACAGTAATGTTCACAGGCTTTAGTGGAAAACAATATTTTGTACAATATTTTACATAGTATTGGTCTTTCAAAGAACATCTACTGTGTTGCAAAAACCTAAGAGGCTAGTAGTGTTCTGTATTGTGCCGGCTTGTCTTGTACTAGAATTACCTCACCAACAACTAAATGCATTCTGTCACAGGCAGCAAAGCAACAGGAATTCGTGTGAGTGTGAAAAACAGCAGATAAGCACTGTCTTACACCTCAGTGTACGCTCCTCGAGGCGACTTTGTGTTGTTAAACCACATTAGTAAAAACTGATCTGACTGTGAAATTCATGCAATAATGCATATTTATTCCTTTCTGGGTGTTACCTGGCTTGCAGGGTGCAGAACTTGGCGGTCCATTGGCCCTCCCATAGGGTCCGGAGGTCTCATGGCCACCCTCGCTCCATCCTCCCACTCCCCCTGGGGGCTTTCCCCAAGCAGAAGTACCATTGTCTACAGCTGGTGTTGGAGCTGCTGGCTCTCCCCAAGCAGGTTCTGACTTGGGTTGAACACTAGGGAGCTCCCCCCAACCTGGAGGAAAGAGGTCAAATGTAAAAACAATGAAGTACACTGCAGTAAAATCTTCACCCCCGGGTTACTTTGGTTATCTTCAGCAGTAAACAACATAGAGAAACTTCCAGCTATTCCGAATTCATTAGAAAGACAGGGCTGTATCAGAAGGTGGTCATGATGCTTCCTGGCCAGCCCAATGCAAATGGGGAACAGCAGGGGGCAATGTTCTCATTTACATCAAAGGAAGAGGAGCAAGTTGGGTTTAACACTGTACTGTCTATATGCGTGGCCTTTGTCTCCACAAAGACTTATATGAACTGACTTTTGCACTAATTTAGGTTTGCTGTACAAAGCCTTTTTAAAGCTGCAGGACCATCAGTAGGCACTCAATATATTTGAAACTATATGCCTGATAATTAAGGCAACATAAGCTTTTAGGAGGTCATTTTTGGAATTGAGTATTAGCTGCAAGCAAAGATTATTTAAATGAAGATGGCCATTTTATGTGTCTGCAATTTAAAAAAAAAAACTATCAGCTTTTTTTTAATCAGAGGTCTGGGACTGACTCCTAGAAAAGCAAACTTGTGGTGTTTTAACATACTGTATTTCCGACATCCCTGGTTAAAAATGACATTTGATGTGTCAATACATAATAATGTGTAAAGTGTTACCTGGGTTTGCAAGGGGAGGTCTTCCCTGGGGGCCCACACCTGGGTGTGAGGTGCCGTTGTTGGGTGACCCATTGTTGTTTCCGTGGTGCTGCAGGTGAGTTGTGGGTTGGCCATGATGGGGATGGTGGTGCATATGGTGAGTGTGATGGTGATTGTTGTTGCCAGGGCCAACAGAGTGATTGTTATTGTTATTGTTAGGAATAATCACTCCACCATTCTTAGTGACGGATGGGCCGCTGTTGCTTGGGTTATTGTTGGGATTGTTGCGATCCCACATGTTGACAGTCTTGTTGTAGGCATTGGGATCCCCCCAGGTAGATGTCCCATCATCAATCTCCATCTTTCTACGGATGGAGGGAGGGGAGGGCTCTTCCCAGCCAGTGGGCTCCATGCTCTGGTCTGCTTTATTAGCATTGCCCCAGCTAGATGTGCTCTGCTTCACAGAACCAGGACCACCCCATGAACCAATGCTGCCACCTCCTCCACTGCCAGTGCTGCTGCTGCTGCTTTCTTGCGGCTTTGTGGAGCCCCAGCCTCCCTGTACTGGGCCGTTAGAACGTGGGGTTTCCCCCCAACTGCTATTATTCATTGTAGGAGAAGGTTTACCCCAGCTGCCACTTCTGTTTCCCCCTCTTGGGCTTTCCTTCCATCCACCACTTCCCCCATTCCCTCCTTCTCCTTCCCACATGCTGCTGGAAGATCCATTGTTCTTGACCTCAGCTTCCCCCCAGTCCCCTGTGCTGGAACCATTGGAGACCCCATTACTGTTCCCCCAACCATGGGAACTTTTGGGGGCCTCTCCCCAGCTAGCAGGTTGACTTTTTGTCAGGCCATCATCCCAACTGGGTGATTTATCCTCAGAACCCCAGGATGGTGTGTTCCCACCTCTAGAACCATTGGTAGTCATAGTGTCTCCCCAGCCACTAGTAGTGCCATTCTGGGCTTTGCTGACAGTCTGTGGGGGGTCCCCCCATCCTGATCCAGGTTGGACTTGTTGAGGCGGAGGGGGTCCCCAGCTCGAAGATGATGATCCTTCACTATCATTTCTTCCTCCAGAACCTGGCCTTTGATTGGGGCCAATGTTTGGATTGACTGTGCCTCCATTGGTAGATGAGGGTCCACCATTAGAACTGGGGCCTCCCAAGGTGTCTGAACTGCTGTTGCTCTTCCCGTTATCAGAGCTGGCTTCTTCCATCTCCCATACAGTGTGCTGGCGGATAGGAGTCTGTCCCCAACCAGAATTACTGAGCACCTTAGGATCCAGGTCCTGTCGGGGTACAACAGGGGAAAAATCCATGCTAGAAGACCTATCTTTGTGCTGAGACTGACCTTCACTGCTGTCACCACTACCCTCACTTGCTGGGGCTGTTCCAGTCTGCATACCCCATGAGCTAAGTTGCTGCTCTTGGCCTGACCCAGAGCTACCAGCATCTACTGAGTCCCAGCCTTTGGATGTATCTCCGCCACCAGAGGATTTCCCCCAGTCACCCCAGCCACCACTTCCACTACTTCCACCACCACTGCCTTGGCGGCCCCAGGCTGAAAGGCCTCCAGAGGGAGTTGAGTCCCAGCCTGAGTCCTTGGGGGAGTCAGCTGCCTTGGTTTCTCCACTACCCCATACAGAGCTGCCTGTTGTGTCCCCATTAAGCTGTGATGATTCAGTGGGTGACTGGCCTCCCCAGCCGGTCATCCCATGGATAGGGCTCATTGGCTCCTGAGCTTGCTGCTGTTGCTTAGTGTGGTTTGGTCCATCAGTGTTAAGGTTAGCTGGTTCCATATTGAAGGACAAGCTTGTATTGGTAGAGGGGTGTTGCTGATCATTTTCGTTAGCACTTATCATACTGACCCAACCACCTCCGCCATTATCTGCACTTCCCAGGCTCATGTTTCCATTGCCATTAATACCTGGAGGGAGGGATGGGGAATTTGAAATCCCATTGGAACCAACATTACCACCACTACCACCCTCGTGGCCCAGGACAGGCCAAGCTGATGGGTTGGCATTGGGATTGAGGTTCAAGTTAAAATTAGGAGAGCCCCAGCTATTCGGTCCTCCAACTCGGCTCCCATTTACACCATCTTGTTTCCCATCTGTGCCCCAGCCTCTATTACCGGCTAATGCGTTGGCTGACCCAGGTCCTGTCATCATGTTATTGTTAGCTTTAAGGGAGGGATAGTGGGCCTGCTGGCCTGCAGCACCTGTGGCCATACTCAGAAAACTACTACAACTGGTGGTAGTGACAGCACTGGCGTCTCGGTTAGAGAGAGTTGAGCCCAAGGGGCATTCTTGTGCTGCAGGGTGGCTGGGGTCACTACCACGGCTGATAGAGGGCCAAGCTTCTGTGTCACTTCTATCGATAATCACTTTGTCCCAGCTGTTGGCACTGGAGAGGCTGTCAACTGGCATAGAGGTGCCCCAATGAGAGGTCTCATACTGGGCAGCAGGGCCACTCTGAAGGGATATGTCTGGGAAGAAAAAGAGAGAGGAAAAAGGTTGGAACAAAAGGAACCAAAACAATACATCACATTAAAAATTAAACAGAAGACGAGGTGAGTGTGAGAGGATGCAGCAACACAACACAAAGGAACTGGAGTCAAATGCTCTAAAATAACAATATTAAAACCAGGATGAGGAGAAAAGAATAAAATTAGGCTACAACAAGTAACACTGTGTATAACAGCGCCCATTAGTCCCCTGGAGCAATTCTATCTTCTTGGTTGGTTAATGCTCGCTATCAGACTTGGCAGGATGAGATGGTCACACACTTGCTGCATGATCCACAATCCAACACGTAATCAGAAAGCACAGTCAAGCGTGCTGCATGTCATATCAGCCATGGTATATTCATATATATTCTTGCCGTGGTGCAGACAGCTTGACGGAAATGGAGAGATGTAGCTCTCCCTCTCTTTCCATCGCTCATTTTTCTTTCATCCTCCCTCCACCTCACTGTTTTGACTTAACTTCCTTTTCACTTTTCTTCTAGTCTTCTTCTTCTTGTTTTGTTGTGCTGTCCCTTACTTCCCTCTTACTCCCTAGCTGCCATTATTTGTTACTCCCACCTCCTGCCCTTTCCCTTCTTTGTCCATGTCTCCTCTCTTACTTTCTGCCCCCACCTATTCCCTCACCCTGTAATTCCTCTCTCTCTCCCCTCTGCTCTCCTCTAACACCCAGCAGTGAGAGGCCCATCAGTCTCCATCGTGGTTTCACTAGCTGGGGCTGTGAAGGGAAGCCCAAGTGGAACGCCGCTCATTTATTGGAATGAAACCAGGACGGCTCTCATCCATCACTCCCTACGCTCCGCCAGGCTTACTCCTCCTCCGACCGCACCGCACTAAGACACCACAAAACACTTCCTCCAGGCTTGTAGGGATGTGTGTGTGCTGACTTTCCCCACCTGCATAAATTTAATGCTGGACACTCGCGTTTGCATTTCATTCCATATCCATCTCAATTTTTCCTACAAACTCTGGGCTCACAAGACTGACTGTTACCCTTGACTTGCTTTTTACAAGCTTTCAAACTTGATCTACAAATTCAGCTGCACATTACCATAACAGAACATCCCCAACAACCCTCTAATCAACAGTGTACAGCACATAAGAAATTTCATTAGCTGCAAAAGCATCCCTTCGGAGGGGGGAACTAATGATAGACTGATTTGATGCTGTAAAGGGGTAATCAATCAGTGGGAGGCAGCTAATCGATGATCTTATTAATGCTAGTGGGTGAAAGTAGGGAGGCTATCGATCCCGCATGCAAACATCCTGACCACTAGGGTAGTCTCATGTAATAGGCTGAAAACCAATGAGAATAGCAACTGATCTCACAGGGGGGAAGGGGAATGAAGTGAGGAATAAATCAAACAACTCTTGGAGGAGAAAGAAAAGAAACGGCCATTTTCAAACAGCTACATGTATAAAGCCAGATATCTGAACTTGTTTTTATTGATGTTAACGTGATACAAAAAGAGCAAGAATAATACTATATAGATTAATGTACTCATCTCATTCTTTATGATAATATACATGCTGGATGGGTTTAAGAAGCAGTTTGTGAATCAAATGTCTTTTACAATAAGCTTTCCACACAACTGTAACCAACCCACTCAGCAGCTGCAGTAAATGTGCCTTTTCCACCTTTAATTATGAAACTCAGACTGTATTTCTGAAATATTTTCTTTGTTTGGTAATTGAGCTATCTTACCTTCTATTACTCTGCCATTAGTTTCCATCAGATTGTTGCAGTAATTTCTATACGAGGTCTTAGTTATCAATCACAAGATTAAAATCCAGTGGTTGAAACAATTTAATAAGACGAGTAGAAAGTCTCGCAGAAATACTGAATGATATGTGGCTTCGAGATGACTGTGCAGCACACCACAGAGTGGCTGTGAATACAATTTTGTGCCAGAGCACACTTATCTTTACTCCTCAGGCACCCTTATCGCACAAGGTCGTCAGACTCATGGCACAAACGCATAAACACAGGCATACTTTGAAACTAGTCTGTTTGCAATCAGTTGAATAAAAATAAAACAGACAGCACAGAGAAGTGACACTCACAACCTCTGTTACACAGACAATTCTTTTGGAGGTTTGCTTAAAGTGTGAACTTAGAAATAAGTTATAGAAGTGACAGGTGACATAGGAGTTATTCAGCTCTAGGACGCGGATGTCTTTGGGGACACGATGAAAGCCAATATCATAATTAAAAAAAACACTACATGAACTAAAGGTACAAAATATGTCTTTGCTGAGTCTTCAGTATGTCCATGGTGGGAAAAAATGGTGAGTATCTACCTTGAGCTAAAGAAAATATGCATTTATCAAACAGACTGGATTATACAAGATAGATCCTAATGCTGGTGTGTCCACCTCTATAAATACATATTTGTGCGCATCGTACCAATGCAAAACATCCTCGACTTTTCTTTCATCTCAAACATGTCTCCATTGTTCTCCTTTCAACTCCCCCACCAGACATTCCAACAGAAAGGTCTTGCAAGTTCTTGGCAAGGCAGAGAATTGGCAGAGGGGGTTGAAGGCAAGCTGAATATGCAAAACAAAGAAAAGGGGACAATTATTTCCGTCCACCACTTGCAATCATGTGTCAGTAATGTGGTGCTGCTTTCATTCTGGAAGCAATTAGGAAGGCAGTCACTGATTATGCTCAGGGAATGAAAAGGGTCAAAAAAATGAAAATATGGGGCCCCCTCTTTGGCTGCTCATGCTTCCAGCAGGGCAAAACTGACTTCTGGTTGCATGTATCTGCGAATCCACCAGAGAAGAAAAAGTCCCACGCTCAACAGAGAAGCTGAAGAGCAGAAAGAAAAGGGGGTAATGTTCTCTATATGAACACCAACTGCACATATGAGCTTAAAAAAGGGGGATTAAACATCAACAACACTCAAAGGCTGTGATGCCAGCTTGCTAGAGTCGCGAAAAAAAATAAGCAAGAGATGAGATTTAGATTATGAGACAAGCTGCCATCATAGAAATGGGCAGGTAGCCAATAATTAAATGCTACCCCTCCCTTCTGAGTGAGGTGAAAGGCAGGGTGACAGAAAGGGAGAGGAGGAGTGTGAAGGAGAGACTTGGGGGAGGGGTTAGCACTTGCAGTTTCAAGGGTAGAGAAAGGGAGATAGTTGGTGACAGAAGAGGCATCACCAGACTATCAGAATTGGCAATGGATGGATTATATAGTTTGACTGTGATCTGAAAACTGTGCAGTTTTCACAGAGCATACTATGGGGGGTGGCATAACACCAGAACCAAAACAGGAGAAGGTATTTAGTGGTCTTTTGTCCCCAAACAGACCCTCTCCATCTCTCTTTGAGGGTTGCTTTATGCCCGCTCCGATCAGAGGCGGCATGTTCTTGTTTTTCCGGAAACAGAGAGGAAAAGAACGACTAAGGGAATGGTCACAGGAGGGTTTAAAAACCTCATCATTCATGTCTGTTTACCTCTACTCAAAGAGGAGAGAAAAGAGGAGAGAGAAGCCGTAATGACTTCTCTGGTTTCCCTGACAGAGGCTGGATTAATGAAGCCACTAGGGGGTTCTCGCACTTCTGTGAGCATGTCACAGCCTGGGCACATGGGGTAATCTTAAAGCTCTCTGGCTTCATTAAGACCAAGTGGTGGCGTAGTGATCGTATAATGGTTTAAATCAAACAAATTACTATGATCTAAATTGGGTTCATTTTCATGTATCATCTGTGTTTGATTTTCTTACAATGCTACTTACAAAACTTTTTAAATACTACAGCTTTTGCTCAACTCGGCGGGAATAATTTTCTAGAACTGACATCCCGTGTTCTGTACATACACAGGATTTAACTTAAATGAGATCTCCTCCAAAAACCCAACTGCTTTACCTGCATATTTAACGGGGCTCAAATGAAAGGGCCGAGTGTTCAGACAGCACCCAGCAGAGAGCCTTCTGGCTATACACTCTGTCTGGGTGTCTAGCAAACAGCTGTTGGGCAGCAGTTCCCACAGTCTTAGGGAGCTTCACTCCAGCACCTGCTACTAGGAAGCTTGTCTGGACGGCTGCTGGCTGCTCCGGACCACTTAATGGTCCCCAGTCAGCTGGAGAGACGAGGTTGGTGGGTGCAAAAGGGGGGGGGGATGTAACAGGGGGTCTCTGTCTGGTCTTGTGGACAATGAAATGGGGTCTTGTGGTGTGAATGCACTTGAGCTAAAAGGGGGTTGCCTTTCAGACTTTAGGGTTGGGTGTGTGTAGATGGCCTGTTATGTCCAACCTAACACTCTATGCACAAATTGGATCAGTCGGATTTTCCTAAACCAATGTGTGCAAAGTAAGGCAAAAAAAGGGGGAAAAAAAGGATGTCATTTGCATTTAACTTCCTGAGGACATCTAGCCAGCACTGCTGAGCTTATGAGCTAAAATGTTTGTGTGTATATGTGTGTATGTGTGTGCTTTTCCCCCTTTAAACTCTGAGCCAGCTGCCCTACAAGGCAGACACAGATCTGAGGGGACACAACTGGGTCAGACTTGTGTGTTCTTACTGCTGCACAGCACATCTATGTGCATGTGTTTGCATGTGCACTGGAGTGTTTCAGTATCTAACTGAAGGAACAATCACATCATCCCATCCCTCTGGGCCACCATAACCTTAAGAGTGAGGTCAGGAATGTGTCCTCAAAACAGGATTCATCCTTACTTACAGAAACCACGAGGAGGAAAACTTTGCGCTTCTACTTGCAGGAGAATAAAATAAAACATATGGACGAGGTTGCAGTAGATCCAGATTGATAATAACGCACATAATTCTTAGTTCACTGTGTACTGCGTTTTTATGGTTGATTCTAGGGCTGGGCAATATGGCCTCAAAGCAATATCATGATATACTGCGCAGTTCACCTTGATGACGATAAATGGATGAGAACTACTCCAGAAGCTCTCCCACATTAACTTTGTCTACTTCAGCCGCCGCTTCAGCCGGAGTCATGTCTCCAACATATGGCAACGTCTTAAACGGACATGAGACCATAGCCTACCTACACACATCCAAAACCAACTTTACTTTATTTTTTTCTTTGACAAAGAATATACTGACATGATCAAAATGACGTTGGTTATTGCAAATTTCAGTGTCTGAAGTTTTTCGGTTTATCGCCCAGCCCTATTTTTAAGTCATGCCCTTACAATGATCTCTGCAGAAGGGTCAAGAACTATAGTGATTTTTTAAAGATCTTGTTCTACTCCTAAAATAGCGAAGTTTCATATACATAAAGCTCAGGTTTTGCCAGAGTTGGTTTACCTTCAATGTCCGCTCTCCAAATTATGTATTCTGGAGTTATTGCAAACACAGAGCTACTAGCTTCGGGCTACTGGCTCAGCAGTGAGAAAAAAATGGGTTGTGAAGGGGAAGTCCTCTGAAAAAGAATGAGAGGAGAGAAGGGGATAGAGAGCCAGCAAGCAGCTAACTTTGCCACAGGCTGTGTTGTACCAGCAAGCCCCTGGGAAATCCGGGGTTAGGGAAAAGGCCAAACATGAAAACCAATGCCGTACTAGGACAATAATAAGGACATTATAGGTTAACACAGTCAACCTGAGGAGCTTATTATGTCTCAAGCTAAAAGAAGAAATATATTCTTTTAAGCCTTAAGGCTTTAGAGGTATTGCTTTTGTTGAGTGAGTTAAAGCTGCAGCCAAATTTAGATATTGTCCCACAGCTGAGGAAACTGCACCAAACAGCTGATCGTGGAGAAAATACCAGGTAATTAAGTATAAATGATGGCTTCTTCCATAATTAACAGAAAAAAATCCAGGATTAATAAAAAAGCAAGATTTTCTCTTCAGTTTGCAGTCTACGTAGACATACACCACAACTGCTGCTGATTTGTTTACTGAGTGTCTGGTGCTCCCCCAGCAAATGTTGAGTCAGTAATAAAAGGCAGCTCAGAGCAGCAAAAAGACAATGATACCATGTGAGAGAAAGAAAGAGAAACTTGACAAAGATAAAAACAAACACGTGTGATACTTCTGCTTGATGAAAACCAAAGGATAAAGACAAAGGCTGGTGTGCTAATCTTGCATCTTGTATTCCCCTTCTTCCATAAAAAGGTTTTAACAGGATCTGAGGTTGTCTCTAACCGTCAGCGTTAGAGACATTAAGTGTTTCATCTAGTATCATTCGATTGAGTAAGTAATGTGACTGTTAAAAACCCGCTCAAACAGCACATTTTAGTTTTCAATTTTCTGAGTGATTTAATTTCTAATTATTCCTAATTGATAATTGATCGGAGTGTTTTTAAGGACAGACCATGGAGAATGCTTGGAAATTGCCTCCCTTGTCTGTGAGAGTGATTGAGTAGATGCATAAGAAGAAAAAAGCTGTGGATCAAGTACGAAAATATGGCACGATAAAAGCTGACAAAATGAGAAAAATGAGAAAAGAAGAGATGTCCACGAAATAAGAAATACAGCTCTATCAATCCACAGGTTTCCTGCTTACAAATACACACAAACCACTGTACAATGAGCATGTCAAGGCGTGTTAGTATTAGTGATCTTAAGGGCCACCAGTGAGTTCATTAAAAAGCTACCTCTGGCTACGGTGGTCTGAGAGCGTGTGTGTATGTGTGTGTGTGAGGTCCTGTAAGCAAAGAGAAGAGAGCATGCCGACTCTTCAACAATAAAGCACTGCTGTTTTTCCTTGAGCTTGGTTTACGATTAGGAAGGATTTTTCTGGTTAATACTGCCAGAATTGGAAGACAAAAACCTACACTAGAAAGACGCATTCAGCTATCAGAATCTGTAGGAAGTAAGGCTGGGCGATATGGCCTCAAATCAATATCACGATATACTTAACAGTTCATCTCGATAACGATAAATGGACGATAACTACTCCGCCGCAACAACTTTTGAACCGGATCCTTTGCTAAGGACTGGATGGGGTGGAGTCACGTCTCCGACATAGGACAACATCTTTAAGGGACATGAGACCATAGCCTTCCTACACATATCCATAACCAAATTTTATTTATTTATTATTTTGACACTGAATATACTGACCTGGGCAAAATGACGTCAGTTATTGTCATAAATTTTGGTAATAGTAAATTTTTGGTTTATCGCCCAGCCCCAGGAGAAATTACATTTTAAATTTTCAAATGTAGTTCAAATGTCGATCCACTCAGTATAGAAGCTGTATCATTGTGTTTATGCTCACCAGATTAAAATGAACCTTTTAATCCCTGTGATTCAATGCACCTGCAAAGCACTGACTGTGCATCTAAATACAAACTAAAAAGAAACTAGAGTCTTCAGAAACCTTTCCAAGTATGCTAAAGGTGACACACTCAGTCCTGAATGTCAGTAGATTAGACTGATTGAAAGGTAACTAACTGAGCTCATCGAGTAAAATGTCAGAACATGCAGCCAAAGTACAGCCAACATGCGAAATCAAAAGTGTAAGGATAAAATAATTTGTACACAGCCACCACAAAAGAAGGATTGTTTAACTGTATTGACAAACCTTGGTGGCGTTTGCTCGCAGAGGACGTGGCAGAATTTGGGGTAGAGCTGCTGGTAGTAGAAGAAGAAGAGGGAGATGATGAGGGCGAAGAGGAGGGAGAGGAGGAGGAGAGGGTGAGAGCGCAGAGGGCTCCTGCAGGCAGTGGCTGGCCTCTCTTCAGTAGCTGCTTGTGCTCCTGCTGGCGGAAGCGCGGGGGCACCTCTCTGGGCGGGTAGCGAGCACTGGCAGAGGACAACTGGCACTGCTGCTGAGGGGGAGTCTGAGTCGGGAGTTGGCTACTGGAGGAGTCACGCTTGCCATTGCCAGAAGAAGAAGAGGAGGAGGAAGAGGAGATGGAGGAGGGGGAGGAGAGGGGCAGCGTAGGGCTGGTGGGGTGAAGGTAGTGGGGTGGGCCGAGACTGGGCTTAGTGGGAGCAGGATCTGGCACTGGATGGACACACAGGCACACCCACACAGAAAGACACATGCAGGGAGCAAGGTATTAATGACTAGGTCAGTTTACCATTAGTCCTTCACAGAACAGAATGCGTGTCTTTCAGCCTCTAAATTAGGGCTGGGCAATACTGGAAAAAGTCGATATCGATATATTTTTTCATATCAGTCGATATCGTTATGTATCACGATATTAAAAAAAAAAAAATACGGCTATCCATATGATCTACCAAAACATGGCAGAATGCTGGCTATTGAAACGCATATTGACCATGTTTCATATCGATATCGAGGGAAATTAATTTTTGATATATATCATTATCGTTTTATTGCCCAGCCCTACTCTAAATGGCCAGGTTTAGAGGTCTCAGTCCAGTTTGACCAGTTCCTCCTTTCCTGCTTGTGTTTTTAATGCTAAATCACCAACGTGTGAAACAGCGCAATAACCATCGAGTGATTGTGGACAAACAGAAGACTAGATAATAAAATAAGCTAACAAATAAATGGAGCAGATTTTAAAAAGTAAGAGCAGCAGGAATGTTTGAAACATGCTTACGCAGCCAAAAGCAATTTAAACTTCCGCTCTTCCTCATCATATAGTTAGCACTCAGCAGGTACTAATGACTGCATGTGTTTGTCTGTCTGCACAGCATGTTACTGAGCGCTGGCCCTTTAAGTTAACAGCCTCATGCAACCTTTCGCTGAACATATGTTACTGGCCCAGACGTACTCTATGAAAAGGTCATATTTTTTCTGCTGACTAAACAAGGACACACACAAACACTGGGAGACAGCTCCTTTCCTCTTCATTACACTCCTTCTCCCTAACAGACAAACACACACACACAAACCTTTCCCTGCTGTTCTGGCCTCAGTCTGACCCTTTCCCTATGGTTGCAGTGACCAGCCAGCCGTCTAATTGAGTGTTAGCCTGCAAGGTGTTATGATTAGCAGGACCTGGACAGCTCACGACTCAACAGAGCTGCTTGGCGAAGTTCTTCCTTCGGGTGCTAGAACACGGTTAAAAACCACCTGACATAAAACGCTGAATATTATAGAGGCTGTCGGTGTGAGTCTGTGGCTGTCCGCACTTATAGCTGTGAATTCAGTGGAGACTGGTGTTTTTCTTACAGTCCCCGAACAAATATGGTCAAACTACTCGACAGCTCATACAACCTTCACTCAAAGAAGAGGAGAAAGAGAGAGAGAGTTTGTGTGTGGTAAGGAAAAGGAGTTTTTCTACAACCAACAATTTGACGGCACACGTGTTTTGAACTTAAAGCCTCTATCCAACCAGTGTGTCAATCTAAGTTTTCCTGTACGGCGGCGCTGACAACCATACACACACACACTAACACGCAAACACACATACACAGAGGCCAAAGCTGCTACAGGGGGAGGCTGAAGTAAATTCGGAGCACAGAGGTATTCACTGTGCTTGCCAAGAGCTGGTCTGAGAGCAGAGCTAAAAACAGAGGCCCTCTCAGAGAGCACAACACTAATCCAGATAGCTGCCTTCCTTCCTGCTGACACACAGAAACAGCAGTGACATGGAGGAAAAGTCGCAGAAATGCAAACAAATACAATCATCAATCCACCGCCACGAAAAGAGCGCCGAGTATGTTCTGAGTATTAAATGGTAGCTCTTGTAAATCTAACTATGGTAATCACATAAACACTCGACATGTTTTTAGAGAACATGATAAATTTAGTGCATATATGTAAGATAAACACTTTTATACATGCAGAGAGAGAGAGAGAGAGAGAGAGAGAGAGAGAGAGAGAGAGAGAGAGAGAGAGAGAGAGAGAGAGAGAGAGAGAGAGAGAGAGAGAGAGAGAGAGAGAGAGAGAGAGAGAGAGAGAGAGAGAGAGAGAGAGAGAGAGAGAGAGAGAGAGAGAGAGAGAGAGAGCCAGCTCCCCCTTCAGCGGTATCTGGCTGGCTGTTGGCTTTGAACTGCAGCCGGTGACGCACATTTCTGATTAAATTCAGCTCAGCCCGCCTGACGCTGTCCCAACCAATCAGAGAGTAAGATGGGGAAAACATGCAGCCCTGCCCCCCTTTCCTCTCTGTGCTCCCCATCAGTCGGTTGCTCCACAACCCTATAGCTCTCTCTCTCTCTCTGCATCTACCTGTCTCTCAGTCTGGTTGGTACTTACCAGATTATTCCCCCTGTGGGCTTTTTACTCATCTTGTGTTTTTGATTCATTTCTACCCCGTATTGTTTTTATGCCCCCATTTCCAGCCCCTCGTCTTCTCATCAACAAGCCTTATTTCTATCATGTGCTCTGATACCTTTCATATCTTTCTGCTTGTGGATATTGTTTCTGCCACATTTTCTCTCATACTGCTGTGAGATAAAACTATGCAGACTATATGTTACACTCCTTTAAGAAACCCTGCAACCTTCTCAAAATGCAGAGTGCATTATTGAATCTCATTGCTCAAACATGGGGCTAACTGGGATCATTTGAGTGTATAATTGATTCAGATTAGAAGCACATTAGGGCTGGGTGATAAACCAGAAATCTACAGATACCGAAATATCCTCCAAACTATGTCATTTCATTTTTAACCTGTTAAGACATAAACCCCTAAAATACCAATAACTAACACGTTCTAGGGCTGGGCGATACACCAAAAATTTACTGATACTGAAATTTATGACAATATATAAAAGTTGGTTTTGGATGTGTGTAGTTAGGCTATGTTCTCTTGTCCCTTAAGACACTGTCCTACATCAGAGACGTGACTCCACCCCATCCAGTTTGTAACAAAATGGGAAAGACAGGTGAGGAGATGGAGGACAGATCAAAAGTTGTAGTGGCTGGAGCAGCAGCTGAAGTAGACTAAGTTAAATGTGGGAGGGGGTGAGCAGCTAGTGGAGTAATTATCATCTATTTATTGTTATCGAGGTGAACTGCTCAATACATCGTGATATTGATTTGCGGCCATACCGCCCAGCCCTAAAACACATACTAGTAGCTGCAAGAATCAGAGCTTGAGAAGCGAATTTAAATCTTTGGCATAACTGAAAGCATTCTTAGACAATTACAGGACACGAAGACAGTTGATGGTATTACCTCATTGTTTGGCAGCAATAACATCAATAGAATAAAAACCTCCTTTCACTAAAAGCTTTTGGCCTTTCGCCTTTTCCAATCTCCCTCAGTTCTGTGATCCTGACAAACTTCCACACTGCACAAAAGTTTCCGACGAAAGCATTCCTTCTTCATGTGTTCAAGTCTACTTTAACTATTCTCCACAACCCCCCCTCACACACATAAAGTTGATGAAGGAACTTTTTGAGTTTCTGGGACATCTTCATTCCGACAAAATCAGATCAAAAGACACAAATGGATGTTACTCAGTCAGCTCAGTGTTTATTCCTGCTGCCAGTCTGGCAAAGGGAGCAGATGAGCCCAAAAGACGGACACACAAGTCCCTTAGCTCCGGCATGCCTCATTCACACCCTCCTTTGCACAGCCTCTGTTTGTGTTGCTGTAGAAACAAGAGTTTATACAAGCTGCAATTTACTTATGCTGCAGATGAACGTATTTTATTTCTTCTGCACAAACAATGACATATTATTCTTCAACAATCCATATAAAAATAAAACCACATTATAACACTCTGGTTTGATAGCATTATTCTATAAGTGCTTCCATATAACCCCAGCTGAATAACCATCTCTGTTGTATTCTGTATTTAAGGAGCATAATGGTGAGAATATGTTCTCCTGAGATAGGAGAGAGTGTGTATACACAGACATACCCTCACACACCAGACAGCAAGAATGCTAAAAGGCGAGAAGAATAGTAAGTGTACCACACACTGCTCTCCCTGATCTAGACAAACAAATACTTTTACTGAGACACATCTTTCATTTGGAGGAGGAGCGATCTTTCCTTAATCCACGGGGAATGAGTAAGGGATTTAGGAGAGGTGGGGGTGAGCTTTATAGAGGCGGCTCTGAGGGGAAAAAATGAAAAAAGGGGAAATCCCTCTGATGAGAGTATGTCTGTAAAAGATTAAATGAGGAAAAGTGACAAGCACGCTGGTTACTCTCGCTGTTAGTGAAAGGCGATGAACTCCACACATTAAATTAGTGAGGTTTCAAGCCTATTACATTTGAACTGAACTGACTAGAAGCTTTGCAGAAACAGGGTTTAGCCGCTTATTAAGCAGGTGATGGTTCTGTACGCGACCTCTAATTGGCAGTTTGTGAAACTAATGCTGTCAAAACCCCTCGCTGCGAGTAAATTAGAAAATTCTGTTTTAACGGAGTGTTTCTTGCTGCTACTTATTGATTTGATGATTCAGAAGAAACGCTTAGTTCCATGAACTTGTGAGAAACAACCAACCACAGCAAACAAAAACTACTGAAAATCATATTCATCAATGCAAAGAGACGGAGGCTGGAAAACTGAAACATTTAATAACTGTCATTTCACCACAGGACTGGGCGATTATATGATCATGGTTAATGATTGTGATAAATTTCAGTTTGATCACAGTGATCAGCTGTGAGCATATTTACTCGATCAAACTTAACGGAAATGTGCGTCACAACAGCCAATCATAGGTCAAGCTTTTCCTGCTCCACTTCTGTAAGTTGCCAGAGAAGTAAACAGTAGAAGTAAACAGAATGGCCGAACATGGAGCTAAAAGCTGAGCTGAGGGCCGCTAATAGATGTCAGCGATGACTTTGAGTCATCCTCCGAAGATGCCTTTATTAAGAAGTTATTCAACGTCGGTTGGGTGGCGGTGTTTCAAGTATCTCCAAAGTGACGTTAAGCAATTAAGCCGATGTGCAAGGTATGTCGGTGCCTTCAAAAAATGACAACACAAAAGATCTGTTTAATCATTTGAAGAAGTTCTTCCTGAGTGATTATGCGAAACGCATAAAAATGCCACTGCTGACGGCACAAGCAGTGCATTAGAAGTTTAGCTACAACTAGCGATGCCGCCACCAGACCAAAGACCCAATCAATCGAATCATCTACGTTTTCATCATCTAATGTTTACATTTTAAGGCGTCTTCATTATCCCTGAGGGAGCGATTTGTTTATTTTGGGTCTTGCGTACCAGCAAAAACACTCAGGACTGTAAACTAATTCACTGTATTATATCATATTTGTCTACATTTGTTGTTCTGTTGAGTTAAAATGGTTTTCATTTTTTTCTAAGTTTATCTTATTCAATTTACTTTATTTACTTAGTATGTTAATAAAATGTTGAACTAACCTCTAGTTTCTTTGGTTGCTTTAAAACTGGCAGTTTAAAAAATAAAAAATCGTGATAATAGTCGAGATCGGACATTATGACAAAATATATCGTAGTCATTTTTTTTGCCAAGTCGCCCAGGCCTATTTCACCATCCATGTTTAGTAAAGGTGAAAATAGATAGACCAGAGAAATACTAGTATATGTGAAAGGCATGTTAGGTGTTGGTGACCTTAATGCCTGTAATTGAAGCTGAATAGAATAGCCAGTTAAATAAGCATTTGTATCAAGTGCACTGTAAATTCCATTAAACCTTCCGGCTGAGGCGTGCTCTGCAACCTTGCTCCATACTTTTAATTACAGCCCTTCTTCACAGTAAATGGTTAATTACATACAATGACGGCGAGCAGGAGAATGAGCGACTGCTTAAGAGTAGGAAGCAAGTGAGCATGTATGGAGGGGAAAAAAATGCAAACACTCAAAGAATCCTTTTCATAGTAGGAGAGGAAATCTATAAAAATGGCAAAAAGGTTAAGGTTTCCATTATTTTTAACAACTGTGATTGGTTCTTTAAGCTTTGTACCAGGCAGCGCAGGTTCCCACATCTCCTCAGTCTATTGTCTGCAGACCCACTTTATTATGCAGTCATGTTTATAGAAGGGGGAAGGGATGGACAGGAGACTCAGGCCACTGCTTTACACATTAGTGCATTTCTTAATCCAATAAGAGCCTAGTGGTAGGTAAGTTAAGGTTGATAAAGCATGTATTTGATTGAATTTACAGAAAACTTAACACATGCAGCTTTTTCAAGTGTTTGTCTCTGTAATAAATCAGCTAAACCAGATGAGTTAGTGAGGTGGATGAAGCGTGCAAACTGTATGTAGAAAGTTTTTAGACTTAGCTCATGACCTTTTATGTGTCACCACTTTTATTTCCTTCCTCAAATTTCCCTGCCCTGCCCTGCCCAAGGAGATTTTAGTTTCTTACTCATTTTAAGAGCACTCGGACCGCTTCCCTTTTCATGAAAGAAGTTAGTCATCGGTTTGGACTACAGTTTATTTGATAAAATTAGAGCGAATCCTTGTGGAAAGACATTTTAAACCTATTTGAGTTTACTCTGATGGACTATAATGGCTTAAAGCTATTTTGCATATAGATCTGCATAAGCATAGAGAGATGAGAGGTGGTTGTACACAGAAAGCAGATGTATGTGCGTGCGTTCGTGCACACAAGGGAAGGTCAAGTGGGAGTGTCTCAGAAAGGTCCCATCTGCCAGTATAGGTGGAGAAACACAGAAAATCTCTTTCCCACTCCGAAAATAAAGAAAATCTTCTCACCCCTCACCCTTCATATATGAACTGTTGCTATAGTAACCGACAATTGCCTAATGCCCCTCCTTTTGCCTCGTATGACCCCTGTGCCTCCTGTGACCTCTTCTCATACCACGCCTTCCTTCGCTTTAATTAGTGCCCCTACCCGCTCTCAATGCCAGGGCTCCTCTCCCTGAAGTCCCAGCTGTGTCTCTCCTGGCAGTCAGGATTATGGCAGAACTGCTCCAGGAAAGCCCTTTTGGTGTTTCAGCGCTTGTAGCAGATAATTCGCAGGATCACCACGACTGCAACTGAGGTCAATGCCTGAGGGCAGCAACTGCCTTAGGACAAATACCTTCAGAGTTTGATAGCTGTACAGAACGAATGAAGGTACCGTTACCTTTTTGGAATTACATCAAAGTAAGAGAAGTGGTTACGCCTGATTCAAAACCACAGGCTCACCGGTGCTTAAGACACATTAACAGACTTTGACAATGGGTGCTTGCATCCTGCCATTTCAAGGTGGGATATTTTCACCCGTTAGGCCTTTTCCTGCAATATTTAACACACAGCGGTGTAATGGCAGGGCAAAATAATAAAGCCTCTGAGGGTGGTGATGTGTAGCACCAGAGCCAACTGGGCCAATCAGAGAGGTGTGTTTGTGCATGTGAGTGTATGTTTGCGGCGCTAACATGCACTGTAATACAATTTGTAATCACACAAAACTACTCCACTATTATGCCGTTTCAGGATGTAAAATATCAATATAAAGACATAGTGATGGCAGATTCCTATAGAGTCCCATGAGTCAATATGGATTTCTTACAGGGTTACCGATATTCAAAGGTTTTGTATATCCTTATACTTTAAAAAAAATAAATAAATAATGAAATCATCAAATATAATTCAAGATCTTCTTTATGGTTTACCTACTGTTTGATAATCGCCAGAGGGGAGACCAAGAGGAGCCCCCTTATGCGGGCATAAAGACTGCCTTTGAACTGCACAGGCACACGTATATCTGTGGACACTGTGTCCTCAAAGCACAGGCTAAAGCTGTCATTCATATCAGTTTAGCTACATCCTATTAATCTGCCTGATATGTGACATGAAGCAGCTCACTGGTAGAGGGGGAAGAGATGATGGGGGAGGGGCGAGAGGCACCAAACAGGCTCTTTTGTCAGCAGCTTGTGAGTGATCATGCAACAAGAATACACAGAGAGGAAAGCATTGTTTGAGTTTGTGCGCCCCTTGTTTCCTTTCTCTCTGCCCCCTGTCTCTCCCTGCATCCCTCACTCCGCTCGTACACTTGATATGCATGCAGGGTGAGCATAGGAGGGGTGGAGGGAAAACAATTATGCTTGGCAGTCATAAATCCACAGAATGTAATTCATGAGCTATTCACTATTAATTCATTGAGTGTTTATAAATGTGGTTCACAGAAGAGAAAAGCAGCCCAAATTCTCGAGTAAATTAGCCACTAATTACATTCTAATTCACGAAAGTCTCTTTCAAAAGTGTTGGTGCAATTAATAGCATGTGAAATTGCAAATTAATCCAATACTGAATTATACGATACACTTGTGTTTATGTTCCTAGCTTGCCACTTTGAAAAAAATTTAATGCTGTTATCAGCGTGGCGACTCCCTGTAAATATGTTTTCTCCTCAGCTGTGGTCGGCCGGGCTGAGCGTATTGAGGCTGAAATCAAAGAGGCGGAAGAAAAAGCGTGGGTAAGGAGGAAAGTGAGGGACGGGGCAGTGACAGGCGTACATTCATTCGCCAACCTTTCAGCAGTGAAAAGTGCGAAAGCAGCAAAAATGGAGATTGCAGATTTTTTGATTAGGTGGGTGTCAGAATACGACGGGTGCAATGTGGTATTACTTGTCGCTTTCTGTGTCTGTGTACAGCCATCTTTTTCATGAATTGCCTTTGTGTAACTTCTTGCTTGGGCCGCGTTTTCTCACAACCTGTCAGCGTGTGTGTGTGTCAGTGTCTTGGCATGTGCATGCAATTGTCAAGCCAGCTAGGTATGTGAACTTGTCCTGCTGACTGATTGTGATTGCAGTGGTGGTAGAGACTGTGATGAAGCTGCATGTGTGCCTGGGTGAATAATCAGCATCCCTCTGAGGTTCGAGGGACCAGGAGGGAGGGAGGGAGGGAGGGAGGGAAGGAGGGAGGGAGGAAGGGCCCTGCAGCAGAGGTCCAGGCTGTGTGTTTGTGTGGGGGGTGCTGGGGCAGAGGGACACTGCCTCCTGGAACCCTGCGTTCAGTGAAGCTCCATGCCTAATGGGGGGCAGAGAAGTTAATTCTACTGCACCAAAGCTTTATCTCATTTTCATACATATGAACGCACCAGGCCGAGATCGATTACCGCAAACAAATTGAAATGCCTGGGACCAAGGAGGCCTGCGGAGAGGCAAAAGGAGAAAATACGATGAGGCTGGGGGGAGGTGGTGTGCATGTGTATGTGTCTATGAATTTCTGATAGTGTATAAGGGAGGCAGAATTCACTGATATGGATGGAAAGACACAAATCACTCCTGCATACTGATTTTCTTCCCTCGCTAATATACAAAGACCTCCATTATTTGGTGTCACGCATTAAAACCCAGCCCATTCCAGTTGGTGCCACCTTTCTTTAAAACGATATCGCAGATGAGAGGTTATGAGCAAACTCGCAGAGGTACAGATGGCTCACTGAACGATTAGTCTTCAAACAGACTGCTTTTTTCATACTTTCTTTCTGCATGAAAACCCGCCACTTACACAATCAAAATCTCATTCTATGTGCCTTTCTGTCTCTATCTCTCATTAAACATACCATAAAATAAATGTCCATGTCATTAGTTCTCTTCTATATTAGCACTGTCATTGACTTCCGACTATCATTTTTGGCACTTGTATTAAGAACCCACTGCTTCATTACTTCCTTTCTCCCATTCCTTTCTTTTTTCCCGCTGTGATCTGGCCCAACAACTTTCTCCTTCTGCCCTTCACCCCTTCCTCTTTTTTTAGGTCGGGCTCCCGTCCATAAAACTCTTTCGCATTAAGAGTTTCCATTTTCATTCTGACTCCCAGTTTTTACTTGATCGCTCCTGCCAGAGACACTTATGATATTATGTTCTGCCTACATTTCATATCAATGCAAAAACATGTGAGGTTTCCACAGCCAGGTCACCTGACTTCCAAGCAGATTCTTTTTTGATTTGTTTAATCTGAACTTTGTCATTTCAAATTAAATTTTTTTCCAATTTCAGCCATGATTAATACTCTCAAACCCTGAAAAGCACTGTAGTAATAGCTTTTAAGTATGAGCATAGTAGTTTAGGGTTGAAACGATTCCTCGAGTACCTCGATTACAAAAAATGATCGAGGAATTTTCTCTGCCTCGAGTACTCGTTTATAAGCTCAAACCGTCACTGTTTCACACGGATTATTTTCAAGGTGACCCAATGCGCTTACGTCACCATGGTAGAAGGAGAAGTAAGCGTGGTTTTGGTTTTGCAGAGCTGAAAAACTGAATGATGAGAGGGGCTTTTCTTCTTCAGAGCTCCAGTAGCTCATTAGCAATTCGCCTCTGAGTCGTGGGCGGAGACAGCGCTGTTCTGCACACTCCTCGCCATGCTAGCTTGCAGCCTAACATTGCCGTTGTAGTAGCAGAAGCAGGTAACATAGGAGCTATTCAGCTTTCAGACACGAATGTCTTTAGGGGACATGATGAAAGCTAATATCGTAATTAGCTTTCTTACGAGCATTGCAATCCGCTAGTGCACATGCTTTTTCTGCGTTCCTCATTTCTAAAAAGGAAAACAATCGATAGTTCATTATAAAGTTAAATATCTTATTTTCTCTTGTATATTAATAGTTGCACTTTAAAAAAAAAAAAGGAAAGTATTATCCGATTACTTGATTAATCGAAGGAATATTTGGTAGAATACTCGATTACTTAAATATTTGATAACTGCAGCTTTTCAGTAGTTACAATGACTTAAAGAGAAGTGTTAAGCTGCCAAAAACAAGCATGAGAAACTCACACACACTGCCAAACACTGACACAGTTTGTCTGTTCTGTGCTATGGTAGAAACATAGTGGTGCGAGATGGCATCCCACTAAAAATACACAATGTACCGTTAAGAAACATACCACTTCTTAGTGAGAAAACGTTTCCATTTCAAGCTCATAATCAAAGTCTGCTCATTTAAATCAGAAGCAGTTGGCTTGTGCAGAGGCTTTGAGACTCGGTTAATAGGCCAAGCTCACAGTGAGTGCTGTGGAACACTGGGAGGGTAATTAAATAGACAGGTTAGAGTTCAAGGCAAGCTGTGGTGACCTTTGTTAAAACCTAACAGTTACACCCAGATGGCCAAGCTGCTGCTCAAACTGGGGGAGGGCGTGTGGACACAAGCGCTAAGGATTTAGACAAAGCCATAAAAACAGCGTACGATACGGGAGCAACGAACCCCACTTTTCAAATATACTGATTTTGTCCTCTCAGAGTGTGAATACTGGAGCATCTCCAGAGCCGTACTGAGTGAAATGGAAAAGAAAAAAAAAAAGGTGAATGCAATACGCACCAACTCGACTGCATCATTAGGACACACACTAAAGAGTTTTTATCACCAGTAGTCATTGGAGCAACAAAAGCAACACTAGGGATTCTGTGTGAACTCTTGTAATTAAGCTTTAAGTAATTTAACAGCTATACACTGAGAGAGTCTTTTTGATCAACTACAAGGAACACCAAGGGCACACGAGGACAATCCAGTCTCACACCCCCTGCATTACAACTGAGCTTCATGCCTTTCTTTTATTCCACTCCTCCTCCTCCTCTCGCTGCCATGCTCCCATCCCCCTACCCACTGCACACTCTCTGTGCTGTCTGGGTGCCCTCACGCTTCACTGCCTGCTGCTGCTGCAGGCGTACTTGGCGTCACTCTGCATCACGCTGTATTAGACTCCACTGTATTTACTCTGCTGTGTGAGTGTGTGTGTGTGTGTCTGTAAAGCACAAATTCAAATGGCACAATTGTGCATGCATGTGCAAACTGTACGTGTCCATCTGTGCGAATAAATGCTTGATTCTATGCGTGTGTGTGTAATGCATTTGTGATGTGTGTGTGTTTTAATGGGTCAGGCTGTGTTAATCAGAGCTTATTAATGTATTGCAGTAGGTGGAATTAAATCTCATTTAAGAACAATAGGTGGATGTGTGGGTGATTTCTTTTAACTTGACACTCACCTTTGGGTTTCTGATCAGCAGCCTGCAGGACAAAAGAGAGAGAGATGAAGTGTAACAGTTAGTTTAACAAGTTTAAATGAAGCAAAATAAGTCATTTGCATCTGGTTTCATAGTAATTAGCTGCCTACAAATCAGCAGAAGGGGTTGATTTCTGGAGTTTTGCAAAAAGAAATGCAAGAGTTTTAAAAACTCCAGCTGTGTAGATCAAATGCCTGCTACTAAGGCAAAACGGTGAGGCACGGCTTTTGTGAACATGTGCACAAGTTTAATTTTCACCTTTTTCTGAGCGACTTCCGTCTTGATCTTTTCTTCTTGTTTTTTCTTTTTCTTTTCTTCCATCAAACGGTTCTCTTTCTTCTGTTGCTAGCTTCTTTCAGCTGTCAAACAGAGAAAGAAAGAGTTATGAGTGAAACAAGTTGAAGTGCTCAGTATTCTTTACACAGAGAAATAAGGTGCTTCAAACTTTCTGCTCATGAACAGGATTGTGACCTGAGTGCGCTATTTAAAGATGCAGTTACTTTCAGAAACACACAAACAATACTGTAAGTTTGACCTTTTAACCTTCTTGTGATCCATGTCTGTCTAAAGCAATGTTTACTAAGTGTCAAGAAATACTTTTCTATTGATTCATCACTCCATTCAAAGAATGAACCAGTGGAAAAAAAAGCAAAAAAAAAGAGGATGTGATACGGTGGCCGAAAGGAAAAGTAAAAATGGACACAAAAAAAATATAGAGAAGGTCAAGATAAGGAGAGGAAATGTAAAAAACAAGAGTGAAGGCAAGTGTGAAAGAGGTTAGGGTTTCAAAAAACTGAAAGGAAAACAACATACAGACTAACCGAGAACAAGAGAAAATGCTGATTTACAATCGTCTCTCTCCAATACGCGGGAGTCCATTGCCCCAGGGCCAGAGAAAGTAAGGGCTTCATTTCACCCTGTATTTCCTTTGGCTTAGCTTTAGTGATAGCTTCTGGAAACTATTAGAGGCATGGCTAGGCCATAGGGGCAAAATGTGTGTTTAGTCTTCACTAAGTGCAATGGATATCAATCTATAATGCAGCTCAATGTCATATCAAATCAATGATACAACCCTCTAAAATGGACAAATACGATCAATCATCTCCATGTCAGTGTGAAGTAATGGCCTCTTCCCGTTTGCTGGCTGTTATCCAAGGAGGGAATGTATATACAGGAGCGGAAACACACATACACACACATATTACACACACACACACTCCTGCCTTGAACAATACAGCACTGTGCACTCCACTGGTTAAACAGATATGCATGACTTGCTTTCACAGACTGTAACAGTTCTCAAGTCAAATAGTGGGAAGGTTCCAGAACAAATATGAAAGTTTTCCTCAGAGATCGTTTTAATTTCATGCAGTTTTCTAGTTTTTCGCATGTGTAAACAAATTCCCACGATATTCCTTTCAACGGTTATTTCGTGCTTAATAAGACTGGGCTGTATTAACAGCTCAACCACTATTAGAATTAGAAATAAACTGATTAAACAGGCTGATTAATGGCATTTTAAAATAATTCATGCCTGAGCTCACAAGGATGACTAAAACACTGCAGGCAGCCTCATCAGTGAAGCTGCTGTCCAGCATATTATACTGATGTTCCATATTGGCTAAATTTAGGGGTGTCCCGAAACAACTTTTTGATCTCTGATACGATACCGATATTGTAGCCTTCGATATTGGCCGATACCGATATTGATCCAATCTTAGCTCAAGTTTTGCACTCAGCTGCAACATCTTTTTCGGACTGTGACGAAAAATGCTGCCACACGGCCGACATCACTCTTACTCCTTGCTGCTTTGTTAGTACTTAAGTACACACTGCTGTGATTACATGGGCTCTACATGCTGGATCCAGGTGCTGCTAGATAGAAGTGCTGGAGCAGAGTCTGGAATGGACTGCCTGTATCGGAGTGCTGATATCGGAGATTTTTGATGGAGGCCGATATAATCTGATATTCGATTTTTTGCTGATATCGGACCAATATACAATATCAATATCATATTGGGATACCCCTAGCTAAATTGGCAAAAAAATGTTCTCACGGTAACTGCCTAGTGTTTAATTTATTACTGCCATTCTGTATTGAGCAACATTACATTATCCATCAGGTGATACAAGCTACTGTAATGCTATACTTTGGGCTCTAAGAGAATGAATAGACATTTTTCTTTTTTTTCTGACATCCTATGCGAACCTTTTTTTTATGCGATTTATTGACAGATAACTGTACAATAAAGATCACCAATTGAGGCGCTAATGTAGATTGATGTGTACTGTCCCTGACAAGAACACTGACGATAAAACACAAAATGTGCCTACACAGAGGCTGATATGAATCAAAATCTGAATGTATGAATGAATCATAACGCTCATAACTGAAGATTAATGAAGGAACTGCCTCCCACTAAGCTTCCCACTGGCAGGGGGAGGGAGCTGTCAATCACCAAGACAGGAGAGGCCTCACAGGGAAATGCCTGATGGTTTGTTAAGATCTCTTTGGCAGCAAGGAAGGAAGTAGACAAAGGTTCAGCTGACATACTCTTTCACCTCTAAATTCACACATACATTTACTCAAACAATTCTATTATTAACGCAGAGGAGTGTGCATGTGTCACTGTAGAGTCCCTGCAGCTTGGAGAAGGTAGCTCTAGGATAATAAACAGGTGCTGATATTAGGAAATGGAGTGTGTACACAGATACCACAATCAGTATGTGAATTACATGCAATAGTTTATTTGGGTCAATCTCGTGTAGTATTTGAGCTCTGCTAAGCCATCAAGCATGATAGTATCACAAGGCTACTAACCACAACAATCCCCTGCACTGATCTACTCACCACAATAAGTCCTTATGAAGGAAAAATGGCTTTTGCAACCAGACCTGAAAGCTACAATTTCAGGGATAGATCAGCTATCAGCCGAGACCAATAAGTCAATAATTGGCATCCGGTGATTATCAGTGTATTTTAACTCCACTGTTGGTGTGCCCTCTCCTCTGGGTTTGTTTTCACTCACCATATCCAACCAACAATACTATCTGATTGGCCTGACATCCCACAGTATGACTGTGCCGTAAATGCACAGTAGGTGAAAGTTTTAGTTTGGTTAAAGACAATTAGAGTTTTACTTTTGGGTTTGTCATATCCCAAAATCTGACAGAATGACTGTTTTTTTTCTTTCAAAGAGTACCTCTCTTTCAAAGAGTTGTCACTGACAGCCTCTCTAGAACAGCTGATTGTGCCACCCTGGCAGTCAGATCCACTGCACTCAGTTGGTAGTAGATGTACTCTGACAAGATTCTTCTCTGATGACAGTGGCAAGTAAAACACTAATGATTCAAATACTGTACACAACACCAAACCTGCATATTGATCTATTTGTCCTGAAGTGCATCTTTGTGAATATTTGTTAGTATGAAACCCTTCAGTGATATGGTCAATTTTTTATTTACTCTGAAGTTGGATGAAACCTGGTGGAGGAGCAATTTTTCAGAGCAGACACAGTTGTGTTTGCAGTTGACAGTAGCTTCCCTCCTGACCTCCACTGCCCTGACATGCATCTTTACCTGCCTCCCTCCATCTTTTTCCCATGCACTCAACACTGCTGACACCGTCCTGCACATCCTCAAAAATAACCCTGGGATGTCACGGTGCTGACTTTCACCTTTTGAGTTCACCCTTTTCTGCAGTATGACAGTAAACTGACATATTCAGGCTTCTCTTACATTGGAGGGGGTTAGATTTTCTAATCTGAAAATAGGGCTGGGAGATATTGCCTCTAGTCAATATCACAATATATTGAGCAGTTCACCTTGATAACGATAAATGGATGATAACTACTCCACAAGCTGCTCACCCCACCGAATATATACTGACATGGGCAAAATGATGTCTGTTATTGTCTTAAATTTTGGTATCTGTAAATTTCCGGTTTATCGCCCAGCCCTACCTAGAAGTGACTGAACCAGTAATTGACTTCCCTTTTTCTTCATTACCTAGTAAGGTGCACAAGTTTAATAGTCATTCATATGAGCTCTCCAAACCAGCCAAATTAAATAGCTCTCAGCTAATTCAAAACTAATTGATATGCATAATGTTTTGCAAGCTGTTTATCATTATGTTTCTGAGTGAGCTGTGTACTGTCCAGATTACAAATGTGTGCAGACCTGCCAGATGTTTTCATCCTGTTCTACAGTGGCTTAAATGTGCTGACAGTATTTCTTATAGTAATAATTCCTCCATGGCTTCATGCAACAAAAAGATTTAAGGATTTTATATGTGTGGGCTTCATTGACATGAAGAAAATAACATTTCTATTCTTTGAATGCAAATGGCTAAAAAAACTGGCCACCATTTATCTAATCAACACAACATAAGAGAAGCTGACTGTGTTCCCCAGCCCTCACCTTTCCAGGGACGTGAACTACAGTAGCTTTCCAGAAGTACACGGAGTTGAATCCCGCACCTCAATAAATTGGGGCAGCTGGGAAAATGAATCGTATAGTGAGGGAGTATTGTCTTTTCCGGTGCTGTACTAAACAGAGCTACATCCATGTAATGTGGTGCTACAGAGAGGGAAGCACAGCGGCAGGAACACACTGTACAGGAATGACGGAGCTGAAGAAAGTCACAACACACAAACCATAGTACACAAAACACACACGGGGAAGCTTGATGTACACAGGGAGGAGGCAGCCTGTCTGATGCCTGTCTTTTTCTGCTAGGGATGCAGAGGAGAAAGAGGTGGGAGGACGAGATGAAGCGAGGAGGTTTTGGAGGGGGGATGAGAGGAAGGGAAAAACAGGCGGAGGATGAAAGAAGACGCAGAGCAACACCAATTAAGAACGACAGCCGCCGGAGAAGCAGACAAGGGCACAGAATAAAAGGAGAGAGACTACAGTGGAAGAGAGAAAAGACAGAGAGAATTCTCACCAGAGAAATAGAGGAGTTGAAAAAAAAAAAGGAACAGCGCTCTATTAAGGCTGGCAGACGAGAAAAGACGGGGAGACAAGAAGGGGAGGAGAGAGGAACTAAAACATCCATGATCAATAGGCTCAAGAGATTGAGGGAGGAAAAGGAAGGGTGAGGAGAAAACATGCAAAGGTGAAACAGAGTAAGACTTGGCAGAGGAGCAGTTAAGTACGGTGCGCTTATGAGAGGACTGAAAAAGACAAAGGAGGGGAGCTTGAGGAAAACATGAAAAGAGAAAGAGCTGAAAAAAAACAGAAGAGGTAGAGGGGAGGGAGAAGAAAGGGAAAGGGGAGAAAAAAACTTTCCTTTTTGGGATTAAAACAAAAAAGTAATATGGTCATGTTGTGGTAACAGAACATGGTAAATCAGCTCTCCACCAACCTCACCATCCAGCCAACCATCCATTCCTGTGGCAGCAGAGAAGCCACAGGGCTCTCCTGAGCCATGTTACATGGAAAAATTATAACAGTCGTCCCTCCAAAACCTGCTGCTAACACAGACCCTCAACCACTCTCCACAAACCTGAGTAGGTGTGTATTTGTGTTCACTTGACCAGTATGGCTCTGGGAAAACAAGCCTGTAAATGCTACAGTTGATAAGCAGTAATAACAATGTTGCTGTTGGTTAGAGTTTTCACCCATCAGTCAGACTCACTGCTGCTGCTGCTGTGTTTGTAAGCAGTCTGTGTGTACCTGCTTTGCTTTCAGCAGGTGGAGAGAGGACCTTGTAAAAACACATTTACTGCTACTAGGCGAGACTTGCTCAATGAACTGGGTAGAGTGGTCTCGGTTGTTGGAATTTGCAGACGAGGGACTGACTGAGGGGGTGAATGGGTGGGCGGAGAGTGACTTTGAAGGGGGATGTGAGCTGGAGGAAGAAACTCGCCGAATCAGATGGTGAGCGACTCAAACCTGTGCTATAAATAACAGCTTTGAGGTTTACCTCCAGAAAATTAGCTCACAGAGTCTTGGCGGCTTCTTCTGCCAAGTCGATATGAAACTTTAACACGATGGCAGCTCATTAAAAAGGAAAACAGCACAATGCACAAGACCAAGTAGGCCTGCTCCCTGCCAGCCTCACAGCTAAAGCTTATTGAATTCGTGAAGAAGCTGTCAAGCTGAGTGTGCTGGTGTATGTGCTATTCTTTGCTTGGGACTGCTTTGTATTAACGGCAATTTGTGGTTGTGCACTACCTGCATATTTTGCACATTAGTTTTCATTTGCTTTCTTTGCTAGTGGCTTAGAGGCTGGAAGATGAAGCCTCTGTCTAAAGGTCTGGATGGTTTTAAACCAAGATTATCATTATGATAATGGCTGACCTCTCGTGATTATACTTGAGCAGCAGAAATTTTTACTAGCAGAGCATCTCCAGTAGAGATGGGCATCAGTATACACTTGTGTGTAAAGCTAAGTTACTGTATAGGTTAGGGCTGGGCGATATGGCCTCAAATCAGTATCACGATATATGGAGCAGTTTACCTCAATAACGATAAATGGACAACTACTCCACAAGCTGCACAACCCCTCCAAAATTAACTTTGTTTACTTCATCCGCCACTCCAGCCGCTACAACTTTTGAATAGTCCTCCATTTCCTCACCTGTCTTTCCCTCTTTGATACAGACTGGATGGGGTGGAGTCACGTCTGTGTTGTAGGACAGCGTCTTAAAAGGGACATGAGACTATAGCCTACCTACACACATCCAAAACCAACTGTTATTTAGTTATTATTTTGACACCAAATATACCAATATGGGCAAAATGAAGTTGGTTATTGTCCTAAATTTCAATATTGGTAAATTTTCGGTTTATCGCCCAGCCCTAGTTTAGGTTTACTTATAATCAATAAAGTTGAAAGTTACCCATAGCATTCAACAAACTACAATGCAATTCTCTGTGTAATACCAGTCAGCATGCTTTGGTTTCATTGACTTTTATTACTGCACACAGTGTGTCTTTACTGCCACCATCAAACTGTCAAAACCTGAGCAGCCAGACTAAATACAAGGACACACTTACACACATGCTTGGATGCATGTTAGGACAAATTGGCTAATCGGCTGGGCTATACTCATCTCAAGTCTCAAGGTTACTTTGACACAGTGTCCTCCCAATACATATGTGTTCACACACATGCAAGCTGAAGATGTCAGACAACTGCTCCTTTTTCTGTCATCTATGCAAGCAATAACAGACCCTGAAGAATAGACAAATAGCTGCTGTTCTCAGTTAGGAGACCAAATTTTGTAAGGATGTAATAAGAGAGAGACAGAAAGACAGACAGGCAGAGAGAGAGAGGGAGAGAGGAGGAGAGGGACGAAGATATCTCAGTGACAGCCCATCTGCAAAGACGTGGAGATAAAGAAATACCAAGTGTACATCCACCACAGGGAGGCAAAGGCTTAAAGGTTGCGTGGATAAATGCCTTTCTTTTCTAGAAATTAACAGGCTTTGTGTCATTTAACTACTGAGAACCGGCACACTCTAGATCTTCACATATAGCTCAAAACACTTCTACAGCTTATCACTGAAGACAATGCAGATGAATACAGACTTTAAGTGTAACACCGTTAGATCAGAAGTTGCAATAAGACATGTTCAGCTAACAGCTTTCTTTCATCAACTCTTCACTATCCTCAGATACCCATCGTGCCTCGTTTGGTATGAAACTTAATCTGTGCACATAAAAGTGCTCTCTGTAATTCTGATTCACAATTCAAGCATCAAGAGAAATGTTTTGGTGATAACATTCAGAACTTTTGTTTAATAATATTAAGTTTTTAAAAGTGTGCTTTTAAAATTTGAATTACACAGAACATGCACCTGAACTCCCCTGACTGTACCCATGTTAAAACTGAACAGGTAAAACTGTACAGACCGCCAAGTGATCAGAGCTTACTAACCAAAGCCATAGCCCCAGTAAGAGGGCAGGCGGCACATGCTAGTGCTGTTTACATAGCTTGAAGTGAGGGCTTTGGAAGTGCTGCAGGACCTTAGTTCTTTTACATAATGAGTAATGCTGTCTAATGTTGTCTCAGAGCGAGAAAGAAAAGGAACACTGTAGGTTCCTGCATATTCCCTGTCAGCTACCATGTGATGCCTCTCTCCTTCTCTCCACGTCTCTCCAATTAGCTGACATGAAAGCAGAAGGGGGGGAGGAAAGGAGGCCCCCACCAAACCTCGGTACATTGAACATTCCCCTGGACCCCTGCCAAGACTCACAGGCAGCAGCTCGCCGGTTTCAGCTTCGCCTCCCCCTATCCCCTCTGCTTCCATTCCGGCCTGGCTTACCCCTGGTGGGCCCCTTAAGCTCCTGCCACATCCACTGGCACATAAGTTGAACAATAAAAGGGGGGTTGCACAAAACCCCAACCATCCCACCACCCATTAGACTTTTTACCCATTTCCTAAAAATACCTACGCAGGATAAAATGAAGGATATTTGAGCTATTTTTACCTCTGAATGCAAGACTGATGGACACAAGCAAACAGGGTATGCGTATCAAGACTGAAACTTCACCTTCTCCTGGAAAGGGTTATGACTAATCATAACACAGGATACATTTACCAAAGCAGATCAGTGTCAGACCTGTGGTGAACCCTCAATGAGACCATTTTGATCCAGATTGCATGAACTCCTCAGAGAAAAACTTGAAGTTTAAAGTCATAAAGTGCTTTTATTTTTATTTTGTTTGGAGGCAAATGTCCATCCAGCAAACAACACAACAGCTGAAGCCAAACACCTGGCTCTCATTCACACTAACAGGCTTCGTTCATTCAGTGTCCACAACCAAACACAACAGCCCAACCAGACTCATACTGCCCTCTTAACTTCTAAACAAATTAGCCTGGCCCTTTAGCGATATAAAGGGCTGAAAAATGGACCAACTGCCAGGGTTTTGTCTTTGTGGTTAATCAAAACAATGTCTAGATGCCAGCAGCCTACAGCCTGGTAGGATCCGGAACCCAAAATAAGTTGTGGGCTTCCTGCAAAAGGGCTGCCAAAATGCAAAATGGAGCAATATCATTTATTGAGTCTGAAACCCAGAGAGAGATAAAATACTGTTTTTATGTCGTTGTTTTGTTTGGACTGAGTTCAAGATTTAGATATTTTAGGTAAGTCTGTAATTTTCTAGATTTGTAGATGTTGACATTCATTTGTTGACCATGGACTTCTTATTTCCAAAAGCTAAATTATTATTTCATTAGGCCCCAAAATAACAAAGCTAAGGAAAAATGATTTGAAAGTTGACCTCAGTGCTGGTGACTAAATGCCCATGCATGACCACAAATTGACCTAGTGCCCCACAGATGGGCCACCTGCTCAGGCTGTAGTGGAGGCCAATGTGCAAAAGTAGTTGTCTGTGAAGGGTCGAGCTCAACTGTACAGCATCTCATTTAGCAGACCATCCTCCTTTGGCATGGGCAGGTTAGTGGTTTGAAGGTGTACCACAGTTTGATGAAGTTACAGTACCTAAACCACTCATAATATTCTACCATCCTTGTGGAAAGAGCTGTCTTCAAGTACTGTAGACAGAGAAGCTCTATATCAGCCCATATCCGTCGTTTGTGTTGTAGAGAAACCTCGAGGCCTGCTGGCTTTGGGGAGCTTGCACGCTTCATTAGTCGGTTCAGCTCCTTGTAAAGCCAGTCCCAAAGAGGTGAGAAGGTAAAGAGCAGCATGTGAGTAAACAGACAGAAAACCACTGTCCTCGTCTCATTGAGAGCACTCAGGCGGTTTATTTAATGTATCAGCTGTTAGCCTCTACTGTTTAGCTAGATGCTTGTATTGCTACTCCAGCCAACCAATTATAAATGAGGTGGGGAGGAAATGGTCACTAAGGTAACCAGGAAAATAGATGTTTGTGTGATGACTATCACAGACAGAGGAGCCTATTTTGGGACACTTCCCTCTGTATCAACACTGGAATTACAGTGTAATATTATAACAGCTTAATAAAGTATTATTTGAGATTATTCTTAGTGAGAGTAGTAGTGTTTATGTTCCAAATGAGATCCATCGATACATAATTTCATAATTTGTCAATGACAAATGTTTCATATATTTTTTATGTTTGTCATCCATTTTTTGTGTCCTCGACATGTTAAAATAGCATATTTTAGAGCTGTGATACCAACACCATGATACACTGAAACAGTCGTTTTTATTTTACTCAAAGTCATCATACCCTTTACCAGTCCAGGCCTATTTTAAGTCTTTCCCCCCCTAATCACTGGTTTAACTTATGCACCAGAGGGCCCCTGCGACATCTTTTCACAGCCACCCCCACACCGCATGCTCTTCAGCCTTTTGGAAAGATGGGCGTGCATAAGGGAAGACCCTTGACCCTGGGTGAGAACAGGGCTCTCTGTGTGTCTGTGAGTCAGCTGGGTGTCTTCTGCATGCAGGAGGCAGCTCAAGACCTGATTAACAACTGCAGGGCATTAACCAACTGCCAGGGCTTTGAGCTTCACACACTCCCATGGCAGAAACGACAGGAATTACACGTGTGCATGTATCGGCTGATTCGGAGCCAAACACACGGCATCTGCAAAAACAACACGCTCAAGTCCCAGAGGATGGCTGAGACATGCACCTGTTTTTAAAAATACAGCACACACAAACGGTTCCCCCATCTGACTGCGAATGTACACATGTACGTGTGCCACTGCTGCACACGCACATTTTTCATTTCATCACCTCACTGGTGTGTGACGATAGAGATAAGACAGTGGTGACAGAGATGTCAGAGGGGGGAAGGAAAAAGGGGGTTTGAAATTGAACGGGAAATTATGTACTTCAATTAAGACACGCCGAGGAGATATTAAAAGCTATACTCCAGTGCCTGGGGACAGGATGCAGGAAGGGGGGAAGCAATGGAAGGCGACAGTTCAATCAGAATCCCTGGATTTCTTTCACCGAGGGTGGAGGAAAAAGAGGGAAGAGAGACAGGACGGCTATGTTTAATAATGTACGTCGAATTAGTGTAGTGGAATAAACCTAAGTATGCAAGATACATCATGTGATATCACTACAGAGAAAGCTAGATCGTAAAAAGGGGCAACAACGGCCAAAATCTGCGTAAAAGCTGGATACAGCTTTAATGAATACTAAAATATGTCTTCAAGCACTCCAAAATTTGCTCTCTACAATAATCAACCTATAGTCCTATATGACAAACAAAATTCTGTCTGCACATTGCCTTAAAATAACCACAGAATCATTAAAACGCCGAGTCCTCGCAGTCAGTCAGCAAGAGAAACCATCACATTACATGCTCACATGTACAGAGTGTGTTCCAGTCCACTCAGCCAATCATGAAAGAGCGATGATATAACACAAAAGTTCCCAACATTTTCGCGTCAAGCCCACTCACTTACAAATCTAGTAACCTCTCAATGAATGTACGACAACTACAAAAAGGATGGATACCTCTGATAAGTCAGCCACGTCTCAAAAAACAGTATTTCTAAATCTGCAGGGGAACCCCCTCAGAAGACCCAGGGTGGGTGTGTGATTTCTCACTAAACAAATTCATATATTTTACTTGACTGTGAATTCTTAAATCTGCATAAACACAGGAAGGATGATGTGTGGAAACAACATATGCCCCCCAATAATTTTAATGGAGGTTCTAATCATCTGACATTCTCACCACAGATTTAACACTGTATGCAAAATATGGAGAAAATCTTCTAAATTATAATCCTACTACCCGAGTAGTTGTTTCCTCTATTTATTATTAAGCATTACTACAAGCTTCCGTCCACTTTCAACAACACGAATCAGCAATGGCATTTCTTATTTTCTCACATGACAGAAAAAAACATTGCTCCTTTGAAACTCACCTTGCGTCAACCAGAGCTTTGGCAGCTTTCAGTGAAGAGTCGGTGCATGGCAGAAAAAACATACGCAGGAAAAAAGCTTCTTCTCCAATGTCTTTTCTAAAGTTACCCGTAAAGAGATGGAGAGCAAAGATTCAGTCGTAGTTAAAGTCAGACTTGGCAGATAAGCCGACTTGGGGGGGACAAGATACCGAGGTAAACAACGGCTTCTCAGCCAGATATATACACACAGCAAGTACGGTTATTGATGCTTTGAGCAAAAAACAAAATAAAATAGAAAAATATGCCGTGAAATACACAAGCCAAAAAACAGTTTGTTAAAACGACACGATATACCGGGGGGCGGAGAGAGAGAGAGGGGGAAACAACAAAAACAAAAACGATTAAAACGACTTTAAAAAGCAGCAAAAATACGTAAGGTGGAGTTCACGCGGGTTGGCGTTGTACGTCGTCGACCGTTGGGAGGTTTTGCAAACCGGAGAAATCAGGCAGTTTTCGTTAAAAGAAGAAAAAAAACGCCGATGACTTCTCGCGTACAAGGAGCAAGCCGACGGCCGTCAACCAACCAGCCAGCCAACTTGTTTTAAAGTGCAAAAAAGAAATGTTTTTGTTTAGGTCGCCAGCTGGACGACTAGCGACGGGCTGGCTACCGCAAATGCAGAGTGAGAAACAACTCCGGGGAAATACATTCTGAGAGGATCCAGACAGTCATGGTAGGCGTTCAGTGAGCTCTCGTTGACAGTGGTCTCGCAGCCATTTTGTTCAAACTAACAACACTGCAGTCTCCCTCTCCTCCTCCCAGAAAGCAGACAGACCAGGAAGTGGCTCCAGATACGTCACTCCCAACCAATCAGAACACCGGCTGACAACTCCGCCCTCCCCTCCTACCGACCGACCGGCCCGCCCCGCCCCCCACTCCCCCCCGTTTTTCCAGACCTCCATGCGGACAGGGAGGGTGGACAGGCTCAAAGCTCATATTTCCAAGGTAATTGCTGAAGCATGCAGCTAATACTGTGGTTCAGAGAGGAAACAGATGTGATACTGTCACGTATTTTTTGAGGGATATACTGCAAAGAAACCAAATGTAAATCTGCAATATTGTGGTTAGGTGCAGCAGTTTAAGTCTACTGTTTCACTGGGTATAAAAGACTGTACATGAGGTATTATGATTCTTTTAATCTGTCAAGACATAGAATTTTACCTTAAGACAAAATAACTAGACTTCTCATAATGTGTGGACTCCTTAACCCTTGAACACTATCACTATCGCCGGGTGATTTTTACCCGACATAATATACCCAAGAAAAAGTACTTGTCATCAAAATATATCAAAATAGGACAATACATGACAAATTAAAGTAGTTCATTTTTAGCTGTGTAATGTCCAAAGGGAGGGGGGGAAAGTGCCATGAGGGGACCATACAGAAATACAACAAAATAACTAAAAATAAGCCATTCATGAACAAAAAAATTCCTTAAAAAAATAATACAAAAACTGTAAACTTAGTTTCTTTTCCACCCATTCCTGGGGCATGTGACTCTTCCCTGGTGAAGACTGAGGGTCCTTGTTACAATAACAGCTGCAGGAGAGAGAACCAAAATATGACCAGCTGACTAAAATATTTCTTATCACCATATGAATTCCCTTGAAAATCACTACTTTGTGATTGTTAACCACTGCGCTAAATAAAGGTAGCATGCAAATTCCAGGACCACTCTTACTGACCTTATTTGCTTACAAGCAGCTATCAAATCCACCCAAACCTACTTTACCCTCTATCAATATTGCCAGGTGAAAATCACCCTGTGAACATGTGCCTGTAGGAAAAAGCAGGTTTTGGATCAGGGAAACAAATATGCCTTCAAAGATGTCAAAGGCAATGCTAAAGCTACCCTGAGACCCATGATACTAAGACAAACGCAACATAATGAAAATCACGTAAACATGTTTGGTTGGGTAAAAATCCTCCGGGGATAGTGTTCAAGGGTTAAAAAACAATCCCACTACCCATCACATAAAACCAACACTGTCTATCCTCTACTTATCTTCCCATATTTTACTGCTTTTGAGTCATTACTTGGCATTAAACTTTAAACAGTGTGAACCACAAGTCGCCAACTATGAAGTTTCATTCAGCTGTACAGAGCTATTAAAATCGTTTGGCTTTCTATTTGGCATTAAGGCATATAAATATCAGTGTCACCATCAGGTACATCAAGCACTGCTGTTAGTAAACCTTGCTGCGTTGCTTCTCATTGGTCATGAAAAAGTCTATTGTAGCCTTAGCATACTGAAAAGTTGTGGTAGCATTACATCGGTGTATAGATATTTAAATTTAAGTAAAAGTCAGCTCTAATCATGCTGTTTAGCCAAGAGTAGAGGTAATTCATTCTGAAGTTAAACTTAGTTTTAGTTTTACTTTAAATTATAATTAAAAAAAACTTGAATCATTGCTTTAATGTTGAATGAATAAAAAATCTATTTGGTATTCTTGCTTCATGAACTTCAAAGAGCCCACCCTCCTAAGTTTCTCTACCCAAGATGACCTTTGTCAAGAATCTCTTGATCACATGATCCCCGAGACATGGGGCAGTAATTCCAAGCTGTTCTCAACATGATGGATGAGGTCGCCCTTGTGCCCCCTGAACCGCATCTGCAGCCGTCTCGGAGAAAGAAAATGCGGCCTCTGTCTATTCTCTGCGCTCCTTTCTTATGGAAATATCGGGGCATGCAGAGACAAACACACACACACTTGAACACACGTACACACACTGGGAGGTGGGAACAGGTCAAGGCTGCAGACCACAAAGGGGATGACTGACCAGTGAGAACTCCTATACATTGCTTGGGGAGACTGCTAATGAAAAAGCTAGAGGCCCCAGCCATTTTTTTCCACCTTTTTAAGGCAAGATGCCCAGAGCTATTAAAATAGCAAGCTCCAACTGAATGGAGAAAGCAGATGTTCCACTCTCAGGGTTAAGAGAGGTGAGAGCAGGGAGGAATGCCTTCAGGAACGCCTTAGGAGAAATGTAGTTCACCAAGGATCACAGACTATTAATCTGTGCACAGGAAGTTTTGTTCATTTATGCCACCTAAGTGAATTGTACTGTGTGCGAACATTATTTGTCATAGTTAATCAAAACTGTCTATTTGAATCATCAACTGAGAGATTCCCTACATCGTGCACATCAAAATGACCACGTAACTCGTAGTTTAAGCCCTTTCATGCAGACTCATACAAGTTATCGAAGATGAAGACGGGAATCTGTGCTCTACAAAGAACCGTCGAGTGCTTCTCCTACTCATCCTGGTTATTCTTTTCGGTGCCTCTGGGATGTTTTTTTTTCTTTTTTTGGACTCTTCCAATTTCCCCAACTGCTTTCACTTTAAAGCAGACTGCTGACAGAGGCGAGCCAATGGGAAAGGTTTGTCTGACATTTTGATAAAAAAAAAAAAAAGCAGCCCAGACACAAGCTGGAGGACAGCAGCATGAATTGCTCTCCTCTCTCCCTCTCCTATTCTCCCTTTTTCTCCTCTCCTTTCTTCATTTCTTTTCAGTCTGTTCTTCTGCCTTTTGTTTTAATTCCAGTCCAATCATGTGACGTGTTCCGCATAAGGTTTCAATTTCAAGCTTGCCGCTGGAGTCTGCTCACAGGCACACATGCACACGAGTACAAATTCACACAAGAATGCATGTGCGTACACCGAACTGCAGATTCTTATGCATACCATGCACACACTCCCTTCATCCTCTCGCATCACGAATACACACTCTTCAGTGTAGCAACGTTTTGCGCATATTTCATGTGGGTGCTGCGTGGCTTCATTTTATCGTTTAAACATGGTTCCCACGAGGGCACGAATCTCCATCCAGAGACATTAATAATCACACATATTCATAAAACGCAGACACATCACAAGACAAATTACATAAAAAAGAATCCCAACAGGCTATATTTTCGATCCTGCAGTCAAAATATATCCCAGAGTTTATGATACACTAGCTGAATTTATAGGGTCATCAAATGATCTTTTTTTCCTCTATTTTTTCTGTCTCAATCTTTAACACAATGCATCATCTCAACACTTAATCATGTGGAGTTAATGAAACCAATATGACATGAGAGGAAGCCAAACATTTCATGACAGCAGCAAGTCCAAAACCTCAGATCTTGATTTTATGTCTTCAGTCCTTAGACTCTACACTGGAGAATAAGACATTAATTCTTTGCTGTGCAATGCTGAATGACTAATGAGTAAGGGGTTTCATTTTTTTTTTTTTGTATTGATTATGAACACTCTGTCCTCCCCCACAGTCTGGACTTAATGCATGTGAGTAATCAAAATGCAGATAGAGAGCTACTTCTGCTTCATTCTAAGTGACATTCCTAAAAGCATGACTTGACACATGCTAAGGGACTGTCATGATGATAATTCTCACTGAGGAGCAAAATGAAACCATCTCTAGCTGCGTATAAAGGAAGAATGTAACACAGCATGTCTCTGAGTCCTGCTGCTTCAAGGCAAAATGTACAAGTTGTAGCTGAGCTGTTGAGTTGAAACATTCATTTTGAGGTTTTTTTATACTCTGATTAGCTATGTGATTGAAGTGCCAATCTATGAAATAGCAGTGAAGAGTGGTAAAAGCCCTGCTCGATTGCTCATCTCCAAAGTCTGCAGCCTTGCAATGAAAAGATAAGCCTGACTGTAAAGCTGAAAGCGTGGCTGTCCAAAGAGGAGGAGGGATCCTTTTCATTAACTTTCATTAAGACTAAAGGGTGAATTACCCTGAACAGAGGAGGTTCGGCACATAAAAGCCATAGGGTAGGTTAATATATGCAGACTCGCTCTCTCCTGCACAGAAACACAAATGTAAACATGTACCTAACAAACAAGGGCAGTTATTTTGACATACTCTTTGCACACAAACATGCAAATCAACCATTAGCCTATTTATAGCACACAAACAAAGCAAAGACCATGGAAACAAAATGCTTCTATCGCCCATGTACTGCTGTGCTTCTGTATGGTACATAATATGTTGTGAAGAGGTGGGCAACAGTAAGAGGGAACAGTATTTGTAGTGGCTGGTATAGGGCCACTGTTAAGGTGGGGAGGGGGTTATGCAGCCTATGTGTATATAAGGGGGTGCTCTGTGTGCATGCATCCCTCTGTGTGTATTTGTGTGTGTCCATATGTGTCTGTGCTGTATGTGCGGAGGGAGGCGAAGCAGAGCGGAGCGTTGCAGTAGGACAGCATTTCTGAGCGGTGGTAATTTCCCCTGAGGCCAGCGAGCAGGTAAAGGCCAGCAAGAGAGAGGGGAAGGGAGGGAGGGAGGGAGGGAGAGAGAGAAAGAGAGGATAGAAGAGGGCTGGGAGGAAGGCAGAGAGGCGGTGAGCACGTGTGTCAGAGAATAATGAGGAATGATACAGTGGCGGTGGAAAAGAGGCCGGCAGATTCTACCAATCAAACGCATACATACACACGCAGACTGCTTTGACAGCAACTCAAGGTTGAATTTAGTCGCTTTCATTGTCAACACATTAATGTTTCAATTTTTATTTCAAATGCCTTATCTTGTAAATGAGTCTCTCTGAACTGAGTCATTGTTTTTCTAATGAATTCGTCTATTAATTACAAGCTCGCCTTTTCCTGATGACCTTGCTTTATTTTGTTACACACTGCAGACCTTAATATTAGCATACATTAAGCCCTGCTTATCTTTCATCCCCAATAGCTAATACCTTAAATTATCAACCCCCCTTCCCTCCCCTTAAAAAAAACTGAATAAACCACAACCGTGACTGGTGCAGTGTGCATATGTCTATGTGTGTGTTTGTGGGTGAGCACCCTCACTTATTAGCCCCCTCCTCCCCCACTCACAAACTCATTACCAGGGTATAAGACCTGCGTGGATTTTATGGTGTTTTGGGAACTGACTGGTTAATCAGATTTATTGCACACTTAAGCTTAATTGATTGCCTTTATGGATTCAAATGAATAATTAAGTGCTAACAAGCCTAGTTTCTGTTTCATCATTCTCAAATGATTATAGTGACCCACAGAGAAGCAAGGTAGTAGAAGTGTCAATCAAAAAACGACAACGCCACAGGATGCATTCTGCTTTTTATGGCCTGTTTGATTTAAAATCTGTTGTAATAACTCTCATATCACTTATAACACTCGCACACATAATCCTTTGTATCTTCACAAACACAAAAACCAGAGATCTACTTATCTGTCAAATGTTTTGCTCTTTACAGGCCCCTCAGCTGTTATCCTTTATGTTTCTATGAGAAACTAAGCTATATACACTGTTCTGTAGCAGCGGTGAAAGGACACACAGTGTATTAAGATCAAGGCGGTCCAAACGGAGACAACATATCCTGACCTTCACATGATCTTCACTAGATCAATACTATCATCAGCGCAGACGAGCGGTCACAGATTAACCCAGCCTCCTTTAACAACCCCCAATCCAAACACACACACACACACACACACACACACACACACACACACACACACACACACACACACACTCTCTCTCTTTCCCTGTCTCTCACACACACAATAAAACACACACCTTATTCAGTGAGGGCCCTGGGTGTATTGATTGGCTTGTATTGACTGACACACAGAAGTACCACATGTACACACTTGCTTGTTGACTTTATTTTTCACTGGCTAGCCTACAGTGGATCGTGGGGAAGTCCTATTGTAGCTGCACGGATCCAAAAGTGCAGAAACAGAAGACATACATTGATTAATATCCTCGATATGTGTGGAAAAAGACCAAAACAGGAAAATACTTTTGTTTGTTTAAAAAAAAAAAAAAAGTCCAAACGCCTTCAAACGAAAGGAGCGTCTTCTTCCATATATGCTTACAGTGGATTATCGAGTACAAAAATGATTGCTTCTGCGTTAACATTTGCTCTTGCAATCGAGAAAAGGACTTGCATGTTATTTATCACGCGCCTCAGCGTATGCATTCAAACAAACATCAAAATCTGACTCCCCATCAGCCATTTCCACAAAAATATGCACCAAAGCAGAGAGCAAAAACAAGCAAATCGATGTCTACGCATCTGCAGGTGGCCAGAAGGCAACTAACTCAATCCCACATCCAATGTAAATGTTGGTGGCGTATCCACAGGCAAGGACTGGTATTTAGAAGTCCATTAACACAGGGTGGAGATGGGTTAATTCACTGTTTGTAGCGAGAGATCTAGGGAGGTTTAAGGGCATTCAGAGAGGAGGAGGGGGGCAGCAGCAAGAAAAAGAGAGGGGCTCTGATATTTGATAAGAAAGAGAACAGAAAGACAAAAATAAGTGCGTGGAGGAGAATGTAGAAATGTGGAGGTAGATTTGATGGGGGGGTGGGGGGTGTTATGGGGAAGTGTTGTGTTGATAGGTGGGTGTGTGTTGGTGGGAGGCAGGGGGGTTGTTTTGAGCGTTGCTGCCTGCTATCATCCACCTCAGCCTGGGCGTCAGTTTGATTAATGCTGCTTTCCTCAAACTGACCTCCAAGGTCACTGGAATAGTGGGTACTCAGCCTCTCCTATTCGCTGCTGCACTGGAGGGGGGTAACGGCCGTATAATACGCTCCCCCAGAGGCTTTCTCTCTCTGTATTTTCTGTTTTTCCCTTTTCCTGTCTCCCTTTAAACTCTTTCACATCCTCTCTGTCTGTCTGTCTGTCTGTTTGTGCCTCTCCTTGATCTGCCCTTCTTCCCTTCCTACGCTCTTTATCCCTCATCCGCATCCATCTCTTTCTCCCTGCTGCCATTTCTCTGTCTCTCTATCTATCTGACTCCCTTGCTCTCTATCCACCAGTGCTCTCTAATCTGAAATGCAATTAAAAGCCGCAATAATGTTATGTGTTTGAAAACACTGATGAAAGAAAAGGGGGAACAGGCCTGCGAGCGGCCCCAGCAAGGTACATGTAAACACAAACACACACACCACCACCACCACCACCACTCAGCACCCCCCCTTCACAGACACACTGCCAAGGTGAAGGCACATGAATAGAGTTGTCCTACACCAAGAGACACTTGGCAATGACACACTTCCTCTGGCTGAGAAGCTTGTGACAAGTGCTACTTATTGTGCCAGCCGGTCTTTTCCTGGCATGGAGCTGGCAAGAGAGGAGTCACATACAGAGAGAGAGTGAGTGAGAGAGAAAGAGAGAGAGAGAGAGAGAGACAGAGAGTAAATGAGGGCACTGATTGTTCTTAAGTCGACCAACCTCCTTTGATCAATCAGCGATTAGAGTTCTGTATTGATTTTTTTTAAAAGGCTTTACTCGACTTTAATTTTTCTTTTAAATGGCGAGACCAGATTATCTCGGCCTGATCATCATTTCAGATGTTCTTGCTTTCAGTTGACACAGTCAGCTATTTTCTGCTCACAACCATCAATTAAACGCCTTTAATGCAAACAATAATTGACAAAGTAAGAATCAATTTACTGAGAGAGGCAAAGAGCATGTGCATTTGTTAAACTGTGTCTAGTTGCTGTGATCGACATTAGAAAACACTGCCGCCACTTCTTCCTCCTCCTCCTCCTCATTAGTACATCTGCATCTGCACAGTGAGGGTGTTGATGCACAGGACTCTGCCAGGTGTTTTCTGCTCATCACTCCATCTTAAAGGGAGTAAAAGTTTTCAGCTGTTTGATAATCATTCAAACTCATGGATGTCAAACTGAACTTCTGTGTTGTGTTTTCTCTCGACAGTTCCCATAGCACTACGCCCACACGACCGCAGCCTCTTACGATTTTTATTCAATGCTTCTTTGAGTCTTAACACCCACTTCATTTCATGAAAAGTAACTCAGGGCTAAATTTACACAGGACAGTAAAGTCCTTTTATGTCTACTCTTTTCTCTTAAATTGACATATGGCCTAGACCCAAGTCTTACTGTGTAAGTTGGATTGGGTCCTTTTCCCTGTAGAGTCTCAGGTTTGCGTACTAAAATGTCTAATACTTTAGTAAATGCAAATGAATCTGTAATGGCACACCTGTCTACCTATCTACATACCTATGCATGAAAAGTTTTCACCAAGCTAAGGTTAGCCAGCCCATTAGTCAAGGATTTAGACTGCAGTCCTGCTTTTCAGGGCTCCTGATTCAACTTAGACTTGAGCATTGGCAGCATTTGGACTCAGAAGAGAGGGGCTCAGACTTATTAAATGGTAAAGACAAGGTTTCTGCGGGTTTCAACAAGTCAAATTTAAGACTTTTTAAGACCATAGTGAATGGAACTTAAGATCCATTGTACATCCATACTGGCAAAAAAGTACAAAAGACATGAAGGGAAATCTGAACATTTTAAACTAACTTCAAATCAAAGTTTATTTTGACATTTTTAAGACCTTTCAATTTTGTATTTAAGACATTTTATGAGGGTTTTAAGACAATTTTAGACATTTTAAGGCCTTGAATTAAAATGATTAGATTTTAGACATTTTAAGACTTTTTAAGACCCAGTAGAAACCCTGAAAGACTAATACAAGTTAAATAAATTGGATCAAAATGATTGTGTGTTCACTTTAATGGACAATCACAGTTTGTCTTGCTCAGCATCAGTCCTTGTCAGAGATGCCATGATTCGAGAATTTAGCTTTTTAAGATTTTACAGTAAATGCAAGACAGAGCTTAGCAAAAGGTGCGGCAAGAACCACAGAAGAGAGGACAGGGGAAACCTCAAACTGGAAAAGACATCTGTAAAGTCAGTTGGTCTGTTGATAACCTTAATGTCTATTAGCCACTGAGTCAAAGGTGTTTGGCAAGCTAGAGTTTTAACCATTAACAAGTTGGCTTCAGGTTTTTTTTGGTTTATTGTGGAGAATGTGTGTCCCCATGAAGTAGGGCTGGGTGAGAAAACGAAAAAATTAACAATACCGAAATTTACCACAATAACTGACGTCATTTTGCCAATGTCAATATAATCGGTGTCAAAAAATAAATAAATAAAAGTTGGTTTTGAATGTGTGTAGGTAGGTTATGGTCTCATGTCCCTTTAAGATGCTATCCTACATCGGAGGCGTGACTCCACCCCATCCAGTCCGTAACAAAGAGGCAAAGACAGGTGAGGAGATGTGGTTCAAAAGTTGTAGCGGCTAGAGTGGTGGCTGAAGTGGATGAAGTTAATGTGGGAGGGGGGTAAGCAGTTTGTGGAGTAGTTATTGTCCATTTATTTATCGAGGTGAACAGCTCAATATATCATGATACTGATTTGAGGCCATATCGCCCAGCCCTACTATCAAGTAAGGCATGCTATGCACACTGCTGTCTTCAAGAAAAATTTAAATCTACAGGCACACAAACAGAATCTATGACCATTGGTAAAAATAAAAGTATCTATTCAGCTTTTTAGTTGCTTTACATGATTTACAGCTTCAACTGTTCTTTAATTATTTCAGATTCGTGTCCTTTGAAAACCCTCGTTTCATGTCTCTGTCCGAAACACTTCATTCTCACTTCTGTCTCTCTTTCATGTTTACTTTCTACTAAACTTGTGTTATCTGGAATAATTCTAAACGTATCAATGTATGGAACCACTTCTGGTTTTTAAGTGACAGCAACAAAAATGGACATCTCTGTTCCAAACTTCTGCCTCTATTCTTTTCTGCAGACAAAGCTGAACCAACGTGTTGTTTTAAAAGTATGTGCAGAGACACCAATTGCATCCTGGAGAGTTAGCTACACTGTGCACGATCAATTTGTCTCACACTCTGTGCCCTCCACCCCTGCCAAACCCCCTCCACCCTCGTTCCTTTTTTTTCCCTCTGTCTCTCTCTCTGTTTCTTTTTTCCAGTCAGTGCCTGAGCATGGGGGACACACATACACACACACACACACACACACACACACAGACTCTACAGAGCATCATGAATCTTTCATGCAAGCGGGCTGTATAATCCCTGAGGCGTGCTCTCAGAGACCCACACACACCCTGCCTCCATCACCTTGCACCAGGAGAGAGAGAGACAGAGAGAGAGAGAGAGAGAGAGAGAGAGAGAGAGAGAGAGAGAGAGAGAGAGAGGGCGAGTGACACGTACAGACAAAAAGATGGATGGAGAAAAGGAGACATGCAGAGGGAAGGAGGAGGGAGGCAGTGGAGAATGGAAAGGAGGGGAGAAGGGAGGGCAGGAGTGGGAGCAGCAAAAGACAAATTGAAGGTGTGAAGTGGGACCTGGCTGGAATTGCTTCTGTCTTTTGACCACTGAGGGAAGGATAAAAAGGGAGGTAGAGGAGATAACAATAGAGAGATTTGCTCTTATTCTATTCGTCCTCTGAAGGCTGCATTGGAAAGTCAATTGGCTTCTCATTACCAGTCCATGAATGATAGCACCACATTAAACACTCTGTCCACCCCCATCCTCTAAACAGCCCCCTGGAAACACACATATGCTGTAGACAATGGTGTTAAGTAAATATTAAGACATTTACATTGATGCGCATCAGTAATATCAATCAGGGCTTCAAACTTCCTTTATCGATGCAATAATGAAGGGAATGCACAATGAAAGAGGAAAATGTAATTAGACCACTCAGAAATCAAAAACTATTTTACGTTATAAAGTATCCATCATCGATTTAGATGGATTGGTTAAACAACTATCCAATTAAATTGCTGCTAAAGCACACCTGCACATCAATTCCCCTAAATATGCCATTTCGTTTTTAATCTGTTAAGATATAACCCCTTACAGTGTTGTTCAAACTGATAATTAACAGGATTTAGGGCTGGGCGATAAGCCGAAAATTTACTGATCCTGAAAATTACGACAATAACCAACGTCATTTTGCCCATATTGGTATATTTAGTGTAAAAAAAAACAAAAAACAAATAAAAGTTGGTTTTGGATGTGTGTAGGTAGGCTATGGTCTCACGTCCCTTTAAGACGCTGCCCTAAGTCAGAAACGTGACTCCACCCCATCCCGTCAATAACAAAGAGCGAAGGACAGGTGAGGAGATGGAGGATGGTTCAAAAGTTGTAGCGGCTGAAGTAGATGAAGTTAATGTGGGAGGGGGTGAGCAGCTTGTGGAGTCATTATCGTCCATTTATCACTATAGAGGTGAACTGCTCAATATATCGTGATATTGATTTGAGGCCATATCGCCCAGCCCTAAAAGGACAAACACAATCTCTTTTAAAGTTGAAATATTCAATCTCAGCACTTAAAGGGGACTTTAAGTATCTTTCAAATGGGTTTGTACAAGCGTCACTGTTTTTGTACTATTTGCTTCTCCAACACACACCTCTTTGGTATGAGTCATTAAAAAAATGACAAATCGTCAGACACAAACCTACAAATAACGTCTTAGACAAAAACAATGAGCCAGGGCACACAGATTGTGTGTATAATGATGAAAAGATGCTGGAAAGTTCAAGTTTTGTGCCCTTTAAATTTTCCATTTTACAATCTCCTCGAGGAAAGGTGGATCACGGGGAGATTTCTTGTTGTATGCCACCCCTTTTCATCCTCCTCCCTCGGATAAATACCACATAATAGCTTCCCCTACAGACTCCCAGCGCAGTTGATTAGTGTCATACTGGCTCTCTTTGGTGTGTCAGACTGAATGCAGGTTGTCCAGGTTAGTTGCTAATGGAGTGACAATGGAGGACTCACAGGGCGCAAGACAGCACAGGGGTGGCTGCAGCTTTAATTACCAGAGACCAGTCAACACAGCGGAAAAAAAAAAAACCCTCACACTGGCCAGATGAGCTTATTATGCCCCCCAACCTCGCACCCTCACACCCCAGGCCACTGATTTACTATGACACTGATTAACAAGACTGGAAGTGGAAGTGGGAGGGTGTGCAGGCACATCTTTAATAGTACGACTGTAGATGTGTCTGAAATCATATATCTGTGGTAGAAGGAGCAAATATTAGAGCTATTTCCCCCGTGCACACAGCATTTAATAAAGTCCAGAGTCAGAACAGGATATCTCAAGGTGTTCAAAACAACCAAGAGGAAGGTTGACTACTGGAGAAGTAATAACTCCTTCATGCACTGCTTTTGTTAACAACTTATAATTTGTGTAGATATAAGTGTGTATCTTCTCAGTATGTGTCTGAGTGTTTATGCCACCTTAATGCTCAACATCCACATTAGTGATATTCATGAGTGTTTTTCAAAGCTTGCTGTGGGTGAGCACACTGACACATTGAGAGTGTGTGTCTGTGTCCACCTTAAATGCATAATGTGTGTTTTAAAGGGGCCAATAGGTCGACCGTTTCCCTCTTTGCGGCACCTTGCCCTCACTCCCATTACTGCTCCCTCACGGTCTCAGCTACAATTCACAATGCACTCTCGGTCTGAGCACCACCTACCAAATACAATTAAGGTGAGTTATGACCACTCCATAGGAGGGTGTAGGGAGGAAGGGTGGGGTGAAGTGTGCTTGTATGAGTGGGTGGATATGTGTGTTAACTAAGAGATACATTAAAGGGGAGGGAGTGAGAGTATGCATCATTGGGACATGCGAAAATCACCCGAGGAGAGCTACATGTAGCATTTTGGGGGGCACACACGCTCATTTATGCATAAATTTGAGATCTGAAGTCAGTGAAAACAGACTGGGTCTGTACCCCAGTGGAACAGAGCAGAGGGGGAAAGTGGGTGCTAGGTGGAGATGGAAGGTGGGAGGGAGACTGTGGGTGGTGGACAGTGCAGTGCCAATTTCACGCCTCCGCTCATCTCTGCCTCCTCCAGCTGCACGCTGCATGCACTCTTCTCCTCCCCCACTCCCTATACACACATACACCCCTTTCTCCTATAACTTACCCCCCCCCCTTCAATGTATCCCTCTACTCCCCTCCCAACCTCCTTTCTCTAGGTTGGTGCGACAACCCGGTGGTGCGGGGATCCATCTCCAAATAACAACTTAGAGACACAGTAAAGAACTGCTTTAAGAGGAAATATATGAGAGACAAAAAGCAACTCAGCAGCATGAAAGACTCCCAGTCTTATGTCCTGGTGCAGCCTTTAAGCACCCACATCCAGCTCAAGATGGATGCCCGGGCTTGCTTCCTCCATATGCTTGGTGGAGCAAGGACAAAAAGAGGGCAAGGAGGGAAAAAAAACAGAAAAACACAACAGCATGATTTGCATTCGTAAAGGTAACATTTGTTTATAGCGCATGTGACACCTTGCTTAATGACCCCACTGCTGATTGAAGCAAGCATCCTAATTAAGCATTAATTACTCAACAATAGAAGTGGCAATTTGTGTGGTGGCAATGCAACGCTGACATATTCCCACCTGAGCTAATGTTTACAGAGCATTATTACCGTCGCCGCCTGCTGTGGTTATGGCTATCTAAACAGTCATAAACGACAGCTCAGGCATATTGTACCACAGTTGCTCTATGAGGAAGCAATATGTTTTACCCCTCTCTCTCTCTCTCTCTTCCTTTCACGGTAAACACAAGCAGACGGAAGACAAGCGGTGAGTTTCCTCCCAGGCGTTAATTGGTAAAAGCAGAGGGATTTACCGAGGCGTGCGGGTAGGCAGGCATTGAGGGTTTTCCCTTTGTAGTGGCACAGTGTTTATAGTCCTTCTGCTGCAGGCTGGGGACGCGTGGACTCTGCCTTTGTTTGCACCACATCACACAGGGACAGGAGATAAACCCTGCTGCGTTTCACATCATACATAAACACACCAAGAGAAACACAAATTCAAACACACCTGACAGAGAGGGGAAAAGGATTAGAGAGCTGTTGGTGGACAGCCCGGAGAGCAAATATGTGTGTGAGTGTGTGTGTGTGTGTGCACGGGGGGGAATTGGTTGATGGTTTGTTGGTGTACGCAGGGACTTGGGTGTTCTTCCAGACACCAGGTGAGCTCAGTCTTCTGTGGACACTTCATTTTTAAGACAAATATTGTACGGGTCTATGACCACAACAGACTGGAAAAAAGAAGATTAGAAAAAGTGGAGGAGAAATAAGTCAAGCAGAGTTTTTATTTCTGGAGTGAGTTAAAAGCAGTGAGTGGTGAGTGCAGTTTCTGCCGAAGTTTGAGAGGAAAAAGTTAGGGGGATTGAAAAGGAAAAAAAGGAGTCAATCAAGGAAACAACAAACTGTAAGCAAACTCCAAATGCTTATCAGAATGGACAGTATTGGAGAAAGAGAAGTGCTTTACAAAGTTTGTTGTTGTTTTAATTAAGAGTATCATGAGGCATGTGCTCCAAATACTGTAAATTATTTTTGTCATCATAGGTACTGGATACTAGGGATGGGCGATATGGTCTAAAAAATTATCACGATAAGGTTTGCCATTCTGGTGATAAGGATAAAAGTCCCGATACAAAATATTATAATCCCAATCTATATTTCTGACTCATTTTGTCTTGAGAACACCAGTTGGAGGAGTCAAATAAGATACTTAACCACAGGTTTGAGTGGTAGGTTACAGAGAAAACTAATGACATCAAACAAGTCTCAAATGTGAAAACACTTTAAACATTTGTTGAAAACTCTTATTGCACAGAGTGAACAGCAGCAGATCCTCTGTCAGATGTCAGGTATACCTGATTGCACTTGTCTAAGCCCAAGTCTTGAAGGAAATCCCTCATGTGGAGCCTTGTTCAGTAACAAGCTGCTCAGAAACATCCTCTTTATTACCTTCGGCCATGTTTGTTTGTTATTCTGCTCTGTGTGGGCTATGGCTGCGAGTCTGTCACTTGAGCTTATGTCATCAACTTGCATTTATCGTATTTATCATGAGATGGCAAATATTTATCATGGAGGATTTTTCTGAGGATATATCATGAACGATAATTTATCACCCATCCCTACTGGATACATGACACTAACTCGATACAATGAGAAATAAAAGCCTATATTCAGAAAGTAAAAACAGGCAAATATGAATATAAGAACTCAATGAATATTAAATAATATATCCTGATATGTATTGTGTTAAATATCTAGACTCCAGTGCATCTTAAGGGGTAATCAGACTTTGTTACAGTCTGTCTGTAAAAAGCCCAGAATAGGGATTTCACCCGAGGCATCCACCCATGTCTGTGGGCTAACTAACCAACAGGAGAATTAGCCCATTCCTGCGCCGTCATTCCCTTGGCTCATTTCTCCCAACCCCTAAATTAGTGAAATTTTCACAAAGCGAGGACACATTAGGGAGGGATCAGGGCAAATGGCACATTATGAGTACTGTCAGAAGTGGCCTATTAAAGAGGATTCAGACATTATCGACGCCTACATACCTGGAGAACAATCTCAGTTAAGTTAATAATGTGCAATTAATCATAGGTCACTTAGCTCAGGATGGGGTATAACATGCTGCTATGGAAGCGGGCCTAATCTGCTGTCCATCCGTCCAAAAGAAGAGCGAGATGGATAGAAGAAGGTTGGAAAACTGTTATCTACTATGAGCTGGGTTTGGTTTTTGACAGCTCGCCAGATATGAATGAGTGAAGCTTTACCACTTGTCATCCGGCCAAAAGCTTTACTTCGCAAGGCCTTTAGGGTCCTTCCTGTTCCATTTCATGTGAGTATACACAAACATGTTGCACAGGAACTGACGGACATATTATTTAATGTAGTTAGCACTGTACACAGCTTCTCTGGTTGACTTGGTTAAAGGGATATTCCAGTGTAAAATTAAGTCAGGGTTATACACTCCATAACACCGAGTTAGACACCCCGTCGAGAGATGAGTGTTGCCGACCCCTTGCTTCTCTAGTTATACCAACTTTAGTAACGACCATATGATAGCAATACAGAGAGCTATGCGCTCAAACAAAAAGCCACTCTATAGCCACAAATAATGCTCAGAACAGCCGCTAACTTCATCAACAGGACATATAGAGTCCCAGCCATAGTGCTAGCCATCAAGCATCTTTTTAGCTTTGCCTAATTTCGTTAGCAAAGAGACTAAACAAAACTCACCTACTCTCTTCTAGCAGCCGCTTGCTTGTAGTGAGACCTCAGGCCAGTCCATTACTGCAGCAGGGGGGACGCAGCTCAAGGAAGAACATTTATGATCATTTCTTCATGGAAATGCAATCAGACTGAGATACTAAGGCAGAAGAACTACCACGTCTGTAGTGCAAAATGATTAATACGATGATTATTACCTTAAGGAAATGATAAAGTAATGATCATAAATGTTCTTCCTTGTGCTGTGTCACCCCGCTGCGGTAATAGACTTGCCTGAGGTTTCCATACAAACAAGCAGCTGCTGGAGGAGAGTAGGTGAGTTGTGTTTAGTCTTTTTGCTAAAGAAATTAGTCAAAGTTAAAAAGATGTTTGGTGGCTAGTACTATGGCTAGGACCCTATATGTTTTGTTGATGAAGTTAGGTGCTGTTATGAGCATTATTTGTGGTAATAGAGTGGCTTTTTTGTTGAGGTTTGTTTATGGCTCCTCAGACTGCTGTGTATTGCTATCATGCAGTCGTTACTAAAGTTGGTATAACTAGAGAAGCAAGTCGTCCGCAAGATTAATCTCTCAAGGGGGTGTCCAACTCATTGTTACGGTGTGTTTGACCCCAACTTAATTATACGCTGGAATATCCCTTTAACCTTCAACAAGAAGCTCCTGAGATACCTGATAAATGTGATTGTCCATTTGTCAAGTTTAAACCATCAAAAGTGTCCAACAATGAAAATTTTTCTGAGTACAACAATCTCTCAAACCGCTCTATTTTGCCTCTATTGGTCACTGTCCTTCTGTGTCGATATAAAAGGCTTCTTCCAAGTTCACAGAAACAAAATTAACTTTTACGTTCAGGTAAAAATCAGCTAATTTAAACATGAATACAAACATTAAATCCTTCTAAATCTTAAATTGAAACTTTAAGGTCCCATTTCCCCTTACCTGATTTTTTTTCACTCCTTTGCAAACAGAATATAAGTCACGGGTCACCATTTTTCCTACCTCTCCATGTTTTACAAATGTGCGACATACAAAAATCGTTGTGCATCTATCAGTCTACGGAAGTACATCATGTTTTCTCAGCCAGAGAGAGAAAAAAAAGAGGAAAAAACACGGGATAAAGTGAGGATGGAGAGGCATGTAGGTGTAAGAAGACGGACAGGTACCACAGACAGAGGATAAGGGAGTATAATCTGATATCAAAACAGCAATGGAAAAGAAATAGGGACCTAATCCATCGCACAGTGACAGGAAAAAGATGGAAGGGATGGAGAGGATGAGAGAGAGAGGTGGAGGAACGGAGGGAGTGAGAGGAGACAAGCAGGGGAAAAATTCACTTCCACAGTTGGCTGATCTAGGAAATCCTGCAATCTTGCCGCAGCCGGAAAGCAGAAGTAGATGAGCCATGTCTCTCCATCTCTCAGCCCTTCTCTCTATCCATCTTCCTCCCTTCCTTTCCTCTCTCACTCATTCTTCACATGAGTTCACTTCTCTCTTTTCCCCTCACTCCTTTGTTCTCTTCCCCACTATCTTTACTACATCGTCTGTTGCTTCCTGAACTGGCTCAGTCCCCCCCCTGCCTTCGACCCCCACATCCCTCTTCTTTCCTCTCATGATGTCCGGAGCTGTTTGACTAGCGCTCGAGCCAGACTATAGCCCCCAGTGGGCTCATTTCACACCTCCAGGCTTGATGCCAGCCAGTCGGTCAGCATGTGGTGTTACAGCTGACAGACAGACAGCGCCTGGCGCTCTGTCGGCCCTGATTAGCATGCACACGGTGAAGTGGGAGGAAGAGTAGGAGAAAGAAAGAAATGCTGAAGTGCTGCAAGTTAATTTACTCCCCCATTTGAGTTTGGGCGGAGAGAGTTTTGTGAGTCTGTTTGCCCGCTTTTACATTGTTTGATATCTATACCATGAGTGTATAGCGCTCAGTGTGCGTGTGTGTCTGAGTGTGTGTAATCGTACAGAATACCAATTGTTGGTGCAACAGTCAAAGCCCCCAGGCTCCTTCATTGTACTTCACAGCAAACCACCAATCACCAGTGAAAGCCCACTTTGCTCCATAAAAACAATAAAGACAACTCTCCATGCTTTGTAGAATAATAACTGAAAAGAGGGGAAGGGGGGGGGGGTGTCTCACATATTACATAGCAGGTCAAGTATGGATGAGCGTGCGCATTGTATAATGGCAGGAGTAAACGGTGCACAACAAGGACAAATTGAGATGCTCTAACAAAGCAATTACATCTTCTAATAAAGCTGTAATTGTGTTTCATTATGGCGAGACGACATCTATTTGCATCATTCTTTATTCCCTCGTTCATTGAGTAGTGCCTGCTTGCTAACCTCTGACTGGCTCAAACAATGCTTATTATGCTTATGGTGGAGGACGCACAAACACTTCCAACACACAACCGCACGCACACACATGTGCTGTCAGACAATGAAGTAAAGGGAAGCCTCCAGCGTCACGGCGTAGATCTCTCCATTGAGAACCTGTAATTATAAAGCCCGTCTCAAGATAAATCAATTAACGCCAACATATAGCTTTTAATTTAATCCGGAGCTAATTAAAGTGAGGAGACATGTGAGAGGGAGAGAGGGAGGGAGGGAGATAGAGGAGAGGGTGGTGGTGGTGGAGGTAAGACAGTACAGGAGGTGTGTGTGTGTGTGTGCATGTGTGTGTCTGCGTGTGTTTGCACGGAGGATGGGGGATTGTCTCAGTCCCCTGGTTCAACCTTGCTCAGCAGAGATGATTGAAATGAACTCCGTCGGCACTTTGGTTCTGGGATCTCCGCTGTTGGCCCAACATCACTGAACGTCACCTGGAGCTGTCTGACTGACAGGTGACACTTTAATTGAAATAGTTTTTCTGCTCATTAAAGGAAGGAGAGTTAACCTTGAACAGGACAGACATGACTAAATGCTTAAAAGCAGACAGACTTAAAAAAAGCAGTTTGACTGGAAGAAGCTTTTTTTATGCCTGGTAGATGCAAGGAAATCGACACAGGGCTGGGGCTGCCAACTGAGTATCTGATTACCCAGAATGGAGGAGAAGAAAGACACTTTTAGTTCTGCTTTTGCCATGCCAACAGCCTATTTATGAGATTGAACTTTATGGTATCAAAATAGATGCAATTTTTAAGCACAAGATAGACTGGATATTCATGAGACGTGTCTGATAAAACCTGAACTGTCCTCCATTTGGCCATAGCTGCAGTTCAGTGGTTCAGAATATGTTTATTACACGGTGTTATGACTTTTTAGAGTTCATAATTTGACTCTTTAAAGTAAGAAAAGCAGAGATTAGCAGATAACATGAACAAAGTCAGGAGTTTGATGTCAAGGCAGTGGGTTAGCATGCACTGATAAATCAACTAAAAGGAATTTATCAACTCTCTCACACTAAACCCAAAGATGAGCCAAGTATGACTGCTTTGATAAGTACCAAGTAAGATATAGTAGATACAGTGCTCAGGAAGTGACCTGGCACCTCTCTAGCTACCAGGCCAAAGACCAGATATGAATTAGTAGGGCTGGGTGATATGGCCTTAAAACAATATCAGGATATATTGATCAGTTCACCTCAATAATGATAAATAGACGATAACTACTCCACAAGCTGCTCACCCCCTCCTACATTAACTTTGTCTACTTCAGCCACTACAACTTTTGAACCGTCCTCCATCTCCTCACCTGTCTTTCCCTCTTTGTTACTGATTTAAGGGGGTGGAGTCATGTCTCTGATGTAGGACAGCGTCTTAAAGGGACATGAGACCATAGTCTACCTACACACATCCAAAACCAACTTTTATTTATTTTTGTTTTTGACACCGAATATATTGACATGGGCAAAATAAGGCTGGTTATTGTGGTAAATTTCAGTATCAGTAAATTTTTGGTTAATCGCCCAGCCCTAAGATATAGTCAATATAAACAGCAGGTCAACGTTTCAACACACTCTGGGTGCTGACTGATGTAGTAGTTTATCTGCACACCTGATAGACTGTACAAAGAAATGAACAGAACAGATTTCATGTGTGAAGTCGTGGTGTCTAAGATAAGATAATCTTATGATAATAAGATTATTATCTTATTATTATAATAAGATAAGCTGTCTCAGTCCATCTAGGATTCACAGGCTTCTTCTGATATTAGTGTGGCCTAAGACACTTTTTTTTATGTTTGCAAAAGTTGCGATGCAAGTTACTACATTTCTAGGCTTTTTAGTAAAACTTATCCATGCCAGACATTAACTTTGAGGGATGTTACATGTTGACACCTGCTGGGAAAATCGCTGAAATTTAGCAAAAGTGTGAAATTATAAAAAAGCTGCAGGGTTCGGTTGCAATTGCACGACTTTGCTGCATCAAGATATTACAACTTCCTGTGGTGATACTTGCAAATCTGGCTTTGCTCATTTAACTACATGCATAGTGGACTATATAATGTAGAATCAGATCTCTGAGATGAAATAGGCTTCATGATACAGACCTAGTAAGAAACTATTAAATGTTGGCGTCCGTGAAATGCAACTTCAGCTTCTCTTAAAGCTTTAATTTTTTTATAAGGATGTAATGCAAGTAAAACCTGTGTGAGCATTTAATTTGGAAATTCACACTAAGCCAAAGATTACACTTGGGGGAACTAAGATATACGCCCAGTTATGAATATAAATCACAGATTATTAAACTCTTTTTTTAAGGTATTTGGAAAGTGGTGTCACAACTCCAAACTAATCAAAGAGAGAAAACAAAATAATGAGTAAAAGAAAAACTACTGAACGACAGAGAGCAGTGACAGACCTCTCCGCTATCCTCTCTCATTATTTGGTCACAGGACACACTGCGAGGTGACAGCATATTGTGTTGCACAGACAATCACACGTTCACACACCAAGTCTCAGAGGCAAAAATCTACAATAGCACGATTTATCTCACACTGCTCTTATTGATCTTCAGCTTTCTTGTGGGTTGCCCGCGTTCACAGTTAGCGCGAGTTGAAAACTGGCATTAGAGGCTGGCACATCATTAGGAGAAGAGACAGGACAAGCAGGAGTTTGTGGGCGGTGTAAATGGACAATATTGTCGTCAATTAGAGCAAACTTTTGACTCGACTTCTGCTTCTTTGTCACCAACACTGCTGTTGTATTTTTAATCTTCGCTAATTTACCGGCGCTCACGCAAACTAACACAAATATTGGTCTTTTCCTTACTATTAAAAAAAAATGCAATTTAGGGACGACAACAGCTCATGAATAAAACAACAACAGAGAAAAACGCTAAGGGAGAGTTATTCATCTACGTGTCTTTAAATGATACTCATGGATCATGTTAGTGAGCTTTAAATGAGTGAAGTTGAGACGTGGCTGGAGGGAAGCGGACTGAAGCGCTGCCTGGTTACTTGGATGACAAAGCTGCCTTTCAGACACTCTGGGTAATTAAAGTCACAAATGAGGGATTTAGTTATTATACATATTTGGGGGGGAAAGGAAGAGAAAGACACAAGCGCATGAGAACTAAGGGAAAAGAGGATGGATAGAGAAACAGAGACAAATGAGAGGAAAACAGATAAGAGATTAATTGGACGATATACCATCTGTCCATCTAATACATCAACTAGCTACACTGCTGTTATGTTTCCAACAAAGACATCAAATCTCTATTATTTTTAATACTTGCATACACTATAATCCATATTGACACAACATATTGAGGGATTATGTGTGTGTACATAGAGCACATGACCGTTCTCTCTAACCCTCTGTGCCCTAGGGGATCATAAAATGCTCATTAATTCCTTAAATTAGCTTAAACGCCCTTATTGAACGCCACCTTCATCATTATTTTTTTGCTTATTAACTATTCCTTAAGTGGGCTGCCGAGGGTCCTGTCAGGTCAAAGGGACGGTATGTGTATGCGCGCGTGTCACGGGGAGAGGGAAAAGCCAGCACAGAGGCAGACCTAACCCTCTCTTATCCCCATGTCTCTCTCACTCGCCGAGCGCAGGGGCCTATCGCTGTTGCCTTGGTGACGCTGGCTGGCAGCCTGATAGGAAAAGAGGCTGGCAAATGGAAAATGTCAATTACTGCCGGAGATATGTAGATCTGAGTGAGAGGCTGCCGCAGACGGGGAATGAGGAAGAGGAGGGAAAAAGGGGGGGAAAAGAGGAAGAGAAGAACGGTTGAGGAGAATACCAAATGTAAAGAGGTGCGGTGTGGTGTATGAGACTGCAGCGGGGAAGAGACAGAGAAGAGGATGGAAAGAGACAGGGGAGAGGGAAGTTGATGGCCAAATATAGCAGGAGGTTACAGAGAGGTGGGGGTGGGAGAGGGAGGGGGTGATGGCACGGGGGTGTTAATGCAGGAGATGAGAGGCCGAATTGAGCGCTAGCTGCTGACAGGGAACGTCTGTCCACATCTATTATAACACCTTTCCTTTCTCTTAGGCGAGGAGCGAGGCTGCATGGTTGTGTTCATTATTCGTCTCTTTTCTCCGTCTCTATCTCCCATCCACAACTTCACCACCAGCCTTCTACCTCTAACTGGCAATTTGATTAGGCCAGGGAGATAAGGTCACACAGGAGAGGAGAAGAGAGGAGGGTAGGAGAGGGGAGAGAGTAGGGGGGGAAACAGAGCAAGAGCCATTCTGGTGTAATCACAGCATTGATCTCCTAAGCATGTGGCCTGTGTAGATTATGGGACTGAGTTAGGTCCATCATTGGCTTTGGAATCCAAGATAAGTGTGCGCCTGCCTGGCTGTGTGTATACGACTGAATCCAGCGACGCAGTTAATCATGCATGCATACCCTGCATGGTGCATATGTGCCTCCCCTATTTATGTGTCTTAAGGTGGATGTATGCATCTGCTAGGTGTGTGTATGTGTTTATATGTGCATTACAAGATGAGTGTCCTGTTTCAGTGTGTATCAGTCATCCTAAGTTGAATTAATGTGTCCCTACCCCCATTCCAATTTCCATCGGAGGTCTCTTGACCCTCCCACTCTGCAGACACATAATGGTCCATTTGGGGTTTAGCAGCAGGCATTACCAAGGGTGCATGGAGACAGTGAGCGAGACTGTATTTCCATAAGACTGGGACACAGAGGCCCTTCTATACATATATTACCCCCCTTTGTGTCTGAGGGGTCTCATGTGGCATTTGTCTACTACACCGGTAGAAAGATGCACTACCCAGGGAGAAATGCAAAGGACACACAAGACAGGATGCATACGCAGCCTGATGTGAAAATACACAATTCATATACTGTACACATAAGAACTCCTATAGCTGTTATCACACATACATAGACACTAATATATTCAAACACACACACACACACACATGAATGCAGACATATACGCAGATATGTGAGATATAAAGGGAGCCACACAGCAGCCTGACTGTGATTGACACTGATAAGTTCTGAAGAGAGACACCCTACCTTTGCTGTCATAACATCACCGTACAGTCTCAACACCTTGATGTATTAGAGATCTGTGTAACCTATTGTAAAGAGCGACTATTTTTTAAGTGGTTATGAAACAGTCTCGATTTAACGTCGATTCCTCTATGTGACCTGTGGAAATGTAACAGATGTAAGCTACTGCAGAAGATCGGCTGTAGTTATTTTTAACACCTGTCTCTGCTGTCACTGAGTCCCACTTCAGCGCAGTAATTCACGGCAAACTGGCAGGAGTCTTGATTTCTCCTGCAATGTTTCGCTGTGAGTGAATGAGCGTGGATGACGGTTGAAAAGAAGCGGTAGAGAGTTCAGGTTTGGATCCCTGGTTGAGCTGTTTGCCCTATATGCAGGGGCTATAGTCTTCAATGCAGGAAGCTCGGGTTTAGACCCAGCCTGTGGCCCCTCACCTCATGTCATTCCACACTCTCTCTTTCCAGTTTGCCACTCTATCACTGTCCTTTCCCTTGAAACAAAGCCTAAAACGCCCTGCTGCTTTATAACTGATGCAACAAATCAGTATCTTGTTTTACTACAAGCCAAGAATCAGTTATCTGATTCTAAAGAGTGAAAAAGGTACAGAGCCAGGGAGGTGACATGAACTTTTACTTTTTTTAATTTACACGGGCAATTTAGTTTCTTGCACGTGTTTTATATGTATCTCACACATGCGTTTAAAACGTATCTCGTAAGTGCGTTTTATCTGTATCTTGTGCATGCGTTGTTGTAAATAATCCTGTGCACGCCCCATTTTTGAGAGAAGACTGACAGTGTCATGAACAGAGAGCATATTATCAACACTTTCTTTAATTTAGGTATGAGTCACAAAGAGATACTAAATAGCTTAGCCACAGTTGGTATTGTTTCGAGTATGAGACACCTCATCAGGATCCTTAAAGCATAGTGACTTTGCTGTCAGCGATATTTGGACTTGCAGGAAGTGATTTTGTTTATTAATGAACAGTTAAATCGTACTTGCGATATAATAAAATGACCTGTGAAATATTAAAATGAAAAAAGAAGCTAATGTCACCTCCCAGGCTCTGTAAAAAGGTTTTTAATGCAGCAAGAAAAAAATTACATCTTTTTTTTTTTTTTTTGTCTTTTTTACAGGGCACATGTGTACAAGAAAGGGTCAGCAAAGAGAGCTGAGGTAAAGCAAGATGTCGCCAAAGTTTATAAGAAAAGGAAGCGCCTCACAGCTGCCTGAAGTATTCGTCTTTATGTTTCTGTTTTTGACCCCGCTGAGTAGGGCTGGGCGATAAACCGAAAATGTACAATTACTGATGTCATTTTGCCCATATTGGTATAATCGGTGTCAAAAAAATGAATAAATAAAAGTTGGTCTTGGATGTGTGTAGGTAGGTTATGGTCTCATGTCCCTTTAAGACTCTGTCCTACATCAGAGACATGACTCCAACAACATGACTTCATGAGTCTAACAAAGATGGAAAGACAGGTGAGGAGATGGAGGACGGTTCAAAGTTGTTGCGGCTGAAGTTAATGTGGAAGGGGGTGAGCAGCTTGTGGAGTTATTATCGTTTATTTCTCATTATCAAGGTGAACTGCTCAATATATCATGATATTGAGGCCATATCACCCAGCCCTAATCTGATTCTAAAGAGTAAAAAAGGTTTTCGATGCAGCAAGAAAAAAATACATCGTTCTTTTTGTCTTTCTGCAGGGCACACATGGACAAGAAAGGGTCAGCAAAGAGAGCTGGCGTACAGCAAGATGTGGCCAAAGGTTATATAAAAAGGCAGCGCCTCACAGCTGCATGAAGTATTCATCTTTATGTTTCTGTAGGTTCACTTTCATGTCTTCACTGGGACACACATTACTTCACGTGTGCTCTTTCTGTAATGACAGCTCAAACTCTCCCATTTTTCCTGAAATCCTTTTTTTTTCTTGCATCTGTTGGTGTTATGGTTTTTCTGATTTGCCACCTGATTTTCAGCCTTCACTGTCGCTTATTATTTGTGACTACATCTGCGAATTTCAGCTCTTATAAATGGATTACAGTCGACAGCGACAGGAGGATTCATTTTCATACAATCAAGTCTTTGTGGGACAAGTGGCAGGACGTCAGCGTAGGGCACCAATTATATCCATTCCCCTCAGTAGGTATAAAAAATAAAATCAGTTGAAGCATCTTCAAGGGAACAATTTCATCGAAATCAAAGGTTTAATTTGTAACAGGATTAAAAAATCATGTTCTGCTGTATATCTCCAGTTTTATGGAGTGCCTCTAATAGACACAAATTGACAGTAAGAGCTTAAATTGCTATCAACTATTAGGGCTGGACTCTTATCATCATATCATTTGATGATGAGTGCACAAGACCCTGAGAGCACCTTAATGAACGCAGCGGCGAGCTTACTCACATCAAACACAATGTAAATCTCGCTTTGTCTGTTCCTCTCTCTCTCTTCCTCTAACACACACACACTTGCATACCACACACACACACACACACACACACACACACTCCACCTCACACTCTAGCTCTACAAATACCAGCAAACAGCTGACATTGCTCTCTGTTGACCCACTTCCGATGGTATCATCTTCAAAGAAAGAGAGAGAGAGGGGGGGAAATCTAATGGAAAAGGGGGATTCAATTGAAGAAAAGAGAGTAATTGACCAGTGTTTCTTTATCTGCGAGGGTGCGAGACGTTGCTGCCGCAGCCGTGTAAGTGCAGGTATAAGGTTTGGTTGCCCAGAGGCTGAAATGCTGCTCACTCATTTACAATTTAAAGGCTGCTGCTGTTTGAAGCCAGCCACTCGTCTTCATTTGGGATTCACACACGCCTGCCTGTGGCAGATGGCCATTTCATCATCATCACACATGCTCTCACACACACACACACATACACACTTAAACACATGCAAAAATAGAGAGTAGCTGGCATGCTGATGAAGTAAGAAGGCATCTGTGTGTGCATGTGTTAATGTGTTTATGTGTGTGTGTGTGTGTGTGCGCACTAGTGGTTGGGGGATTCCAGTGTATCATTATTTCAGAATAATTGGCTGACAGGAGTATTTGGAGTTAATTGGTTGGCTGACAGTGTAAACCCTGGGGCTTATGGGTATTGTAGTACGGATAATGCAGACATTCTGCTTGGTCACACAGCCTGACTGAGACGATTACCTGAAAGCTTGAACAGATTTATTAGTGGCATTTTTACTCCTTTGTGATTTGTGGAATTTTAAATGTTTTGAGTGTTTCAGAGCCGAATTCAGGTTTTGTTTCATGTCATGGGTGCACTTGAATAAGCTGAATTTAAGTTAAAACTATTAACATAATATCATCTTTACTGATTCTCTCAGGGACAAAAAAACTAGAAATGTTGGAAATAACCTTTTATAATGTAGTGTCAGCTCAGGATGTGCACTCATTAAAGGGATATTCCAGCGTAAAATTAAGTTAGGGTCAAACACACTGTAACACCAAGATAAACACCCCCTCGAGAGATTAATGTTGCCAACCACTTGCACACAGCGGTCTACATCTCCACACACAAACCTCAACCAAAGCGCCACTCTATAGCCACAATTAATGTTCAGAACAGCACCTAACTTTATCAACAGTACATATAGGGTCCCAGCCATAGTACTAGCTACCAAACATCTTTTTGGCCTTGCCTAATTTCTTTAGCAAAGAGACTAAACACAACTCACCCACTCTCTTCCAGCAGCCGCTTGTTTGTGGGGGAGCCCTGACGAGTCGATCACCGAGTGCAGCAAATCATTTCCTTGAAGTAATAATCATCATAATAATTATTTTGCACTGCAGACGTGGTAGTTCTTCTGCCTTAGCGTCTTGGTCTGATTGCATTTTCATGAAGAAATTATCATAAATGTTCTTCCTTGAGCTGCGAAACTCCGCTGCACTCAGTGATCGACTCGTCAGGGCTCCCCCCCAAACAAGCGGCTGCTGGAGGAGTGTTACATTGTGTTTGACCCTAACTTAATTTTATGCTGGAATAACCCTTTAAGACCTGTTAGAACCAAGCTGTTTAAAATTACGCCTCCCTAAGCTGACCAGTCTGCCGACTCTAACATCAGCTTTAATAACTTTCTTTTATGCTGTAAATTACACAGTAGTTACCTGTGATTGTCTGAGCTTGAGTCTGTTACAGTGAGGAGTGGATGCAGTAAATAAGCTCTGCGTATTTTTTTCGATTAAGGTGGCAATTTTACTAAAAATTTTCATGTCTTAAATTTTTAAATAGACTTCTGTAATGTACATTACAGTTTCTGCTATTCTATTTCATTGTTATTATTATTATTATTATCATTAAAATTTCATCCACATAACAATATTGCTATGATATTTAAAATGCTGTAAAAAGACATCTGCAGACCCACAGCCTGAACTGATGCTGCACTTTAGATTATGTCTAAAAGCTCCTGAAGTTTATGAGTCGAAAAAAAAAATTAACACTGGCTCAAATAACTAAAATAGCATTTCAACAAACTATACAAAAGCTAAAGAACTTGTTAAATACGATTACTTTAAGTCTCTTTCAGACCGCTGTCCATGTGTTCTTTCTCTTTTCAAAGAATAAGGCAAATGCGGTCTTTCTTACCTCAAACATAATAGCATGTTTGACGGATTAGATTTGTATTCCGTCTGTTCAGCAGTAAGTGTGCAGTCTCTTGATGGAGGATTGCTGTTTGATATGAGATTTTTATGACAGTGAGCACAGCAGGTCTGGGTCAACAGCAGAACAAATCTGCTCTCAGAAATCAAAGTAAAGAAAGTCTTGAATTGAACTGTGCCCCTGAGGCAAACTCCAGCTTTGGCAGAGCGGGAGCAGCTGTACAAGAGATGCTGCCACCTACAGCAGAAGTGTACCAAACTCTGTGCCTGGTAATGAATTCAGCTCAACACAGAGCAGAAGAGAAAAGAGCCTCCGGCAAATATGAATAGTGGTTCCCAAATCTGCGGCAATAAACCTCAATCATACGCGACTTAGGCTGAGTGACAGTCAGTCAAAACAGAAGCGTGAGTCACCAGATTAAAAGGGGAAATGGAGTTGAAGAAGGTGAAATTGGAGGAGTCACTTCTTTAGTGAGTGGTTCCACATAAAATCCTAACAATTGTAAAAATTCCCATCACCTTACATTTTTACTGCGGGATTATGGCCCTTTACAGAAGAAGTGGGACATCCTTGGCAGCTAATTCAGTGGAAAAATATGAATGTGAGGAGCTTCAGCCAATGCTTTCTTACTCATACCACTTCGAGTGGAGTGTCAGTGTGCCTTTGAGGAAATGCTCTGAAAAGGTGATAGACTGACTAAAAAAAGCAAAACACACTTCTGATGGGAACTTTTTGTGTGTGTATGTGTGCCCGCCGCAAAGAAAGGCAGTAAATAAATCACCCGGCTCGAATGTGAGATATTACCTCAGGGGCGAAACAAAAGGACAAGGCAGACACGGCGACCAGCAAAAGGTCAAGGGGAAGCAAGGAGGAGAGGCATTGGCGAAAAGGTCGGCCGGCACCAGTAAAAATTAGTTGGATATGAACAAAATAATGTGGTGGAGTCGGAGGCAGCACGCTCTCTAACCTCAGCAGACGGGTTGGGAAAGCATAACGCCTGATAATAAAAAGCATGAGGGTCTGCAGTAAAAGCGTGAAGCTGTGATGTGGTTTTTAATGTATAGTGATGTGGTCCTGCTTGTGTGCGTGTGTATGTGTGTGTAAGAAAAAAAAGAGAAAAACAGCCTCTTTTATTCTCGCTGGAGCAACAGATAGCAAGACAGATGACAATAACTCTCACAACAAAGCGACGCCACATTAATGACACAGCAACAGATACACACACACACACAGTGCTCTAATGACATTAAATCATAAACACACCCTCAAATTAATCTATCACCTTCATGTTGCTCCAAACACACACACACAACAATTAAAGTGCTAACTCGGAACATGATTTACATCATTATGATTATGACTGTCATAATTATGAGCGCTGTTATCACTCTCATTATTAATAGCAATGACACTATTATTAGCCTGTCTGCTGGTGTGCTACTTAGTCTGCGGGCTAATTACTGTGTGAGACTGTCCAGGCATGGTCCCCAGCTTCAAGGTCAGAAAACCTTCTCCTCCTCTCATCGCGGGGTTCTCACACTTACTTAATTCTGCCACTCATAATCTCCTTTAATCTCGTAAATGATAGTAAAAGTGCTAATTCTCCGCCATGCAATTTATTAGTGGGTGTTTGTGCGACCGAGACCCAGTAGTGCATTACTGTCACGGCTAATCCAATTAGTGGGGATGTATCTAGCCGGGCCTAAGGG